TTGCGATAACCTACATGCGTCTTTATGAATCATTATGAACTTTAATTTGTTTTTGAGAAATTAACATTTCATTATTTTTTTTAAAGAATGCTGTCAAATTCTTCTTTGGACATACGATTTGAAACTTGTGGAAGGCTAAACCATTAACAATTATTGTGACACGTTATATTATTTTTGAAAACAAATGTGAACGGTCCCCGAGTCGAGAACATGGACCAACAATATATTTTAGATCGTAGGAGTGGTCAGGCCCATAGTAACTTGTAAACTATTAAAGAAAATGGAATTTTTCATCCTAGTTCACTCGAAACTAGGGGTTATATACCTGTGAAAAACACGTTTCGTGATCCTGCAAAAATGCCAGATTAATGCCTTGGTCACATAGGCTCCGATTTTCCCTATGGCGCCCGGCCGATGAGTATTTTGTTCAAAATCGACCGGCAAGCCCGGGCATCGTACGGGCGCCGGTCGATAATCAGCAACATCGGCCGATTTTTAGACATCGCCCGTGCGCCGATAGAGTTTTATAGTGGAGATAAAAGTTGCCGATGTGTTGGCGATTTTTTCTCAACCAAACTCATCGGTACCTACCCGGCCGTGTCCCGTACGGTCGACACACGAAGGTCATCTAGGGATTTTATTTAACTTTACTCACTGATTTGTTCGATAATTCTCAATTATAATTAGTAATATTATATAAACATTTTAAATATGATAAGTTTAGGAAATATAATTGCCCAGCATTTTTTTTAAATACAAAAGAACGAATTGTATAACGGAATATAATTGTAAAACAATAACACATTTGGGTCGTTGTGTGGGTGGATGGGTCTTGTCGTCCTTATTAGCTGCTTGTCAATCTTGGCATTAAATCGCGATGAACAGATGAATGTGTATACCTGTATGTACAGCTCATACAAAGACATGCATTTAGTCAAAGCAGAATGATTGATTTTGGAAACTAAATTGAAAGAAACTTTTTTTTATGAATATATGTATAGCTGTAGAGGCTCTCTGGTATCCTGTAGATCGACTGGTGTCCTGGCCGGTGTCGTACGGTCATCGGCAGATAGCTTTGCGATACCCATGCGATAGCCTATAGATTTAGTTGTTTGCGGGTGCCGTACGGTGCCTGTACTAATGTGACCGTACTCACGGCGAAATCAAGACATCGGGAAAAAGTCAAAAACAATAACACATTTGGGTCGTTGTGTGGGTGGATGGGTCTTGTCGTCCTTATTAGCTGCTTGTCAGTCTTGGCATTAAATCGCGATGAACAGATGAATGTGTATACCCGTATGTACAGCTCATACAAAGACATGCATTTAGTCAAAGCAGAATGATTGATTTTGGAAACTAAATTGAAAGAAACTTTTTTTTATGAATATATGTATAGCTGTAGAGGCTCTCTGGTATCCTGTAGATCGACTGGTGTCCTGGCCGGTGTCGTACGGTCATCGGCAGATAGCTTTGCGATACCCATGCGATAGCCTATAGATTTAGTTGTTTGCGGGTGCCGTACGGTGCCTGTACTAATGTGACCGTACTCACGGCGAAATCAAGACATCGGGAAAAAGTCACCGGTGCCCGGTCGATTTAGAAATCGGCCGATGACTACTCATCGGCCGGCGCCCGGCGCCCGGCGCCTATCTGACCCAGGCATTAGCAACATAATTAGACAGCAATCTCCGTCTGCATCAGTCTTCTCATTTCGACCAATGCCTTGGTCACATTTGCTCCAATTTTCACTACGGCGCCCGGCCGATTGAGCATTTTGTTCAAAATTGAATACACTATTGAGCAAAACACTCAATCGGCTGGGCGCCGGCCGATGGATAGGAGCAAATGTGACCCAGGCATTAGCTATCGCCTACACTAAAGCGCCTACACATACAACTTTACATTGATTTTATTCTGAGAATGATTTAAAACATAAACACAAAGTATTATTAAACTTGAAGTTAAAATGATTGTAATATTACGATACTCTAGTATAATAAAACGTAACTACAGTGTGTCTCAAAAATGGTACACTTACAAAAAGTTCATTATCTTTCACAATTTCGACTTTTCCCCTAAAATATATTTTGGATACCAAAATACTAATCTTTCTCGAATAATTTGACACCATAAGGTTCAACATCTGTCCTTGATTGTCTCTACAGGACAGTTTTTAGTGTCCCATGGTAAAATCTGACTTGCGCCAACTTCTATGTGATTGGATGGACCAAATGACTAAAGAGAATAGTTTCTTTAACATTTCACTTTCTTCTGAGTAGAGGTTTGACCTTAAACTGAGTCATTCTGTGATTTTCCTATTTGTATTACATATAATCATTAGGTCTATCCACATAAACATGTGGTCCCCTCAACATGTTCTCCATAGCAAATTTGAGGTACCCTTGCCCATGCGACACATGCATCGTAATATCACACTGATTCCATCAATTGTTTTGCAGAAGTCCATTTAGATCAGTTTGTGGTGCTGTTAAGCGCTCTCAGAGGCCCTTCAAAAAATCAAAGGTGTTAAGTGGGATGACCCTGGGGGGCAATCCATTGGGTAATTCAAAGCTATCTTCTGATTTCCAAGGACTTCTTCTTAACATTCTGCCATAGGCCTTTGCACAATCCTATTGCCATCATACGTAACAAAATTGAACACTCTGACAATGAAATCTCGTATTTCTATCCAGGAAAGAAACAACTGGATCAGTGATCATATCAGAATATCACTGTCCACAGGATTCACACAAAAAAAGAATTGATCACCACATGTCCAACCACTGAGAAGTTGGCACAAATCAGATTTCACATGCGTCTATAAAATCTGTCCCGTGCAGCCAATCATGGACAGATTTTGAATCTGATGGTGTGGATTTATTCGAGCAAGACATGTTTTTTGGTATCTAAGGATATTTTAGGGGAAAAGTCAAAATCATGAAATATATTGAACTTTTTGTGAGTGTAGCATTTTTTGAGACACACTGTATAGCGCATGTGACCGGTCTAATTATACTGTTTGTTTTGATGAGGCAGTGCAGAGATATCTAAACGCTTGGCACACTGTCCACGCTAACTCTTTGCACTTCTTGGCACACCTAGATATCTCTAGATACGCGGAGTTTCTAGACTAGCTTTGTACGTCTAGAAATTGCTTGGAACTTCAGATTTGACGCAGTATTTGTGACCACAAGCATGCTTTTGGGCAATACATGCGGCCACTATTTTTTATTTTTTTATTTCCTTCATATGACAACAAAAATATAAATTATTCACAGTTTACTAATATAAATGTAGGTGTATACTGCTTGATTAAACATTATAAATTGAACATAATAATAGCGCAAATAAATAAATAAGTATAAATAAGAGCACATTGATAGTTGCTTGGTAGGAGCAGGGGGGGGGGGGTGACAGTAAAATGATGTATGATAGCATGGTGATATTCATAGGACAAATACTGCTTGAGATGATGAATTGTTATAAAATTCATTTAAGACCCAGAATGATATATTTGGTGATATAGAGTCTAATCTAATAAGGTTTATAAACTAGGATGACTTTGATGCCCAGGCTGGCCACTGAAGACAGCGTCAATGCTTTTGGTGAATACAGGGGCCATTAAGATAATTTAGGGGCCCCATGCAGCAACGATGCCTATTGAGGTCATCGGGGACCACTACAATGCTTTTGGGACTACATGTTGCCTCTAAGATGCTTTTGGGGGCCACGGTGGAAACGATGATGGGAACCACTTGGACTCTTTTGGGGACTGCAGGGGCCAACTTGGGTACTTTTGGGGGCCGCAAAGGGGCACTATGGTGCCTAGGCGCGACTGGGGATCATAGGGGGTAATTACGTTGCCCACGGAGGCCATTGCGGACCGCTAGAATACTTTTGGTATTTTCATAAACCTTATTCAATTAGTTAATATGTAAATGTATATAGCGATACCATAGACATTGAACTTGACAGCGAATTTCATAGATTCAACCTACATAAACTCCGAATGCAGTATACGGAATGACGTGCGGTAAGGGTAAGGTACAACACAAGGCATGTCTATTTGCATTATACCATTTCTCAGGTAAAATACTTTTATCGTATGATCTGTACAATGAAGCCCTCTGATTGGTCAGTTCTTGTGCTGTAGCAATCTGTATTGCTACTTAGATTGTCCCAATTGATCATCTCCGTCGCAATACAGAACATATTGGTACTGAGGGAACAATCTCAGTAGCAATACAGAGGATCACACGATAAAAACGTTATTGAATGATTTGAAGTGCAATACAGGATATATTCTGTCTCGATATTCTGTATTGGCACTCGACTTCGTCTCGTTCTCTGCTCGAGAATTCCGTATTGGAACGAGACGAAGTCGAGTGCCAATACAGAATATCGAGACAGAATATATCCTGTATTGCACTTCAAGTCATTCAATAACTTATAGTATTATACCGTAAACTGGATTCGGATGTTCACTCTACTATACCTCACCCCTAGAAATGCCATCGTGGTAAGCCACGCCCTCTCCACCTCTATCCTTCTGGAGTGAGTATCAGAATGTAGAAAAATATACTCTGTTTGTCTAATTGCATTGTATTTTTGAAAGTACCTTATTAACATCTAACTTTCAACAGATAAACCATTAATAAGGAACAGACAAATAAGAACAAATAACATAATTATTACTAATAAGCCAAATGGGTTGCTAATGAACACTAAATGCAAGGTATAGTAGAGTGATGTTTATCGATGGAATTCACTGTCTAGTCCAATATATTGGATATTGTTAAAGTGAACGGGTGCACGTGGAACCGAAAGTAATAATAGTGTTGTCTTTCGGCTCGCGGAACGGAGGAACCGAGGTCTGTTGTCATGAATGGATAAATACATACCATTGAAAAGAGAAGATTGTTTCAGAGTAAAATAAATGAAATTGATATTTCATATTACCATACCACGTGTAATAAATTTATTGTAGACATATATAGATGTCACAGCTATCAACAAGCTCATGAACATAAAGTCGGGAGACTGAATCCTCACAGTTGCTGCAAGCGGTAGCCATGCCCTGGAGAAACTTCTTGCTGACCCTGAGGAAATCATCGCAGTAGATTTACATGCTGAACAATTGCATCTCGCAAAACTACAGGTAGCTATAATATTTACGCTATATAATTACAATGAACTATCCACATTGGCCCTAAGTGGGTATATTGTAATACATTTACTTTCTCGTCAACGATACGATCTCTTTCACATCAAATTGCTTACATGGAAATTACACTATGGTACCTTCGATACTGTTATCCATGATGGGCCGTTGTAAATCACTTGGTGAAATCGTTAAAATAATATATAAAAAGATGTTTTATTTTCGGATATTTGTGTAAAAAGATGCGTAATAATACAGTATTTCCATTCAGTATTGTAATTATTATATTATATTATGAAGGAAAAAATATAATCAGCATAATATACTACATTATTTAGAGATTAATATAATATAATTAGAAATAAGTGAGATCAAAATATATTATTTGTACATATAAACATTTACCAAATCCGATTATCTCAATAAGAAAATGTAGCAGAATGTTTTATTCCCGGTATAATATTCTTTTTTAGAATTATTTGCGCCAATTTATATTTATTCTGTCTTTCTAAAATATTATTTGGTCATATTTATCGTTCCAAACTGATGATTGCAGTCTATTTAGATTTTTTTCTATTCTAAAAAATATTATTTTCTAGTATTTTCCAATCTAAGCAGAATATATCAAATTATATTGTATTATTTGGGTTCTAAAAAATATTATACTCGATTATTCTCGTCCAACTTGATGTACAATCCATCTGGTTAATTACTTAACCAAACAAAACAAAGAATGCACAGCATGGCAGTTAATAGGATTAACCGTTCTACTGGCCTTCTCATCTCTATTACTTACACATGTCACACATATTTTATTTTGACTGTTCTATTTCTATTTGAAAAATATTTACAAATAAATGTTTAGAAGAAAGAAATTTAACTTGTTGTAAATTAATGTTAACAATGGAGTAAAAATGTGAAAAAGTCATCATTTAAAAATCAAATAATTAACTTTCCAATGAGTAAAATCGATTCAATCCAAATTTTAACACAATGTTAATCATAGAAAGAGGGATTTTATACAATTAAACAAATATGAAGAACTTAATTTGCAAATTATTATTTTTGTGGAGAATAAAACAATCGGCTCTAGATATTAATCCATTCACTCTAACAAACGGATTAACTCTAACAATCGGATTAGTTATCAGTGAACAAAACTCATTTCATAGAAATTGAAAAAACTTAGAAATTAAAGTATTACTTATATTGCCCTGTCATCAATACATGTACATGTATGTGAATGGTGAAAATCTTCATGATTTTGAAAGCATTGTTGGCCAAGGGGAGGGGATCGTTACTCGTTAGGTACGGGCCTGTATAAAATGCGTAATGTTTTTAGCTAAAATTTGAGCAGTTCTGTGTCAAGACTATTTTTGTGGTTGGCAGAGTGAACACGGGTGGTTGTTTGTGCCTGTGTAAGAGTGGCGCTTAAATGTTGTTTGTTGTTAACTTGATATGGCAGAGAAACAATGGAGTAAAAAATGTGAGGAAACCCATTGATTAAAAATTAACTTTCGTTGAGTCAATCAATTTAATCCAAATTTTAACACAATGTTAATCATAACATAATGGACATTATAGAATCAAATAAATATGAAAAACTTGGTTTTTAAATTATTTTTTTGTGGAACTTAGAACTGTTGGCTGTAGGAAATTAATCCATCGCCTCTAACAAACGGATTACCTTTCAGTGTTAACAAATCTCATATTAAAGAAATTGAATAATTGGGGTTTAAAGTTTTACTTATCATATTGCTCTGACATACATGTACTGTATGTCAACATGTTATTTACATCAGTTTGTTCTACCAGGCACCAATTTGCTCAAAGCGTAATCATCGCTATGTCAGATGAAACATTAGGAATAAATGTAAAATGTACACGCTTCTTTATTTTCATTATCAAACAACTAAACATACCGAATGTACATTTGGAAATGGAAAACAAAAAATTAATTAAAACCAGCTTTAATTAAAATGGTCCAATTGTAGTAGAAACAAATGTATTACATCATGGACTAATCTGGTGTTTTATATCCCCAGTTTATATCTCAGATATATGGATAACAGAAAACCCATAAATTGTGAAATGTGAGAGAATACACGTTTTAATTTTGTTTTAGCATGGCTTAACATCACTTGTATCAGTTAACCTAATGTACCTTTCTTATTTATTATCAGCGATTTGCCAGAAGAAATCGGAGCAATACATGTACATCCAATATAATACAGGCTCGGAATAAGTTTTAGCCCAGGGGATCAATTTTCAAAACAAACCAAGGGGTCACACTTGATCATTTTGACCCGAAATCACTTAACAGTGCTCAGATTGGTAAAAAATGTAGGATTTTGAAAGAATTTTGGCAAGGGGGGGATTTACTTCAACCCCCCCCCCTCCCTGGCCATGGACCTATACCAAATTCGTAATGTATTGATATATAGCAGTTTCGTGTCATAAATGTTTTGTGTTGTTTGTGAAATGATTAAAGGGGTTTGTGTCTGTGTAAGAGGGGGCTTTAAGTGTTGTTTGTTGTAAACTTAATTTGACAGAAAAACAATTGAGTTAAATTTTGAGGAAACCCAATAGAGTAAAAATGTGAGGAAACCCGTTGATTAAAAATTAACTTTCCGTTGAGTCAATCAATTAAATCCAAATTTTAACACAATGTTAATCATAACATAAGGGACATTATACAATCAAATAAATATGAAAAACTTAATTTGCAATTTACTTTTCAGTTGAAATTAGAACCATTGGCTGTGAAAATTAATCCATTAACTCAAACAAACAGATTATTTATCAGTGTGAACAAAACTCAAATCATGGAAATTGAATAATAAGGGATTAAAGTTTGACTTATTATATTGCTCTGGAATGTCAATACATGTATGTGAATGGTGAAAAACTACATGATTTTGACAGAATTGTTGGCCACGGGGAGGGGGTCCTATGCTACAGGTCTGTATAAAATGCGTAATGTGTTTATTGAATATTGAACAGTTCCCTGTCATGACTGTTTTTCCGGTTGACAAAGTGAATACAGGTGGTTGTTTGTACCTGTGTAAGAGGGGATCGATTTAAATGTTGTTTGCTATAAACTTAATGTGACAGAGAAACAATGGATTAAAAATGTGAGGAAAACAAATTAATTCAAAATTCAAAATTAACTTTACAATGAATTAATTGATTGAATCAAAAATTTAACACAATGTTAATCATAACATGAGGGACATTATACAATCAAATATGTATGTAAAAACTTATTTTGCAAATCATTTTTGTGGACACACCATCCCTGGCCAGGCCTTCATGATCACACTTAGTCAGTGTGTAGCAGGTAACCTGATACCTAGCTACTGATCTTGGCTAGCCTTCATTCTGCTGCTGTTGCTAAGCAACTAGTGGCATCAAAATGGCTGCCACTATTTCTCATCTTGTATACTAGTATTGCATTTTGATTTCCCCCTATCCCAGATAATCTATTTGCCCCTCTAAGAAGTTGAACTGAGTCCCAGATAGTTCATAGAAATTATCTTTAATTTATATCTGACATCTGGCTTGTGGTTCAACTACTTATGTAAGATCAAATCCTAGATGGATCATTAAGGAACTTTCTCCAATTAGCTTGATGTGCCCCAACTTTAACCTTGTATAAGTGAACTAAAACCAACTAAAACACTATTAAAATTGTATTAACTTTAAATGTAACATCTTCTGATCATGAAAAGGTAAGTTTCATCAGGATTTACTTGGTTTTACATCAATAATTTTACTTCTAAACTACACACCCTCACACAACCTTACACGCATTTTGGATAATATAACGGCTAGCTATTAGCACTAAAAGGATACATTATGGAAGGCCATAACAAAGATGCACATAGAAAAGCATTGGATTATCTCTGTAGGCTTTGTGGAGACAAAAACCAAATACGGCGCAAAAAGTATAGTGCAAAATCATGTGTACTGATTCAAAATGAACTTGTGATTGTATGCCCTGATGTAAATCTTGACAATGATGTTCCGGACAAGCATCCAAGTAAAGTATGTCAGAGATGCTATAATGCTATGAAACAGTTTAAATATAAAGGGAAAATAGATAATAGACTTAAAGAAGTTATTCAAAATACAAACAAAATGTGGAATTCTGTGGAAATCAATGAAACTACTTGTACTATTTGTGAGCTATACTCTCAGAATGTCAAATCATTTAAGCGTAAACAACAGGAAGACCAAATGGACATAACCTTCAATGAGAATGAAATAACTATCCAGAGTACTCCTAAAAAACAATGTCTAGACAGTTCAGCAATAGGCACTTCCATGACACCTGGCAGGGGCCGGGATGCATGTATAAGCGAACTTCTCAGAAAGCCTATTGATATGCCATTCACAAAACTAGAAGAACACTTGCTCACTCATCTCGTACGCAGAAAACTAAATCAATCATCTATCAAAGACCATCTTGTTTGTAAAACCAAAGGCAAGGTAAGAACAATTAAACAATTATTTATTAATTTTGATTAAGTTCTAACAACTCTTATCTGGCCCTTGATCCTATTATGAAAAGCCCATTAACTCTTCAAGTGCATCTCTTGTTTAATCATTTTATGACTGTAGTAATTTAGGGGTTATAAAGTCATTAGATTTTAATCATAGATAATAAACTTATTTCAGCCCCTCATCTTCATGAAAATAGAGAAATCTCAAGTATCCAGTGAAAAAGCATCATCTCCTTTAAAACGTAAAAGAGCGCGTAAAATAAAAAAATGCAGAAAAGTGATTGGTGGTGATAATAATGAGTCAATGTTACATCAGATGTCTAAAGAAATTCTCAATGAATCCAGGAAAAAGAAACAAAAGGACATGCTGACATTTCTAACAAAATTGAGATCGAATAAATTAAATACAAGACAAACTGTTTCAATGAAAAGTGCTGCAAGGTTATCATATGGTCAGATGAAAATCATAACAAGACATTTACGAGATGCAAACATAAATATTGAGAGTCAGAATAATCAAATTCACTACAAGAAATCCTTAATGAAAAAACTTAAAGTTAAAGGAAAGTTAATGGATTTTCTTCAAAGGGATAAAGATGCTCCTGGGGCCAAAAAAGGAATGGTTTACAAAAAACTACCAATGGCATATATTGGGAACTTACAAAAGTATCTCAATGACCACCTTGACAAAATGGAACAGTATAACACATTGTGTTTAGACCACCCTGTCATACCTAATAGTGAATTATGGGTTAAAATCGGTGCTGATCATGGTGGGAAAAGTTTTAAAACATCCATCCAGGTGCTCAATACACCTAATCCAAACGCAACTAACAACTGCCTTGTTTTTGCGATGTTTTGCGCAAAAGACAACAGAGATAATCTGGAAACTGCTTTGAAAAGATTTGACACTCACATTAAAAAATTGAAATCAATGACATGGCATGGGAGAAGAATTCGTCTATTTTTATGTGGAGATTATGAACTCCTCACCAAAGGCATGGGGTTGTCTGGGCCAGGTGGCACTTTCTCATGTTTGTATTGCCATATCAACCACAACGATTACAGTATACCGAGACAGGTACGGAAAAAATCAACAGAACGAACTCTTGAAACATTGAAACATAACTTTGAATTATATTGTACAGAGGCAGACTGTAACAAATCTAAAGCAAAACATTATATGAATGTGATTGCAGAACCTTTGTTTGACATTGAAATTAATCATGTCTGCCCCCCATATCTTCACATCATGCTAGGAATTGTTTTAAGACACCACAATATTTTAATCAGTCAATGCAATTCCATTGACAGAATTATTGGCCGAGGAATAGCCATGGATAACATGCTGGCACCAAACAAGTCTGACACTCCATTTGGGACATATGTTGGAAAATGGGGGAAAATCATAGATCAACAAAATACATTACAAAGTATGAAAAAAGGAAAAGCACGTAAACTTCTGAAAGATAAAATTCGAGAAGAAAAGAGTCTTTTGACTCTTAAATCAGAGTCTGGTCCTGTTGCAGCGGAACTTGACAATGTTTTAAAAAGACATAATATAAAAAGGGCTGCATATCATGGAAAGAGCTTAGAAGGAAATCATTGCAATAAGTACCTAAAAAAGGAAGTCTATGAAGACTTAGCAAACGAAGTTGTCAGGAAAACACAACATTTATGTCAAAATCTGAGTGTAGAGAAAAAGGCTCTTGACAAAGCATATTCGACCAGAGACAAGATTATCAAAATCAATGAAGCATTTTCCCTGATCCATACATCAGTAAGTCATTGTGAAACAATAGAATCTTCACTCATTCCAACTATTCAAAATCACATAGACAATTACATGCAACAATATAGGACATTGTTTCCAAATATCAAAATAATACCGAAGCAGCATATTTTGGAAGACCATATAACACCATGGATACAAAAATTCAAGTGCGGAATGGGACTCCATGGAGAGCAAGGGGTTGAATCAACCCATAAAATATTTAATGAACTTGACAGGAGAATGTGCAGCATCAGAAATCCGTTAAATCGCCTGATAACCACAATGTCCGAACATCTCCTCAACTGTCAACCCGAAATTAGCACCGCAAACCCAATTATTAAGAGACGGAAAGCTGTGAAGAAAGCTCAATAGAACATTGTGAGTATATATTTTAATTTAAAGTTACAAGCATTTGTATTAAGTACACAAACACGCATTCACACACATAAATATGCCCAAGTATTATAACCTATTACTAATAACTTGATATTAATAATTTATATTTAGGCTCCAGTTTTTTAATCTGGAGGCTATTACATGTATTAGGCTATTTGTTTGAAAAAGATGCTCAGTTGTAGGTTATTATTCAATCCATGAATTTGAAAGACAATATGCATGCATGTAGGTACTATATTCTCCCCACAAGAACTGCAGTGTGAACATGTTAATTAAACCCAAGACAGTGTCTTTAAGTGCTATCTAATTACCATGAAAGCTGGAGTGGTAATTACCCTATGAGTGATAAGCTGTTTAACTGGACACCAACAGCTCCACTGGTGGCTGTTAATTACACTACAACTAAGTGTGCTAGTGCAGGGATGGTGTGTGGAATTAAGAGCCATCAGCTGTAGAGATTAATCCATTAACCATAACAAACAGATTAATTATCAGTATGAATGAAACTCATTTCATAGGAATTGAATAATTAGGGATTAACGGCTCGAAAATAACCGCGTATAATAGGTTTTTGATTGCAAATGCCAACATATTATTTGCTCCTGACAGGAATATTATTCTGTATTATTTGGCATTATATGTTGTTCCCTTTAAATAATACACGAATAATATTATTAAATCAAAAATAATTCTTAAAAATACGTATTATATTTTTTTCCGTTATAATAAAAGAAATAACTGCCTATTATACAGGAAAAAATATTCTCTACGATTCTCTCTTAATGCAACTTATTTAGCAGTATATTAAACATTTTATTCTATATTGTTTTTACTTTTTTTACCAAGTGAATAATCTAGGGTTTTGAAAATCCATGACAATTTATACTACACATTTTTGCTACATTAAATATGCCTGTGCACATTGACGTTAATTTGTATATCATCCGGGAGTGTGCCTTTTATTTATACTAACACAATGAGCAACGCCAACAACGACTGTAAATTAAGCCAAACTTTATTGTTTATACGCCATTTGCAATCTACATACATGGATTTCTTGTTATATAGACCTGCGGAATAAGGCATCTGAACAGAGGAGATTTCTGTAAATTCATGGGGGTGAACAGAAAAGCGTGGCAGCCTTCAGAGCGAGTGTCCATCTACAACACGATACGTCCGAATTTAGATACCGAAACAATGACATTCTGGGATGAAAATCGTATGTTGATAGAAAAGGGCATTCTCTATTGCAGTGACTTAGAATTATCATTAATGCAGTTGAGTGATATATTAATTCCGAATATCCACGAACGTAGAACCGTATCCGAATTCCTTGCCTTGGGTGATGACATGGAGAAACAGATCGACTTCTTTGAAACAGTTTGGAATACGCCACAATGGAGACGTGTTTACACACATATACGCAGTCTTGCAGCATCATCAGCGGTTCTGCCGGAAGTCGATTACGCACAGGCGTGTTTAAACCACTTTGAGAAGACAATACGAAACATCCCAAATAATAAGAATCATTTGCTCGAGTTTTTGCTGACTGGAGAAATAGAAGGAATGTGTTTACCCCCATATTTAAGAGACGGGAATTATGAGTTCATAAAGTCCCGGCTCGATAGAATACAATGGCTGGAGTCTGATCTGCTGACATACGTAGGTAACTACGCGAAGCAAGGCCAACCAAAGTTTGATGGAATCAACTTCTCTTCAATTTTGAATTACCAAAGTGCAGCCAAGTTACAAGATTTATTTCATAATGCAGCCAAGATTTGTCACCCTGGAGCAAAACTTGTATATTACAATCTACCTGCGGTTAAAGCGAGGATTCCCTTCGATGTATGGGATGGTATGAAGCTAATATGCGAAGACGAGAAGAATTGGAAAGACACCAACAGTATTTACTTTCTTCCAGCTGTGACGACTGTCCATTGAAGTTGATCGGTTGTTTCTTTTCGACCTGTGTTTTAACATTTTTGGTTAAACCCCATTTGACAGTGTTTGCACGCCATATTGACTGGAGGTTTGCATATTGAGTTTCACCACTTATATACCCATCTACTTACCAAAGGAAAAGTCCCGAATCCCCCTCTTTCAGTGTTAATTTTGCGATTGTGCTGGCCGATCTAATTATTGTCGAAGAAATTAATTCAATCTGAAGTTTGAATATACCGGGAAAGTCCTCCTGTTATCTGATTGGTTGTTGAATTTGTTTATCATAAACCTGATTAGCTGCCTGGTTCAAGGCGCTTGTGGGCGCTTGTGTGACTCAGTGGAGATTCCCCTCACTAGCCGAGGAATCGATTGTGTTTAATTCTGGAGTTTGGTTGTTCTGTTGATATTTCGGCAATTATATACCCAAAAGTTATTCTCAGGATATATCCATGGTATGTGAGATATTATATGAGCAATAACAATAGGACCTCATTGATTGTCTGGGGGAGAAACCTATTGCATAATACATCTTTAAGGTATGTAAACAAATCCATTTTAATTCCAAAATTATTTCTCCTAAAACTAAGACTTTATGTTTATAATAGCAATAATTGCCTATGCACAGCTTACAAACCAAACTAAAAATGTATGTTGATGTAAATGTATATACTATAATATAATATAATTCCCAATGTACAGCTCACATATCAAGACTTTATGTGATAATAAGCTTTGATTCTCAACGTACACCTAACAAACCAAACTAAAAATGTATGTTGATGTAAATGTATATACTATAATATAATATAATTCCCAATGTACAGCTCACATATTAAGACTTTATGTGATAATAAGCTTTGATTCTCAACGTACACCTAACAAACCAAACTAAAAATGTATGTTGATGTAAATGTATATACTATAATATAATATAATTCCCAATGTACAGCTCACATATCAAGACTTTATGTGATAATAAGCTTTGATTCTCAACGTACACCTAACAAACCAAACTAAAAATGTATGTTGATGTAAATGTATATACTATAATATAATATAATTCCCAATGTACAGCTCACATATTAAGACTTTTTGTGATGGGAGCTTTGAAAAGGATCCGTACCTAATAGTGTACCTATAAGAAAATTATTGAAAAGGGTAAAATGGAATTCCAGAATTATTTTTATGCAATTTGAATCTTTATTAATTTTCAACAAATCACAAAAATAGTGTGAAGAATATGGTAAAAAGGTGTTTTAACAGTGATTCTACATGCATATTTGGTTCGAGTATTGACTCATTTTGGCAAAAACAATCGGTAATCATGTGGGCATTTGTCATACAAAAATAACTTCTTTAAATGCCTCACTAAATCCAAATGTCACGCTCGGTGATCGTACAAAATTGATGGAGGGGGGATTAGGCGATTTCTGCAAGAAAACTCAAAAAATTGGAAGATTTATTTTTTCAAGAGAAAATTAACAACTGAATTGCCAAATAAATAGGCGCAGTGCATTGAAAAAGGTGTAAGGCCATCTAGTATTTGTTGAACTGATACCCTTCTACGATATGAGATCTATTAAAAAGGCGCATCATCACGAACGTGCAAAAGTCAATGTTTTTGCTATAAATCGGGCAACAATGGTCTACACGACCTGTAATAAATAGGTGTATGAGGAACGTTATTATCACAATACCAATGACATTGCTCACTTATAGATCTCATATCTTAGAAGGGTATCAGTTAAAAAAAATACTAGATTGCCTATAAAATATTTTGCCATGCACTGCGCATATTAATTTGGTAATATAGTTGTACATTTTCTGTGGAAAAAAAAATCTTACAAATTTGTTGAGTTTTCTTGCAGAAATCGCCTAATCCCCCTCCATCCATTTTGTACGATCACCGGGGATGAATGTAAGGCTCGCTGACTAGTATTTTGTGTGAATCTATCCCAAGTAATTCCTGGGTCACATTTGCTCCGATCCATCAGCCGGTGCCCGGCTGATTGAGTGTTTTGCTCAATATTGAATACAATTTTGAACAAAATACTCAATCTGCCGGGCACCGTAGTGAAAATCGTAGCAAATCTGACCGTGGCATGATACCCAATGTGTAGCTCACAACCACATTATGAATAAATATGGATGAATCCAAAAGTCGCAATTCCCAATCTATTTAACACACTAACAGTTTTTGTGGATGTATCCATGATAATTCCAAGTGTATAGCTCACAAACTAGGATTTTGTATGAATATATCAATTATGATTCCCAATCTATAGCTCACGAACAAAAGAACTAAGAATTATGGAAACAAACAACTGTGTTATATGTAGACACTTTTGAAAATACACGGGGTGGTGAAACAAGGATTACGCCTGGTAATATACGAACTATTCAGAAAATATGATAATATGCATTTTTGTAACAAAATGTTCAATTATAGATTATACAATAAATCAACCAGAAAACACTTTCAAACGTGTCGCCATAGTGACAACTTTTGTGAAAATAAGTGAAGCAACATATTACATTATAAAAGTACATCTCATATTTTCTTTTCTAAATGTCATAAGCATAATCTACGTTGCTCTGTCCAGTATGATTTAATACAAGGACTGTGGATTGCAGAAATAAAATATATTTTTGTTTATCAAAAAAAAAACGTATGGAATCGCAAAAACTAAAAACTCGTCATTTTTCTATACGTCTTTTTTTGTCAGTTGTAGCTCAAATATCAATATTGACGTTCGTACAGACAAATCGCACCCGAAGCAAACACTGCGATATGATTAATTTCAAAGAAATACTTCTTCGAATATAGATTTGAAAATCTAGTATCGTTTGCGACAGACCGTAAGGAACATATCTTTACAATCAAATATGCCATCTTGACAAAAAAACGGTGGCAATTCAAAGTTTGCTGTTTGTAGAATGTTAAACCCCGCCTCGTCTAAGGCAATGGCGTTATCTTCTGGTGTTTGTGGATCAACAACCTTAAAGAAAACTGAGCCACATTTCCAATTACAACATCCGGGGCCGTTTGAGAACTGAACGAAAAATCCACCAGATTTGACAAGAGCTGATGCATTTTTCAAACGCTGTTTGTAGGTCGAGCCTTCGGCACAGTCTAGCATGAGACTACTGCCGACTACATCAAATGTAGCGTTAATTGGAGCAATAGGATTAAGAAGAAGCGCATCGCATGGAATAACACTCTTAACCTTGCTTCTAATAGATAATTTCCTTTTCTCGATCGCAATCTTTATGTCTTCAGCGCTGTCCCTGGAATATCCAAAATGCATACTAATCATTATGGTGTGCTAAGGGTGCTAGTGGTGACATGAATTAAACAATATGGAGGTTAATCTAGGCTACGGGTTTTCAAGAGAGGTTGTGTGTGAACGTATAGGCGTATTGTCTCGTGGTGATATGTAGTATACAATTTTGTAATATATACTTGCCCGATCATGTATAAAATATAAGTTAAGAAGTTGTAATTGGTGCCATATACAGGGTGGGCCAAAAAAATTTGCAACCTTTTTAGAAGGCAAAAAAAGTATCATAACATTATGGTATTGACATGAAATTTTTTTTACAGAAACTTAAGGATAGGCATATTTTACCATTCAAATACTTAAGCTAATACTGACTTCAATTTTTTTTGTCAGATGTTTGAATATTAATGGTAAATTGTTCATGTGTCCGAGATTTATCGATTTTCCTAGAAAATGTGATTTTCTATAATTTTATATGATCATCGATAGAACATTTATTATGTTCACTAAATCTGCTGCAATCTTTGTTAAGTGGTGTATTGGGCGGCTATTCATCAGGACTAATGAATCAAGGGGTATTTTGCTCCAGATATTCCATAGTGACCTTTGGCCTATGGTCAGGAGCGCTATCCTGCTGGAATATGTAATCACTTTGGGCTGAAAGAGCCCCCATTCTTGAAAGATGTCCCTTTTGAAGAAGATTAGTCCTGAGTCGAATGGCCACCCAATACACCAGATCCCAACCCCTGGGACTATGACACATGGGGGCACCTGGAGCAATGTATTGTAGTTAATGGTTATACCCCACAAATTATTGATCAACTATAAGAAGTTCTGCAGGATAAGTGGAGATGACTACCACAAGAACTGCTGAATCTCGCCATTGACCAGTTCAGTTCTCGTCTCCATGTGATTGTGAAGGTGAAAGGTGGATGCATAGAACATTTGTTTAATAAATAATTAATACAGTGTAACAATATTACCATAGTGACTAGATACTGATATAAACCTGTACTAGACATTGGTTAAACAGTTATCAAAGATTGTAGCAGATTTAGTAAACATAATGAATGTGTTATTGTTGATCACATAAAATCATAGAAAGTCAAAAATAATTCTTAAAAATACGTATTATATTTTTTTCCGTTATAATAAAAGAAATAACTGCCTATTATACAGGAAAAAATATTCTCTACGATTCTCTCTTAATGCAACTTATTTAGCAGTATATTAAACATTTTATTCTATATTATTTTTACTTTTTTACCAAGTGAATAATCTAGGGTTTTGAAAATCCATGACAATTTATACTACACATTTTTGCTACATTAAATATGCCTGTGCACATTGACGTTAATTTGTATATCATCCGGGAGTGTGCCTTTTATTTATACTAACACAATGAGCAACGCCAACAACGACTGTAAATTAAGCCAAACTTTATTGTTTATACGCCATTTGCAATCTACATACATGGATTTCTTGTTATATAGACCTGCGGAATAAGGCATCTGAACAGAGGAGATTTCTGTAAATTCATGGGGGTGAACAGAAAAGCGTGGCAGCCTTCAGAGCGAGTGTCCATCTACAACACGAAACGTCCGAATTTAGATACCGAAACAATGACATTCTGGGATGAAAATCGTATGTTGATAGAAAAGGGCATTCTCTATTGCGGTGACTTAGAATTATCATTAATGCAGTTGAGTGAAATAGGTGTATGAGGAACGTTATTATCACAATACCAATGACATTGCTCACTTATAGATCTCATATCTTAGAAGGGTATCAGTTAAAAAAAATACTAGATTGCCTATAAAATATTTTGCCATGCACTGCGCATATTAATTTGGTAATATAGTTGTACATTTTCTGTGGAAAAAAAAATCTTACAAATTTGTTGAGTTTTCTTGCAGAAATCGCCTAATCCCCCTCCATCCATTTTGTACGATCACCGGGGATGAATGTAAGGCTCGCTGACTAGTATTTTGTGTGAATCTATCCCAAGTAATTCCTGGGTCACATTTGCTCCGATCCATCGGCCGGTGCCCGGCTGATTGAGTGTTTTGCTCAATATTGAATACAATTTTGAACAAAATACTCAATCTGCCGGGCACCGTAGTGAAAATCGTAGCAAATCTGACCGTGGCATGATACCCAATGTGTAGCTCACAACCACATTATGAATAAATATGGATGAATCCAAAAGTCGCAATTCCCAATCTATTTAACACACTAACAGTTTTTGTGGATGTATCCATGATAATTCCAAGTGTATAGCTCACAAACTAGGATTTTGTATGAATATATCAATTATGATTCCCAATCTATAGCTCACGAACAAAAGAACTAAGAATTATGGAAACCAACAACTGTGTTATATGTAGACACTTTTGAAAATACACGGGGTGGTGAAACAAGGATTACGCCTGGTAATATACGAACTATTCAGAAAATATGATAATATGCATTTTTGTAACAAAATGTTCAATTATAGATTATACAATAAATCAACCAGAAAACACTTTCAAACGTGTCGCCATAGTGACAACTTTTGTGAAAATAAGTGAAGCAACATATTACATTATAAAAGTACATCTCATATTTTCTTTTCTAAATGTCATAAGCATAATCTACGTTGCTCTGTCCAGTATGATTTAATACAAGGACTGTGGATTGCAGAAATAAAATATATTTTTGTTTATCAAAAAAAAAACGTATGGAATCGCAAAAACTAAAAACTCGTCATTTTTCTATACGTCTTTTTTTGTCAGTTGTAGCTCAAATATCAATATTGACGATCGTACAGACAAATCGCACCCGAAGCAAACACTGCGATATGATTAATTTCAAAGAAATACTTCTTCGAATATAAATTTGAAAATCTAGTATCGTTTGCGACAGACCGTAAGGAACATATCTTTACAATCAAATATGCCATCTTGACAAAAAGACGGTGGCAATTCAAAGTTTGCTGTTTGTAGAATGTTAAACCCCGCCTCGTCTAAGGCAATGGCGTTATCTTCTGGTGTTTGTGGATCCACAACCTTGAAGAAAACCGAGCCACATTTCCAGTTACAACATCCGGGGCCGTTTGAGAACTGAACGAAAAATCCACCAGGTTTGACAAGAGCCGATGCATTTTTCAAACGCTGTTTGTAGGTCGAGCCTGCGGCACAGTCTAGCATGAGACTACTGCCCACTACATCAAATGTAGCGTTCATTGGAGCAATAGGATTAAGAAGAAGCGCATCGCATGGAATAACATTCTTAACCTTGCTTCTAATAGATAATTTCCTTTTCTCGATCGCAATCTTTATGTCTTCAGCGCTGTCCCTGGAATATCCAAAATGCATGCTAATAATTAATGGTGTGCTAAGAGTGCACGTGGTGACATGAATTAAACAATGGAGGTACAACTAAGCTACACGTTTTCAACAGAAGTTGTGTGTGATCGTATAGCAGGCGTGTTGTCTCATGGAGATAAGTATACAATTTCGTAGTATATACTTGCCCGATCATGTATAAAATATAAGTAAAAAAGTTGTTTTAAGGGCCAATATATACATATATCAAAATCAAATAAAATCAATTGAAAGAGACGACCAGGTGAATAAAATTTCAATACGGGAACGAGCAGGTAAATCCCATTTTTTGTCGAAGGATTTAACAGTTCATTCCCTTGTGTTATTAGCTGAAAAGTAATAAATGATAATAAAATAGAATAAACGAATGTATTATTCATCTCTAATATAATATTGACCTCTAAATGACATATATCTTGTTTTATCTTAACTCTGAATATATTTGTCAAGTCAGAAGAGTTTAGCAAGAGTCTGATAATAGCGAAGACCAGAACAGCTTGGCTTTCACACAAGCATGCCATTTTTGTATCTGTTCACTTAATAATAATATCGACCCAGTTCTAATGTTACATTGATGCATATTTACCTATTATTATCCAATCTGATCAGATGTTCTATGTAGCTGTCCCAACTGATGGCATCTTCGTCGTCATTTAGCCATTTCGTCAACTCTCGCCTATTCTGAGGTAACATCTCGGCAATTGTGATCTCGTTGACAAACGGGCTAATTGCAGCTACGGAGTGAAGAGTTGGACCCGCCCCATATTCAAGATATGTATTGCCTTTTATCACACCTATCATAAAGAAAAACTGTTGTAAACAGCAATCCGTTTCTTTTTCGAAGAATGTCTCACTCAATCAATAAAGCGTCATGGCCAAATATGTTTTAGGTTAAACGGAATGCTTGGTAACCCTACTATCACACCAAACTAGTTCTCACTACGTTCTCGAAAACGGGCTTAAACTGTGCACGAACGGATTTGACGTACTAAGAACCCACTAAGAACCGTTTGGGATCTGTTTACAAACTTCATGAAACTCATAGAACGAGTAGGTCCTCCAGAACTTAGAGAATGCTCAAAATTTTCTGGTGATCGTCAAAACGTTGCCGAATCGGTTTTAAACTGTGTGCGAACTGAATGAACGTAGCTGCAACATCTACGGTCTGTTTACGAACTTCATGGACTTTCCCGGAAGGGAATGTGATTTAGAATTTTGAATCGATTCAAAATTCGATGGCGACCATACCGTTCTGTAATCAGGTCATGATGACCTTCTAGACTAAGGGACGCGTTATACGACGTTGCACACCGATGTGGTGCGACCTGAACGAACTGCGAATGAGATGGACGTATTGAAGACTGTTTATGAACGAAGCAGCTAATTATTTTAGACATATTTCCCGACCACAGCCAGATTGAGCCCGTTTTACGACGTTTTCGTAAGACTGGCAAGAACGGGTAAGAACTAGTTTGGTGTGATAGTTAAAATTTAGTTAATTATTTAAATAGTAACTACAAGGTATAAGGTTGTGAAAAACAAAATGTATGTTATTGTTGAGAGAAATGAAAGATTGTACAAAAGGATTTTTGACAATTGTTGAAAGACCCGAATCACGTGTATACACTAAATGATTTTGACCAAGGAATCGATAAAGTCTAGATTATTTAAACCGCGTGGTATTATCAAATGAGGGCGGTACCTCGAATTTAAAGTCTAGGATACAAGACAAGGGTGCATATATATTCATTGCCATTGAGTCATATGTTCTAATTATTTAGATGGATTGTAATTTGTAAACGATTTTGTACAGCATCTGACATTTGCAAGGCAACTTTTTTGCAAGGACTTTGGACGGTTTGACATTTTGACCTGCATAAGCACCAGACTTGCTGTTTTTATGTGAATTCATACGTTTTACTGCCAATCTAAAATTAAAGAAATAGATAATGGTAACAATTCCACCTGATATTTTTGAAAAAGGAATAACCTAGTTTTTTGATAGTCATATTCAAATATTTATTAGACCATGCATTTTACTGGATAACTGTATATTTATGTTTTGTAATTCATTTTGTGAGGAAACCAATTGTTTGTCTTGAAACACCAAAAAAGTCTTGAATCTTGAATCTAAGAATAGCCATAAACCATGTTGTAAAATTAAGAATGCATATTTTTAGAAATAAAGTTTAAACTGGGCTATCCTACCTGTTGTGAATAATTCGTGTAGTTTATCGGGATAGAATGACATATCAGTTCCTGCCCAGTCTTTTACGTAATCCACCGGATTGAAATGCATCGCATAATCCGTTTTTGAAAACATAGTACAAGTTTAAAATGTTGCACTGTAGACGAAAGCGTTACATGACCTAGTCACATTAAGAGTTTACTCTCCAACGGATAACTAAATTCCTTCACGCATATTCCTTCCACAAAATGTGTACGAACGTTCCATTTGAGAACTTTTGGTTTGATTTAAACGTTGAATTCACGGATTCGTAAATCTAGTAATTGCCTTTATAGCTAGTTTCTTTAATGATGTTGTTTTCATTTACTTGACGTTTCGGTGATTTACTTGCTACTGTTTAATTATAAATACGAGGATTGAGGTGCGTTAGAGGATAGATCAGATTTGTTGTGTAGGGAACCTTCCTAGTTCCCTTACAAAATACAGTAACAATTGAATCATATAAAATGCTCATTGTCTTATATTCTTGTGCATAAATCATTGCAAGTTAAGTACTACTTAACATAAACGGGGAACTCATTACAACTGTTTTTCTTACACCTTCATACTCAATGGCCAATTAGAGGCCAGTGAGGTGAAATAGACCACATGAGACATACTTTTACACGTCTCACCTACTCGTTCTTCAAAACAGTTCCACCCCCCCCCCCCCCCCCCCCCCGTAATGTGCATTCCACTTAAACTGTTCGCCTTTTGTAGTTTCCTTGTTTAGAATGATAGTCCTATAATAAGTCGTTCATACAAATATAAAGTTAACCATCGGTTTTGCTAACATACTAAAAGTCACGCTTTAATCCCCTCAGCCGCTTTTTTAACACTTGGGAAAGAAACTACAATACAAAACAAAATCATATTTTGCGACAGACGATGAGAAGCATTTCTTTTCCATCATACTTGTAATCTTCGTAAGGTGGCAACTTCAAGCAATCTGTTTCAAGTACATTGAATCCTGCCTCATTCAATGCCACAAGGCAATCATCAAATGTCTGCACCTCTGGACATTTAAAGAAAGTGTTACCACACCGCCATTCGGTCGCCGGAGCTCCTGCTACGAACTGAATAAAATATCCGCCAGATTTGACCAGATTGGATGCATTTTTGATACGTTCTCTGTACGTCGATCCCAAAGCGCATTCTATTGTGAGACTTGTCCCCACTACGTCGAATGTAGCTTCAATAGGAGTTAAAGGGTTGGGAAGAATAGCATCACAGGCAATGACGTTCTTCACTTTGCTTCTCATCAAAGTTTTCCTAATATCAATACTAGCTTCAGTTACTTCAGTGCTGAAAATATTAAGATAAACTCATAACTGACTCTTAGTGGGCAATATATTATCCATGATCAATAACCAATATATATAGGTGATTTCATGCTTGATTTTCAAATAAAATTCATATTGAATATCAAGCATGAAATAACCTTTTTATTCCATAATTTGATTTTTGAGAATTCAATGAAAAAGATATTTCAAGAAAATTGAAAAATTAAAAATCTTTGAAAAATTGCAATTTTTTGAAAAATGAAAATTTCTGAAAAAAGTGGAAAAATCAAATATTTGGGAAAAAATGCTTTTTTAAAAAAAAATAGGGACAATATGATTTTTTTTCCAGGGACAATATGATTTTTCGAGTATATATGATTTTTTTACAGGGACAATGTGATTTTTCGAGTATATATGATTTTAAGAGGGATAATATGATTGTATTTCCCAGGGAAAACAGTAGTATTATGGAATAAATAAGGGTTATGTACTGGGAGGTTTTGGATACAGGGTTTATCCCAAGGGAAATATGTGTATCTCACGAGGGACCGCAGGGATCGAGGGAGATACAAATATTTCCCGCGGGATAAACACTGTATCCAAAACCGACCGTACATAACTGGTGTATCTCATACTTGAGTGGGTTTTGGGTAGATATAACCTTTGCCACCTTTTTCAAATGACAAGATAGGCCTATACTGTAAAAGCACAATTTATATTTAACATTTTCATAATATTCCTTCAGCTCAATACAATAGAATTGTAACATTTAAACTTTTTGAAAAAATTTTAACTTCTGAAATTTAAATTTTAAATTTTTTTAAACTTTTTTAAACGTTTGAAAAAATTCCCGGGAGCGGGATGGATATATTATATCTGCCCGCATTTGGCCTAGAGCGGGACATATACAATATATCCTGCCCGCTCCTCAGATATGATATATATCCCCGGGTGATATCTACCCCAAACCCACTCAAGTATGAAATACATATCTATATGCAATATTGTAGCATGTTTGAGCTACAGCCCCTTTTTACTATTTTTATTTATTTACTTAATTATATCAATATAATGTAGTACAACAGGTCTGGAAGCCAAGTCAGTACTTGTAAGGTTTAATTACTATTTGAGAGCCAAAGTAGTTTTAAAAAAAATTGCAACATTTATCATAATGCAGTGTTTTTCCTAAGGCAAAATACATCACAGGACCACCGGACTGACAGGTTCTACATTTTTGGCCAGTCCATACCAAAACTCATCGGACATTCGGACCTGTAATGAGTATAAGTAATGAGTGAATTCTGATCGAGAGATAAAAAAAAAAAAAAAAAAAAAATCATATAAACATATATACATATAAGTGATAATGACACCCTAGTGGGTGTATGTCTTATCACAAGCTAAAATATTTAAAAATGGCATATTGTTAGTTACATTTATTATTGATGTTACAAAGTGTCTCAAAGTATAAATTATGTAAGCCAAACTGGGAAACAAATAAAAATAAAAATGATGTACATTATAAAAGATGTAATAAAACATTTTAATGATGTAGAATAGCTAAATGGAAAAAGGTGCATCTGTTAAAAATTTGTACAGGGTACTAATCATAGAGACTAATTACATGTCTTTTGAAGGCTCGCTTAAAAATAAAAATGGTTTTTGAATTTTTGATAACATCTGGAGTTGAATTCCAGATTATTCCCCCTTGAGTTTTAATACTTCGTTTGCCATAGTTGGTTCTAAATTTGGAAATATGAAGATTGTCAGTCTGTCTTGTATTGTGGTCGTGTACCTGCTGATTTGCTTGAAAATAATTGCAAAATAAGTCATTCGGAAAATTGTATAGACGTTTGATGCATTTGTAAGTAAAGATAAGAACATTGAGTTTATAAATATCATTTATTTTCAGTATATTTAGTTGTTTGAGGAAGTCCACATGTACAGTTAGGAGTATCTATAAAATTGAAGTTGCGAGCATATAACTGGGATCAGCTCCTCGACGATTAATGATAATTTCATGACTTCTTGTGATGCTAAGTTGGCTTGTAGTTATATTTTGAAGTTGATCTGAGAAAAGTAATTTTTGTTTCTGTTTGAAGGTTTGAAGAGCTTAACAAAGTTTAATTTTATTTGGTAGGCTAAGCCAGCTAGAAATAGCAGCGGGAACAGCAGACTAGCGATAGGCTTCTGAGCATCGAACAGGTAATATGAATTGATGGAGTTCGCAAAAATCACTACCCCTAGGGCAGAATTTCTCAAAACTTTCATCAATGTATACTGGAATGGGGCCATTAACTATTTTGTACATGAAATTGTTAATTCGCATTTATCTCCGGGTTTCTAATATTGGCCACTGAAGTAGTGAAAGTACTTTTTCAAAACTGCTTCCACGAATGCAGCCAAAACAAAGTAGCGCAGCTTGATAATATACAATTATTGACCTCTCCAGAGGTTTACTGTCAAAATTATATCCCGAGACTGTAAACCGAGACCGTAGGTCGAGGTTTACAGTCTCGGGATATAATTTTGACAGTAAACCGAATGGAGAGGTCTATAATTGTTTTGTTAGTCCGAAGAATATCTTAGATTTTTCTGACCCTTGAAGTTGACTTGAAGTTGGATCCAGACCCTCGAGACAACCATCGCTTTGAAAACATCGTTTGATGCCTTGAATTCAGACTTGGTAATGTCCATCTTAAGTGTCTCTCTGATGTATCGTGCCACTCCCATTTAAGAAGCTGAAATGATTTCAACTTATAAAGTCCACCGTCTTTTTTTCTAATACCAACGTAAAACTTTTTCAAAAAATTATCTACATCTGCTACGGCAGTAAGTTCACTCAATGGAGCTTTGTACAAAGTTTTAGATTTTTCTTCGTATTTTGACTGTCTTTACTCTCTAAGAGACTAATAATATCCTCATCTTCAACATTTTTGAAACGGCTAGTGCTAGCGGCGGCCATTTTATCGTCTGATAATGACGTCATTTTAGTGGAATGCTGGGAATATTATTCACCGGCAATGCATTGCGCGGTGTACAGTTAAAATTATTCACCGCTCGTTGACCAATCAAAATCGAGTATTTCAACTGAGGTACTAACAATATCGTCTGTCTAATCGTTTAAGAAGGTGTTTAGGAGCGTGTTGTATGAAACATGTCCATAGTCAAAATATGGACGAATGAAGGAATCAAAAATTGTTTCAATGTGTTAAGAGAGGTCATCGTATTTTTAAGTATCTTTAATGGACCAAGCAAGCATCTTGCTAAATTTATCAAAAATATAATTTATATGCTGACTATGTGTCAGACAATAGTCAAAAATATATCCAATATGTTTATGGAGATCTTCTCTCTCAATTTCTATATTATTTAGATGAGATGAACTAACATTGTCTAATTTCATTTTTGGTTCGTGAAAAATAATTATACAGCTTTTCCAGGTTTAAATTGTAAGCCCCATTTTCGTGACCAAAGCTCAATATTCTGGAGATTTGAGGTCACAATATTATCAATTCGATGGGGATTCTTAGTGTCAAAGGAAAACTGAAGTAATATATTATCTACATAGATGTAGCACAGTCCGTTTAATATAGCAGGGAGATCATTGATATCAAGGATAAAGAGAATAGGACCAGGCATGGAGCCTTGAGGTACTCCACAGTTTATAAATCCAGATTCAGATGAAACTGATGAGACACCGACAATATTTACAAAAATCTTTCTATCACTAAGATAGGATTTAACAATTTGGAATAACTGAGTGTCTATGGAAACCATATTAAGCTTTTAACTGATGTAATAATATTTTATGTGGAACTTTATCCGACGCAGAAGCGATTTCTAAAACTATTGTTTTTTAGTTGCTTTGGCTTTATCAAAATAATATGAAAGAAAATGCTCCATTGCCAGGAGCTGAGAATGGGTACTATGTCCGGGTAAAAAGTCGGATTGGTGCTTAAAAAGGAGTTCATTATGGTCAAAAGGTGCTTTTTTATTCTGTCAGGATAAAGAGGAAAATGTGCTAAATTCAAATCCGACTTTTTGGTCTGTATATGCAAGGGAGACATAAGCCATGGCTCATTTGAAGGATCTCTTTGTGCTTTTTAAGATAAACAAAAATCTGTGATAAGACCCTTTATCCTGTGGCCTTGCTCATTCGTTTTTAATGGCACCACCAGAAGTTGTAGCCTCCAATGTGTTTGTGGACGGTGTTTGAAGGTCGTGGTCTGATACAAATGGTAGGTGGCAACATTTTACATGTTACTGCCCTGTTACCTTTTAGCATCCAATCGAACATAGCGGCAAATATAGTCGTCCCAGTTTATGACATCTTTTTCATCATCTAACCATCGTGTTAGCGCATGCCTATTTTGGGGTACCATTTCAGCCATAGTTATCTCTTTTACAAACGGACAGACAGCAGCCACGGAATGAAAAACAGGACCCGCCCCATATTCGAGATAAGTATCACCTTTTACTACACCTGTAAATTCAACTATATTTTAAAATCATGGAAGGATGTAAATAATCCCGGGAACCATACTGAATAGAGATTATATGTAATGAATAAACCATTAGTACTATGAATTAGGTGAGTTTGAACGGCGAAGGCCAAAAGCCCGATGCCATTTTTATCCTAAGACCCAGTCACGCCTAACCATCGACAAGGTACAGTCACGTGACATTGACAAAATATACCGTAGTACACTTTTGATGTACTATGTCATTTCCACCATTTTAGATCGCCATTTTCTAGAATGAGGAAGCGAGGAAAGAACTAGCATTGATTTGATCAATATTGTGTCAGTTCATCATCAGGTAGTTGTTGCATTCGATTTGTAATTAAGTTGCAAATATGCATATCTACTTTAAATGATCCTCAGCAACTTCAATATCTTGTTATAGATCTACCCAGCACGTCAGGGATCTCTAAATCTTGACTGAATTTCTCCGACTAACACAACTTGAGATAAGTATACAAATATGCATTCAGAGTTAATGCAAAACCGATTTTTACTTTGGATTCTACTACGAAAAATAGATAATGTATGTTGTCAACTCGAATGTATGTTGTCACATTGGCCTTACAGATCTCAATTCACAGTTAATTTTACAGTGAATGAAATGCTATAATGTACGTGTAATAGAAGGAACTTATTTGATAATAAAGTAATAATATTTAATAGGCATATCAGATATATTTACCCTAATATTTTTTCCGTTAATCCATAAAATTGTCATTGATATGATTAAATGTCAATGTTACTAATTCTTTTTTTGTGTTCCATACCTGGCTTTTGAACTTCTGCACTTTCCAGATATACAGTGTCCCAAAGTATGCCCCCCTCCCTAGGCAGACATATACCAATGTCTCCATAGTATGTGTCATATATCATTTTTAAGCTTATCTAAAGTTACATTGATTTGCCAAATATGATGGTTCAAATGGTAAAAAGTAACAGGCATTTCAAAAATTAGCGTTTTGCCAAAAAGATAGTTCATTTCAGTATCCTGGAAACAGCCCTGATCTGAATGTGACAGAAAATATGGATACCATTCTCGAAGATAGGATGGCTATTGAGGTCTAAAAAGATGACGTTTACGTTTAGGGTAGATACTCCAAGGAAACTCTTCTTATGCCTTAAAAAGGTTTCATGAGGATAACGAAACGCCATATCCCTATTTGAAGCCTGTTTAAGGTCATATATGGAAAGTATTGCTGCTGTTAACATGGCGGCTAAGGAGACACACCGACTATTGTTTTGGTGTAAAACTGACTTTAATTTTGGCCAAACACTAACTTTTGTATTCCTGTAACTTTTTTCCATTTGTGAGTTGAACCATGATACTCGGCAAATTAATATAACTTTGGATGAGCTTTAAAATGATATATGACACATACTATGGAGACATTGGTATATGTCTGCCTAGGGGCCCATACTTTCGGGACACCCTATAGCATAAATTTTGAAATTCATCTTGGATTAGCTAGATAGATCTCTCCATGAACTCCTTGAGATTATTAAAATTCATAAAAGTGCAACTAAACATAACGTAACGTACCGACGCCGAGTGGCCAAAAAGGTCGGAAGATATCACGCCATGGTCACATTTTAATCACCATATTAACACTTTCATGAAATAAAATAGCATTAAACGAAAAAATCACGTTTACCTGTGTATCTGTACTAGGGATACAGGAGCATGTTTGTTGAACATCACTTGTTACGCATAAAACCCTTAATGCATTTTGAAATTAAATCATACAATGTTTAATATTATAACTCATGAATTTTAATTACAGGGACAACATACACTGTGAGTTGACAACGTACATTTCTGATTTTTTAAATTATACCAAATGCATGAATATTTATTAAATCTTAACCCGTCTTAAATTGTGCAGTTTAGAGAAACACATTCTCATTAAAATATTTGACACTCCGAGACGTCAGGGGAGAAAATTATCAAAGGAAATGTGTAAAAAACAACATTTTTCCAACCGAACAATTGTATGGGTAGACGTACAACGAAAAAAATCGAGCACTGCTCGAAGATCTTTTAACGTAATTAGAAAAATAAATGTCTTTGAAATCGAATACACGCAAAGTCAAACAGGAAATCCTTTTTGTATTCCTCAAATTTATTTTTGAAAACCTGCATCAAACCTACATCATAGTCTTTGCTTAAAATCAGTTAAAAGTGACATAGTACATCAAAAGTGTACTACGGCATATTTTATCACGGTCACGTGACTGTACCTTGTCGATGGTTAGGCGTGCCAGTAGAGCGCTCAATAGTAGAACTACATATATTGGTCACCCATGTATAGGGTGACCGGAAAAAAAGGAGACCATTGAAGTAATCAATTTCTCCTAAACTAGACAAGTGCCATCAATGAAATTTTGCATACACTGGAACAGTTATATGGAAATTTGTTACTGAAGGTTTCAATACAAGCATTCAACTGGTTCAGGAGCTATGATCATTTACATAACATGCTCCAAATAGGCACAATTGAGACCAACGCAGAGTTGGATTCATATGGCAAACTACCCTTACATGTTCTGCCCTCTATGGCATTATTATGGCATTACATATAGCAGTGATTGCCTTCTTTAGGTCAACAATAGTCTGAGGATTGTTTTGGTATAGATTGTCTTTCAAATATCCATACAAAAAGAAATCAGCAGGATTCAAGTCTAGGCTGTAATGGCAATGAAGGGTTATCTGACATGTGGTTCATCATCCTGTTGCCAAAGTGCTGATTTACCAAATCTTAAGAGTCACTTTAGGTATTGGGCATAGTGCCATGTTACTAAAACCACTATATGGCACAATTAAATCCCATATGAAAACCAAGGGCTGCCCAAAACCTCCTTAGGATGATACTGTAACTGAGTGGGACCACTGAGTCAGAAGCCATAGGTCAGATAAGCTTCGTCTCCATACACCTCAAATTTGAATCCACCTGATTTCTTTTTGTGGGGCAATTTGAAAGACAATGTGTACCAAAACAATCCTGAGACAATTGCTGACCTAAAGGTGGCAATAAATGCTAAATGTAATGCCATAACAAGGTCGGAATATGTAAGGGTATTTGCCAAATGTATCCAGCTCTGCGTTGGTCTCAATTGCGCCTATTTGGAGCATGTTATGTAAATGATCATAGCTCCTGAACCAGTTGACTGCTTGTATTGACACTTTCAGGAACAAATTTCCATAGAACTGTCCTGATGTATGCAAAATTTCATTGATGTCACTAGTCTATTTTAGGAGATATTGCCTATTTCAATGGTCTCTTTTTTTCCGGTCACCCCGTAGTAGAACATAATTCGCCGAGAAACTAACAGTATGAGGCGTTAACGTCATTTATAACATACCTATTATGATGATGTATAGTGCAAAGTGTACACAAGACAGCAAGCCAATAAAAGTTTTGAAAAGCCCGCACCCGCTAACTTTCTGATTGGTCAAGGCGCTGACGTCATAACCAATCAATCGAAGATAAAACTGCGCGAGCAATTTTTCTAAACTCATTTCAATCATTTTCAAACCATTTGTTTGTCAATTCTATAAGAAAACGGTACTCTCTGACCAGTCTACATCATCATAGGTATGTTATAAATCGTTTATGTCACTATCGTGGCACATATGCCCTCGGTTCTCAGAGATCCAAGGTCGGGTCATATGTCACTGAGACCTCGGGCATATATGCCACGATAGTGACATAACCTCTTAGTACACTTACCTGTAGAAAATAACCTGTGTAATGCATCAGGATAGAACGACATATCAAGACCTGCCCATTCTTTGACATAGTCCTGGGGAACAAAATACCTCTCATAATCCTCCTTCGAACTCATGATTTTGTGCAATGAATGTTGTACCTTAATTCGATGCTATGGTAAGCTGTCTGTGCACAACAAATAAACTGATATTATGTTTTAATTTTTTAAATCAGACAGCTTATTGTGCGAAGTTTCGTTCAAGTATGTTTTAAGTAAATGAAAAGCAAGCATGCGAAATATTTATAGATAATACACTTGAGTATAACCTTTTCATGAACACCGAATGACCTTTTTAAAGTTTTTGTGTACAATTTTGTATACTTGCTTTTAATGCCTTGGTGCATTTTTTGTTTAGTTAGTGGATATTAAAGTTGAGGACTATACATAAAATAGAAACATGTATGATCGGTTCACGAAAGATACTTGTAGATACATTCAAATTTAAAAGTTCTTCCAATGCATGGCTCAGAGCAGTTTTGTTTTTAGGCAAATGGATATCACATATCTGCACACATATATGACCGGTTAACGAATGGTATATGATACATTCAAATATAAAGTACCTAATTTCCCCCCGTAAGTGTTTGAATTGTATCTTCATTCATCTGTTTATAGGTACTATTGTAGCCTTGAATACTTGCTCCATGCACTTCGGCTAGGATAACCGTAGTTTCCGGAGATACAGTATACTTGGGCAATCTGTGATCGCCTCAAGGGAGTCCTACTGCGTATTCCTAACTTTTACAAACCGTATGGTCGTACTGGAATTATATTATGGAGTTATAGTTTTTTTCATTTTGAAGATTCACCATAGTTACCATAGTTATGCGGTTCCACGGCGACCATACATACCAATTGTGATGGCATTGCCTTCGCAGTGAGGCCCAAAACCAGCCATAAGATAACCGTACGTACAGTTCGATGGCATATGGTACTATTACGATGGGATATTGGTGGGCAAAGCAATGTAGCGTATTGGTCCCGAATGTATGTTTTGCGTTATCCATGTGGTGCTTTTTGCAGTCTGTTGGCGGATGTAGCTGAGGCGGACGTGTATCTCCCTGGACAGCTTCGACAACCTCATGCAGAAGATAAAGCATGAATCTAGCGTTGACTGTAAACAGGATCTTAAGAGGTTCTGGACAAATCATTTGATTCTGGACTTGTCATATTTTTTTTTCAACGAAATCACATCCAAGGGTTGAATTTTTATTAGCTATTTAGAGAGTGAGTCCTGCCTAGTATTAATTTCAATAAAAAGTTAAAATAGAACCCTATTTGAGAGTCAATCTAATACTTACATTACATTGATAAATTAAGGCAAATCCTGAAATATTTTTAAAGTGCATTTTTTATGAAATATTATCCAGCAAGTATTTAAATGAAACGGACTAATTTAAATACAAATCATAACATGATATTTTTCATGAAACATTTTTGAATGAAATTCAATTGAAGGGTCAAGATAAAACGAGCTAATTTAGGTGAAAACCCTTACATGATGATGTGTTTTCATAACTTCTTTCATAAAATTCCATCAAGGGGTGAAGATAAAATGATCGAATTTAAGTGATTTAAGGATCACGAGAATATGTTTTCTTTGGTATTTTCTATGAAATCCCATCCAATGGTCAAGGTAAAATTTTGATTTTGATTTGGTCACGTGTTCGAAAGATCCATATAAGGCCCATAGAACCATATAGGAACGTCATTTTGAATGTCACGTGATAGATCCATATAAGGCTTTTAGAACCATTTATGGAAAGATGAGGGAAGCCCCTGACACCTGTTTCACGATTTTTATGCACTTCATTATTGTACCGAAGTTTGCCGATTCGATTCGTCGTATTTCGGAATCCTGGTGACAATTTTATACTCCATTGGAGTATTTTTGACCTACTTCTTATGACGGAAATTCCCGAACCTTGTTCGGATTAATCCGGATTTTCTGACCTACCTTATCTACCGAGATTTCACGAGTTAACATTCGTCTCATTCCGGAATCCTGGTGACAATTTTATACTCCATTGGAGTATTTTTGATCTACTTTTTCTGGATTTTGCCCTACTTATTATATCTTGACAACAAGCAAATCAAAAAGTTCGACATGAACGGGTCTCGATCAACTAACCTAGACTATGGAAGCCAGGCACGCTAACCATTAGGCCAACGAGCTACCGATATGAAAGAACAAAAGTATTATATATTTATACCGAGCGTCAATTCAAAATGATCCTCACTTTTGTCTCCACTTAAATACGACTCGTCAGTTGTATCCAGAATAGTAGAACGCCTATGGCGCTAGTGAATAACCAAGTCCCAGGTGAGTGGTTCGTATCCCTCCGTGATATACTATTTTTGTTTTATTAAGTACGACAGAAAGGAGCAAGGTGTAGGTTGAAAACAAGACGTTAGTTTGTTTCAAAACAGTTTGGAAACATTAATCTCTGATAATTTAAGGTTTTCCACTCCTGAAGGGCCTCTAGATCTATGAAATTCAATAATCCACTCAGTAAAAATACGATTTCTCTGCAACCTGATGTCCAATCAAGATCATTCAAATATATATGTGTTCCTGACACGTTTGGGCGTCCGGGAATAAAATTGCTTGTGAAAACTATTTACAAAAGTGTTCCAGAGACCCTTATCTACTTGGCTAAGGTTCTATTTGAAGATACATTGCCTTATTAGCAGGTAGAGGGGCATACAGAACACAGAAGCAAATGCTATGTTGAAAATTTTCTATATTTCAATTTGAACCTGTGTTTACATGTCACGTAGGCCAGTGTTTTATATGGGGATTATATGTACTTTCCTTGTTTACATGAACGTAAATCATTACATGAAATCTGCATTCTTCTGGGTTTAATCTGGGTTTGTATTGTCTTATTGGGGCTTTTCGACTTTAAAACAAACCCTACCTAAATGGATTGTGTCTCGGGAACGTTTTTGTAAATAGTTATTATAAACAATTCTGAAAGAATATCACATATTTTTGTCTTCCCGATTTCAGTCATGAATTACGTCAATTTCTCGTGCAAACATTGGGTAGACGTTGTCATAACCGGATGCCCAAACGTGTCAGGAACATATAGATACTCGAATGATGTTGATTGAACATCAGGGTTGAGAGAAATCGTAATTTTACTGAGTGGCTTCACGAAAAAATAAGCAGCACTTTAGGCAACCTAAATACAACTCGTCAGTTGTATCCAGTTGGAATCCCAGCGTAATGTTTTTAATTATATGGTTGTGCTTTGATTTTACGCTGAAAACATTTATAACTACGTCAACTTTATATTAAAACATTCATTATCTTTTCAGTTGTATTAAAATGTAAAATATGATATATGTCAGCTTATTGCTTTCTGGAGAACAGTCAAGGTTTAAATTTGGTACAATGAATCGGACACTCATGTAAATCGACATGGTTATAACATTGAACTCAATGCAGTAAATTAGTTATTTCTATGAATCACAGCGGGATTGGTTTCATTTTATATGATTGCCAACTCTGGCGGTTTTTTTGTAAATGCTTTTGACCGCTGTAAATGTGAAACTGATACAGTATTATTCAATTGTTTTATGTCTTGGTCACATTTGCTCCGATTTTCACTACGGCGCCCGGCCGATTGAGTATTGTGTTCAGAAATGTATTCAATTTTGAACAAAATACTCGCAGCAAATGTGATCCAGGCATTACACAGCGGTATTTCGAACATACTATTGTTGCTTAACCACGACCTAGCCAATTTTAAAATCATACTCTTTATTTAAATCCAAGTAAACGATCAATGTCTAGGTATTTGGCGTTTGATGATACTATGGCCCTTGGCGAATTATGATTAGATGAACCGAGGTCAACATTAATGTTTCTTGTACAAGGTCATCCCAAGGTCTAAGATAAATATTTAGGTATTTTACGTTTCAAGACCTTTGGACAAATTCGATTCAACGATGTATTAAAGTTAAAATGTATACAGAGATAAAATAGGTTATCTCCTATCGTTTCCTTGTGTATACGTTTATGTCTCTGCGTAATAACGCAGATGCGAGCAGGTAGTTACCAATCTCACCACAAGGTGGCTCGTTCGGGTCAGATAGCATGGCGGGTATGGTAGAAAGTTCCCTTTAACTTAAAGTACATCTGTTTTCGTGGTTCAATTTTCATATCACCCTTAAAATGTATCTAATAGCAATGCAATTAAAATATGTCCAGTGAACGAAAATGCAATACAAGAATAGATATTTCACTTTTTGTGATTTTGTAACAATGGTGTTATTTTTTGTATATGTAACATGGTCATTTTCACATTTTATATTATTACTGTTCATATTAATCAATCCCTATTCATCTCAATATAACAGGTCCCTTAGTAGGTTGTTTGCAGTTTTACTCTTTTAATACCATGTTCACTTTTCACCTTTTATTGAAACCAGTTATTCAACTATGCAAACTGTGTCAGTTTTATATATCTATTGTTCCCTTATATGGTCTTTCTCACTCACATGTAGCTGAGTTTGCATTGGGTGTTGGCTTGTCAGTAGTTGCTGTAAGAGTTCATGTTGTACATTACAGAGCATTGTATTTTAAACATTGAAGTTTGAAATATACTATTTTATATATATTTTAATTTGAAGTTCGAGTTATTTTATTGCCACCCACGGGCCTTCAACACGCCCATTTACATATAACGCGTTGAAACAACTTTAAAAAGTGAGCAATGTCAGTGTTGTGATAATAGAGAATTTTCGTTATAAGTTGTTTCAAAAACTTATACGTATACTTATAGTTTAAAGGGTCTTGTCGAACTAAAATCAATTCAAATTGATTTTCATAATCTGTACCAAGTGGGGCATAACTATTCCCGATATAGTCAAGCTTCATCATCAACTAGGGACTGCGAATACAATGTCCTTTGCTAGTGTCTATTATGAACACGATAAACTAAATTCTAGTTGACGGGTCCTTGTAGTGTACGATAAACAAGACCCTTTAAAGTGAATCACTACACGAACGAGTCGATCATTTCAAAGTTCTCATGAAATTATAAGGTCAATTTTTAAGTTTTTACGTATAAAAGGGCCTTTATACGCAGATTATAAACTTACAGAGTTGGATCTCCGCATAGTATATGTGTGGACCTACTGACCAGAATGGCTTATTAAAATTAATCGGCTGAATAGGCATAGTATCCAATCAAATAGCTCGACTCATTCATTAGCTGAACTAATTCTCCCTTCGTTATTTCTACAAGGTGATTCAAAACGATCATCTACAAAAAATATATTTGAGAGTAGATAAATCTGTAAAACCCGTGTGCTATATCAGCCTATTTGATTCTAGAAAACACATATGACACAACTAAACATGCTTTACATCAAGGGGGTACGGATGGTATGCCATTGGCCCTTTTTATTACCGTCCGACGAATTAGGAAATTATGAAACACCTTGTTTATTGGGTTTATAAGTATAAGTATACGTATAAGTTTTTAAAAAACTTATAACGAAAATTCTCTAATAACGCCCCTCATACCTATTTATTACAGGTCGTGTAGACCATTGTTGCCTGATTTATAGCAAAAACATTGACTTTTGCATGTTGATGATGATGATGATGATGATGATGCGCCTTTTATAATAGATCTCATATCTTAGAAGCGTATCAGTTCAAAAAATACTAGAAGACGTTACATATTTTGCCATGCACTGCGCCTATTCATTTGGCAATTCAGTTGTAAATTTTATCTTGAAAAAAATAAATCTTCCAAATTTGTTAAGTTTTCTTGCAGAAATCGCCTACCCCCCCCCCCCTCCATCCATTTTGTATGATCACAAGGCGTGATTTAAGCTGCTGATATTCTTCTTTAAACGAGTCGGATTTTCAAAATCTATAAGTTGGACTCCCTTTATAGAAGCTTTGAACTGAATTTGCACTGCTTAATGCTGATATTTTATTGTTTATCCATACATTTTAAGAAAAAATGTATAAAAAAAGATGTTAAAGCCAAATGTTGCCCTAAAAATTCAGAAAATGTGAAAAATTTCGAATTTTCTATGTACAGGCCTTGTTGCCCCTTTAAGAAGCTTAATATGTAAATTATCTAATCAAACACTTCGTCCACCATTTTGAAACACTAATCAATCCAATCTGTGCTAGCGATTCATAGGGCGAGCCAGTGGGATATTTCCAGGGTTCATACACACCTGGAAATGTCAGGGAAATTGACTTGATTTTCCAAGTGCTGGAAATGTCAGGTAATTTTAAAATTAGGTCAAAAGGGCCAAAGATGACCGGGAATTTTGAAACGGTAGACATGTCAGGGAAATGTCAGGGAAATTTGTATCAGTGTTGAAAAAATAATGTTCCAGAGATTAATGTTTCCAAACTGTTTTGAAACAAACTAACGTCTTGTTTTCAACCTACACCTTGCTCCTTTCTGTCGTATTTAATAAAACAAAAATAGTATATCACGGAGGGATACGAACCACTCACCTGGGACTTGGTTATTCACTAGCGCCATAGGCGTTCTACTATTCTGGATACACCTGACGAGTCGTATTTAAGTGGAGACAAAAGTGAGGATCATTTTGAATTGACGCTCGGTATAAATATATAATACTTTTGTTCTTTCATATCGGTAGCTCGTTGGCCTAATGGTTAGCGTGCCTGGCTTCCATAGTCTAGGTTAGTTGATCGAGACCCGTTCATGTCGAACTTTTTGATTTGCTTGTTGTCAAGATATAATAAGTAGGGCAAAATCCAGAAAAAGTAGATAAAAAATACTCCAATGGAGTATAAAATTGTCACCAGGATTCCGGAATGAGACGAATGTTAACTCGTGAAATCTCGGTAGATAAGGTAGGTCAGAAAATCCGGATTAATCCGAACAAGGTTCGGGAATTTCCGTCATAAGAAGTAGGTCAAAAATACTCCAATGGAGTATAAAATTGTCACCAGGATTCCGAAATACGACGAATCGAATGGGCAAACTTCGGTACAATAATGAAGTGCATAAAAATCGTGAAACAGGTGTCAGGGGCTTCCCTCATCTTTCCATAAATGGTTCTAAAAGCCTTATATGGATCTATCACGTGACATTCAAAATGACGTTCCTATATGGTTCTATGGGCCTTATATGGATCTTTCGAACACGTGACCAAATCAAAATCAAAATCAAAAGTTTACCTTGACCATTGGATGGGATTTCATAGAAAATACCAAAGAAAACATATTCTCGTGATCCTTAAATCACTTAAATTCGATCATTTTATCTTCACCCCTTGATGGAATTTTATGAAAGAAGTTATGAAAACACATCATCATGTAAGGGTTTTCACCTAAATTAGCTCGTTTTATCTTGACCCTTCAATTGAATTTCATTGAAAAATGTTTCATGAAAAATATCATGTTATGATTTGTATTTAAATTAGACCGTTTCATTTAAATACTTGCTGGATAATATTTCATAAAAAATGCACTTTAAAAATATTTCAGGATTTGCCTTAATTTATCAATGTAATGTAAGTATTAGATTGACTCTCAAATAGGGTTCTATTTTAACTTTTTATTGAAATTAATACTAGGCAGGACTCACTCTCTAAATAGCTAATAAAAATTCAACCCTTGGATGTGATTTCGTTGAAAAAAAAATATGACAAGTCCAGAATCAAATGATTTGTCCAGAACCTCTTAAGATCCTGTTTGTAAGGATATTTCCAAACTACCGAAAATACGACCCCCCCCCCCTCTTTCACACAACCTGGGTAATCGTTAACATTTTATCCAGGGGCCATTAAAAGAAACTTCCTTAAGCTATGAATTATATGATCAGACCATTTGTTTCTTACTTTGACTTCATTATACCCATGGTCACGACAATAAAAGGAATTTTCATCCTTAGTCCAAGTTTCCGTTGATAAACCCCGAGATGGATCAATGCCAGATGAATCATTTTACTCTTTACTCTATTGCCTTGGCAAAAAAATGACAATGATAGAAGTTCTAGAACAACCAAACATAGACATGCGTTAATATGTTGATAACTAAAGGGAATTGGTGATTTAGCTTTTAGGGGAAACGCCCCTGCCTCTGTGCAAAATGACATGTTTGCTGTAAAAATAATAACACAATATAATGGAAAGGACAAAAGTAAAAAACAGGGTTCTCTAGTAAATTAAACTTTATTTCTTTGTTTTTGACAACATCACTAAAAGTCAGCGGGAAGCTCACATGCGCACACATCTGGATCACTGTTAAACTCTAGCTGGTTGCCTTGCATATCAAGTGGGCAGCACTGGAGACGTTCCGATGCGGCAGGACCTTCAACAATCAGGTACTGGATTGGATCATCTGAGCCCTGGAACACACGATATCATGTTAAGAATTCCATCGCCAGTAATGCATTGTTTGAGATCGTAGGATACGTGTCCCGCGAATACAAAACCATCCCAGCGCAATGATGGGACTACTCTTCAAGTGAGGGATTTTTTTATTTAAACAGTTATATATCATACGAAGATATCATATTCATTAAAACTTGCAGATTGAGTCAACACTAACATTTATTTGAGATCATGCATATTATTTGAAATATTATACATGTAGGACCAAAGAGTTGACAGTTCTCAACCACTGGTATCCTTGTTTTAATCTCCCTATGATTCACGTCCATACATCAATTTTGTTAAAATGTGTGAAATCAAACACATGCGCAATGTCGTAATATTTCATATCCATACCTCGAAGTAGTTTCCACTCTGGCAGCAATCCCCTATGCTTGGTGGGTCATCGCATGGTGGATCAGTCATCTCAGGGCCACACATTGCGTTCATGCAGTCCATCACATTCTGTTTGATATCACAGGTCTTGTTGACAGAATTCCATACACTCGGTGGCATACAGGCAATCACCTAAAGTCAAATAAACACTCACAACTTATCGCCTGTCTAGTTTTTAATTTCTCAATGTATACAAGGCATATTTTTTCATAGATATTTCCGGTAGTTCAGAGTGTGGATGTACGTAAAGGTTAGTCAGTGCAATTGTCAATTTCCTTTTTGCAGTTTTCAACCATAGTATATAGACCCTCCTTGTATTTAAAGCCTCAGTCACATACGTGTACGGCGGCGGTACTGCCAGCTAGCTTCACAAAATCGATGTAGAAAATCTACATCGTACTTTTAATCCCTATATTTTATGCTTTATATTTCTCTCGATTTTGAGAAGCTACATGAAAGGCCGCCGTATGGTTGTATTACATGTGAATGAGGCATCATGTAGCGATTTTTAAGCTGCTCCAGGTAGTTCCTGGCTATTCCATCCTCCTTTCATACTCACTTGTCTCTTTGATGGTATCTACTTTTGGTTAGTAGATATATGGCCAATCGATGCCGATACTAAAGATGAATAAACGCACGGAGCACACCGCGTCTCGAACTCGCAACCTCGTGGTTACGGCGCCCAATCGCCTAGCCTGAACGTGCTGGCGCCTAAGCCCTCTCGGCAGAAACAGATAACTACATATCAATTGACGTAATCCTGCCTGTATGAGGTTGAATGACTTGAGCAGAGCACGTATACGTACCTCAAATGCTGTTCTGTTAGGATAGCACTGGAGGTAAGAACAGCAGGGATCTTCGGGGTTGTCAAAGAAATAACCGCCAAGGTTGTCACATGGTGGCAGAAGTTCACCTGAAATGTCAACGTCGACATTAGAACGTACACATATACACTCGTATACGTGTCATATAATTACAACCGATTGTTAATAACTCCGTCTAACATTGCCATATTGATTTTACATATTGGGTATGCATTCGTTTTAAACATTTTGAGTCGGCATACGTCGTATATTTTGCGCCGTTTGATAACTCTGTTAACTCCTGAAAAAGAATTTCCAAAACGGCAATTTTTGGTTGTAAACGTTTGTAGGAGAAAAATCAAGGGATCATTCGCAGTTCATCTACATCATCTGTACTTTACCAAAATGTATAACTATGGTAACATTATGATGTGATATGCTTAAGTTCTGTACTGAGGGGTATTTACCGGGAACTTCTTCGCAAGCACAGCTATCAAGGCTGAATATCATGCCATTTGGACACACTCCCTCTCCCCTATCATTTCCTCGTATATAATGGAACTCATCGGACCCAATAGTGAACACTGGTTCGAAGCCGGGAAAATCTCGTCCAGGTCGTTGACCAAGGCAACAAGTCGTCCCTGCAAAAATCAATAGAGTTGAAAGACATCATTTCAGAAATCGCAAAATATGTTTTCCTATTTTTGACTCGTGTTAATATATCAATCGACATAAACATATTTTAAATGTGAGAAATTGTAAAGCGGTAATAAAATAATAAAAATAACATTACCTATATGTTTTTCTAGCCTCATTACAAGAAAATAACATGTAAAGTTTTATTTCCAATTCAAAATTTTACTTCAAAAAATATGTTTACCTATTTATTGTGATGATCATTACCTGTTGGTTGTGGAGCAGAGCATAGCGCAGTTGTTCTACTAGGGACGTCACAGTCATTGACAGGATCACAATTGTCCAAATATTTCTTATCGTCACATACTTTTAGAGCATCATTCCAACCGGTTCCTCCCATGCATTTACCAACATATCCTTTAATTATACTTAATGTGTGTGATCATTATAAAATTTAAACATAATGTATGTGTACATGTAAAGGTAATACAGTGGAAGGTTTTTGATACATCGTTTAGACAGTGAGCATAACTACCCAATGTAAATCGTTCCGGTGTGAACGAAATTATGGTCCCAATGGGGTTTGTGGTCACCTTTCTTAACAGCTCTTTCTGGCCCTGATTGTGTATAAGATAAGAGAAAGAGGTCACCATATAAATCAACGAAGAGTAGGACCATTATTTGATAGGACCTTCTACCCTTTTACACCGGACTTGTTTTTCACAACCATCTGGACTCATTTTTTAACAAGTTATTATGATATTTAAATGTTATAATTTAATTGACCTGCCTACCCTTAATACAGGTAACCATGGCAACCTTATCTCATTAATAATTTAAGATATAGCTATAATATTTTAGCATTGTGTGTGTAATTACATAATCTACATTTCCTGAAAAAATAAGAGCATTTTTATCAGAATATATGGATCGCCCCTTGTATTGTGGAACAATATTCACGACATTAAAGATCGTATATTAAATATTTTAAGTATGTGCACCTTCAATTTGCCATAAATGACCGAAATGTACAAAGTGGAGTTAATGACGGCGAATGGTCATTATTCTGACACGGGCTTGTCTTGTAATTACTAGGTGAACGCTTGCGAACTGTACACTCAACGCTTTCGACATGATTAAAATAACGATTTGGAATTGTTATGGTATTTATACGTTTTGTTGCTTGATGAATTGTCTATGCTTCTGAAAAAATGCATTTAGTATATTTATGTTTTAGAAAAGTTTTTGGATTTACTTTTCACACATTTTGTATTTTCAGTTTCCCGAAACAAGTGCCACGAATGTACTTTAAACAAGGCATTAACATGACAAAATGTCACCACCTAGTTGCTCACAATATTATGAGTTCAAACTTAAGTCAGATTTGAATTTCTGATAACTTGTAAAGTCAAATTTGAACTTCTGAAAAGATGAAGATGATTTTGAAAAAAAAATTTGGTCAATTTGAAGCAAGTTGAAAAAAGACCTTTTTGACCTTTTTTGACCTTGAGAAGGTCATTAAAGGTCAAATGTCAAATCTAAAGTCAGATTTGAATTTCTGAGAACATGTAGATGATTTTGAAAAAAAAAATTAGTCAATTTGAAGCAAGTTGAAAAAAGACCTTTTTGACCTTTTTTTTGACCTTGAGAAGGTCATTGAAGGTCAAATGTCAAATCTAAAGTCATATTTGAATTTCTGAGAACATGTAGATGATTTTGAAAAAAAATTTAGTCAATTTGAAGCAAGATGAAAAAATACCTTTTTGACCTTTTTTGACATTGAGAAGGTCATTGAAGGTCAAATGTCAAATCTAAAGTCAGATTTGAATTTCTGAGAACATGTAGATGATTTTGAAAAAAAAATTTAGTCAATTTGAAGCAAGTTGAAAAAAGACCTTTTTGACCTTTTTTGACTTTGAGAAGGTCATTGAAGGTCAAATGTCAAATCTTAAGTCAAATCTAAAGTCAGATTTGAATTTCTGAGAACACGTAGATGATTTTGAAAAATTTTTTAGTCAATTTGAAGCAAGTTGAAAACAGACCTTTTTGACCTTTTTTGACCTTGAGAAGGTCATTGAAGGTCAAATGTCAAATCTTAAGTCAAATCTTAAGTCAGATTTGAATTTCTGGGAACACGTAGATGATTTTGAAAAAAGAATTTAGTCAATTTGTCTGCAAGTTGAAAACAGACCTTTTTGACCTTTTTTGACCTTGAGAAGGTCATTGAAGGTCAAATGTCAAATCTAAAGTCAGATTTGAATTTCTGAGAACACGTAGATGATTTTGAAAAAAAAATTTAGTCAATTTGAAGCAAGTTGAAAACAGACCTTTTTGACCTTTTTTGACCTTGAGAAGGTCATTGAAGGTCAAATGTCAAATCTTAAGTCAGATTTGAATTTCTGAGAACACGTAGATGATTTTGAAAAAAAAATTTAGTCAATTTGAAGCAAGTTGAAAACAGACCTTTTTGACCTTTTTTGACCTTGAGAAGGTCATTGAAGGTCAAATGTCAAATCTTAAGTCAGATTTGAAGGTCAAATGTCAAATCTAAAGTCAGATTTGAATTTCTGAGAACATGTAGATGATTTTGAAAAAAAATTTAGTCAATGTGAAGCAAGTTGAGAAAAGACCTTTTTGACCTTGAGAAGGTCATTGAAGGTCAAATGTCAAATCTAAAGTCAGATTTGAACTTCTGAGAACATGTAGATGATTTAGAAAAAAATTGAAGTCAGTCTAAACAGTATTTGTTAAGTTATAGGAAGTTGTAAGAAATTGTTACAGACGCCAACCGCCGGACGCCAACCACCAACCACCAACCGCCGGACGCCGTCGCAAAAAAACGGAGACCATAACAATATGTCACCACTTTTGGTGGTGACATAAAAATGCAGACAAAAATATGTTCTTTGAACTTTTCGAGAGAGACCATCCTTCAGATTTATGTAGGCTCGACGTTCCTTTTCTTGAACATCCGATGCTGTAATTAAACTCGCTATAGCTAATAACGCTAGTACAGTTCATGGCTATGGGTCAAGAAAAAGATGATAGAATCCATGTTTGCGCGGGCATATGTAGATCGTATTTCGGTTATCAATGATGTTTGTATATTCTTTTCAAAATATTTTTTCGGCTCAAATTATTATTGTAAGTTTACAGTAAATCCGGTCTTAGTGGACACCTCTCCCGTAAAGAGGCAAAATCTATAGATTTTAGGCCATTAAATAGCGGTGAAGCTGGGCTTTTTGTATGTATTTAGTGCATTGGAAGTTAAGGGGACAGTTTAAAGAAGAATCTGAGCCAAATATTTGCATGCTGTGTGGCAAATTATAAAATAATAACAAATAATAACGAATCAAATTGTCAACAATCCAAAGGCAAACCAGTAGATTTTAACAGTAAATGACGGTTCAAACTATTTCTATCTAACTATTTCTTCTCAACTTTTACTAAATTCATTTGCTTTAATATTAGCATGGAAGTCAGTTTAAGTCCAATAAAGGCGTTTTAATTTCAATATTCCGAAATTAAAAAGCAAAGAGGCAAAACACAAGAAAAATTAAAAATCAATTTTTCTCTCTACAAGCCTTTTTGCCCCTTGAAAATATTAAGTAAAGTACATGGTCACGTCCAAATGGTTAAATCAAAAAAAGATTCTTTCGACAATTGCTACTTATTTAAACTCTTTGTACAACAAACAAACTCGTTCACAATGTGGCTACTTTCATTCTGAATCGCTGTATTCATTGGATATAAGGCAGGTTAGTGACTTTCCACTGTGGTCCCAGGATTCGTCTGACGGGGTAAGCAGCGTGGCGCCATCTTTGAAAGAACGTGAGAGTTATTCTACTCTTTTTCGAGAGAGGATTGAAAATTAACCGACTTTATGCTCCGAATTTGTGAAAACAAATTACGGATTGCTCAAACTTTTTGGAATTATCGTAAAAAGGTGAGTTTCTTGTGCATTTTGCCGTGTATCTTGGCCAATTTGTGACAATATAATTGTATTATGGCTTTGTTGAATAAGCCCACTGTCGCTTTGTTATGCATTGGCACTAAACCTGCCACAACTTCAAGATAATGCGTCTATTTGAAAAAAATAAAATCTGAGAAATTCGGTTTTTATTTTTTTAACTTCTGCGAAAATTTCAGGACTTTTGCACGAAAACTGACAATTTTAGATCTGATAGAAATGTATTGTGAACATTCTATGTATTCCCGGGAAACACTTATTATCGCCCACCAATCTCCCAATCAAACTACATTACTAGATTACATTCATATAATTCTACATATAATTCTTGCATTTTATTGTTGTTTAGACATAAAAACGAAGATTAGTTCCCCATTTTCATAAATTCCCCATCATGGCAGTGGTTGTTATGACGATTACGCCGAACGAAAAGTGCATATATCCTCTAGCGCAGTGACATCCTTAAAACGCATCGGCTTTATTTCAATGTTACTTTTTTATGACGTTTTGGACCACAGTGTTCAGGCAAAATAGGTGAACACACTGACAGAAACGCTCACTTCCCGAAATAACAAGACTATAGCAAACGGTTCGTACAAATAATGCGTTTGCGGGTGCCTGAAGTTAGGATATTTAGTATGGTAGATATTTAAATCCAATTTATTTACATAAAATCAAGTGAAAGCAATGTCATAACCAAATTTACAAGCCTACATGTACCTCTACACTTTTCCATTAATCGAGTCCATATGGTTGTGAAAAACAAGAACGGAACGATTTACGTTGGGTAGTATTGGTTAACCGCGATGGAAATATATGTATAATGACTGACACTGTATCCAAAACTGACCATAACAAATGTATCCGATATCTTACCACAATTCAATCAAAAAGTCTTAATTGAAAACATTTACGTTTGATAAAGCCGTATGCCCCGGACTTCGGCGATAGCGGAATTAACGCAAAAATATACATTCCGCGGCATAAAGAATTATATGGAAATTGATCCACTAAAACTATTCAAATTTAGGCCGCGGGAACAGTGTCTACTATATCTGCAATGTTGTCCGACCCTAATAAGCCACCTGGTGGTGAAACTTGTAACTATACCTACTATGGTATTTGGGTTGATTTACCTGTTTTGTTGAGTCTTGTGTTATCACATACTACAAACGAACAGCAATCTTCTCCAAAATCAATACCATTTAGATATCCAAGATTAGCAATACAGTCATCTGAAAGAAGAAATGTCAAGCCAAAATTATGAAAAATTCATCAATATTAATGTCGTTTATTAATGGTATCACCTATAACTATTAGACTTATGATTCCAAAAGCAGTTTCGTTCAGTGCGTATTCTTCCAACCTCGCAGAAACATTCTCAAAATTAATTTCGTTCTTTGCATACCTTGACTGCCTCTCTGATGTTAAAATAGTTCTAAAATTCCCGGGGCACGATCGCAGAAATCTTGAGAAATGAGTCTGCTCTGTAATACCGAATCAACAACGTCAAATTTTTATTATGACCTGAATAATAACGTTTACAAATAATTTTATGATGAAACTTGGTGATAAATGTTGCATATGATGTGCTTTTAGGCAAAAGGGCTAAGAAATTCCCACGAAGCAACAAATTAACTGTCAAATGTCTCAAGGTCGATGATCACAGGATTTTACATTATTACGCGTTTTCAAGATGGCGGTTTCAAACTTTTCTAAAATCGCTCCAAATAATATCATGTTAATTTCTGGCGAGTTAACACCATAGCTTGTTACTTCACAAAAAGAAAAAAAAAAATGTGTACGAAATTTGCTTTTATCGATAAAGCAAAACATCGGCTACGAGATTGTCGAAGAAGGTGCGATTGCCCTGAATGAAACGAATTTAGAAGGTATTTCACGATGAAATGAACACGTTTATTGAACACGTTCATTTTTATACCTGGATTTGTCGCAACTGGTGGACCACTGGCGAATGCCGAGCATACGAATAGAAGAATTAAAGGTACCATTGTCTAGAAAAACATAATTACGGTCGTCAAATATAAGCATTTTATTTAAGATATGACTCTACTTTTTTATAGGTAAGGTCTATATACAATTTTCACAAATATCTTCACATTTATCTTTTGAATTAAACATTGATAAGGAAAAGACTTACCCCAACCGATACTCTATAAGTATACCAGGCTAGAAAAGCACCATTAACACTTAATGTAATTAACCCTAGCAAATTGCCGAACACTCGACGACATGCTCACACATCATATCACGTGATTCGTCTTAACCAATTAAACACTGGTATTAAGATACACATTACAGGATGCCCAATACGGAATGTGTGTATTCCTGTAATTTCGTGTAATTAATCTAAAATGTTGCCTTTGGGGTGTTTGATTTGACAGATTTATAGCATATCTGAAATCATCAATGTGTATTTTGTCAAGTTCAAGATTTAATACGGTTTGTAGTGTATATAAATCGTATCGTCTTCTTTTTTCAAAAGAAGGTGAATAAAGCATATAAAATAATGTTGCTTATTTTTACCTTAATACCTAATTATAACTTATGATTTGTACAGACAAAAAATGTATTGCCATCGATTTGAAATACCATTTCAAAGTTTATTGGTAAAGAGGAAGCTAGCATAGTTTTCGAAAGTATATTACAAAATAAAGAATTGTTATATTTAAAAAAAAATTACTTCGTGCCCTTTTATTAATAGTGTTGTACTTAATCTCGTCACCCAATCGAAATCATTGTAAATGATTAGCCAAATGGGCTGTTAATAAAATCAAATGCATATTGTCATAGTATGCTAACATACCTTTCAGATTATAGACCATATCATATATTTTTACATATCAAAACCAAACATAGGTAGCAACACAATCATAGTTTATTTCAAAGTGTGTGCAGTTGTTACAAAGCAGAGTGCATTATTTCTGTTGTTGTTAAAGAACTGAATCTTGCCATGTACAGTACTATCCAAAACCAGTGAGGCACAAACGAAGTTTGACTGTCACATGCAGAACACTAAAGCTGAACTAATTATGCCCTATTCAGGCATTCAATAGTTGAATAGTAAACACAAAGGAAATCAAATTTAATTTATTTTTTCATAGGCAATACAAAAATTGGACCATGGACCATTTACCTTTGATAAGAGTCAGTGTTCGCTTTAAGTTGGATAAACCCTTCGTACTGGCGATCTTAGATATTATGGCCCCCGGCCAAAGCCATCGGCTATTATTCCCCCTAAACCCCAAACTCATAGTTTACCCATGATATAAACCCACAATGATATATTGGCTATAGAATAGGATTTTAATTTGTACTGATGCACTTTTAGGGCATCAGTACATCCAACATACAATTTTCAATAACAGTAAATTTGGCAATAAAGTAAAGAAAATAGGATTATATTCTTCAAATGACAAATACAATGTTACTTTCATGATATAAGAATCCTGTCTCTACCAATGTTACAGATAACAGTATATAGTTATAGCTATACAGAGTTATATTGTTCACAGTGTCATAGTTTGTACAGATAAGTTTACATTTAAGCAATTGAGATTGATATATTGCTAAGTTTAAGAATTTTTTCAATACCAACAGCCCATGAAATCATTGATTTGGCTAATTATAAAGAAATAAGATCCACGTGGAACACATCGTCAGCGACATCTTTACATAATTATTCTTACAGGTATATTGGATATACGATGATCTCGAACGGGCTAAAGAAAACTATATCTCCCAATCGTTTTACTTAGCTTCTTATACCTATCATAATTCTATATTTAAGAATATAATAGTTTATTATGTCAGCACCAGGAATGGTGAGATATTTAGAGTCCATTAGAGTTCCGCGTCACTACAGAATTGCATGACACATAAAGAAATTTTCTTTTCGATGCACTTCATTTAATATATTATTATTCTGACAACAATTTACGATTTTTAATTTTATGTTTGTGTTGTATAATTGTGTTTTCTCAACCCTTCAAAATACATGACATGACTTACTAAAGAAAAGCGATGTAAGGTCAGTATGATATTTTACTAAACAAGTCATATCTTAACAATAGCTTCTTATCTGTATTAATACATTATATGGACCAGCCATACTGGTTAGGTTGATATGCCAAACTGATATAGGCCAAACTGATAAATAAAATCATTATGCTATCAATATAAACACGTACACTATTTAAAATCATTTTATCCACAGCAGAGTGGACGTACTGATTTTACAATATTAATCATTGCCCACTATTGGATATCAACCATCACCATATTGCAGAAGATTTATGAAAAGTACGATTGGAAATTACTCTTTATAAATATGGGGAAGGTCGGGCATGTATTCTTAATGACTTGGACATTACTGTTAATGTGCATGTCTCAAGCCGGGAGAGTTAAGAGACAGTACCCATGTATATTAAAACGAGTCGACATGCTTGGCTGTTCAACATTTATGGATCTGATACATAACACTCAATTTGTCTTCAAAGCTCTTGGAGCTCCAGGTAAGCATGTGAAATATCACGTTATGATTGTAATGCACGCATTTGGGAAACTTGGTAATATTGTGATACGTATAAGCCCAAGATGATTTTAAAGCACCTGGGAACAAAAATATATATTCAGACATATCACGTGAAGTAAATTCGAAGCATTTGAAAAATAATGTTACTGTATGATAGTGACACATATCACATCAACTGATAAAATTATGAAACAGTTATTACATAGTTAGCCATATCTTAACACTAGCGCATTGTCTGTATGAACATTCCATGGAACGTCACTTTTAGGGTTAATATATACCAAAATACAACCGAATCAATCACTAGCATAATTCAGCTGGTCTTGAAAAGCAGGGACAGAAATCACTCTTTATAAGAATGGGAAAGGTTCGATATGTATTGTTGGCGATTCGGACATTAATATCAATATGTCTCAAGCCGGAAGAGTGAAGAGGCAGTACCCGTGTATAATAAAACGAGTTGATATGCTTGGATGTTCAAAATTTATGGATCTAATACAAAAAGTCAATCTGTCTTGGAAGCTCTTTGAACAACAGGTAAGAATGTTCAATACCACACCAACCGATTTTGAAGGACTTGTGAAATCAATAAATATTGCGAGACATATCACAACAACTGATTTCAAAGCGCTTGGGAATTCAGGTAATCAATTGTCGGAAATATAACGACACCAACTGACTTTAAAGCACTAAGGGAACCAAATAATATTTTATGTCTAACAACAAAACAATCAATTAGATAAAATAAAATATCAATATATTCCATTCCTAAGACAAATATAAACAATCAACTATTAATTGGCTTTATTTCCCTATGCCTCAAGAATGTTCATTAAAAAATGATAGCGAAGTCACTGATGTGACGCAATTGCGTTGCTTTAAGTCATTAAGTAGAATTAACTGAGGAGTTTGATAATCGGTGCTAGAGTTGAGACCATGCGCGGGGTCATCCAGCCAGCTCTGCGGAACTGTGGCCCTGCGGGCCATGATTGTCAGGGAAAGCCCAAGTAAACCTTATTCACTGTCAAACAACCAGGACGGTAGATTGTACCTGTCTTATCAGCTAGATAAGTCGCGCTGCGAGCATGATTGTTTGAAATTATGTACATAAAATGCGATGTATATTTACATAATCGAATACTATGAACTGGTTTATCTTGAAGCATCTGCACTATCATTAAAATGTAATAAATTGCAATTGGAGAAGAATGAAATGAAATGAATAATTGCCAAACCATGTGCGAAGCAGATATTTCACTGATAAGAGTGAAACGAGTGAAGCATATGGGGACCCCGTTTAAGAAATTTAACACCAAACGTTTGCCTAAGCCCTTCGAAAACCTTGTAATAATAGTGAACATATCAAGCATAGGGAACCTGATGAAATTGTGAGACATATCGCAATAATTGATTATGAAGCCCTTTAGAAACCTGGTAATAGATTTTAAAGCACTTGTGGAACCGTGTGTCATATAAACTAATAAAACTATGAAACCGATGAAGCTGGTGAACTTTTTTGCTAGTATACATCGGTTGGTTTAACTGTTATATTCTTGTATTTTTGTAGGTCCACTGACTTTATTCGTCCCATCAAATGAAGCGTTTGCAGCTCTCCCGGATACAACCATGGATAAACTTCGATCCAATGTTACATATCTCACAGAGATTTTCTCGTATCACGTGGTACCCACTAATGCATACTTCTCTCGAGACTTCAAAACTGACGTCACCTACAAAACTCTTTTGGAACCTAGACGCGTTAGAATGTATGTCTACCCTCGGACTAAAAAGCAGGTATTTTTTTACTTTACAATTGACCACCGAACCTGCATCAGACTAACCATTCTTCTAACCAGTGTTCATTTTCTTTGGGTACGCGTTCTTATAATTTCCTGTCGTATTTGTGTTTCGTATCATTTAAGATAACCTCAATAATATCAACCCGACGTTGTCATTGCTGCAATGTCTTGATTTTTGAGAGTTAACATTTTTGGCCTTGTCTTTGTTTTTGTACTATTCTTTCTCATATGATTAACAAAGATACAGCCATCTTTACCCCATGCAAGATATTTCCATCTTTCATCCTAAAAAGTAACACGTGCAAGATGAGATTTACTTGTGACATCACTGGTTTATAAACATCAACAACATGGCAACGGGTACAGCTTTGCTATGCGTATCCATGCTCATTCTACAAAACTTAGCTGAGACGTCATAACAATGTAGCTTTGTTGCCACACGTATCCATTAATTTTCTTCAATATTGTTATGACGTCATAACAATTGAAAAATGAAGTTCCATTCATTTCTAGCTAATTTTCACTCAATTTTATAATAAAAAGGTGAAAATATGGCATAATACAGAGTTATATGAGAAAAACTTTCTTGTACTCGTACCTGTGCAATGTCGTCCATTCTTGACTCGCTTTGATAATGTTTCTTTATCTCGTCTACGACTCAATAAAGAAGAATTATCAAAGCTCATCAAGAATGAACGATCTTGCACAGGTACTCTTATAAGAACCTCTACATCTTGTTAATTTATAATTGTTCTTTTAGTTTTATGTTACTGGTTCTAAACTCACCAGTTGGGACAACGATGCAACTAACGGAGTCGTTCACGTGATTGACGAGGTCATGTTTAAAATCCCGAAGGAAAACCTCCAAGAAAGAATAGATGATAAACATGAGAATTCGAAAGCGAATTTCTCTAAACTTTCCGAGTTGTTAACAATGGCAGGTCCTAAACTACAAACCTACCTTGCAGGTAGACATTAATATTGTTTGAGTTTAGATAAAGTATTTGACGACAGTTTTCTCCAATTTTCCACTTTGTGGTATGGTAACAATGCGGCATTTAGTCCAGTATAGTCTAGTTCACACAACCCGTCACAAGAAACACTTTTTCAAATGAACTTGATGCTCAACGACCAATACAGTTATTTATCACTTGGAACATCAATTTTAGAAAAACGTATATATCCCGATTAGTGATAAACCTAATAATTTGTGTAACGTGATACCGTACGGCATCTATAATACTACTAGTAGATCATTTTAGTGATATCATGCGATATCTACGATATATCGCTATGTGTTTCCGTTAGTTACTTTCAAAAATGATGCATTCGACTGGTAACATCGACTATGTAATTTGATAAACCCACTGATACTTATACTAATATGAATAATATACATTATGTTAAAGGATAGTTGGAAGAGGACCTAAACGGACAACGCGGGGACCACGTAGCTACCACTTGTAGTAAAAAGAAGCAGTTGATTGTACAGATGACATGTCCATTTTCAGCCATTATTGAATAAAACTGATTCCTCAAGGTTTAGATTACTATTACAGTTGCCCTTTAACTTCTAATTTATAGTCGCTCTTTCGAACATAGAACTCTGTACTTCCAGATGACAGCCCAAAAACAATGTTTGCTCCGACTAACACTGCCATAGAACGTTTGCCACCAGGTGCTCTGTACTACTGGCAACATAACAAAACTGCACTACAAGGTGATCTATATGTATTGCATAGTAAGATAATAGAGAGATTTCGCACCTAGTGAAAGTACAACTTATAACGTATACTTATACTTATAGGTAAACGTACAAGGTGTCTCATAATGTGGGCTTTTCGTCAGGAAAGATCTTCTCGGACTGTAATAAATACAGGTCAAAGGGATGCCATTTGTACTTTCTTAAATTGTAGCATGTTTAGTTGATCCAAATGTGTTTGTCTAGAATAAAATAGGCTCATATATAGTACATATGTTATAGACCCATCTTTTCTCAAATTGACTTTTTGGAGATGCTCGTTATGAAACACCCTGTATGTCATATGTTGAGCTACTGAATGGGTCGTTTCCAGGAATTGCTAGAACCTACAGGTTTGATTGGTGTTTCAAAGTGATGGTTAGTGTTTGATTGGATACTGTTCCCACTCAGCCAATTAATTTCAAAAAATGCTTGCGGTCAATTGTTCCACACACATGTAGGCAAATCTTTATACGGAGATCCAACTGTATACGTTATCATCTACGTAAATATACCGTTTTGTAAGTTCATTGAACTTATACTGATCATGAAAACATTGAAATAATCAACTTGTTTATGTAATGACTCACTTTAAAGAATCATGACTCACTTTAAAGGATCGTGTTCATAATACACTACAAATACAAGGACACGGAAGCAGGCATTTAATTATAATGTGCATAATCTACACGTGCAGATGACAGTGCATTCACAGTCTCTAGTTGATGGAGCTTTTCTATAACGGGAATAGTTATGTTCCATTAAGTACAATTTAAAATTGATTTTAGTAAATATAATAGTTCGACGTGACCCTTTAAACTATACGTATACGTATAAGTTGTACTTTCACTTATGTGCGAAATCTCTCTATTGTATCAATGTTTTTGTTTTTTATTACTATCAGAAAGTGTTCATGTGAAAAATAAAAGCATAAAGAAGTTGTTTTCGGTTATTTAACATATATTAATATATATTTATAGATGAACTAACAAAATGTAATGCAGCATTTAGTTAAGGAATAAAGAATGATGTATCATTCTATATTGGAAAGAATGATACATAGAATAGAATAGTTCACCATTTACACCTACAAGATTGTTGTCTTTGAAGAAATTAAATTTTATATGTTTTAGGACAAGTTTTTTTTTATTTAGAAATACTAAATAGGGGTGTTGGCTTAGATTGATATTCGTTTAGAAACTATTAAGAAGGTTTTGTTTGTCAAAATATTATACGAAATGAACAGATTAATTTGATGTAGAAAAATTATGAAAACTTATTTAGAAAATCATTGCAGTGACTGACATGAACACACGGATGATATGACGTCACCCCTTTTTAAAGAATAGCCCTACTCAACCCGTGCATGTATCAGGAATTAAATACACATAAATCATTTTCATGCATATATCAATAAATTCACACACTGAAATGCTATAGGCTGATCGGCTGAGACACACTTGGCATGTTTGAATCAATCATAAATGTCGATTGTATTTCGGAGATTTTCAAGTTATGTACATTTTCTTATTTTTCATTTCAGAAGTATTGAAGTACCACGTGGTCAAAACAACGTTGCTTTACGTAGGATTACTCTCTGGATCTTTGGAAACAGTTGAAGGCTCGAGAATCAATATCACCCAGAGCACTTCTAGAGGTATGTTTTATTCTTTCTTTTAAGTTATTCGATATCCTTCATCAGGATGTAGTCTCTTTGTTCGTGTAAAGTTACCTAAGTAACGCAGAGCCAAACTAATGCAATAGGACCATCACTTTAAAATATCAATACAATCGAATTTATAAAGTTAAATGATAGCAAGGTCACGTTTAAAGGTGATAAGATAATGGGGCTATATTGCGAGTTTAAACTTCTGTGAGATTAATGTCGAGGTCATACACTCAGGATCAGTCTCGGAACATTTGAAATAAGCGGACTTATATTTACATATTTATTTTTAGCTCGCCTCTTTTAACACTATCATAAAAATGTAAATTTCTTCTTTTGAACTATGTCATTGGTTCAAAAACATTACCTTTCTTATTTTTCTTAAATTAAATTAAATTAAAATAACTAAATCAAATTGCATAACTTTTTACACATTCTTTATATAAAATAAATCTAATTTTGTTTACCGAACTATGGACAATGGTGTTGAAATCGTCTGTATGAAATCAAAAATCTAAAATCCGTTCGAATGTGCTGTACTTGTTACAATAGTGTGACTAGGAAAATGAAATATAAACCCTAAAATGCCGTTTGAGGTTGTAATATTAATACGTAAATATAATAGGGAAAAACCGTTACATTACATTCATCTAAAAGAAATCAAAATGTGTACTACACCGATACAACCTTATATTTTTTCAGGCGTGATACTGAATGCTAACTCTAAACCAGAACGAGGATACAACTCAGCGTTTCTCACCTTCAGGAACATCACAGTCACCAATGGTGTTATTCATGGTATTGACAGTATGCTTCTCCCTTCACCAGTGCCACAACGATATGTTCCATAGTACACTGTAAAATATGAACTCTTGAAATAATACTATAATACGATAATACGAATATATGAGAAATTGAAAGGAGCAAGATCTAAAAATAACTGAATAATTCTAAAGATGTTAGGGAAAAACAACAACATTTTATTGTATTACTTCATCTCAACCCCAAAATGCTCGAACTCAAAATTGAGGATAATTCGATGAATATAACAGCTTTGCAAAAATGAAGTGGTGAATTTGAAAATGAAGCAACGAGGTGCTATTGTGCATTGATCATGTTTGAGAATAGCAAACGACAGAGAAACATCACCGTGCAGTAAAGAGTAGGCAAAATAAAAATAAACTAATCATCAACACGCAAATAATTAATGCCTCATAAAAGTTGAAAGTGGTACAAGGGAAGTGCCTTAACACTCCTAGTATTAAATCGAGTTAAGGTTTGGTTCTTTAAAATAATAGTCCTCAATATAAATGACATCGATATGTCTACTTCCGGTTGAGTTTTTGGATACAGTTGTGAAATCCTCCTTTTCTCAGAAGAATTCAAATCGATCGAGTCTCAGCAAGTAGATTCATTTGGGGTTATATGGCTAGAATCCATTTTCAATAAAAAGTATAAGGTTTCTTCAATAGGACATTGGGCTTGTTTTAAGAACTCTAATGTATGTCACTCTCATTTTCTTCTTTCTGATTCTCTACTTCTTTCTGATTCTTCGTCACACCTCATTTCCTCATCTTTCCCTTGATCCACTTCTCGTCGCAATTCTTTCACCCAACTTATTCTTACAGTCCGTCATTACTCGATATTTCCACTATTATACATGCATTTTTCATACTTGTCATTAAAGACTTACATTATTCAAAGATATTCCAATTCAACATATTGGCGTTGTCTCTGGGTTCTTTGTTATATGCATAATTTAATAAGTAATAGGGAAGTTCTCCATGAAACGATGACAATTAATTTCTTTCTAACTACAAAAACATGCATTGAGCAGACTAAATGATGGGTCTGGTAATCTGAAGCAATGTCTGAACTTGTAAAATATCATGATGACCTTATGTAAATTTAGAGCGTAATGTGCATTAAATGTGTCAATATACACACCCCGAGAGCTTGAGAATCGATTACATGTACATGGTGTTCAATAAATAAAAGCAATGATTGTTATTTATTTGAATATATGATATATGATTGAATATATAATTTGTCTTTCACAAGTAGATTAACCATAAGATAAAAAAATTGAAACTGTTTTACAATTTAATGCGTTTGTCCCAAAACATGCTATGCTACAAACGAGAATAACTCTCAATGGCATGGGGTGTGCATCGTGTAATTACAATTTAAGCTCAGTGAAAACGTGTTCTAGCTATTTTCATTCCATGTTATTCACTTGAAAAATCTGTTGTTTCTATTTTGTGAAGTTTACCCTATGTTTATATTAACCTACTGTTTTAACATAAGCATGTGTATAATTGGTATAACATTAAAGTGAATAGCTTAACGTAAATGATGAAAACCTCTCGTAAGGGAAATGCGCAAAATTAGACCAGAACCTGGTTTTTATTGAGTAAATCTTTTAGAGCTTTTAATTTTTTGACACCCTGTAAATCCACACACCTTTGTTTTACATCCAGTCATTATCAGTGTACTTTATCGTTTAACTTGAATTCGATTGGATAAGAAAGATCACGTGATATTGTTTGTGGTCAAATTTAAACCTGCGCCATAAATCACGTGACTGTGCTTCTGAAGTTCATCGCCACTGGGTATTTGAAGAGTGGCATACTGTGAGAGTATCGGTCAAGGTAAGATCGTTTTTATAGACACTTTTAATTGATAATAAGATCAAAACAATCAGCCGGTGAAACACAAAACATCAATCCACTGACTTTGGCTAACGAAATGATTTTTAATGAGCAGATTGGAGATATGATAAGCATAACACTGACCCCGTTTATGAATCGATGAATCAACGGTTCTATAATTTGTGATCTCAAAAACTGCTGGACACTTTTGGACAAAGGGTATGCAGTGGGAAAGCCAGAGTCATATATCTGATACTTCACTATTTTTGTAGGAAATGTTAGCCTTAATTCTTCTGTTCGTCTGCTCCGCATTTGCCAGTGGTCCACCAGTTGTCACGGATCCGGGTATGTAATGCATGACGTCACATTGCGTCACAGATCAGTATTGAAGGCATATTCTAAAATACAGACGGTGAAAAAATCACAAGCAACATGCACAATTAACCGATATCTATTAGAATCTGATATCTCTAAAAATGACAAATGTGTAGCACTTTATAAGAATATTAACACAGAAATATCTGTTTGTACTGGAAAACTGCAATTTGAGGATTTGAAAAATAGATTCTCAAACTTATATTATGGGAACCAATTACCGATGACAATTTGATAATCTGGTGACGACTCTGTAAACGGAAATGAAATATCAATTATATACGTCTCCATTTAGGAAAACGTCTTCATTCTTTCAGTTTTTATATAGCCTGTGTTCTGTTAGTGGAAAATTCACATTTTTATGAAGAAAAATGCAACATTAGATTGGTTACGTACTATACAATCAGTCAACCTTTAGTTAAAAACACGGACGTAATATATTGCATGACTATTAAGCATGGTTATTATCGAGTACAGATTCATATGGGTCGATTGTTGGTACATTTATTTTATTATGACCTTAAGAAGACAGAATACATAGATCATACATATGTTACAATAATAAACATGTTAGTAGATGACCAAAGGGAAAACTAAAACATGGCGACAATAAGCATACGGAGTACAAAAAAGAAATGTGGCCAGTCGACATATGAGCTTGGCCATAGGAAAACAAGTCTTATGACAATAATTAAAATTGTGTTACAAAGCCAAAATGTGCCCAAGATTAAGAGGAAAATGTGCTAAATTCAAATCCGACTTCAGACGTTGTCTATTTATGCAAGAAAAACTTGTTAAGACATTAGCCAAGGCTCATTTGAAAGGTCTCTTTGTGCTTTTTAAGATAAACAAAAATCATAACATTGAAAAATCTGTGATAAGACCCATTTTCCTGTGACCTGGCTCATTAAGATTTAAAAAAGACATTAATATATGACCTATTTCCAGCGATCAAATAATTCTTTTTCGAGTAATCTCAAAAAGTGAAAAGTGTAATATTAATTTTTTGTTTTTTTTTCATTTAATGCAAATAGCTAGAAGTGTATCTTCAATTATAATAGCATAGGGAGCATCTCAAAAGTTCATTGTAGGATTATTATCTGTATTTGAACATTTAATCTGTGACCACTGACCACCCACTCCCTCCTCGTTATGTTTGACATGCGGCATTGTGTTAAATTACACTTTATCTAACATAATAATAGTACAGTCAATTTTAAATAATTATTCAAACCTGCATTTTGTACTGTATCAGCATAAAATTATCTCTAGTATTGTATCATACTGTACTACTCTGAGTTCATATCCTAACACAATTTGAGCAAATAGAATTCCCTGGCACACTGTCAGAAAGCTAACTTTCAAGGGTAATGTGGCCCTTCCCTATGACTGTTCAAAATAAAGTTATTTTCCGACATAGATCTTTTGAAATGTCCCCTTATAAGAGAGAATACACACCAAATACTGTACTGTTTTTGTGGGAGGTGGGTCTGGACCAGAGGAAGGTAAAGAAATAAATGATTTCATAACAAATGGTCAAATTAAGAACATATACTGCATGGACAATTGCACATACAGGGTGGGCCAAAAAAAACCACCCCCCTAGCCAATATTTCTGATAAATATTCAATTATTAACATGCACACCATCAATGATATATCATTTTAAAGATAATTTAATTTGCAACAGAATGATATATAATAGAACAATTTTCAACAACTCTGGCTCGAGATATAACAACTTATGTGACATGGGGGTCAAAAAACACCTTTTCAATTTTCGTCGAATTGTGCGAACAATTGCCTATTTCTACCAAATTTTAGTAAATTACAACATTGTCATGAGTCTTTCATAATTGGATATTATATATTGTTTTCATTCAGTTTTTGAACCTTGCATGCTCAATATACATGTGTATGCTTATAAAATTAATTCATTTCTTCTTCAGTCTGTCCAAATATGGCTCAATAGACTCACCCCGGACCCAACTTCTGATTTGATTTCTCGCTTAAAACGCGAAAGCCATTGGTATAATTGATGGACCTCTGCAGAAGTACCATCCAACACCTAATTATTCATTCTTTCAGTATGTCTACACCCCTGATGGGCTAGGGATCTCCATAGACAAACTGTTCTTAATGCCCCAAGTACTATACATGTAATAAAAAGGCTATACTCTATATCAGTAAGCAAGAATAGTGACATTTGCGATAAAAGGCTACTCAAATCGAGATGACATTTTTCTGAAAAATTGGTGGTGTCCACTCAGTGTTTCCCAAAAAGGAAAGACCATACAGGCCCTGTTTTTTGAACCAGGAGCAAAAATATACTCTGAATGTTAATGACATGAGGTGGTAAAAAAGGACTCCTCAAGAATATAAAAAACATGTGAAAGAAATTTCATTTTCTGATAGAACAGTGCTCCATCACACAGGTCCAATGCTACCCTGGAGTTTTTGGAGATTGGAAATGTCACCATCTCTAGCCCAAAATAATGGCTTACTAGCAGTCCAGTTGCCAATAATGTTGATAACCATACCTGGGAGCATCTAGAACAGTTGATATTTAAATATTCTCAGCCTATCAGGGATGTAGAGGAACTGAAAGAAAGAATAACTAGCAGTTGAATGGTACTTCGGCATACATCCATCAATTATGCCATCAACCAATGGCTTCCGCGTCTTAAGCGAATAATCCAATCAGAGGATGGGTCCTGGGGGTGGGTCTATTGAGCTATTTTTGGACAGACTGAAGAAGAAATGAATTAGTTTTATAAGCATACACATGTATATTGAGCATGTGTGGTTCAAAAATTGAATGAAAACAATATATAATATCCAATTATGAAAGACTCACATAAATGGTCATATTTCTATATGGGGTTGTTGAAAATGGTGCTATTATATATCATTTTGTTGCAAATTAAATTATCGTTAATATGATATATCATTGTTGGTGTGATTGTTAAAAAAGAAATATTTATCAGGAATATTGGTTAGGGGGGTGGTTTTTTTGGCCCACCCTGTATAAATCTGTAAATATTGTTTGAAAAAATTGATCCTGATATATTTTCCATTGAATTACTTCAGATGAGTGTAGGAATAATCTGGGATATCTGAATGGAGCAGATTTTGGAGAAGATTGCTGTTCATTCGTTGTATGTGATAGCGTTAGGCTGAACAGAACAGGTCAGTATATAATTAATTTACCCCAACATTTTTTTAGTTTTTCTATTTCTTGCTAGTTTTCTATGATACATATTTTAAACAAGCTCGTTTAATGACGCACATCATTTTCTTCAGAAAGCATTATATTGTGCATCGAAATCCTAATTTCCAGCATAGTATTCAATAGACATGAGTATAATGATTCCCGTTGACACCAACACGAAACTGTAAATCTCCCGTTCTAAACACAGCTCTGAAACTGATCGGATATTTGAAGTAGACTAAGTAGCGCTTGTTTTGTATGCGCGCTATATACATTACTGTATTGATTCATTGGCTTTGCGTTCACGGTTACGTTGTGAAAAATATCGCTAGCCTAATCCCTCTATTATCAAATTGGACATCCGGGACATTCAATGTAATAGACTGAATTATCAAATGGTAATGTTACACTCACACTATCCCGACCATCATGTAATAGTGTTATAACATCATCACAGACATCACAGACTTACATATGACAGACTCCCCCAGGCCGACAATTTGGCCCCACACTCTGTGTTGGGGACATACCGTCTTGCCTTATGCTAAACAGTGTTACAAATTAAGCGTTGACAGATGACATCACTGTGGGAAATCTCAAAACATGCTAGCCCACATGAAATGAACTCAACATTTCTAAATGATCAATTTTGGCAATCAAAACATTTTCCGGTGTTCTGCTGAATATGCAGAGTATAAAATTATTGTAGCTACCGTATCAAAATAAAAATTGACTAGCGAGGAATATTTTCATTTCAAATATGGGGGCCAATCCGATGTCTGACAACCTTTACAAAAATCTAGGCAGTGTGCATTTTTACCTTCTGTGAAATAACAAGTGGAATTTAGTAGTTGTTTTGTGTTTTATTATCATTCTGCATCGTAATTAGATGTGATGTGGTGTTAAAACGTCAGCAGAAATACATATCCATACGATAATTAAGTGAATTTGATAACATATTTTTCCAAAACCCGTCTCCTGCTAAGGATATAAAAACTTGTATAAGCATGCTCAAAAGTGCGAATTTGCACCTCAATGTCAACCTAAATCAATGTTGTGTCTAAAACACGTGCCTGATCTACTCAAAACAGCTTGTCATTCACGTATACACGCTCAGCAAACATAGCAAAATGATCTGAATCTTGGAATTTCGTTCGAGAGCTTGTAATACTCTGCATGTCTTCATCATAAGTGTTCATCAGACTTCGCGCATGCTCAGGAGAAAATCATCAACCAATCAATAAATCAATGTTGCGCATGCGTCTTACAAGGGTACAGAAATTCGGAAATCAGCCGGAGAAATCGAAACAAAAGCGTACTGACGGCGCATTCTCCTATGCTGCGATCTAAGATTTTCAGCATATATAAAGTATTTTGGGATTTTTCGAATGAGGTAAGTAACATGCGCATTTTCGTAGTACCATATTGACTGTATTAAATTTATGCCAGGTTGGTTGTCAATTTTATATTACTCAGATGTAGTTCAATTGTTATTATGTGTAGTTTCGTGCTTGAAAAAATGGCAATAACATTTCATGTAACATTATTTGATTCAGGGTTCGTTGGTAAATGTACTGGAGGCACCGGTTGGAATGACGAATTGAAGGTCTGTGACGACAAAATATACTTGGACAATTGTGATCCTGCCAACGATTGTGACATCCCCTCCAGAACAACTGCACTGTGTTCAGCTCCACAACCAACTGGTAGGCTATATAAACGTTACCAAATAGACAATACAGGGGAGCTTTCGATACAAGTTATTTGGTCAACTACGTAAACTTGTACTTCTAAATTAAAATACAAGGTGTTACATAACGAAGGGTATTAGTAAGAAATCTCTCCCCCCATTTAAAGAGAATACGGACAAAATATTCGTTCTTTAGAAGTAATTGTCAAAATATTTTTTCAGCTACTACTTGTTGTCTGGGACAACGAATTGGTACGGGTTTCCCTGGCTATGAGCCCGTTTACGAAATGGGCTCGGACGAATTTCACTACAGAAGAGTAGGGGAAAGGGGCGAGGGACTGTGTCCAAAAGGCATGATCTTCATACTTGATAGTTGTTGCTGTGAAGAACCTGAAAGTAAGAATTGTTATGTACTGTAACATGTCGTTATTTAAAGGCCCCAAGAAAATTTTAAAACGTTTTTGATAATGTTGTAGTCTTACTTAATATGATACATTTGGTTGAATTTACAACAAATTACAATCATTCAAATAACACAGAAAGCACAAAATGACTTCAATTTAATCGTTCACTTTGTTGCATTGCGTTATAGCCGAGCCTATTGCACCATGTGATGACCTCAGTAGTTTTTTCTTCGACAACCCAAATGAGGCATGCTGTTCTTACGTACAATGCTTTGTAAACAGAACTGCATACGTTGTAAGTTAATTTGTGTAACAAGAAATGTGGTATCCACATCTTGGTACCGTCAGTTTGCGAACGTACACATGTATTCTCCGCAACCACAGTCGGTGTCACATAAGCATTTTGAACAATTTTAACTGACATCATATACACGCACGAATGAACGACTTCGCCTGACGCCATGTTTTTACTTTATTTTACAATCTCGGCTGACGAAGCTGGCGTAATAAACACATTGTTGTGCAGCTCCATCCGACGTCATGCGCATATTCTAAATAAAAGCATATGCCCGGAACTTGAATCCACCGTATTTGTTTTTGTGGTAGAATTGGAAGACAATGTGTACCAAAACAATCCTCAGACATCAAAAAAGCAACCACTTCTAAATGTAATGCTAAAACAGAGCTGAATATGTACGGGTAATTTCCCATATGAATCCAGCTCTACCTTTGTCTCAATTGTGGAAAATTGGAGCATGAAATGTAAATGATGACAGCTCCTGGAGCAGTTGATTGGTTGTATTAAAACTTTCAGTGACAACTTTCCATAGAATTTTACTGATGTGTGCAAAATGTTATTGATGTCATTAGTCTAGTTTACGAGATATTGCAATTGCTTACTTCAATGGTCTCCTTTTTTCCGGTCAACCTGTACATTTCCATGACATGATTTTTATCTGACTCGTGGCCCTTAATATTTAGATAGAATCCTGTATGCCCCCGAGCGTATGGAACTCAGTCAACAAGACATGCGACATCCGAGTGAACGTACCGGAGTGCGCAAATGCACTGTGTGGCCCCGAGATGACCGATCCTCCATGTGACGATCCACCAAGCCAAGGAGACTGTTGCTCAAATGGAAACTATTTCCAGGTATAGATAATAAATGAATAAACACAAGGAGCACACGCGTCTCGAACTCACGTCTCAAACTCGCCCAAATCGCCTAGTCTGAACGTGCTGGCGCTCAAGCCCTCTCGGCCAACTCGACAACCCCAATAAAGGTTGTTTTGTTAGTCGATCAGACAAGAGGCAGCTGATGTTGACGCTCGAACACACCGGAGGCGTTTGTACAATCATATTGTCTTGACGCTCTCCATCAGTCAATAGGGAGTCTAAGCTTGCATAAACAATCGAAACGCCAACCTATACGTTTGACCATTCGCCCATACAACTGCATTGCTTAAATATTTTCCGTTCACGTTTACGTTGTGAAAAAACTGCAAGCTTAGACTCCCTAATATGTCATATGGCACTGCAACAAATGACACCATTCGAAAGCTAGAGAATCATTGTATGATCTGTTCATGACTCTTAACCATTACATTACTTTAATTACCCTTGCTGAAGTGTTATTTTAGTAATGTAACGTCAAACGTTTAAAGTGTAGGCTACGTTCCGGCTTTATATTTAATTGTAACACCAAATCGCTTCGTAAATTCCAGGCTGAAGCAGATCCCATCCAATACGTGATCGTTGGAGGGCCTGCAGCCTCCGACCGTCTACAGTTATGCCCCGTGGACATTGATGGCAATCAGCTCGTTTTTAACAATGACCCAGATACGTGTGCATGCGAGATAGATGCCGACTTTAAATAGTAATTTGCCTGCAAGATTATGATAATAAATATAAAATTCTTACAAATAACTTAGTTTTGTTGAACTAAATGATCATGCAATTGAAATATATACGTGTCTAAAAGATGCACCCATGTAGCTGAAGCATATAGGTTTTCTCCCCAAAACACAGTTTTTGGTTCAGTATTTGATGCTTAAACCCCCAGCAATGGTTGAATTATTGTATTTTATGGTGATTAACTTCACACAGCCGGGTGTCGGTATCAAACTGAATCTAGACTGTATTTTTGTATGCCCGCGGTGCTAGTAAATTGCGTTATGTTTTAATCAATTTTCTCCCCAGCATCACCAAAAAGAACAATAAGCCCTGCAGTTCTCATTACATGCCCATGTGTTTTCAACAAAAAGGATCCTTCAAGGGCACTAACACTCACATAATTCGTTTAAGACATCGCGGTTACTCCTGTGGTGCAGTAGCAACAACCCGGCGCCGTTGACATACGCGAGCAGCGTTAATTAGCGGTTTAAGTGCGCTTGGGTGAACTGATTTTGTTGAAAACGTGTGCGCATGTAATTTGCAACGCATGGGCTCATTGTTCTTTTTCGTGATACCAAGGGGGAATACTTATTGTATATTATGCAATGCACTAGGTATTTCAAGAACACAGCCCTAGTAAAAGTCACTTTTTCTTATATTATTTAAGCTGAGGGAAATTAACTGCAACTAGAAGTGATTGGTTGGTTACGTAAGACCATGGGTAATTGAAAGCCCATGGTAAGACAAGTTTCCTTAGAAGCGGACTCCTGGATTTTGATATACACTGTATACAATCATGTATCTGTAGTAATAAAGGATACGATAAAATTCAAAACAACATTAGGATGAAGAATAGATGGCGATAATTACCTCATTTTAGCGAGCAATATAATGAAATATTTGCCCTCGAGTCTAAATCAAAGATAAATATAGGCTATACAATATATAGTGCGTAGCAGTAGGCTTAGATTCAATCTGGCCGTACGGTCAACGCACGAATATCGTATGGCTCTACCCTGCGACCGCCTTTCAATTTGGTATTTATTAACGAGCTACTCCCTTCGTAGGGGCGCCTTGATGTGACCCTGCTTCATCATTTAAAACGCGTATGGCAACCGTTGTTTTTCATTTCTACACAAATTCAAAATGCACGGTATGGATGGCAAATGTGACTGCTAAAGTATCTGGCCCCAGAAATCTTTGGCCCCAGAAATTCTAAGGCGGCCGAAGGATCATGACTGGTCGCAGAAAAAAGATGAATGTTTGGATGGTCGGATCCCGTTGCTTAAATGTCGCTGCTAAAATATCTGACAGCGGATGTTCTAAGACGCACAGATACAATAAACTGTACGGTCGACGTGGGAAAGGTGACTTGGACTTTATGTCTTGATGATTATGGGGCATACGAGGCCCGGCTAAAGTTTGAGCAAAGAGTCCACTGTATAAAGGTTTGAATGACGGACAATTCAAGTTAAGTTAAGTTTAGGGCTCTTGTTCCAAAGATTTCGATCTCTACAGCCAAATCCAAGATATTTGGTACCAAGTGTGATATATCATTGGAAAGGTCTTCCAAAGTTACGTTGATTGGCATATATCTGACACATGTCAATCAAGCTCACCAATTTTTACATTGTATCAATTGAGAAGACCATATGCCTAGAAACATGGCAATTTGGCGTATTTGGCCGGATTTTAAGAATCGGGTATTGGAAAGGTCAACGGACCAAAAGATGACTAAATATGTTTATGGCGATGAATTTAAGCAATTTCTGGATAGGGTTAGATGTTCAGAAAATAAAGGTGCAAGGAAAGTTGTGAAAACCTTTTTGTAACAAGTAAAATGCGAAAAAGATGAACTTTTTGACGTATTTCTGAGGTCATATCCTTGTCATTTTGACGCAAAAAAGCTACTAAAAAGAGGGCATGTTAACTATAAAAGACATAATAAAAATATAGGTAAATTTCATTCAAAACACTTGAGAGTTGGTGAGTTAACATAACTTTGGATGATCTTTCCAATGGTATATCACACTAAGTACCGTCTGTTAAGGTTCTAGCTGTAGCAGGGGGGACGGGACTTATTTGACACCCTGTATAAGTTTGCATAATCAGGATTTTGCGCTTTCATTGCGTAATGTTATTGCATTATATTATACAATAGTTACGTAATCGTATCTTTTGTATACAATTACGCAACCTTTTTATCGATAGATAGCCGTCTCCCCATGCCAAAAAGTTTTGTAAATATGGAAACTTACACATGTTCTTTGGATATAAATGTATGTCCTTCACTGCATAAATCGTACATTTTACATTTCTTCAAATATTCATTAAAAACGTCTCGGCATGTTTGTTATTTATTTCTAATATAAACTTTCAATGTCAAAGTTTTTCACCTTGAAACGACTGCTCAATAGAGAATGTCAGACTTTTTAAAACCTTCAGTGTGAATTGCTATAAAACACAGATGGACTAAATACGAACCAAAACGCGACAAAACAGTTAAAAAGTAACTATTACATTAATTATACACATAGGCTTGTGGTCACAGTAATTTTGCTATGGAGAACCTAACGAATATAAACGATCCGCAGAGGTTGTACGATGAGCTGAAAACAGATTTTGACAGTGTAAAGAAAAATTTGGATATATTCTTTCTTGTTGTTGTAGCATGCATCATATATTGTGAGTATTGTAACTATGTATTCTCTCAAGTAAATTATCTCAATATGGTTCACAAGTGTAACAAGTGTATATATAAATTAATTAAATTCGACACCTGACGAGGAGGGGGCTCTGTGTAGTTCATCTTGCTCGAGGCAACAGAGGAACAGAGAAATAAGACGCATTCTTCTTATACATCCCGCCATTAGTTTGGCTACCTTAGCTCCCCCATTGGATTGCGCCTCTTTATGTTTGGATTTTTAGGTACATAACCTGCGATGAAAATATTTAAAACAAAGGTGGACATATAGTTTTACTTTATTTCCCATACCTCAATTTTTTCCAATTCTTTCCCTCTATTACAATAGTCGAAAATTGATGTCTTTGAAAATCGACATTCCAATGTAAACGAATGGGAAAGGCAAATCAGATTTCAGGATATCTATTCAGTAAAAAATCATCAAAAAATATTTTTATGTTGTAAATTGAATTGTCTTATTTTTTCCAGGAATATTTCTTACTTCACTTTATGAACATTAAAGTCGCATAGCTTCAAAGTCTTTTTTTTTAAATCATTTATCGCCTCCTGTGTTACTTTAAGGGGAGAGGTTTTTGAAAAACAAATTTGACTTTGACTTGAATATAATCTGGACACATGTCAATTTTTGGTTAAATAAAGTTAGCAAATTCATTTGAATACTAAATTAATCTTTTTTTGCGAGAACTTGGATGGATGGATATTCTGCCATACGACGTGTGGCAAACCTACCATACATTGGTTTACATGGGATCGTCGATTTTCAAAAGTAATCAAACTTGTCATCAATTTTCGACCCATTGTAAATGGTGACCAATTTTAGAACATTTGGAGGTTTTGGAAATTATACCAATTTATATTTCCAGCCCTAAAAGTAGTTTATTCTTTACAGATTATGCAAATAAAAATTCAAACATAAAGAAGCTTAACACGTATTCCAATGGAGAATTTAGGGTTGCCAAACTTATGGAGGGGAGTGATTTTTGTCATGTCATGTTATTTTCTTGGCATATGTTCACCATAACCTCTAATATGCCTTTTCCAAGATTTGAAAAAAAATATTAAATGGAAACCTCGTACATAAGAAATCAAAAATGCAAAAATATTCCTTAAAGGGCTAAGAATAGATCGCTTGCGAACCAAATCTTAAAAATATATATCTGTATGTCGAAATAACACATTAACCTTATTACGTGTTTAAAGGTAAACAGAAATAAACGAGCGTTAGTATTTTTTATAGGTAAAAGTTGAATACAAGACATTAGTGCAGCCTTCAGAGAATTACTGATGCGAGGTTAATGATAAAGTAGAGGGAAGCTTTATTTTGATAGAAAATATATTACCCGTTTATGTGACTTGTATGCACTAAACAAGTATAAGTTCAAGTGTAAGCCCATGTCCTAATGAAGACCGAAGTAGGGAAACTGAGTATTAACCTTTTTTCCTTTTTGTATATAATAATTGGATTTTATTATTACTGATGCCCTTTTAGGGCCAAACGTACATCCGATATACAATTTTCAATAACAGTATATAGCAATAAAGTAAAGACAATAGGATTACATTCTTCAAATGACATAGAAAATGTTACTTTGATATAAGAATCCTGTCTCTACCAATCATTAGATACTTTATCATGTCAGCAGATTCTTTTAATATGATCCCCTCACTCGTCAATAGAAAAATTGTCTTTTGGTGGTCATTCATGTTTTTAAAATTACTACACAGGTTTTCAAGTTTTTCAATATGGGATTTTCTGATAAACTCCAATTTTTTACATTTGAATAAAAAGTGTGTTTCATCTTCTATAGCCGAGTCCTTACATATTTTTTGGTATCGATATGGTGAACTGAATTCAACAATGTTTTTCTCTTTAACCAATTATTGAAAATATTCTGTAAAAAACACTTTTTAAAAAGCGGAGATATTTTCTAAATGAGGCGTAAAACTGAAAATGGTAGTTTTAATTTTTCCTTTAATAAATATACTAATTCATTCTATTTATGTGATTACTATTTTCGAAGTAACATATTTAAAGTTGTTTAAGGATTTAAGCCCTGGACTCTCAGTAAATTGTTGGCTGAATCATACCATGAAGTTGTTGTTTCCAAACCTTTACATGACCGCGCGGCGGGAATGCAAAGTTCAGGAAACAACGACTGGGTGGAATGAAGCAGCTACAATGCATTGAGTTTTGGGCTTAAATTCTTTTCACACATTGCAATTGTTTCTACAAAATCATCCAAAAGGAACGAAATCACTAAAAGAACACATTTTAAATGACATTTTTTGCAAGGGTTAAGTTGGCAAGTCATCAAATCCAATGTGAAAAGTCCACCAGAATACTAGTTCAAATCTTTTGGATTGCTAATTATGGATTTATAATCAGTTATAATGTCAGAAAATAAAGACATTTTCACTGTTGTCGTCGATCAAAGTCAAGGTCACAAGAATATCGGCCATTCATTTGTGCGATATTTGCCGCGGAAATCAGCGCCGACAAATTGTTAGGAGATTTAAAAATATCAAGCTGGAACCCTGGGAGCCAAACTTCGTTGATGTTATTATCTAGAAAGATTAGAGGAAAGTTACCACGCAAAAACTAAGAGCATTAACTAATTGTTAATTTTACAGAATGAAGGCAGATGTATGCGAATATCCTACCTTATTGGCCAATATTGCATTTCAAATCCCGAGCCATCCCGTGGGGAGGCGGTTTTCTCAAACTCACTTAACATTAACATTAATTTGTTAACTGTTTTTCAGTTATGCAATGTGGATTTGCGTTACTGGAATGTGGAGCTGTAAGGAGCAAAAACACAACCAACATTCTTATCAAGAATCTCTTAGATTCATGTACGTATATATTTGATTAATTTTCTCCCAATTTCAACAACATCAAAAATGTCTACTCATTCTCAAATCCCTTAGTGCCATTGATACACCCCTTGTAAACAAAAAAAGTTATGCATTTATTTTTATTGTATTTTAATTGTTTGAATTGGATATCCTGAGCGGAGAGTTAAGTTTAGTTTCACTTATTGGAAACGTATCTGGTCGTCAACAAAGGGCTGCAAAGGGCTGCAAAGAGTGTGTGAGTGTAAACTAATGCCAAACGAGTACAAATGACTGTTAATGATGAGTGTGTGAGTGTAAAGTAATATCAAACGAGTACAAAGGGCTGTTAATGGTGAGTGTGTGAGTGTAAACTTATGTCAAACGAGTACAAAAGGCTGTTAATGATGAGTGTGTGAGTGTAAACTAATGTCAAACGAGTACAAAGGGTTGTTAATGATGAGTCAAAGAGTGTAAACTTATGTCAAACGAGTACAAAGGGCTGTTAATGATGAGTGTTTGAATGTAAACTAATGTCAAACGAGTACAAAGGGCTGTTAATGATGAGTGTGTGAGTGTAAACTAATGGCATACGAGTACAAAGGGCTGTTAATGATGAATGTGTGAGTGTAAACTTATGTCAAACGAGTACAAAGGGGTGTTAATGATGAGTGTTTGAATGTAAACTAATGTCAAACGAGTACAAAGGGCTGTTAATGATGAGTGTGTGAGTGTAAACTTATGTCAAATGAGTACAAAGGGCTGTTAATGATGAGTGTGTGAGTGTAAACTAATGTCAAACGATCACAAAGGGTTGTTTATGACGAGTGTTTGAGTGTAAACGAATGTCAAATTAGCACAAATGGTTGTTAATGATGAGTGTGTGAGTGTAAACTAATGTCACACGACTACAAAGGGCAGTAAATGATGAGTGTGTGAGTGCAAACTAATGTCAAACGAGTACAAATTGTTGTTTATGATGAGTGTTTGACTGTAAACTAATGTCAAACGAACAGAAAGGGTTTTTAATGATGAGTATGTGAGTGTAAGCTAATGTCACACGAGTACAAAGGATTGTTTATGATGAGTGTTTGAGTGTAAACTAATGTAAAACGAGTACAAAGGGTTGTTAATGATGAGTGTGTGAGTGTAAACTAATGTCAAACGAGTACAAAGGGTTGTTAATGATGAGTGTGTGAGTGTAAACTAATGGCATACGAGTACAAAGGGTTGTTAATGATGAGTGTGTGAGTGTAAACTAATGTCACACGAGTACAACGGGTTGTTAATGATCAGTGTTTGAGTGTAAACTAATGTAAAACGAGTACAAAGGGCTGTTAACGATGAGTGTGTGAGTGTAAACTAATGTCAAACGAGTACAAAGGGCTGTTAATGGTGAGTGTTTGAGTGTAAACTAATGTCAAACGAGTAAAAAGGGCTGTTAATGATGAGTGTGTGAGTGTAAACTTATGTCAAACGAGTACAAAGGGGTGTTAATGATGAGTGTTTGAATGTAAACTAATGTCAAACGAGTACAAAGGGCTGTTAATGATGAGTGTGTGAGTGTAAACTAATGTCAAACGAGTACAAAGGGCTGTTGATGATGAGTGTGTGAGTGTAAACTAATGTCAAACGAGCACAAAGGGTTATTAATGATAAGTGTGTGAGTGTAAACTAATTACAAAGGGCTGTTAATGATGAGTGTGTGAGTGTAAACTAATGTCAACACTACAAAGGACTGTTAATAATGAGTGGGTGAGTGTAAACTTATGTCAAACGAGTACAAAGGGCTGTTAATGTTGAGTGTGTGAATGTAAACCAATGTCAAACGAGTACAAAAGGTTGTTAATGATGAGTGTGTGAGTGTAAACTTATGTCAAACGAGTACAAAGGGCTGTTAACAATGTGTGTGTGAGTGTAAATTAATGTCAAACGAGTACAAAGGGCTGTTAATGGTGAGTGTAAACTTATGTCAAACAAGTACAAAGGGTTGTTAATGATGAGTGTGAGTGTAAACTAATGTCACACGATTACAAAAGGTTGTTAATGATGAGTGTGTGAGTGTAAACTAATGTCACACGAGTACAAAGGGTTGTTTATGATGAGTGTTTGAGTGTAAACTAATGTCAAACGAGCACAAAAGGTTGTTAATGATGAGTGTGTGAGTGTAAACTAATGTCAAACTCGTGCAAAAGGTCGTTAATGATTAGCTGGCGTGTGCAATCTAATGTCAAACGAGTGCAAATGGTTGTTTATGATGAGTCAGTGTGTGTAAACTTCTATCAAACTTAACGAGTGCAAGTAGGGTTGTTAATGATGAGTGGGTGAATATAAATTAATGTCAAACAAGTCCAGTGGGTTGTCAATGATACTTGGGTGAGTGTAAACTAATTCCAAACGAGTAAAAAGGATCAATTATAAGTTGGTGAGTGTAAACTAATGTCACACGTCGCAAATATTTCTTTAACACAGGTATAGGTGGACTTTCATATTGGATATTTGGATATGCATTTGCATTTGGACCGGAGGGCAACGCCTTCATCTCATGGAAGCATTTTGCCTCTGAAGGGATGGACCCCGATGGTTACGCCCATTGGTTCTTCCATTTCGTATTTGCTGCAACCGCTGCGACGATCGTAAGTGGCGCCGTAGCAGAACGATGCGACTTCATAGCTTATTTTGCATACAGCATCGCAATTACAGGTACTGAGTTAAAACAAGAATGATTGGCAGCCAGAATGCAACATCAATATTTTCCAACAAAGCTAGCGCCATTAAAGTCTGACAAATTTTGTGGCTATAAATTTACAATTAGCGATGAGAAAGATTGAGAAATGGCGACTCTTTAAGTTTGAATTTTGTACATGGCAACGATGCCCCTATATGGCACAATATCGGAATTGCATTCTGGGATCCAATCCTCTTTGGAGTTAAAAAACATACTAACATGGTGATATGATCTGGATAGCGCTATACGTTTTTTCATATTTGTGTGGTCTTCTCAACTTTATGAACTCAAAACTTCAGCTAAGCCTAATTGTGGGGGGTTGTACACTCAATAACGGTAAAAACAAATCATCCATGAGCTTATCAAGTACACGAAGATTAACATATCTTTTTGGCAACAATATTTAGGTCATATAACCCGTCTGCACTTAAGAACTACTCGTTGACACATTGTTCTTGGCAGTCTGTTCATTTTCATTACATAAACAGAAGAGAGAAAGGGCACTAAGTGGGCAATCTGAAATCCGTCCCATGAAAATTGCTCCTTAGATCTGAATATGCCTGTATAGATATACAGGGTGTTCAGGAAATAAAGATAATAATGTCATAACTTTTTTATTTGTTCATGGATTGCATTGAAAGTTTCAGAGATTATAGTTTTAATACATGCATTTTAAATGAATAGATTTTTGCACACCCTTTCGAGCTTCAGAAGATATATAGGCCTACCTTTATGTCTAAAGTGCATTTCCGTCAATAAGCTTGGCACAAGATCAAGTCAAGTCACTTTGGATAAGTTATCAAATCTTGATTACGTTAAGTGATTCAAAAATCATCAAATTTGTTTCGAACCTCAGTGCTATTGTTATTATGTGATACACCCCCTATCCGTACTCTGAAATAACGGTACCGCACGGTACATAAGCGTATGGTACCGTATTGTGCTGTGCGGGTAAGGTGCCAAACAATGTTCATGGTCTGTATGATTTTGTTTAAGCCTACGATATCGTGCGGTGTCTTATTTTACGGTGCTTTTTGCCAACCACAGTACTGCTAGAATCTATAGCTGTGTAAAAAATTAAGATTTAAATATTATAATTATAATTTCCAGGCTTTAATATGTTATCCATTCAAACTTCCGATTGTCAAGCTAATAGAAGGAAGGAAAGCTGTTCCACTATTTTGAGCTGAATGTATTCTTTATCCTCAATATCCTCCCCTCAGCTGGACTAATGCACATCGACAATTCTCAAATATAGTCATGAGGGACAGGCACTAGAAAAGTCTGCTAATTCCTTTATTGCATTTTTAAGACAAATTAAATGGAATCTAAACAAGATTTATTTATGCTAGGATTTGTGTACCCCGTTGCTTCACATTGGGCCTGGGACGAAAAAGGTTGGTTGTATCAAGGGGTGACGTTCAACGAGACAATGGGGAATGAAACCGTCGAAGTTAATGTGGGATTCCAGGTATTATATTAATTAAGCTACTAGTTCTTGTGACCTCCACGCTACTCAACTTATTGGGGGTTACACTTGACTTGGAGCAAGACTAGTATTATAAATAAGACAAAATAACAACACCACGCAGTTGAAGTGGTCGTTTCGTTCAGTACACAGTGACATTATTAAAGTTGATGCAATCTGGGCTTGGTCCACTTTTCTGAACCGTTTTGCTCTTGCTGAAAAATGAATGAATGGTTTTCATTGATATATTGATTATGAGACCATTTGAAATATTGTTTCATTTACGGAACTATAAAAGTAAAATGCAGGAAATTGCATATGTTTTCCTGCGTGGAATGAAAACATTTGAAAGATGCATAACTATTCAACTCAATAGAATGGAACAGTTAACTTTCGCCTGATGCTTTATATTACTGTTTCAGGACTTTGCTGGTAGCACTGTCGTCCACCTATTGGGCGGTGCTTCGTCTCTCGTCGCTGCGTTCATACTTGGCCCGAGGATTGGTCGCTTTGAAGATGGATACCCCGTTGAAATTAAGGGCCATTCTGTTCCCGTCAGTATCTATATTTATATAATAATTAACCATGTCTGGCAACTGGTCGATATGTTGAATCCCCAACATTGTTCGGTGATTTGAACGACCGCATTCAACGATGTCCCAATCCAGGGGTCGAGACAGGATTAAGAATGAGACGCATCGAATTTGGCAATACAACTTTGAGAAAAAAGAAAATAACAATATCATAAATTAGGGTTATGTTATGGGAGGTTTTGAAAATGGGGTATATCCTGAGGGAAATATAGATATCAAAGTTAATGCGACTGTGCCTTTTAACCCTTTCACGACGATAGGCTCCATATGGAGCCCTATTATGTAATACCTTTCAGGACGATAGGCTCCTTTTGGCACCATTATTTTTATTTATATACATCAATGAAATGACAATATCTCCAGTTCTATTCAGTATTTTTACACCAAATTTCGACAAGTTGTTCTAATGTGATAATCCTTACTATAAATTGTATTTCAGTGATAAAATTCAGGGTATAGGTCCCAGGGCGTACGTATTTTGCAGTTTTCTTCTAAATACTGCTCTTACTTATCCGTCACCAGAGCCAACATTTTCCTCTTATATTCACGTCGGGAAAGGGTTAATATATTTTTACATTGTGGTTAACGTTGTTTAATTTATGTTCTTGTAGTTAACTGCGATCGGTGGGTTTATTTTGACATTTGGGTTCTTTGCCTTCAATGGAGGCTCACAGGGAGCAATTTCAAATGCAGGTACAACTGTAAATCATTGAGGAATTACCATGTGTACATGTATACTATATACGGAATGAAAACATAATTTTGCAACATTTTAAACGTCCGAAATACGAGGGCCGTTCAAAAACACTTTTAGAAATGTTGTGATTTCTAGGTTTTATGAAGGAATCACATTGACCTTTTCAGAGATTGAAGGCAAAATACAAGTTATCACGCTCAAACACATTTACCATTAAAAATTTATTATTATAGCCGAGAAGGCAACTTGAGAATAATGTAATATCACGGGCTATATCCTTCTTGAATTTAACAATCTGATGATGGTGCAGTATGTAGCACGTGGTCAACTTGTCATTGATTGTAATATACTACTCTTAATGTGCTACTATAGGAGATGGAGGCGCAGTGTGCCTATCTATGGTGAACACTGTCATTTCTGGAAGTTTCGGAGCTATAACCGCCCTGATTTTAAAGAAAATGGGGATATTTGGGAGGGATCGTAAATGGAGTATACTCGTAACGATAAATGGAGCATTAACAGGAATGGTAAGTCTGTATTTCAGCTTTACCTTTGTCAAACTGCGCTACGAGTTATGAATGAAATAAGCGTTGACAACTTTAGCAAACATACGAGAAACAATTTTTGATTAGAATTCATTTGTTTATTCAACAGATGACAATATACGTTCATGCATTTAGGTGTCGATTTGCGCTGGCTGTAACGTTGTTTATCCATGGGGCGCTGCAGTTACTGGCGCCATTGGAGGCCTCACGTTTCTCCTTTGGAGCCACCTCATTCTGAAGTGTAAGATTGACGATCCACTCGACGCAGTGGCTGGTGAGTGCAGTGATTTATTTCTATCAAGGTCGAATACCAAAACGTGCCGACGTTCGCAATTTTAGGGAATTGACGTTTGTATGATAATTTAGTTTTCTGTTTGTTTCGTCCGTACATTACTACATAGGCGTACTCTCTATCTGTTATTCTTGACATCCTTGAATCGATCAGTTGTTTTGTAAGTTAGTTTCTACTCCCCATAAACATCTTTGATCACGATACTCTTGATATCTACATTGTTTTTGCAAATGAAGTCAGCACATCCAGTGACTGTCTATGTCAGTAAATGCATGGACTTTCAAGCCCAAGCTTACTGTAATTAATTTCTCTCATAAGTCCATAAGTCGGCAACGGCTCGACATGTTTGTTGAAATGTATTTTATTTGATGTATTTTAACTGTATAATATGTGTGACTTTTAACTATTCTTATTAACTAGCTAATTGTAATGTTGTGTTTGTTTCGCATAGTACATATGGGGGGTGGAATCTGGGGAACGATTGCTGTCCCAATATTTATGGCACCTGAAAAGGACGGCTCAAATCCCGGGATATTGTTTGATATTTCGTCTAGAGCACCTTGGATGGTAAAGGCATTAATTTCTATGACTTTATAAACAATCGATTGAACTTTTTAACTTCAAAACTCACAAATTACCTTATTTCTTTATTTAATTTTTGTTATTTTTATAACACTTTTCGCATGTGCATTCATAAGTAAACCTACTTAGATTGTTTCTGATTTCAGCTTTTAGGATAAAATTTTGTGAGAATCCAAACTTGTAGAAACGTCTAATTATCTGGTATGTTTTTTTTTCATTCCAGCGCTTTGGATGGAATGTTGCAGGAATGGTATCGATCTTTGTATGGGCATTCGGAATTAGTGCTATCATGTGGCTGATTCTTCGGCTGCTGAAATTGCATCGAGTCAGCGAAGAGATCGAGACAAAAGGCGAGATATAGTTTTCTCACTAAACCTCAGTCACATTTGCGCTACGGTGGTCGTACGGCGGTCGTAGTTTCACAAAATCGATAAAGACAATTTACATTGTACTGCCTATCCCTGTATTTTATGCTGCATATTTCTCTCAATTTTCGAAAGCTAGGACCGCCTATTGCCGTTGATCAATTGTAATCAAGGCATTAGTTACCATTAATCCATTTTTTAGTTCCACTGAAATCACATAGCATATTTTAAAGGATTTATAATCGTTTCAACATGACTGGTTGTAATTTTTATTTACATTTTCTTGCTGTGAGACGTTCTAGTTTCGCACTCCATTGAATTTGAGTAAATAATACTTGATTTTACAATACTGAAATGTCATTTGTTGATTGTTTGGAAACATTTTCTGATAATTAGTTAACTCAATTTAATTGTTTAACAAAACAAGGTAACCATCTCTTTTAATCTTGCTGTATTTGCCAAAGATTCCATTAAATACTTCACGTCTTTTCTCTATTTGCCATTGCAACTTTTATTTTTATATTATTACAGGTCTAGACATGCCTAAGCATGGAGAGTCCGCTTACCCAGCAGAGGCTTATAGACACGTTTGTCCTCTACTGGCTATTGCACCTAAAACGTTTTAATTTTATATTTTTATAGGTCTAGACATCCCTTAGCATGGAGAGCCCGCTTAACCAGCAGAGGCTTATGGACACGTTTGTCCTCTACTGGCCGTTGCACCTAAAACGTTTTAATTTTATATTTTTATAGGTCTAGACATTCCTAAGCATGGAGAGCCGGCTTACCCAGCAGAGGCTTATGGACACGTTTGTCGTCTACTGGCAATTGCACATAAAACGTTTTATCTTTATATTCTTATAGGTCTAGACATCCCTAAGCATGGAGAGCCTGCTTACCCAGCAGAGGCTTATGGACATGGCTGGGAAACAAAAGGTGAGTTCTTCACTTTAGGTCATGTGAGTGTTTAAATTACAGTCTTACATGTGTACAGTGACATCTTAATGACTTACAGTCTTACAGTGGCATCTTAATGACTTACAGTTTAAACTAAGGAATACACCCTCCTTCAAAAGCTTGATAAGTCTTACAGTGACATCTTAATGACTTACAGTCTCACAGTGGCATCTTAATTTTAGCGGTTTGCTTCATGTGTAGTTTGGTAGGCTCATGAAGAAATTCAAATATTATTTTTGAATTGGGCTCGCTTTTGGAGAAAACGGAAACCATCAACGGCATACTTTGTGTTTGCGCATGCGCTTTTGGATGTGACATGGTACACCTGTTCCCTTTGCTCACACATTTAGAATTAATTAATAAAAAACAATAATTGATGAATAATTTTAGGTTCAGCATTGAAAGAACTTGCCGGAAAAAGCATGTCCGAAACAATGTTCGGTGACAAAACAGGTAAGTACAAATTGAAAAGAATTTTGTCAGTTGTTGAATTCGGCATTCTTGAGGCGGAAAATAATCAGGCATGTGCTTCTCTGGATCTTAAATTATATTATATGCCTTATTTTTCATCCTCATATTCTATATTCCTAATTTTTATGCCATATCGATCTATATATCACCGATCCATATCGTTTGATTTATCTTCCTAGAAATAGCACCTTATACTCGCCTACAACCAACCAAACCGATCATATTCTATATGGTCATTTCATCAACACGGTTGATTTGATAATGATCTAGACTAGAACTGCCAAGGCACTGGCAATGGGGGAGGGGCGCTGAATAGTTAATAGTATAGTTTTCATATAGCTTTTGAAATCTCGTTAAATCTCGTTTTTCGTGAGATTTTAAGAGATTTGCATATTAGATTTCTAATGATTTACATTTCCTTCTTTTAAGTGGCATATTTCAATTCAGTGAAATGTTTTCTCCTATAATAGCTTTGATTTACACAGTTATGTAATTTGAATAATTTCTCATAACTTGGGCCAAATCTTCATTGATGCAATGCTAAAATTCTTTAAAACCTTGGATTTTTTGTATGTCAACCAACATTTGCATGTTTAATCACAACATGTACATTAACAGGGTCATCATATGGTATTTCATTCAAGTTGTTCATTGATACAACTAACACTTTTTTGATAAATCATGAAATTAAGGCACTATTCCAAGATTTTAACATGTAAGTGAATGCAACTCTAGCCCAAATTAAGAGCTGAATAAAAGATGGCAGCACTATATTTCATTGCTTTTTCTGCTATTTAGAAAACTATCCTATTGCGCTCAGCAGAGTAAAATTACTTATTTTCCAATTTGCCAATATTTAGAGCTCCTTTTTATATTCAATTCTGTTTGACAATTCTATTTCCCCTGCGTTTTCAGCCAGTGTAAGGAAACGTGTTTCTCAACGTATGGAATCAGACAAGATGATGGAAAACCCCGAAGCCCACGCGATCTTCAAAAGCGATCAGGAAAGATCTGACCGTAATTCGAGCGGCCCCAGTGACGGGCATGTTAATGCTGCTTTAGATACCAGTCAACTGTGATAATATGTTACATAAGACATTGTACCAGGACTCCCATTTTATTCCCAAAACTGGAACACATGTGATATCATCAGTTAATGGGTCATCGTTGATTTTATTTTTTGCTCATTTGTTTGATTTGTCGTGGTGTACTATATACATTAGCCTTGCCCAAGTCGGTATTTTTTTACTAATCTGATTTTGAATTAATAGAAATCAAGATAAGTTAAAGAGACCGACTTTGGCAAGGCTATTTATACATGTATATTAACCTTGGTTAATAATTATGTAGATTAGCCAGGGAAATATTAAGCAATAAAGCTTTACCGTTATCTCTAAGGATTAGCTTTAGGGATTAGCTTTACATGGATTCCTTACCATATTGGAAATTACTCACCCCCCCCCCGTCATACCGATGTAGTCAATCATTTAACTGCTGGTTTAACCATCATATACACTCCCCTCCATAAGTTTGGCAACCTTTTTCCCCCATTGAACTACATGTTAAAGCCTCTTTACGTTTGAATTTTTATTTACTTAACCTGCGATGAAATAACTTATAATATTAATGGAAACGTAACTTGACTTTATTTCCAATACCTCCAAACTTTCTCAATTTTTTTCCTCGATTACAATAGGTCGAAAAGCGATGATAAATTTGATGAATTTTTGAAAATCGTCATTCCCATGTAATCCAATGGGAAATGAAGGGTTCGGGGCAAATCAGAAATCAGGATATATTTTCAGTAAAAAATTCAGCAAAAAAAATTTTTATATAGAAAATTGAATTGTCTAACTTTTTGAACACTAAGTGTTTAGTTTATTTGATGAATATTAAAGTTACAGCGCTTCAAAGTCATTTTTGAAAATAATTTTTCGCCTCCTGTGTTATTTCAATGGGAGAGGTTTTTTGAAAAACAATTTTGACTTTAAAGCCCTATAACTTTGTTGAACCTGAAGAAACATATCAATTTTTGTTAAATAAAGTTAGCAAATTCAATTGCCTGCCTAATAGAGGTCGCAACGGTACTGAAAACCAGTACCGGTAACCGTCACGCTAATAACCGTACCGTTACCGAAATACCGGTAAAATATGTAAGATAAAATGCCAATGCGCTGCCAATGTTTGTTCCTAACTCTCTCCGTAGCTTCTCAAGTCTAAATGCCATGGTGCAAGACCGATTTTGAACCCATACTGATGAACTTCACGAAATAGTATGTAACTATCTTACGAATCAAGATGTATTTTAGTTTTAAATTAAATGTATTTACACGTCGCACGAAACTGGGGACAATTAGCGTAACATTATGGCGTCAAAAAAACAAAACAAAACAATGAGCAGTATAGGGCGCAAACAGCCTTACAACGTCAAAAACGACAAGCGTCACATTTTTTACAAGTTTAGTCAGCCTCAAAATAAAATACTTTATCCTTATCTAATCATTACAAAATTTACAGGGTAGCAAGATCTCGAGGACAATATTTCTAAAATGTTTTTGAATTTTGAAAAACGGTCAAGAAATCCACTTGGGGCGTTAGTAAAAATTGATATGTATGGAATTTGTGGTAAAAAATCGATGCGTCACATTTTTTCTCGAAAACCAGCTCTTATTTTGATATTATTTGCAAAATAAACAAACCGGTTATTGTTTTGTAAATTTCGCCATGACAATATTGTGCAGTTAAATTTTCTTTCAAATCAGACCTAAATTAGAAGGTTAAATGAAGGTAAACTTATTGCTCGTCCCATTCGCCTTCAAAACCTTACACAATTTTGAAAATTTTAAAAGCGTTCGTATAAGATAATTTGAAATGTAGCCGTTAAGCAATTGTGACGTCATGAATGCAAATGTTCCATTGAATAAATTGTGAAATTTAAGTGGGATTTTGATCATTATTTCAAAAGTTATCTCAATTTCAACGAGCCCTGTAAGCGTAAAGTGTTACGTCTTACAGCGTATTTGACGATGTCGGAGTATATTTAATTTTAAAAATGTGTTGGATCCCATCAAAATTTTGAAGGAAAAATAATTTCATTGAAATGCGAATAAAAAATACTTCAAAATGATATGTAAAACACATAGTTGGCTTTTTAAATAAGGCAGAGATTAACGTTCAAAGCTAAGATAAGCCCGCATTTCCCGAATTGTCCCCAGGTCCGTGCACGTCATAATTACACATTTCAAATATCCTGATGTGGTGAGTTTGGCTGAAACATATCATATTCCTGCGTCATCCGTGTCAAGTGAACGTCAGTGCAGTGCAGCTGCTAACACCATCACTTCCAAACGGGCACGACTTCAACCTCAGGTTGTCAATGCGTTGTTCGTAAATGACTATAACATAATTCAGTTTCTGGATCTGACGTTGACAACTACGCCGGAACTGCCAAACAACCAAATCTGAGCATGAAGCTACTACACCCGAACTGCCAAACATGGACATCACACCTGAACTGCCAAACATGGAAATCACACCTGAACTGCCAAACATGGATATCTAAATGTCTATGTAAACGTACGCATCGTGAAAGTGGAAATTAAACGAAATGATTAAAAAAACGACGTGTCTTTTATTTCCCCGGGGATTATCGTCGGTTAACCGGTTAATAATTTCAATACCGGTAAATGCTCAATTCCGTACCGAAACCGTATAACCGGAATTACCGTCAGCCTCTACTGCCTAACTCGTATTTTTTGCAAGGACTCGGATGGATGGATATTCTGTCATATGACTTGCGACAAACCTACCATTTCCCATTGGTTAATATGGGAATGTCGATTTTCAAAAATTCAACAAATTTATCATGATTTTGCGACCTATTGTAATTGAGGAAAAAAATTGAGAGGTATTGGACTTCAAATTACGTTTCCATCAATAGTATAAGTATTTTCATCCTAGGTTAAGTAAATAAAAATTCAAGGGTAAAGAGGCTTTTACACGTAGTTCAATGGGGGAAAAAAGGTTGCCAAACTTATGGAGGGGAGTGTATATCTACTTTTTGAAGCCAGATAGGAACAAATATTTAAATGTAAAATACTGTTGTATTAAAAATGTTTGATGAACAGCGGTGACAAAGCTAAGATGATTTTATACATGAATACTAGTTAATTAAGAGATATATGAAACGATGTGTATGATTCTATGGGCATTTAAACTTTGAAACACCATTTTCTAACTGATTTTCTGCTTTTATGGTGAAGGCCTGTTTACAGTTGGTTCGTTATTCAGCTCATTGAACAAGTTAGGTAGATAGTACTATTTATTTTTAAGTCAATGAATTATTCAATAATTTTAAAATAAATAGTTTTTAGTTTAAATAAACTATTTTAAACTAAAACTGTTTATTATTAAAATTAATGAATATTCAATTTTTGCCTATATGTTCATAATTCTGTAGTATAACCTGTTGTATAATAGCTGCCATCGTTACACTCGTGTGATATTTTTTAAAATTATAGGGATGGCTTAGCTAGGCTACCCAGCTTCCAAAAGTCTGAAATATTTTTTTAGTTCGCAATTCCGGGTATGCAATTCATTCAATATCGATCCATATTAGTCTACTTTTGGAGCAAGTGTATACAGAGAAGAACATTATATGATTGTTGATGTCATTTTATCAGTAATCCCCTGTCGCACCAACCTAGTTCATATAACCGTTCTTTCCAGTCCTACAACAAGTGGTAAAATGGGCTAAATCTGGCTGTGGTTGAGATAAATGTCTGAAATAATTAGCCATTGCATTTTTAAATGATTGAAAATTCTAAATCGTCTTTTCGTCCAAGGACGTTCATGAAGTTAGTAAATAGACCGTAGAAAGTTGCAGCTACGTTCTTTCCGTTCGCACACAGTTTAAACCCAGTTTGACAACATTTTGAAGAACGCAGTGGCAAGTACTTTTGTGCCATAGCTATATTATTGCTAACTCGTTCAGAAACAGTGTTTCATACGTCCTAAATCAGCTTAACCCATTTGCAAATAGCTCCACCTCGTTTTCTACACATCTACGGACAGTTCAACTCTTGCTAAAAAGGTTCCGTTGTAAGATTGAAGTAAAAAAGGATTGAAGAACGAAAATTCCGTTCGTAGTACGTCCAACTCGTTCCCAGTACGTTACCACACGCTCTGATTGCAGAACGCGACGACCACTAGAAAATTTCGAGTACGTTCATGAAAACCTCGGCCGATTATAAGTACGTCCAATCCGTTCATACACATGTACAGTTTAAGCCCGTTTTCGAGAATGCGGTGAGAACTGGCTTGATGTGACAGTAGTGATACAGTTAGTTCAAATCAGTATTATCTGAAAAGTATGTAACTTATACATGTACATTCCAAGATTAACCTCACATAGATAATATTTGTACACGATTTTTTATACAGAAACAAAGTATAATATGTATTGCAAAACCAAATAAATAATTATAACAATGGGATTGATTTGTTTTTTTGCCATTGTTTGACTTAAATGGGGACATTTATCACTATCTACTACAGATGATACGTCAGAAATCCTTTGCTACACCCCATTCGAAATAAATTCGTCAAAAAGGTACTAGTAAGTCCATCTATAGCGTATAGTTAATCGAATGGATAAAACGCATCCGCCTTTATTTAAGGTTGTATCCAATAGTGCATCAATATTAACAACCTACTATATATACACGATGTCTGCGACAGATTTTTGTTGTGCATAAAGTGTGGAAGGACATCGTCTTTTGCAACCGCTTATCATGTTAAGAATTAACCAACAACTATTATGAGCACGAGTGTACATGTTAATCGTCAGTATGAATTAATTGATTCTTTTAAATCTGTTAAATCAATGTCCACGTACCTGTACGTAAAATACGAACGTGACTGTGTTTTAAAATCAAAATCTAAGAGAAGCAAAAATGATAAGGAATGAAATAATGATTTTGACGCTCCAAATTACACTGTCAAAACAGAAAACGTTGTTTTGTTCTTTGTCTTGTGTAAAAAATGAATCAAATATGTTTTTGAAGAGTGGTATATAAAAAGGGTAGTCCGGTTTTTAATCGCCCACATCAATTAGTATAAATCAAGAAAGTGCTTGTGGCGACTCTCGTGTCCACATTGTCCAGTATAAAAGCTGATCTAATTTCCAGTTACATTAGCACTAAGATTACAAAATCAGGTAAGTTCAACAGTTTAAGTTATCATTTTTTGAAAATATTTCCATTTGATAAAATCTTTATATTTAATGTACGATACTTCAGACTTGATCAGATATTTTTTTAAATATAATTATCCAAAGCAAACGCATTGGTATGTTTATTTAAATGCCATAGTATAATTTTTACATTTTATTCTTTCTTTTGACTCATTTTTAAAATATAAGCTAGAAATGATATGTATACATTAAAAACCAATATATACAATATATATATAACATGATATAATTAATAATAAGATAATGGTATTATTTCAGGAATATATTTAATGCACTTTGAAACTAGAATAAACACGATTAGAATTTAATCATATCACACACTTTTTCAACAATTGAATGAAGGTTGTTTGGGGTTTCTAGAAGCACTCATCCTTTGGGATTATGCTAAAAACCCACCCAATAAAAAATATTATATATCAACACACTTTTTCAAAACAGCAGAGAAAACACGCGTTTTCAATTTAAAAGTTTTATTTTCGTAATTTCTCAAAATTAACATATTACACGAACATACAATCAAGGTACCTGCGTCTGCCAGGGATGTAGCATTATGCAGGATATTAAGCTACTTATGCCTCATTCACATTTGATTAACAGCAACTGTGCGGCGACCGTAGTTTCGTGAAGGAACGGCCGCCGTACGCCCGCCGTAGAGCAAATCTAACTGAGGCTTTAATTGCACCTTACTTATGAACCCAGGCTGAATATTATAACTGGTTCATTTGAAAATCTTAGACGACATCTATTATTCTCATTTTGTTACTGATATTTTTTCACAGTCGATATCTTTTATACTTTTATATATAATTCATATATGTTACCTATATAGAGATACATTGTTAAAATATCGTAAGTTATAACTTTAAAATAAGTCAGATTAACCAAATTACTATGGCGTTTCACTTTTTAATGGCTTAAATAAGGTTAATCTAATATCAAAATGTTCTTTTCTTTTCTGATGTTAATGCACACATTTTGATGAAAACATAGTTCGTATCTTATACGGTTCAAAAGTTGTGATTTAAAGTTCATAATATAAATATAAATATATATAAATTGTGTCAAAAGTATGTAAACTTTATATACTTTTGACACAATTTAAATTACCTATTAAGGTAACTTTACATTACACAAATTATCTATTCTAGAGTGTAATTTTACACGACACCGGTGCGTTCAAACACTCCAATCAATCACGTCTTCGACTATCTAATAGCTATCTCTCAGAAATCGAGTCCCAATGATAACGAATATAAAATCGTATATTTCAGCTCTTTCACCATGTTGCCGTTCGTTCTCCTCTTCGCCGCCGCTTTGGCCAGTGGTCCCCCAATCGTCCTTGACGACCCAACACTCTGTCTTCCAAGTGGTTACATCTCTGGTGTAGATTTTGGATTGGACTGTTGTACTTTCGTTGTATGCGACAACGCTAGGCTCAACAAGACTGGCTTCCAGGGAAAATGCATGGGAGGAACCGTATGGAATCAAGCTCTCTTGGTCTGCGATGATGCTAAATATGTTCCCGACTGCGACCCAACAACATGCGACGGTACTCACTATTTATCTGTTGTAAAAATATCATTGCATATACATGCATTTTGACAAGATGTATACATGTTGAACAATAGGAGAGTTTGTAACGTTTCACATATTTATGTTGTCTTCAAACAAAGTGACAATTCATACATGGTCATATATGAAAACGTAATAGACAAAGACACGTCAAAACATATTTTACATGTTTATGTCATATATCATTGAATTATTGCTTGTAGTCCCAAAGAGAACCAATGCCGAGTGCGCCGATCCTCAACCTTCTGGTACCACATGTTGTGTAGGACAGAACAGAGAGAATGGCAAGAACGGATACGAGCCAGTCTTCACCGCTGGATCATCACCTGAAAATTTCATCCGTGGAAATGACCGTGAAGAACAATCTTGCCCATTCGGCCAGGTCTTCGTCCTGGAATCATGCTGTTGTGAATACGAATGTGAGAGTTTAACTATCTTCTACTCATACAGCTCATCAGCTTTGTAAAATTAAAGATTTGATAATTTGAAGATATCTGCTCGAAATAATCTTCTAGAAAACATCGAATTCAAGCTCATTAAAGTTATTAAATCGTTTTATTTCCAGACGCCTTTGTCGAGCCATGCACTGACACCAGCGGATATTACTTCGCCAACCCCGAGGACGGATGTTGCTCATACCTTCAATGTTGGGTCAACAGAACCGGATTCGACGTCGTACCATGCATGGCACCAAGTGTGTGGAATGACGATAACAAAACTTGTGACATCGTCAACAATGTCATGGACTGCATGGGAGTTGATTGTGGACCTGAGATGACTGACACCCCATGCCCAGACACCTTCGATGGTAGGTTCTATGAAATAATGTTATCATTAAAATGATGACTACCGTCTTCATTAATAGAAAATGAGTAACAACATTGCATATGATTGAAAAAATATTTTGGTTCGATTGCAATATAATCAGCTATATTCACTTTTACTCGCTTACAGTATTGATATATACACATACCCTTTAGAATGTATTTACAAAAGAAAAAAAATTCAAATAACTTGTTATATAACCTAGAATAATCGGGAAATTGTCCAGAATTAAAGTCATGTTTTATTAAAGTTTTCGATAATAGGCACGGCATGGAATGAGGAGCAAACATATACATTAAACTTTTTAAAAATCGAAAGTTACTCCCCACAGCTCTAATTTTCCAGTTATTTTAACCACTGCACTCGATAACATGTCGTTGTCATGATGAAAATAGGTATTTTCCCCCTAATCAAAAATGTAAAAAAAACGTGAAAGTATAACTACTTATACCAATTAATCACGTTTCAATATTTCTCATTCAGGAGACTGTTGCCGAAATGGATTGTTCTACACACTTGGCCCAGATAGTACCCAGTACACCATCGCTGGAGCAGAGGGAAATGACAATGATCGTCTCCTTTGTTGCCCAGTAAACATGGCCGGAGAGCAGATGGTCTTCAACGCTGACCCCGATGTCTGTTGCTGCGAGGTTGAGGAGATCTTCTAAACTCTCCTTAATATAGAGAACTAGTTTTTGCAATGTATTGATCTAAGATAAAATATACATTTATAAAATAGTCTTACTAATTATATAAGGCATTAATAGTTATTTATTTAGTTGAGAAAAAATGTGTTGCTATTTTACAAACACAAAATACATATTTATCGCTCAGTTATTGTTTATAAGTCTGTAGTGAAAAGAGTAGTCTGCCCCCCCCCCCCTTATCTACTTCTCCAACTACATGCTGGAAAGAAGATGGGGGGGATCAAGGGTCTTGAAGCAAGACTATGGAAATACCATGTGTTGTACAGTAAGCAAAACATGCGAACATTTTTTTTCTTATTCTACATTCCTGAAATCATCCTCTATTTGAAACCCTTTGGCGATCGAGTTTTTCAAATCACTTTGAGAATTTGGAAAATTGGTTACATTATGGGTTCCCTTAGACGTGTTCATATATAAAACTCTGGCTGAATTCAGGGACTTTGTCCTTACATGCAAATTTCAAACTTCCACACTACCTTTTGATATATGCAACCACATTTTCAGAGGATCAAAACACTTATTTCAAAAAGTTTAGTTAGTCACTGTTGTGATCCTATTCAAGTCAAAAAGAAATATTCCTGTAAACGAATTGTCAAACGATTGTAAATATTGACAAAAGATGAATGTTTTGGTCTGGTCTTAAAAGTATTGCATCTACTTTCTGCTAAGTATACCAGTAACATTTTCTCAAATAAAGATGTATGAAAGAAAATATGTAATGATTTGGGATATCAGTTATTTTAGAAAACTATATGAAACGGTTTAGATTTATCCGTATTATACTACATGTACGTGTAGCTCCGCATTATGGCCATTGCAAAATATTACAAAATGATATATCCTCATACGCCGTCGCAGTATCCATTTTATTTTATAATTTCTGTATTGTTTAGCTTTTTAGGCTGAGCAAATTATCCATTCTTTCAATAGTTCATGGTGAATTTACGAAATATATCAAGTTTCACATAGGTCGAGTTATTTATTTAAATGGAGCATGTAACGTTAATACGTTAATACGCCTGACATACGCCTGACACTGTGAACGGCATATTGCATTTTTATGTCACCAACACTTGTTGTCACCCGTTAATACAATAATTTGGTCAGCTACTAATTTACAATTCTGAAACTTATTAGGAAACTTAAAAACGCTTGCCTAAAGTTTCCTAAATACCAAACTCTGATGTAGCTGAGTCAGTTAACATGAACGAACAGCAAGGGTTGAAGAGAATAAATTAAATTAAATTACGAAATGTAAAAATACTGCTACTTTTCGAAATCTTGAAGCTGGAGTAGGCTCATGGTATAGTGTATTGCAATGATTTTTGACCAGTGAAATAATTTTAGAAAATTGAATAATGTGATCAGAACAGTGTTCACTTCTTCCTTAGACATTTCAAATGTCAACTCAGAATATTTAATAGTCTTCTATTTAAGCCACAAGTTATTTTTCGCCATGACTGCCCAACTCATGAACTGATGTTTGAGAGAAGGAGACATCTATTCTGTGTATATGCGACACATGCTGCTATACCATTCTTCCATGGACCATATTTCAATATTTTAAATATTAACATATTTAGTTTTTTTGGCACATTTGATTGTTTCAAATTTTGATATTGATCACTTGTATCCCCCGGGTACACAGAGGCTTTGAATAATCATTTCTGCCATTGAAGCACGATAAAATGTTGTTATTTATTGTGTAAACTTGATTTTAATCACCTATAATTCAAGTAAATGCAATCCCTCGGGAAGGTGCGTTTACTATAAAAGCTGTTGGCATTGTCTAAATTCAACAGCAATTGCTCAGAAGTCCGCATCAGGTAAGTGAAAATGTTTAATATAAAAATAAAAAGTAAAATAAATAAAAAGAGACAATGAACAAAGTCAATGATTAACTTGAAACATGAAATACTGTATCCTCTGTAATCAGCGCCTTGGACGTTTAGAACATTCAGAATACTTCCTTCAGGCCAATATATAAAGCGCCCAGAATGAAGTGAAAAATCCCAATTTGTGGCAATTTCTTTTGCCTAGAATGGCTTATTTGCAATACTAAATGTTTAGAAATAGAGGAATTTCTATTCAGCTTTGAAATTTCACAAGTTCTCGTTTTTGTAAAATTTTAAGAGACTAGCACATTAAACCTTGTATTTTTTCTTCTTTTGTACAATTATGTCATTTAAATAATTTTCCATGACTTTTTAAAAAATTCTCCTTTGATGAAATGCAACAATTCTATAGGTTTATTCGTTTGACAACCAACATTTTCATGACCAATCACAATATGTACATTGACAGGGTCATACCATAGTATGGCATTCAAAGTTTCAGACAGATTAAACCAACACTTTGTCATAAATCATTAAATTAAGTGATCTCAATTTACATGTGAATCAATGGCAGTCTGGCCCAAACAAAACAAAACAAAAAATAAACAAGGGTGACATCTATTATTTCAGCTTGTTCAGTCATACCCCTTATTGAAATTGAAATATTTGGGTTATTGCTTGAAACTATTAATGTCGTGTCTCGTTCCCTCCGTCTCTTTATTCGTTATGCAAATAGGAAAATATGCAAGGTATTATCACATTTCAATTGATTGAATATACAGGGAGTGCCAAAAAATTGTGCAAATTTTTTAGACGTCTAGAAAATATATTGAAATGCCTGTACAGGCGAATGCCGCGAAGAACCTAAATTGCATCCGATAGATTTGAACTCAGGACACTCTAAATATTGAAAAGTTTCAGATTCAGTCCATCATAAGTTAAAATATTGCAGGACTATAAGCCTCTGTGTGATTGATTACGTCAAATCGAAGGATGAGCCACATTTACGTACATATTTAAAAATACTGGTTGTGTTTGTTATTGTCTATTCTTTTTAGAAGTTGTTATACCACCCTATGCAGACAGAGCCTGTGGGAAATATTGGGTGCGGCGCAAATGAGCGGAGGGTGCGGAGCTAACGGTCATTTTTGAATTTAAAATTGGGATATTTCTGAAACTAAGCCGTTTTGGGACTTCAAATATGCCAAGATATGTGTACTTGACACCAAGATCAATAAAATTGTGAAAATAGTAGTGCAATTCATTTAATAGCGACGCAGTATGCCTTAAACATTTCCCAGACCTATATATTTTGAGACTATCCTTTTAATACTGCGTCCCCAGCATTCATAAAAAATGGTGTTCAAGATACACTACCCATGCAAATTATTTTTGCATCTTGGAAGCCAGACAGTATCTGTGTGCTTTTATAAAAATTCGGAAATGTTCTTCAGATATGAGCCCCCTCTAAATATTGGGTGCGGAGCAGCTCCATAAACGTACCTCCACACCCAATATTTAGAGGGGGCTCATATCTGAAAAACATTCCGAATTTTTATAAAATCACACAGATACTGCCTGGCTTCGAAGATGCAAAAATAATTTGTATTGATAGTGTACCTTGAACACCATTTTTTATGAATGCTGGGGACTCAGTATTAAAAGGATAATTTCAAAATATATAGGTCTGGGAAAGGTTTAAGGCACACTGCGTCGCCATAGAATGAACTGCGCTACTATTTTCACAATTGTATTGATATTTGGTGTCAAATACACATATCTTGGTATATTTGAAGTCCCAAAACGGCTTAGTTTCAGAAATATCCCAAAATAAAATTCAAAAATGACCGTTAGCTCCGCACCCTCCGCTCATTTGCTCCGCACCCAATATTTCCCACAGGCTCTGTCTGCATAGGGTGTATACATATTATCAATGATGCTGGAAGTATCACTTGATAACGATACTACTTCTTTATTCATTATGTTTTTAAAGGTAAGCATCCACGATGATTCTCTTTGTTGTTTGATAGGCTAGATGCACCAGTGTTTCCGATCGCGATAACATGTGATTGTAAAAATGAGTAGCTTGTTTGAATATATCTAGTGGATATTTCCGAAGCTCTTAATAGATCGATTGCATCTTTGCTTTTTTAGAATATTTACAAAAAATAACATCATTAGCTTCCCAGATAAGATGGAAATCGTCTTACGTGTAAACCATGCATTCATTTAAATCTTTTTTAGAAAAGTAATTTGACATGCCTCATACTACGGATCCATGTAGAATTATTGGAACTACTGATTGTTCAAAAATGTTATCCTTATTGAGAGTTTTAAACAAGTATTACCAAATGACCTTTGCTTATCACGCTTGGTCATACAGATAGTTCTGGGATCAAATAGACGTCCCTGAACGATTAATGGTCATTTGGGTATTTTATTTGACCGTGCGCGTCTTCGTCCCATCCTTTTCAAAAATATTTTTCTGTATATTTGTTCTTTTATCAAATATGTACAGTATGGTCAATATTACTATTGCCAAACATCTGATAAATCTGCATAGTAACCACATCTGCATAGTAACCACATCTGATAAGTCTGCATAGTAACCCCATCTGATAAATCTGCATAGTAACCACATCTGCATAGTAACCACATCTGCATAGTAACCACATCTGCATAGTAACCACATCTGCATAGTAACCACATCTTCATGCTTTAGCCCTTCCACTATGTTGCCTTTGGTTCTCCTCTTCGCCGCCGCTTTGGCCAGTGGTCCTCCTGTCGTCCTTGACGACCCAACACTATGTAATCCAAGTGGTTACATCGCTGGTGTAGATCTTGGATTGGATTGCTGCACTTTCGTTGTATGCGACAACGCTAGGCTAAACAAGACTGGCTTCCAGGGAAAATGCATGGGAGGAACCGCATGGAACCAAGCTCTCCTGGTATGCGATGATGTAAAATACGTTCCTGATTGCGACGTAACAACATGTGACGGTACTTACAATTTGTATTTTGTAATAATTAATAAGGAAGTTAAGCTAAAGCTTTTGTAAGATAACGTATACGTGAACGTGTATAAGTAAGGTCCTCTGGGGATAAGTTGTCCATTTGTAATATTTATTTACCCGATTGAGATGTAAGGTATAAGAAAAATAGTATGTATGTCTCTGGATATATTATAAATCCATTATATTACATCATGTTTTACTATTATGTTCACAAGTTCTCCAAAACGTGTAGCTTAACTTAACAATTAATCCAACAGCCCGAACAGGTTTATCAAATTTTCGCTTTTTACTGAAAATGATTCATAAACCGTTTTTTTTATCATATAAGAGTCTTCAAAAGCAATATTAATACGTCGTTGAATACGATATGCTTTCATTGTGATGTCATGTTATTTACATTTGAGGATTGGCTCCCAGATTGCAACATCGATATTCTGTCCCATATATGGGCATGTCGTGATACAAAATTCAAATTCAAACAGCCGCCATTTTGTTCACTCAAACATTTGAATCGTGAATTTTGGTCTTATTTCCTCACGAAAAATTTCACAACTCACAAGGAATGATCGAGATATTGGTTCAAATATTGTGAACTGTTTATTTTGAATTTATAGTTGGTTTTAATTTCAGAAAATAACGACATTTGACGTTTTCATTGTTGGAATATATCGAGTTCCGATCCAGGGAGCCAATCCTCCTTGCATTTGACTGGCATCCATTTTATCAACTTGTAGCAATCTACTAAATCGTCAAGAGTGTAGCCCAGGTATATAACCAACTTGTTGAAATGACAGCGTTGGCATTTTTAAAAATTCGCATTTTTACTACGCGAGTGACGTCATGTGCTTTTGACTGGGCATTTTATTATCAACATTGTGTTAATTATATAGATGTCACTACGGAAACGCATATATATTTTTAAAGATAAATGTTTCATTTATTTGATAAGTTGTCATCATTAAGTGCAATACCAGGAATACGGTACCAACTGTATATAAGCATCGCATTATTATTCCTAAACAGGCGAGAAAAATGGCTCCGCAAAATGTTTGAGATTATGTTCGTAGTTACGAAAATGATGACGTAGCATAAAAGTCTCCTTATCTGAGATTGGCCTGGTCTATTACGTCATATATTGGAATCTGCCTCATTCATTGGCGTTTGCCTCATCTATTACAGTTTACCTCGCCTACTAGAGTTTGCCTCATCAATTCAATGTTTCAATTCTTCCAATAATGAACAAGTATCAGATATTTCAAATCCTTAACTAACAATGAGTTAGGCAAAACAATTTATTCTAGTTTGTTAAATCATTATAAACGAGTAGAGACAAGTTTGGTGCTCGTAGTTGTTGTAAACAAATACAATACACACTAATACAGTGTGTCTCAAAAAAATGTTACACTTACAAAAAGTTCAATATCTTTCATAATTTTGACTTTTCTCCTAAAATATACTTTGGATACCAAAAGAGAAATCTTTCTCGAATAATTTGATACCATCAGATTCAAAATCTGTCCTTGATTGGCTTCCCAGGACAGCTTTTAGTGTCCCATGGTAACATCTGACTTGCGCCAACTTCTAAGTGATTGGATGGACTAAATGACAAAAGAGGAACAGTTTCTTTAACATTTAATTTTCTTCTGAGTAGAAGTCATTCTGTAATTTTCCTATTTGTCTTACTTAGTATGACCACTGGCCATGGGTCTATCCGCATAAACATGTGGTCCCCTCAACATGTTCTCCAAAGCAAATCTGAGGTACCCTTGCCCATGCGCACATGCATTGCAATATCACACTGATTGCATCAATTATTCTTGCAGAAGTTCATTAAGGTCAGTTTCTGATGCTGTAAAGCGCTTTCAGAGGCCCTTCAAAAAATCAAGGGTGTAAAGTGGGATGACACTTGGAGCCAATCCATTGGGTAATTCAATGCTATCTTCTGATTTCCAAAGAGTTCTACCAAACGATCTGCTACAGGCCTTTGCACCATCCTGTTGCCATCATACGTAACAACATTGAACACTATGACAATGAAATCTTGTATTTCTATCCAGGAAAGAAACAACTGGATCATTGATCAAATCAAGATATCACTGTCCACAGCATTCACACCAAAAAAGAATTGATCACTACATGTCCAACCACTGAGAAGTTGGCGCAAATCAGATTTCACATGCGTCTGTAAAATCTGTCCTGTACAGCCAATCATGGACAGATTTTGAATCTGATGGTGTGGATTTATTCGAGAAAGACTGGTCTTTTGGTATCTAAGTATATTTTAGGGATAAAGGAAAAATCATGAAAGATATTGAACTTTTTGTAAGTGTAACATTTTTTTGAGACACACTGTATACCCAACACCTAGAAATGCAAAAGATACTTTGTTTGTCTAATTGTATTGTTTATAGTATATTTTTGAAAGTGCCTTACTAACATCTAACATTCAACCGATAAACCATTAATAAGGAACAGACAAATAAAAACAAATACATAATCATTACTAATAAGCCAAATGGGTTGCTCATGAACACCAAATGCAAGGTATAGTAGAGTGCAATAGTTTGAATCGTGGTGTCATCACTGCTGAATCACGAGCTTATATAAAAAAGGTATAGATATATAAGGGTTATGTACTGGGAGGTTTTGGATATGGGGTTTATCCAGAGGGAGATATGCATATCAACCTGAGGGACCGAAGGTAGATGTGCATATCTCACGAGGGATGAACCCAATATCCAAACCGACCGTACATAACTACTTTATCCTATACCAAGTAGAGTTTTCAGGGGCATATGGCCATTTCAATAGTACAAAGTGTAAAAATAAACAAATCATTCATATGCAAAGTCATTTTATTGCATTTCCACTACTTACCGGAAGCGGGAAGATTTGCACCGAAGTGGGAGATATGGCGGGAGATATGGAGGTTTTGGATATGGAAACCTCAAAATCAGGATACGGTATATATCTTACCAACTTATCTCCCTAAAACTCTACTTGGCATAGGATAAAAACAAATATCTTCCAAGGTTTCCTTAAACTTATACAGGGTTCGTACACCTTTTTCAAAATGAATTTCCCTGACAATTCCCTGACATTTCCAGGCAAAAAAGGAAATTTCCAGATCTAATTTTCCTCGCGCGCCCTCTAAAAAGTCTCAAACAACTGTATTATTCAAGACAAAAAGACTTATTATGAAACATTTGGGGTTTCTCCTTCAGTACCATTTCTCATGACTTAACTACTTGTAAAGGCAGTCTTTAGTCTTATTCACCAATTTATTCCTGATGCATTTTATTTTTAATATTACATATTCTACATTGCATAAGGCCAAAGGTAAACATACATGTACAGGGGCATAGCCAACAAGTATCAAGGAGGTGCATCTTTTGGGGTTTGCATCACTGTGAGCAAAGGAAAACCAGAAGAGGGGTACGGGGGTGAAATTTTTTCAAAATTGACAATTGTATCTGGTGCATTCTAAGAATTTCAAACTATAATTTGTTAATGTTTTGTAATGAATCCAATTGACAACTGAAACTTTAAAATTTTGATCTAAATCCTACTAGAAAAAATAGCACCTAATGAAACATATTTCTATTGAATATTATCATTGTGAACATTATATGATGGCAATAACCTGGCATTACTATTGTCTTCTCCCTTTTGGGAAAATTACACCAAAACAATTGACACCATATTAGAAATTCCTTCTCAAGTAGCATCACCAGATCACGAAAAGGCTAAGGCCTATGATACCAAATCAAATAATCAGTATTTTGTGTTATCAGGAATCAAATTTCTTTAAATTATCAAAAATTTCATAAAAAAATGGTGGCAATTTTAAATTCAGAGACCATCTTGAATATTTCTTCTTGAGCAGGTCCTTTGTCCCTAAGGCTACATCATACAAAATTTGAGCCAAAGTAAAATGCTGGGTTCATCTTTACAAGAAGAAAAATTTGGACCAAATTCAAAAACTGTTAATAGTACCCCACACACATTTTGGTTGCCTACTTCCATGTGCTAAGGTTTTCAAAATTGGCAAAGCCCCTGAAAGTTGAAAAGACTGACGTACGATTGGACTGTCGAACAGACAGCTTCTTAATATAAATACAATTTTACATTGTAAAGAGCTCCCAGAATTTTTTTTGTTTTTCACCTCCCCCCCCCCTCAGATTAACCCCTCATCAAACCATGAAATATATACCAGTAATTAACTTTGAATGGCCTAAGACTAAGCTTACTACATAAAAAAGCATAATTGTATTAAATCATCTATACATGTACATTATTTTTATTGTTCGGTTTCAGTGTAATGTTCACACTGTTCTTACAAATAGACAATACCAGATCTAATGTCATTCAACCAACCCTAATGAAAAGATTTCCAATTTGTGGAAACAACTAGGTGATTTTGGATTTCACTTATATCCTGTCATAGCCCTAAAATGTATTTTGCTGGAACATTATTCTTTCAACATTGATACAAAATTCCCTGACATTTCCCTGACACATCTACTGTTTCAAAATTCCCTGTCATTTTTGGCCCTTTTTGACCTAATTTTAAAATTCCCTGACATTTCCAGCACCTGGAAAAATAAATCAATTTCCCTGACATTTCCAGGTGTGTACGAACCCTGTTATATTGTTGCTTTCAGTGCCAAAGAGAACCAATGCCGAGTGCGCCGATCCTCAGCCAACTGGTTCCACATGTTGTGTTGGACAGAACAGAGAGGGAGGCAAGAACGGTTACGAGCCAGTCTTCACCGCTGGATCCGCACCTGAATTTTTTATCCGTGGAAACGATCGTGATGAACAGAAGTGTCCATTAGGCCAGGTCTTTGTCCTGGAATCATGCTGCTGTGAATACGAATGTGAGACTTATTTTTTGTTAACATTCATTTTAGAAGATTATATTACCAGAATTGGGATTATTTCATAGTTAACAAGTACATGCGTTTTAACAACTTCCAATACGGTGTATACACCTTGTTCGATGACAATTATTTGATTTAACAACGTCTGTCTCACATTAGCTTCGAATACTCAGTTCGCAGTCGCTTTTTCATAGTTGATTTTATCTCCAGATGCACCCGCTCCGCCATGCGATGACACAACCGGGTTCTACTTCGCCGACCCCGACGACGCATGTTGCACATACCTTCAATGTTGGGCCAACAGGACCGGGTTTGATACCGTCCCATGTATGCCACCAAGTGTGTGGAATGATGACAACAAAACTTGTGACATTAAGTATAACGTCATGGATTGCATGGCTGCTGAATGTGGAGTTGAGATGACTGATGAACCATGCCCAGATTCCTTCGAAGGTAATTATTATGAATTTAGACATAGCTAGGCAATGTGTATCCGAATCCAGCCAATCTGAACACGCTATTGCATACAACTGCACTACATTTGCGACTAACAATCCCTCCAAGCTTATTTGTTGAATGGTTATCAAAGTGACAATTTGATTACCATTACTAAACTTAGTACTTGATTCTGCTAACCTCGTACAATAGTTGAAACAACACTCGTACAATAGTTGAAACAACACTCGTACAATAGTTGAAACAACACTTTTTTTGAGGCGTGATCAGTCCGCAATGCACTGAGTCAAGGGCTTGAAGTATTATTTTTTTGAATGTAAAATCAGATAACTTTCATATGTAGGTGTCTCGTGACATGAATTGAATGGCAATATGTAAAGGGCTTCACATTGAATCACACTACCCTACCACGTGACCACGTTTAAAAGGGGAACAGGGTACAGCTAAGTTGCAAATGGAGGACGTTGGTTTAATTCCATATTTCTGAACGTAAAATACATTTTACATTTATTTCTAGTGTTCTACCAGACACAAAATTGATTCATCAAGCAGTTTGTAGAATATTTTTGGCAAAAAAACACTATAGGCAAAGATAGATAATAGCGGGCGCAGTGAAGCAAAACTCGAATGCAATACACGATACATTTCAGTAAATCTATCAACGTACAGGTAGCATGTAAGTTTCCCTTCGAAAATGTTACATTGATATGAAACAAAAAAACAGTTAACTGTTATATAAACTGCGTGTCATCGTGTTATAGGAGGATACGTTTTCTAGTATGTTATTCAACTGTATTTTTTTGAATTTGAACAAAACATTTTAAATGATCGGTTTTTGAAGACGGTGTGAAATTAGACCATTCAAGGGGTTAAATAGAAAGATTCTTCACATGTAGTTCAGGCAATTTTAATTATTCTGAGTAGCGGATAGTCATTAATATTGATAGTGGGTAGTAATTTATCATTAACGTGTTAATATTTAATTTCGTTATTTTATTTCGTTTTTATACCCTAGTAACACGTATAATCTGGCGTTCTTGTTAATTTAATGCCTAAAATACATACGACCTGAAAGCCCGTGTCTAAATCTACAAAATAATGTTTACTTTATTTAGATTAAATAACAATTGATGACACCTCAAAGCATCAACAGGCGGCCTTTTTAGCATTGCTTTCACTGTTTGCAACGTAAATGTACATGAGGTCGGGACATAGTATGTCTGTATAATCAGCTTACTTTCTCGCTCCCTGTACTATTGAACAATTTACATTCCTTGTACCCTGTATTGATCAACTTTTGCAACTGTGTACCGTGTACTATGACATATCAAATATTTTAAAATTTTAAACGATATTATTTACATTCTTTCTTCAACTCTCATATAACTTGGAACATGGACTTCACTGTTGCACCACTGAAGTGTAGCGAATAGCAATATTGACTCACTCCGAGCACCAAACGTATTAACCTTTTGACTAAGCAGTTGATATACTCAAAAGCGACATGGTTGAAAGCCCAAAAATTCGCGCATGCGCGATCGAGGTAGGGTAGTGTGTGAATACGGTATCGAATAATTCCAGCAATTGAGATTACTAAGCAAGACAGTGGGTGTGATTCTCGTCAAACCGACAATTTAATGCACTTATGAATTCCAGTCAAAATATTTGCAATATATTATATTATGGTGTCTGTTTATACACTCATTTCCATATAGGTTTAACAACAGGAACTTTGCACTGGATATAAAATCAAAGGCTGCTAATGTTTCAATCTTATACTCTTTGTTCCCCAATAACAATAGTTCAGAATTACATGACACAATTGAAAATTTTGAATTGCCAAACATTTACAAGCTCTAATAAGTAATGCAATAAGGGACTTTATTACCAACACATTTAAATATGAATGGAATAGAGACAGGTCCTATTCATATTTAAAGAGAGAATCAGATATAGCGAGTAGGCTAAACAAAAAATTGTATCAATTTAAGAATATTTTTGGCTCATTTCATTCCTCCTCATGTCTATTTTACTAAAAATCACAAAAGTGCATACTTTATTCCAGGAAAACAAACGATTTTTACAATAATGTATTATTTTTCTATAAGAATGGTTACTATTCTTATTATTTGGATTTTTCACCCATTTTTGCACTTTGAATCAAAAATAACTTCACCAATTTATAACATATTGTGAATCTTTTGGGAGATATTGTATTTGATATTGTAAGTAATAGATTGGTAGGTCAATTATACATGTTGCTTGTAATTTTGTCATCCCCTCTAGATCAGATTCTGCCTTTACATGAGTTGTCCATAAAATAGAAGATTAATCCGGTAGACGCTAGTCGCTATTTGCAATCGCGAATAGAAGCTAAGTAAAGTAGTAAATACATAGTATAGTAACATATACGATAGATATGTCTTCCGGTTTACGTATTTAAGTCCACTCACTTGGCAATGTAATCATTGAGAAATTATTGTATATCGAGACCCAGGGAAAATCACCGAATGCACATTTAATGAAATCAGTGTGTATGGTATTTTTATTTGTTTCAATATGCCAGACACTTTCTATATACTGTCAATATACACTAGGGGATTGTTGCCGAAATGGATTGTTCTACACACTTGGCCCAGATAGTACCCAGTACACCATCGCTGGAGCAGAGGGAATGGACAATGATCGTCTACTTTGCTGCCCAGTAAACATGGATGGAAACCAGATGATCTTCAACGCTGACCCAGAAGTGTGTTGTTGCGAAGTAGAAGACTTAGGATTGTAATCGTATTGTGATGTATTGTTCACTGATTTAAATATACTTTCTAATGCGATACAATTGTGTTTGTTAATATCGTAAAGGTGTTTTGTTCAATGTAGAATGTTATCCTCTAGCCCACACGAGTGCATTACTTTACTTATTAATTAAGTATATTTTGTATCGACTTTATCCTTACCTAGTTATTTGGTTTTTACCACACTTTTACTATGATAAGTATGTAAATACAATTTATTTAATTTTTGTTCACATCATACATGTAATTGCAACTATTATTTAATCATAATTATTAATCAAACATATCGTAAACTGCGAGTATGAACCTTAGAATGTATACGTTTACGTTTGCGGTTCACGTCAACATAACCGCCTTGCTTAACCTCTCCAGCGTCAGATGCCCTAAACTTCTAGATTATCTATTCGATGAAGAGAGAAATATTTTAATTGCATTTTCTTTTAATAATGCAAACTAATCATAGAAAATAGAATTAAAAGGTATAATTTGTTACTCCGTAAGTGAAACGGACTTGTTTGATCGTAGCTTCGTGTCCTGTAAACAAATGATAACTAGATGCAATTTCATTGTTCGTCGAACCATTGTCTGGAATGTTGGATGCTTTCCGTATGGCCTTGGGCACTCTTCAAGAAATCAAAAACAATTCCTTTAAAGATATCTTTGAATATAAAAAATATATTAAATGCTTTGGAAAGTATTTGCAAAAATATTCTATATAAGGAAAAGAGTTTTATTTAAAAATCAAAATCAATAATGGTGTTGAACTGAACTGCACTAATTTTATTATATATGTGTATTGTTAGAAATGTAACTTATGTAAAATGTGTCTCATAAACCCAGGAAGGGCTGGCTATCTTAGATAGGTGACACTTAAATAAATGAATGAATAAATGAATAAATAAATAAACAAATAAATAAATAAATAAATACCTCCTTCTAACTGTTTTATGAGTTAATCGGTCCTTTGGATTTGGCATGTTTTGTGTTGCGTGAGGTAAAAATATCTAAATTAATTTGGATCATTTTAGAACTCACGTAGTCTTTAGCGTGTATTAAAACATGCCCTTTTACAACATAAAACACGTGTGGGTCTCATGTATATTCCAGTGCACTATTTGTGTTCACGTTAAACGACTGCGTGTCATTTTATGACAGACACAATCGTATGGTTCTTACCCTAATTTGATACATTTTTCGTGATAGTTTTTTCCATTGATTGTTGACTTCCAAAAGCATTCCCGCGACCTTGGGCATTTTATCAATGAACTTCGAAGTAAAACCCTGATGTAGAAACCTTTTCTCGATAAAATGCCGAGTGCACGACTTAAACTCATGGTCATAGTTCTGGGAGTTAGATAAAACAGTGCTAAAATTAAACTGTGAATTAGAATCAAGACGGTGTTACAGATAACATTGAAATAATTCTATCAAAGTCTCAGATCTAAGATCTTCATCATATCAAATAATTATTAAGCGGGTCATCTTGGATATTTAGAGGCAAAAGCGCAAAGGATATAATGGCACCGAGTATTGAATCATCGTTACCAGTTCCGAGACCTATTTCGTCGATGACACCCTGTATAGAAAAGACGGAACAACAGATGTCAGGCGTTGCTGAAATCAAACACAATATTGATATACTTAACGAAAATGCAGACGTGTTCTTCATGGTTACAATGTCAATCATCATATACCGTAAGTGCTATTTGGATTGATTCAAATATAAAAAGTTGGGCAAGGGGTAACTCTCCCATCGAACCAAGGGCCTGCTTCTGCATGGCGTAATTGCTGATTGGTCGATCATGTTAGGAAAAAAGGGGAAATGCAAAATACACAAAATGTCAAAACGTGCTACAGGTTACAAAATATTAGTCTTGGCATAATTTAGCAATAATACAAAATATTACATTCTTTTGCGGCGAATATATATATGATATAATAAGATATAATCTTTCAGTATAATTCTCGCAGTCCAGGCGTTCTTACCTTACTTAAGAAATAAGAGGGGGAGAAACCCCAGGGTTCAAAGATGACATACGCTTACAATGTAAATCTGTATTGAGATGACATCGTCACTGATTGGTTTAGCGAGTCGATCGTTGATTGGTTTAAAACTAGGTCAATTTGAAAACTTTGAAAACCAAGATGGAGGGTAAACGAATATACGTACTTCCGGGAAAGGAGGTGCGCGAAGGAGGAAATCGTATGACATCAATTGAATCATGGGGTTTTCCCTCCTCTTTTAAGAAATATACAAAACCGGACGGTGTATTAGAACGTTTAATACGCCTATCTCAAATGCGTTCGTCATTGCTTTCATATGACATGTGTTTCTTGACTGAGTGTACATTATCTAAAATTACCGAGTTTTTCATCAATATTTTATGTTCGTGAATCGTTATCCCGGACTTTTCTTGGGCAGTTCATCTTGGATCTTAATATCCGTTCGTATATGGTATGACTCCCCCATCGTTTTGCCGTTTTACTACTTGCCACAATCAACCTCACTGCCAGCATACCAAACCAGGCCCATTTCCCATCAAACTACACCCAACTACTATAAGGTGGATATCCTTCAAAAATCAAGTTGGCATGGTTACCAAAGCCTAATAGTTACCATGGCAACCGTGGAAATTGGGTAAAAAATGAGAGCAAAAAGCACCCAAACCCACCATAATGGCACTAATTTATAAAACATTTCTAGACATACAAATTTTCTTAAACTTTGATATCATCTAGGACACAAAAATGTCAAACATTGGGGGTAGGTTTACCACTTCGATTTTTCTAGGCTTGGTCAAAGCAAAACTATGAAAAAAGCACTCATTTTCACCTTTGAATTACCTTTTATCGCCCAAATGGCTAAATCTTTCAAGGTCAAGGGTCGCCATACTGAAAGTAAAAGTACGGAGATAAATCTGCTCTTCAGACAATGTTTCATAGGTTTTCTTTACCACGGAAGAAAGATCTTTTCCATGAGATAATATACGTGAAAGAGGAACTTTGTCTTTAAATGTCATCAAAACTGCCAAGTGAAAATGCCTTTTCGCACTATTTTTGGTGTAATACATGTACTACCTATTACAATAAAAGTTGCGGGCAACTCACCAGTGCATAAACTACCAGGTTATATTTGAGACATGTCAATGTAATATTTGTTCATTTTTTATCATTTATTTAGACGCGCACTTTTAAAAGAGTGGCCCGCGTTCATACATTGAATGAAAGAAACATCGAATTACACGTGCATTCATTGAATCATTAAAACCTATAATTCAGTAAGGTGTTATTTCAAATGCACTTGAAGATTTAATTTTGATTAAATACCTGCTGGTTTATAAGATTTAAGTGAGATAATTTCAATATTAATTTCATTGCCATCACCACCCTTATTGAGGATTTTAATATCCGGCGAAATGGTGAACTGGAAATGTACACAAACAACATCATAGAATGCTGAGGTAATCACAAAATCAAGCAACAGTTGCCTCAAATCGTCTTTGGTTTTGCGAAGACTTAAATCGAGAGAATATATTCATCTCGTGGCAACTCTATAATCGTTGTAATTTACTGAATTTTCAGAAAGTATCCTTTTTATAAATTCCTCGTTTTTCTTTTATTTTTCAAGGAAATGTCAAAATGCATAAACTTATTTTTTCCAATCGATCTTAGCCCTATTCTACCTTCGACGTGTATATATATTAACACACGCTGATATACATATTTCGAACAGCGAAATTTCTTATGATAATCCATTGACAGTCTTGTAGATGAGGGGGGGGTGGTTGGCTAGCCCTTTCGTGCTATGAAATCCGGGTTACCTGAAATAGGATTAAATGGCAAGAAATAGGCTGTTTACAATACACCCTCTATATGTACGCTTAGAAGCTTGACGTTCCTATTGGCAAGCACTCCAAATGCTATTTATGTTTAAATCAAAATTCTACTTCCAGACATTCCACATATTCATACTTTTTGAAAAGGCTTTAAAATGCGATCACACATAGAGCCTCTGTTCGATTAATAATTTTAAGGGGCTGTTCAGTTCCTTGTTGCTAAAATAGTTTTACAAACACGATGTATTTTACCCTATGCTGACCACTGATATCGGTTAATGACCAATTTGAAATTGTTCAAACTTTGTATAAATAAAGCTGCTTAGTTAATTTGGAAACATAAAACGATGGTACACAAAACCCCATGAGAACTTTAAATAGTCTTTATAGGGCTCCCTTAGAGGGGCAATAGGGCTATTTTAGTCAATATGTCAGGTTTAGCGAATTGAAGGCTGTCAAATGTTTTTTATTCATCATCAGTCCTGACGCTTATTTGATAATTCAAACTAACAATTACCAAAATTATAAACATGCTATAACATGTCTGAAGTTCATGTGAGTAAGTAATGCCTGGGTCATATTAAGTAATGCCTTGGTCACATTTGCTCCGATTTTCACTACGGCGCCCGTCATATAATTTGATTATACGAATAATTGACAGATTGGACGCACTGCCTGCTTTGCCTTTAAAGACTTGTTAAACAGGACAGTGCTCCAAATTTTCAATTGAAAATATTCATTTGCAAAATTTGTTTGGGTCTTAATACCTTAAATTCATATTTGGTCAAACCGAAAGCGGTCGAGTTACCTTGTCGCATATCCCTTCGGGAGCCCCCTTACTAATATAAGGACCTAATAGCCTTGAACAAAAACATCGAATTTCAGTACATAAACTACATCATAGCGGGCGGATAATCGCTATTGGTACACAGCTACCTCAGTCCATCGAACTTGATTTTTCCTTGGATATCTACTCGAGAAATTCTTCAGCATTACATCTAGTAGAGTTTATAGACGTTTGGATTCGAATATGGCAACGAATGCAACTATGGCAGATTTGGCGAAACTTATCTCTAAACTTGAAACAAAAACAACGTATATTAGCCAGAATAACGACGTTTTCTTCCTTGTCACGATGAGCATTATCATTTACTGTAAGTATCAATATAATGTTTTTTTATATATATTCCTGATTATCCCTAGATCACATATTTGATCCACGGCAACAATACAGCGGTTTCAGAGAAATATGCAGCATGAAACATAGGGATAAGCATTACGATGTAGATTTTCACTATGTGAAGCTACGGCCGCCGTACGCCCATCGAGGAACAAATATGACCGATGTGTTTGCAGGCAGGAGAGATTGTATGTAACAGGGCCCATCATATTTCCCTGACACAGCCAAGGATAAGCGACATTACAGTTTTTTCTAAAATGAGGTATCATAATACCATGAAATACCATTCGGTCAAAAATCCATCTTGATACGCACGCCCTTTTGCCTTGAAGTTATAAAAGCAGCAGATGATAAATATATGTTTTGATTGAAACTACGCCGGTTATACATAATTACCATAGCGTGACCAATACATGACAATAACAGACGTGGGCATTTCTGATGGGTTTTCTAGCCCGAGGCGTGCATGCACTGATTACTCTTGAGGGAAGCGTAAAGGGCTTCATTCGTGCAAAACATTGACTGGTTTAACACTCTTGTAGCCTCCCCCTCCAAAAATCTGACTTCTGATTACCAAATATTTTGAAGGGGTGTAGATTAAAATGCCCATTCATACCTAATGTATCTTAATCTAGTAGAAATTAATGACCGTATGAAAATGTGTATCGGTGTCCTCAGTCCAAGGATATTTCAAATATTTTTACCGGTAGCAGCAAATGTTGTATTATAAAACGATAGTACAGGACACTTAAAAAATCTTTCAACACAAGTTGAACTTATAAGTACTTTACAAACATCACATGCTTGATGGATAAAAACACTGTAGTCCTTCATGAATCGGATATAAATGTTAAAACGTCGGCTAGCATTACGAGTTGCGTCTGTAAATTTGAAAGGCTTGTTGTCATTTTATTGACGAGGACTAAATTGTATTGTTTCATATTACCTTATTGACTGAAAAAAATCGAATTTGAATTCAGGTCAATCTGTCATCTTTAAGAATAACGACAAACTCCTTATTTGATGTTGCAGCACACAACACGTGATTTTCAGATATTTTGACATTACTGAATTCGCCTCAGGTTTTGAAGGGAGACACGTGGGCTACCTACATGTAGACCCGTCCATGATGTATTGACAAACTATAAATAACCAGCAAAGCGAAACGTAGACATTTATAAACATCAAATTTGATATAATTACAAGACATACACCACGCGGTGACTCAATCAGTTAAAGTGCAGCTATAACATATATTGGATTAATACAAAATGGCATCGAATGACACGAATGTTACCATGGCGGATCTGGAAACAATGCTCAAAGATCTAGATAAACGGACAAGTTACATGAACGAAAATAATAACGTTTTCTTCCTCGCTACTATGAGCATTATCATATACTGTAAGTATTTCGAATCAGATTTTCTGCAGGGTTTTGTGTTACTTCAGTTTTCAAATGTCGCCCTTTGTACTCTCTTTATGCCAAATACCAACAATAAGTGCACTGGTATACAATATAATTACGATCATTACGGGGTTTGATGTAATGGTATTTAATGAAATTTGTATATTAGTAATACTGTACATGATTTGTGTATTTAATGCTTTATCGATGCTCCTGTGTAACAGTATCTAAATCTGCGTAAACTCATACCTTTCGCCACCAAATAAGAACCAAATCTGAATATTTTCATATATCTCACCCGGGGTATCTCGTTCTCACCGTGGTAAAAGCTAGAACAAGAGGAGTCGATGACAAGTTAAACCAGAAGCAACTTTGACTTTGAGCGAATGTTTCCACATATCCAAATGCCATACCATAACAATTCATAATACCTGATTATATTATAAGTTCATTAATTCCAGTAAGTTAAATATACTATGGACCATTCCGTCTGCACGTGTTAAGTGAATGTACATTCAATGTGAACTGCGTGCGAATCACGCTTTACTTAAAAAATTATGTTTACGCAAGAGCCTCTTTATTATGTGTATTGATAACTGTTTAACCATACGCTTTTACCCGAAACTATACTTAGACTGTGAGGAAATTCACGGGACACATGCAGAGCTATTTAAATTAAAGCTATTAAAGCTAGAATCAACAGTTATACTGCTAGCAAAATTCATCTTTGTGCGCTCAGTCATCACTGTGGCCGACGGGAAGATAGGGAGTATCACGATCCATGCAAATTAATGATTACTAAAGCAATGTACGTGTCATATACCATATAAAAATAAGATCTTGAATTAAACTAGATCTATGACATGAGTACGTATTTATGGTGCATGGTGAAGCTATTTTCGACTTGAAAATAATATTTAGAAGTGTGCAAAGCTGGTATATTATGATTAGTCATGGACCTATAGAATAGCCAATGATTGATTGAATGCTGAAATGTAAACATTAATTACATAAATTGCATGGCCATGGGATTGCAATCATATGTCTAAGTCTAAGATTGGCATAGTTCCCGCCCTCCGGTAAACCTTTGGAATCATGAAAGGGTATTATATACTTAAATTTAACTTTATTATCAGTATTGCATTTTAATTTCAATTTTAAAAAACAGAAAATTGGATACAAATCTTACAAAAAGCCTAACAAATTGATAAAACTGATTTCTAAAATACATGTACTGTATGCTCACAATTTGATGCGCTTAGTGACCATGATAGTTTACCACTCACTGTATAGTATAAATATCAGAATATGTGTAGAAAGGCGTAAAATTGCATGTCTAAGGTCACTTGTTAAACATCTACTTAAACCACTAGGTTGATTGCATTTCTATACATCAAACAAACACCCATCTTGCCGGCATTTATCAAAATGATAAGGTTTGAAACACTTGTGAGCTAGACTGTATAGATCAGTTTATGGGGCCCTGAACCGGACCCAATATAGGCACCTGGGTTAGATGGAGTGGTTGAAAGTACTGTATAAAGCGCATTCTTTTATTTATCATGTTTTATTCGATACAATATTATGTATTAAAAGGAAATTTCCTAAAGGCAACTTTGTTTAACTTCATTAGCCGCAGGGTGACTTAAGCGTTATGTTTGATATCGTTTATATTTCAATGTTGGCCTCTAAAATGTCCTCCTCCAAGCGCAGGACTCCAAATCAAGAAATCAAAGAGGTACGGATTCTGTATATTATCTGTTTTGGAGAATGCTGAAATGTTTACTTCAAGGTTGATATAGAGAAACATGATTGCAAGTGTTATCCCCAAAATCGGTGTGATAAACATTTCATCGACTACCCTTTGCATTTGTTTGACTTCACTTCTTAAAAGAGAGCTTTAACTTGACTCTGCACGCAGGGTATTCATCGACTTAAAATGATGAAGAACTTTAACTGGGACAATTTTCGAAACGACCATATATTTGAAAAGAGGTGTGTCCGCTAGATCCACACCAGGTCAGCCAACGATTTGTCTTTAAGTTCAAGTCAAACTATATTTTGCCGTTTTCTATTTGCCGCCCGTCAACAAGGGATTAATTCGCAAACACATACTATTTGAACACTGAAAGTAATTTTGGAACAATCGAGGAAATAGCATTGCTTACTTTAACTTGAAAATGTCGTGTAAAAAGCAAATATAATTTTTTAGTTTCATTCTGTATATTTTGCTCACGTTAACTCATAAGCACATTATCTCATAGTTGTCAGTAACACTACTCGAAACATTAACATAAATAATTGGTCTTTCGAGTTTTGGTTTTAATATAACCTGTGATCTATTCCGAGTTTTGCGTAACTTAGGTTTACAAAGGTCCATGGGCAGTTTGGCAAGTGATATTAGACAGACATATCTTTCACCATGCATGAGTACTTTCTTGGCATAAATACAGTGGTACTCATGGTGAAAGATATGACCGTCTAAAATCACTTGCCAAACTGCACATGGACCTTTCGCCCTTATGTTATCTACAAGGCAAATACCAAATGAGGGTACTGCTAAACTAGTTTCCATAACAACGAGGGTTAATAATAACCCTTCAATGCAAAAAGTGAATAGCGTTCCCTCAACGACTCTATTACACGTGGGATTATATAAATATGTACACTGCACACTGCGTCCATTGAGTCATTTAACAAGGAAAGCAAACATTAAAGCAACCACTCAGAGCAAACTTTTCCATCCTATTTATTATCAATTATATAACCTCGTTGACACGACCCCCAGGTGAAAGTCAAGGAAATCCCTTGCATGAATTTTTTTTGCGATCCCAAGGAATAAATGTCCGTCACAGTTTAGTCGTAGACCAATGGCACTGATTGAATAAAACATCGTTTGATTTGTATAAACCATGTTTAGAAGCATAGGGAGTATCTTAGTCTCATATTCAAACGATACTCGTCTCAATGTCCACCTTGGACAACCCTAACCCTCTTGTCCCTGACTTTTTCAGATTTCAAGTGAACCGAAAAGTAAAGCAATAAACATGCACGGCGATTAATTGACTCTTGTCAACAAGAGTTTCGAATTTAAGCTAATGCATTTATAAAATATGTTTATTTCATCAAAATATCGGGGCCTAAGTTCATGGTCGGAGATACTACGCTATTACGTCATTTACGCGTATGCATCGAGGCCATGTTGATACACCCGTATTCGTATGGTCTCAAAAGACGCAGAGCATTGAACCAAGCAACAATCGACACGCCTTGGGTGTTTTCACAACTATCAAAACATCTCTATAAACTATTAATAACTGCAAAATCAGGGATTACAATCCCCCGATAAATAGTTCACGCTTATTGGAAAATGTTATTGTTTTAAACATTATCCTTTTTGAAATATCTCTTCATAAAACTGATGATTTTTTATAAGTTTGTTCCATCCATTCCCGATGGTTTTCTGTTAAATGGATAATAAAATATGAACCAAAAAGGTGCGAAATTTGCGTTGTTATGGACTCGAGATTAATGCAAGGGATCGGGGGGTTGGTGTTTGCATTTGGGTATGAATAGTGGTGTTCGAGGCCCCTTTGTCAAATGAGCTCAGAGCATCGAGTTTCACAGAGCTTTGGACGATATATATCTTCACGATATCAGAGAAATTAGAAAATAGTTATAAAAAAAGCATTGTTGAATAGTAGCTTAATCTAATCAGTGAATGAGACCAAGAATAGAAAGGAGAAGTATTTTGACAACCTTTTGAACATTTCTTAAATAAAAATAGATAGAAAAAAGTTATTGAAATACGCAAAGTAAAAGTATAGATTTGATAAAAAGTGTTCACAGCGGAGAGGCTAACGTATCCTCCGGACGTAGCTGAATAGACGACACTTTAAAAATGGCGAATTTAACAATAGCAGAGAGCGTCGCGCAGTTAGAACAGAAGATGGCCATAATGAATTCAAACTCCGACGTGTTCTTTCTGGTTACAATGTCCATTGTGATATATTGTAAGTTTTTTTTATTTACCCAAGTCACATCGAGTGTATTTAGAGTCGTATTTATTTTTAAACATGTTGTAGCTGAATAGCGAAAGTGTATACGTTTTCAAATAAGATAAAAAACATATTTTGCTAATCGATGGATTGCAAAAGACTGGCAATATTAAGTGAACACATTTTGCGAAACATGATTTAATCGAGATCATATAAAAATATTTTCATGGAGTTCTGCGTAATTTATGATAAATGACGTAAATGTGATTTACTTTGTATGGGATTATATCAACGGTCTTGATTGAGGTTTAGAGTTAATCATATATTCTGACGACTTAGCAGTTTCTGTTTGAAATTTTGTAAAACTATCATATAAGAAATGAATACCTCTTTCATACCCTTTGCATGCGTTCGACTTCACTTCTTAGAAGAGAGCTTCGTATTCAGACTCTGCGCGCAGGGTACCTCTTTCAATCTTGTTGTATCCTCTTTTGGGCAACCTAGACATAGCTATAATTGAGAGCACTGAGAAATAAATTTGCAAAGTTAAGGATGTCATGATTCATCCGGTTAAAAATTTAAAACGAAAAGACACATTCCTTAAAGAAAAGTAATGTGCTGAACACACTACTACTACATTATATATCTTGAGGAATCAAATACACCGCCGAATGTAGCATTTAGCAATAACAAAATACATCGACTCGTCGGGTTTTTCGGTTTAAAAATTAGAGAGTGCAAATAGATTCATGTGATAAACTTTTAATCATATCAACATCTTGTCTTATTTTTTGGCTTCTAAAACGTAAAATATTTAAATACAGTCTTGGTTTAAACCCTTACATAGCACCTCGTTTTTTTATATTTTTTAATTTGATATTATGCCAAATGTCAAAAAAGAAAACCACCAGCCGTCGGTCAGACTATTCAAAATTCAGCCTTGGTTCTAAATGTGTTATCATTTAATACATCCTTCACCCATTTGAGGTTATCCAGGCCAGATAAAATTTTGGGGTGTGTGTCTCATATAAAACATGTGCACAAATAATTTGATTATGTCATCGAATGAAAAGGTGCCTTATTCATATATCTCCTCGGGTTTTATACACAGATAGTGTAGGCATGTCATATTAAGTACATGACAAAACTACAAACAAACTAAATTTGGCGATTCCCTATCAATAAATAAACGCAAGGAGCTCACTTGTCCCACGACCTCATAGTTACGGCGACAGCGGCAAGCTTAGCGCGTTCAGTGTTCTCTCAAGACACCCCCGACCAACTCAACAACCCCAAAAAGAGTATTATGCCATTTAACAATATTGCGATGAAATAATTCGGTGAAATATCGATTCAGTGAAACATCGCTTAGCTTATCGTGTTCAGTGTTCTCTCAAGACACCCCCAACCAACTCAACAACCCCATAAAGATTATTATGCCATTTAACAATATTGCGATGAAATAATTCGGTGAAATATCGATTCAGTGAAACATCGCTTAGCTTATCGTGTTCAGTGTTCTCTCAAGACACCCCCAACCAACTCAACAACCCCAAAAAGATTATTATGCCATTTAGCAATATTGCGATGAAATAATTCGGTGAAATATCGATTCGGTGAAACATCGCGCAAAGAGCGCAACTCTCATACACTGTATGCTTAGCCTGTTTGCAAAACATATATGTTTCTAGTCGTTAATTAAACATATTTACATTTACCATCTACGTACAGATTCCATTCATAAAGATTAAATGACATGAGGATTAAATGAACACTCGTTAGAATGTACGAACAAGTTCACATTTTGTTTGCTAGCTTATGTCGAACAAGAATTATTTGACCACACTTTAAAAATTGAAACCAGTGTAGTCTTTATAAAGTATTCGTTATATGTTTAAGGTATAATTTAATCAGCCAAGAAACCAGAAAATATATAGGCTATTTAATACAATCGAAAAAAATGTCGGAGTTTGAGCTGATTCACCGCCTTAATTAAGCGTCTCTCTCTTCATTGCGTTTTCATGTTTTTTATTTGATGAACTTTTATTTCCAGTTATGCAATGTGGATTTGCATTCCTTGAATGTGGAGCCGTTAGAAGCAAGAATACGACCAACATACTCATCAAAAATATCCTAGATTCTTGTAAGTACACGTATGACGTCATTCTTTAATAAATAATGACGTATGTACAGGGGTCATTTTTGATCCACATATATCTTGTACAAAATGTTTTTTTTTTATATATTTACAGGCAGGTCAAAATATCGTATACACTTTCTTTGTGAACGTTTCTAGAAAGTGTATCTAGTTACTTTTTGACCACCTTTGAAAGGTTTTTGCCACAGCAATTTTTCAGAAGTCTAACCATAACTTTATGACCCATATCTATTGATTTGTATTCTAAAATACGTATCATTTTTTATTCTTTATTTCACACTAAACCTATTTACTCCCAAAATACCGACACACGGGATCAAATCACGTGTTTATGACATCACAACCATGTCTCACACTCTCAGTTTTCTTAGACCCATCGTTAAATGTACCTGTCTTTCCAAATTGTCAATCACACTAGCTATTCAAAATGTCCATGGTCTTGACCACATGCCATTCCCCGGAATTGAAATGTTCACTTAATTTCAAACATCGGATCAATTCATATACTTATCTTTCTCAAATGATCTTTTTAATCAAAGATTAACAAGCTCACATATAATATTATTGTTTTTAAACCATGATTAGTGAGATATAGAGGTTCTTGTATAAGAACCTGTGCAAGATCGTCCATTCTTGATGAGCTTTGATAATTCTTCTTTATCGAGTCGAAGACGAGATAGAGAAACATTATCAAAGCGAGTCAAGAATGGAAGATATCTGTATCTTTGTTAGTCATATGAGAAAGATAGATCACGATAAATCACGAAAAAATGCTACGTGACATAAGATAAAAGTCCATTCTGATGTACCTAACAATATATCTTATTAGGAACGCTGTTTGGGAAGAGAAATGCTTCAAAATGTGCCGATTGCCATTACCAACGAGATATCGTTGAACTCAATAAAAAAACAATGACGCATTGTCGCCAAAGTAACAGTGTATTTGCCAAAATTATCAAAACATAGCACAACAAAGAAAAACAAAGCCCCCCAAACAGTTCCAAATTCCCAAAACTAATAGTCTTTGCAAGCTATAACTAAAGTTGCCATGCTGATTGGAAAGTAAAAATATTTTCACAATTGCCCATTTTTCAGTGAAATATGTTGGAAAAACATTTAACGATTTCATTGAAATGTAATAATTAAACACTTCGAGTCCAAGGCTAAATGAACAATATAAAGCATGGATACCATTTCAATTGTTACCGGATCCGAAATATGCTCTGAAAGGTGTTACATATCATTGAACTAGTTACCATGTTTGCTCGGGACAATGTTAACGATGTGTCATTGTGAAACAAGGAAACTTCAGACGTAACAGTTCAATGTATTGCCAAAACCTTTGTTAGGTTGTTCCAATTAAAGAATGTCAGAATAAAGTCTAAACGAAAACAATATAAGGGGAGGGGTGTGTCCCCGGGGGTGTGTCTGAGTTGAAATGTTTTGCTTTTTTGTTCTCTCTCACTACTTATTTCTCACTTCACGAGGCGACTAATATCTATTTATCTAAATTATAGTACAGTGGATTCCCCAGCATTAAAGCAAGTGGGCGCAGCACCCACCTGAGATTTTGACAATAGTCTTGCACCCACTTGAAAATGAGAAAAATCATGAAAAATTGGCCTATTTTGACCAACTTTGGTCTGAATTGTGAAAATGAGAGTTTTGCACCCACTTGAAAAAACATCCTGTGGAGATCATTGTAGTGCTATTTATCAGAAACTGGTATCAATATTCGTAAGGCATAATTCATATGAGCCCATTGTATATAAAATGTGCATTGGAACGTTTCGACATAAAACTAAAATACAATTTTGAACCGTCTGTCATGTTTTATAAGCGTGTTTGTGGTCATGCGATAAAAACGTGTCACATATCTCATCTTCGACCACCCGTCGGCCTTTATAATTTAAATACCTTTGAAGTTTGACTGTCCAAAATGCAACAGAACCAATTTTCACAATTGATACACCTGCGTGTATGTCAATGCAATGGGCCATTCAAAAGTTAAAGAGTCTGGATTACTGGCATATATTTAGTATTATTTACTTTGAAAGGACTTAACGACATGACCTTGAAGTGTCAAGATTATTGATGACATTAAAAAATGGTTAAGTCAGTTGTAAGTTAGATCGCTCAATACATATGCTACGGTGGCTTTCTGGGATGGGTTTAGTTTTTCCAACTTCGAAATAAGTCTATGTTGAAACATCATCATCAGATTGTGGCTCAAAAACTGCCACAGTTCTGAATAGCACACGCAGGCCTGTCAGTGTCAGCTGTCCCGCAGTTTGCGTATTTGTCATGCATTTGCTGAGGAAATTGAAGTTGCACCAGTTTTTTGCGTGATAGAATATGTAACGCAATACGCATTTAATCTGATTAAGCAAAAATATTTCATGAGAAACACATCAAGAAATCAACGCCGAAACAGCAAAACAAGAACGCCAAAAAAACGAACACGATTCATTCGGAATTGGCCTATGCGAATTGGGTTATGCCATGCATTTACTTCGAATCGTATTGTCCCAGAATTCTGAGGTACTATATACTTTCTGCTCTGGGAATGGTCAAACGGGACACACCCTTTTTTCTAATGAGGTTACAGTTACTGCTTGTTAAATTATATTTGACACTAGATACCTTCATTTTACGTAATGCATGGTTTCATAACCTGACAAAAATGTAAATCTATCTATGCAAAATCACAAAGGAAATTTTCACTTTTTATCTTGGATTACAGTTTCGTTCGTCTCATGTCACTCGAGATGCGTATAGCTTCATTTTGACATCGCCTTGCAAATACGAGGCAATTTCCCCCCCCCCTTGGCCAAAAATTCTTTCAAAATCATGGAGATTTTCACCAATTTGAGCACTTCTCAAAATTGTCAAATGTGACCCCCCCCCCCCCCCCCTTGGCAAATCCTGGCTACGGGCCTGTGTTGTGTCAGGTTGGATCTGGGAAAAGTTCAACGGACTGACAAATTGATTTAATAAGGTTTGAGTGGTCATCAGACTCACTTTATAATTCCAACGCTTAAAGGGGTTAACAGATATAATTTAAAGAAATGATAATATTTGCGTTTCGTTGAACTTTGTGTTGATCTAACGCGTTACTAGAGGTGTGTGTCTGCAAAGTCAACAGAGCATTTCAATTGTGAATGACCTTGCTTTGAATGAATGGTCTTAGTCAGAAAATACGGTCGGTAAGGCGACTAGAAGTACCTTTTCGCTATACTGGAATCCCTAACAATGAATCACAGAAACTATTGTTAAAGTCCATCTAGTGACTTAATAATTAATGCGTTACAGGTGTCTTAACTTTCGAAGGTAGGTTTAATTTTAGCTTCACAGAGTGTATTGTCCTTCTGTTTTCTGCTGTCATTCTGTAAGTCTGCAGTTTTTCTGTATTGTCATTCTGCAAATCAACACCTTTTTGCAGATTTCTGTCATCGATTTTTCCGTTTTGTCATTCGGCCGGTCTGTCGTTTTGTCTCCAGTGTTATTCTGTCAGGATGTTAACCCGGGTCAGAGTGTCATAAATCCTACTAGCCACTGGTCCTATTAAGGGTACGCATACATCACAAATAAACCATGTGAAAACGAGCTCAGATTTCCAGAATTGAATAGAGAAGTAAATATATAGAAAATTGAAGTCTAACACGTGCATTGTTAAACTGTTAGATAAACAATCCAAAAGCTAAAGTGGAATAGTATTTCATATAGTTGTGTTTGTAAAGCATGACAATTGCTGTATCTTCGGAAAATATGAAATAAGTACTCGTGTAAATATTAATAAATGTGGATGACTGACATGTCCACTGTGAAGAAAATGTAGCACATTAAATAAAACACGGGTAAGTAAAAAATAATTGGTCGTTATTTAACATCGGAGGTGTTGACATATCCTCGTTGAGGTTAAAGTTACCGATGAGGTGACATCAGTTGACCATGTCTTTATTTGAGCAAACTATGCAATCCCCTCAACAGTACTAGTTTGGCAACAACCACTAGACGGCGGTGCAAGGCTATATGCAATAAAGCCACTGTGACTCGGTGACAATAAGTCAGACTTTCCTTTGTCAAACTTTTGAGAGTAGCGTAAAACTTGACTAGAGGCATCATTCGAGGAACAAATACATAATTATCTACTAAGAACATCTAACAACATATTTTTGACGTGCCATCTATCTTTACAAAAAATTGTAAGTCAGGCCCGTAGCCAGACCAAAAATCATGCAGTTTTTCAACATTCTGAGCACTTTTCAAGTGATTTTAGGCCACTCCCTTGAATTTTTGTTAAAAGTGAACCCCCTTGGCGAATCCTACCTATGGGTCTGCAAGGTTTAACATTTTCGACGTCAGTACGATTAAAATAATTGGGCATTTATCAAATAATAGCATTCTGATTTTCAGAGTATCTGTGTCTAAAGCTTGTCTATAGATTCCAAGGGATATTAAAGACTGTGATGATTTAATTAATCTCAAATAAGAAACGCAATTTTGAGGGATGCATGAATGGATGCTAATCCAAAGCACATGATTTAAATGTTTTGTTTTCGTTTCAGTTGTGGGCGGAGTAGCTTACTGGACGATTGGATATGCCTTTGCCTTTGGAAAGAGTGGGAATGGTTTCATCAGTTGGGAATATTTCGCAAGTCACAATCTCGAAGGAGTTGCTCTAGCTAATTGGTTTTTCCATTTCGTGTTTGCTGCCACGGCAGCTACGATAGTGAGCGGTGCCGTTGCCGAAAGATGTGACTTTTTCGCCTACTTCTCTTACAGCTTTGTCATAACAGGTAGGTGGAGAGTACCGATGTGCTGCATCCGAAGATGTTCATATCACGGAGATGGCCGAAGATGCTTCAAATAACCAATCAAATCGCTTGACGCGGTAGGATTAGATCTTCGGCCACCTCCGATAGTGGTCCAAAAAGTGCGACCGATTAAACGGAAATAAACGGAAATAACGACAATTCCACTTAGTTATTTAAGGTTTTATTTGATTTAAAACAACTTCAAAATATATTGATTCAGTCTATAAAATAATTTCAAAATATGTTTGACTTTGAGCTGTATTTATTAATGCGTTACACTGTTTTTATTTCTCTATGTCATATGGAGAAACATTCCCACGTGTTTAATTTTAAATTCTATAACGTTCCCCTTTACCATACCGTTAACCAGAGAAAATAATTTAAGAATAATGTTTATTTCTAGGGTTTATCTATCCAATTGCGGCACATTGGGCATGGTCGGGCGATGGCTGGTTGGCCGCTGGTCTCAGTTACGATGAAGTCATTGAGGGAACAAATATAACAATTTCCCATAACATTCCGTACCAGGTACTATGACTTTCTAGTGTAGAATAAACAGGGTATCCATAATGCTTCTTTAGAATTTCAATAAAGTCTGGGAGGTATTTAAAGTGTTTATTAATTGACTTTATGGAAACCCTGAATATTGGCAGATAGCAACGGAACGTACATTTGACTGGTAAATGTACATGAGACAATACATAGGAAGTTAATAAATGCTTAATTTGCCTATTGATATTATGTTAAAATTTGTCTATTAATGTCTAAATGGACACAGCCAAGGAAAAATTGCCTAAATAAAAAAGTATGCATTTTATCCTGCTTGATTTTCTGTTTTAGGATTTTGCTGGTAGCGGCGTTGTCCATCTACTAGGTGGCGCTGCAGCATTGGTTGGGGCAGCAGTAATGGGCCCGAGGATAGGACGGTTTGAAGGGGGACCTGAAGGACAATCCATGAAAGGACATTCTGTACCAGTAAGTATGCACCTGTATATCATTATTATTCAGAGTTTAGAGAGTTTATTTGACGGGTGGGGTCACCAGTCAGAAAAGCCATGGTCCATTGCCATCCTCCTCTACAAATGCACATGAGCACATCACTGGTTGACCTTGAAATTGATACAAAGGTACAACAAACCTTTTGTTCAAATCAAATACGGCCCATATAGTTTAACCAAACAATCATGTTGTACAGTTTATTGTGACGTAAAACTTTTGCAATTTACAAAGTGGTTACATTTTTGCGACTTTCGTCCAAGGTAGTAGGCCCAGCATGCATAGGTTGCATTACAACACCATTAGACTTTTCAGTGCTACACTTGCTACCCTCAATGTAACTTGAAGTTCCAAAAACCTCCGCTTCTTCAAAAGTCTCTGGTAGTCGTTTATCTTTGGTTTCTGGGAGAAAATAGCCTAGAATACCAGATGCTATCGGAAAAACAGACATGCAAACATATGGAAGACCGTACCAAACTTTGGCTAAGAGAGGAATCTGGGGAGAAATTAGACCCCCGATACGACCGAAACTAGACGCACTCCCGAGGCCTAAGTTCCGTGCTTGTGTCGGGTAAATTTCCCCGGTGTACAAATACATTATCCGCCCGCTCGTCAGCATCGCGATCATCCCTACCATGGCTGTGATAGTCACCAAAATGGGTATGTTCATCCTTAGCAGTAATATGATCAAGCAACAGCAACTACCGTTAATGATATGAAAAAGAACGATAGACCAACGTCGACCTAGTTTGAACAAGCTGAGCCAAATCGTGAAGAACGACGGTATTTCAGAGAGTCCATAGACAAGCAGCATGTTCAAGTATATGCTTCCAGGTATAAGAGCACCGATATTTAGCGACATTGCATATGAAGCGAATACAGACGAAATCCAAATGAACCAAAGTATCATAGTCCTGGCTCTTAGACGAGGTGTCCGGAAAAGATCAACGAGTGAAGCTTGTTTTGTTTTAACTTGTCTTGCTTCGTTGACGCTGGGGTCAGTTTTGCTGTTATCATACATTTTCTTTGCTTCAACGACATCAGTATCAGCTGCTCTGGCATTTGGGTGTTCTACCTCGACATTTTCGGGATATTTACATTTGTTAATTCTGGCAATACTCCTCACAGCCTTGTCAAATTCATCAAATCTCTTCATGGATAGCAACCACCTAGGGCTTTCTGGGATGAGACATACGCAAATAAGACCAGGGATAATCATACATGCCGATACCAACTGCAGATATACGTGGTCTCTCACGAAGTAAGCCAGGACGGGAAGGAGACATTTTACAATGCGCCCTATCGCAACGTATTGCGTGCAATGAGAGCGATATACAGGTGGCATATTCTCAACAACCAATATCCAGAGTGGAGTAAAAGAACCGATGCTTGTAATTCCAACAAGGAAACGAAAGACGAGGAAGAGCCAGAAAATCGGTGAAAATGCAGCCCCAACTATCGTTAGTATTTGTGCGAAAGTCATTATGACTGTTGTTCGTTTTCTGCCAAATCTGTCAGACATCCAACCAGAAAATGTCGCTCCAACTAGGATACCAGCCATAAAGCAAGTAGCAGGCAAGGTATATAGCCAGTCGTTTGTGCACACTAACCTAAAAACATGATGTCATAGTATAGTGTCAATTCACCCAGCACAACGACCTGAAAGTGTGCCATCATGTTATACCGATAATCAAATAATTGCAAATTTTCTATGCAGAAAATGATCAATACAGGGTGCAGCAGGCCCGTAGCCAGAATTTTCCAAGGGGGTTCACTTTTCCAAAAATGCTGGGGGGGTTCACTTTGGCAAATTTGGCCAAAAATCACTAAAAAAATAGTTAGAATGGTGAAAAACTGCATGATTTTGAAAGAAATTTTGGTTAGTGTCAATTCACCCAGCACATTGACCTGAAAGTGTGCCATCAAATAATTGCAAATTATCTGTGTAGAAAATGATCAATACAGGGTGCAGTCGCTCACTTTGGCATACGAAGCTGGACGTATCAACACATACGTCAAATATGGAACATATATTACCCGAATTAGCTAACTGCGGTGGATAGGAACACAGATTTGTCGTACTCCCAACCGTATTGACAATCAATCCTTGTCGCGTTCATTCCCTGTAAAATTTTATGCCAATTTGCACCAGATTCACTCAACGCTGTGAAATTGTAATCATACATCTGGCATTGCTCATAAACGTCCCTATCCAGTGCATCTTTCGTATTCGGGATAGCAATCTCCTTAAGTCGCGTCTTGTTAATTCCTCTAACGAGTGGCAGCTTACACCAGTGGTCTACCTTACCTACTATGAAATTAGTAATGACATATTGCCACGAGTTTCCGCTAAAAAATATCACATTTGCTAAGATAAGAAGTTTTTGAAAGCGTCCAAATCCGCCAATTTGGTAAAGAAGATCGTCAAAATTTATTTTTGGCTTGTCCATTTTGCGTTCTGTTCATTCAAAATGTTAACGTTCACTACATGTAGTTCCTTATGTCATGCCAATGTTTCTTGTCAAAAATATTTATGGAGATTTACATCTTATAATTACTCCATATAATAAATGAATTTGAACGTAGTTTTATAGATGATTGTCTATTTTTTCCTTGTTTCATCCACTCAATGTTCAAGTAAAACTTGCAAAATAAGTACACCTTCCATGCGAGGCTTTTGCTACTACTCTCAAATAAGTAAAACACGCAAACGTCCTTGCTGAACATGTCCTGTCATAATGTTGAAGCAATGTTAACGATTGTCCGAAGTTAAAAAGATAAGAATACCCCCAATCAAGTACTTTCAAGAATTGTAAAGACATATACTATTTTTGTTTGCTATACACATTTTATTTCATCTGTCGAGGTTGTCGGATATCATATTCCATATCTATATCCATTTATTTCCATTTCGTATCTCTAAGGTCTTCTCATTCAAATTTCTCATTTTCTTTTGTCTCAATACTTGTATTTTACATATTTATATTACATATCCCATAGTATGATCTCAGAAATACTTATACCTCAAGCAATATATGATGATTCAAATCTTAACTCATGCGTCATTTTCCAGGTAAAACTCTTTCATAAGAAAAAGTGAGCCGGAGACTTTTAAATTTTTTTTCATTTCAGCTTGCTGCTATGGGAGGTTTCATTCTCTTCTTTGGATTCTTCGCTTTCAACGGTGGGTCACAGGCCAGCATTTCAGCAGAAGGTAAATACATTTATCATATGATCTGTAAAATGAAGCCCTCTGATTTGTCAGCTCTTGTGCTGTACTAATCTGTATTGCTACTGAGATTTTCCTCCCACCTTGTATCGGTACGGGATTGATCCATTGCAATACAGAAAATATTGATGCGAAGGGTACCAGCAAGTCAGAATATTTCTTTAGGGTTATCTCCTGTTTAAAATGTGTTTTCCAAATCAAGTTTTAGAATGATTTGAAGTGCAATACAGGATATATTCTGCTCTCGATAGTCTGTATTGGCACTCGACTTCGTCTCATGCTTATACATAATTTCTCGATCGCAATGTATCGTGTATTTGACTTCAAATCATTCAAAAACTTATAGTATTGCATTGCTAGACTACAATTTAAGGATTTGTAAAAATGATATCGATTGATCGAAAGATGGCAGGGGAATTCGGTCTCTTTCAACATATCTAGTCAAACTGCACAACTGCCATCTTTGGATATTTGCAAAAATTGCACACAACCTACGTTTAACACGAATCGTATACTTTGATAATAGTTCGTCAATATTTGGAAGGCAATATTCTACTACCGAAAGTCAGTAACAACACCCCCATTAAGTTTACATGCTTTTTGTAATGTATATATTGTAGAACCCTAGAGGGTTATAATGGTACTTATAACATACCTATGATGATGTATAGTGCAAAGTGTACACAAGACAGGGGGCCAATATAAGTTTTGAAAAGCCCGCGCCCGCCAACTTTCTGATTGGTCAAGGCGCTGACGTCATAACCAATCAATCGAAGATAAAACTGCGCGAGCAATTTTTCTAAACTCATTTCAATCATTTTCAAACCATTTGTTTGTCAATTCTATAAGAAAACGGTACTCTCTGACCAGTCTACATCATCATAGGTATGTTATAAATCGTTTATGTCACTATCGTGGCACATATGCCCTCGGTTCTCAGAGATCAATGTCCCTCCCAAGGTCGGGCCATATATCACTGAGACCTCGGGCATATATGCCACGATAGTGACATAACCTCTAACTATTCACTGTTACCTTAAATAAGATGATTAAAAAACATTTGCTTACGAACACCTTATTCATGAACTGTGTTGGCTTCTAGGTGACGGTGCCGCTGTGTGCCTTGCGATGGTGAACACTATAATATCTGCCAGTTTCGCTGCCTTGACGGCGTTGCTTCTCAGACGCACCCCTCTGTTCGGAGACAATAAGTGGAGTATACTCGTGACCATCAATGGAGCACTTACCGGAATGGTACGGTCAAAGATGTTTGTTTAATTGATTGTTTTTAATGTCACCACCACCAACTCTGTAACAGTTGTTAGATTTTTTGATTTGCATATTTAAAAGATATATCAAGATCAACTCGTTTAGAATTAACACTCGTACATATTGCAGTTAGCATTGACGGTTGATAACACTTGAAGGCATGTGACATGTTTATAAGACAAGGCAATATCTAATTTACCCTATGATAAAGAGCATGTCGTTTATGTTAAAAGGTGGCGATTTGTTCTGGGTGCAATAGCGTCTATCCATGGGGAGCGGCCATCATTGGTGTTATATCCGCCTTTACCTTCCTCGCCTGGAGTTACCTTGTTGCCAAATTGAAAATCGACGACCCATTGGATGCCGTTGCAGGTATTAATGTTTATAGTATATTTATGTATTTGTATCATATATTACATATTATATTATTTATTTATGGAAGGGGGCGTATAATTATGATAGGATATCCCATAAAAACTACTGAGTATCACGAGAGCGTTATTTACAATGTAATTACAGTTTAAAAGTTAACTTGACTCTGATCAGTGCAAAGTTAGTTAAATGTATGTTTATTTCGTTTAGTGCACATGGGAGGAGGTATCTGGGGTTTAATTGCTACACCCATTCTGCGAAGACCTGATGGCGTAGACACTACAGGAATCGTCTTCAATCCTGCTGGAAAAGAGCCCTGGATGGTAACAACTTTTGTGTTATTTTGTCTTTTAAAGATACTTTTATTTCCTCTTTCCATGCATGAAAATTTATTTCAGGTTTTCACTATAAATAGAAAGACAATTTTACAGAAAAGTCAGTGTAAATATTAGCTGAACAGCTTTATCTTGACACATTAGCCAACCAGGGTTTGATTTGATTTTCGTAAAGTTTTATCTTTGAAGAATCTTCCACTTTCTTTCGCATATCTTAAACAATTTGTTACACTTTTGTAACCCTTTGCAACAATCTACCAGAATAATATTCGTATTGTTTCAATGCCTTATCAAAGATGTTGTATTATTGCTTCTGTAGAGGAATTGCGTGGAATCTTGCTGGATTGGTCACTATTGCGATGTGGAGTCTCGGGTGCGCTGCCATATTAATTATGTTGTATTTGCTTCTGTAGGTACTTGCCTGGAATCTTGCTGGATTAATTGGTCACTATTGCGATGTGGAGTCTCGGGTGCGCTGCCATATTAATTATGTTGTATTTGCTTCTGTAGAGGAATTGCGTGGAATCTTACTGGATTGGTCACTATTGCAATGTGGAGTCTCGGGTGCGATGCCATATTAATTATGTTGTATTTGCTTCTGTAGGGACTTGCGTGGAATCTTACTGGATTGGTCACTATTGCGGTGTGGAGTCTCGGGTGCGCTGCCATATTAATTATGTTGTATTTGCTTCTGTAGGGAATTGCGTGGAATCTTGCTGGATTGGTCACTATTGCGATGTGGAGTCTCGGGTGCGCTGCCATATTAATTATGTTGTATTTGCTTCTGTAGAGGAATTGCGTGGAATCTTGCTGGATTGGTCACTATTGCGATGTGGAGTCTCGGGTGCGCTGCCATATTAATTATGTTGTATTTGCTTCTGTAGGGACTTGCGTGGAATCTTGCTGATGGTCACTATTGCGATGTGGAGTCTCGGGTGCGATGCCATATTAATTATGTTGTATTTGCTTCTGTAGGGACTTGCGTGGAATCTTACTGGATTGGTCACTATTGCGGTGTGGAATCTCGGGTGCGCTGCCATATTAATTAATGTTGTATTTGCTTCTGTAGGGACTTGCGTGGAATCTTGCTGGATTGGTCACTATTGCGGTGTGGAGTCTCGGGTGCGATGCCATATTAATTATGTTGTATTTGCTTCTGTAGGGACTTGCGTGGAATCTTGCTGGATTAATTGGTCACTATTGCAATGTGGGGTCTCGGGTGCGCTGCCATATTAATTATGTTGTATTTGCGTTTGTAGGGACTTGCGTGGAATCTTGCTGGATTGGTCACTATTGCAGTGTTGAGTCTCTGGTGCGCTGCCATATAATTTATGTTGTATTTGCTTCTGTAGGGACTTGCGTGGAATCTTGCTGGATTGGTCACTATTGCGGCGTGGCGTCTCGGTGCGCTGCCATATTAATTACGTTGTATTTGCTTCTGTAGGGACTTGCGTGGAATCTTGCTGGATTGGTCACTATTGCGGTGTGGAGTCTCTGGTGCGCTGCCATATAATTTATGTTGTATTTGCTTCTTTAGGGACTTGCGTGGAATCTTGCTGGATTGGTCACTATTGCGGTGTGGAGTCTCGGGTGCGCTGCCATATTAATTACGTTGTATTTGCTTCTGTAGGGACTTGCGTGGAATCTTACTGGATTGGTCACTATTGCGGTGTGGAATCTCGGGTGCGCTGCCATATTAATTATGTTGTATTTGCTTCTGTAGGGACTTGCGTGGAATCTTGCTGGATTGGTCACTATTGCGATGTGGAGTCTCGGGTGCGATGCCATATTAATTATGTTGTATTTGCTTCTGTAGGGACTTGCGTGGAATCTTGCTGGATTAATTGGTCACTATTGCGATGTGGAGTCTCGGGTGCGCTGCCATATTAATTATGTTGTATTTGCGTTTGTAGGGACTTGCGTGGAATCTTGCTGGATTGGTCACTATTGCAGTGTTGAGTCTCTGGTGCGCTGCCATATAATTTATGTTGTATTTGCTTCTGTAGGGACTTGCGTGGAATCTTGCTGGATTGGTCACTATTGCGGCGTGGCGTCTCGGTGCGCTGCCATATTAATTACGTTGTATTTGCTTCTGTAGGGACTTGCGTGGAATCTTGCTGGATTGGTCACTATTGCGGTGTGGAGTCTCTGGTGCGCTGCCATATAATTTATGTTGTATTTGCTTCTTTAGGGACTTGCGTGGAATCTTGCTGGATTGGTCACTATTGCGGTGTGGAGTCTCGGGTGCGCTGCCATATTAATTACGTTGTATTTGCTTCTGTAGGGACTTGCGTGGAATCTTACTGGATTGGTCACTATTGCGGTGTGGAATCTCGGGTGCGCTGCCATATTAATTATGTTGTATTTGCTTCTGTAGGGACTTGCGTGGAATCTTGCTGGATTGGTCACTATTGCGATGTGGAGTCTCGGGTGCGCTGCCATATTAATTATGTTGTATTTGCTTCTGTAGGGACTTGCGTGGAATCTTGCTGGATTAATTGGTCACTATTGCGATGTGGAGTCTTAGGTGCGCTGCCATATTAATTATGTTGTATTTGCTTCTGTAGGGACTTGTGTGGAATCTTGCTGGATTAATTGGTCACTATTGCGATGTGGAGTCTCGGGTGCGCTGCCATATTAATTATGTTGTATTTGCTTCTGTAGGGACTTGCGTGGAATCTTACTGGATTGGTCACTATTGCGGTGTGGAGTCTCGGGTGCGCTGCCATATTAATTATGTTGTATTTGCTTCTGTAGGGACTTGCGTGGAATCTTGCTGGATTGGTCACTATTGCGATGTGGAGTCTCGGGTGCGCTGCCATATTAATTATGTTGTATTTGCTTCTGTAGGGACTTGCGTGGAATCTTGCTGGATTAATTGGTCACTATTGCGATGTGGAGTCTCGGGTGCGCTGCCATATTAATTATGTTGTATTTGCTTCTGTAGGGACTTGCGTGGAATCTTGCTGGATTGGTCACTATTGCGATGTGGAGTCTCGGGTGCGCTGCCATATTAATTATGTTGTATTTGCTTCTGTAGGGACTTGCGTGGAATCTTGCTGGATTAATTGGTCACTATTGCGATGTGGAGTCTCGGGTGCGCTGCCATATTAATTATGTTGTATTTGCTTATGTAGGGACTTGCCTGGAATCTTGCTGGATTGGTTAGTATCGCAGTGTGGAGTCTCGGGTGCGCCGCAATACTTTTCCTCATTCTAAAGTTCTTCAAAGTGCTTAGAGTCCCTGCTGAGCTTGAGCTAAGAGGTTTGTCATTTAATTTTAATTTTATTTGAAATAACCTTCTCACATTCAGTTCGTGTACAATAAAACACATTACAATGTCACATTGTTATTCACATTTGTAATTTAACTAGACATGTAAATTGAACAAGTTCAATTTAAGACTTCAGACTTTTTTTAAGCTGAGTCATCCAAATACTTGTAAGCTGAGTCATTCAGAATAAGCTGAGTCAGCTAGAATATAGACATTTAGACAACTCTTAAGAATGTTATCTTCGACTCCATTGGCCTAATCTGGGGATATCATCATATCGACTTTTCGAGACTTCAAACCGCTATAACTATCTAATCAGAAGTTGGATCGAAATTAAGTTTAAAGATTCTGATTCCTGAGAAAATTTTACCCCTAATTCATAACTCATACGTTAAATTTGGAGAACTTTTTATTTTGACCTACTTTTCAGACACCATATCTCAAAAGTGGGTCAAAATACTTTCTGACGGCAGAAGGCTAACACTATAAGCATACTCTTTGCTACCTGTATACAAAATTTCGAAGCAAATCATTAAAGTGTAATGTCAGAATCGCAAAAATAAGGAAAACTATGAATTTGACCTAGATTTTGACCTAGGCATTTTGGTGTCCAAATTTTAAAGCTAGATAGGCTTCGAGGTCCCCTTCTTTTATAGGCTTTCAGAATGTTAAGCTGTACTCAGTTTATATCTGGTATTTTACACTTCAAAAAAATCTTTTTTCTCATTGACATAACATGGGGCACCAAATTTAGCGATTTTGAGCTTTCAAAACGCCATAACTTCCGAACCGAAAGTCGGATTGAAATTTAATTTGCAGATTCGGATTCCTGGGAAAATTTTACTCTAATTCACAGCTCATATGTTAAATTTGGAGAACTTTTTATTTTGACCTACTTTTCGGACACCATATCTCAAAAGTGGGTCAAAATACTTTCTGACGGCAAAAGGCTAACACTATTAGCACACTCTTTGCTACCTGTATACAAAATTTTGAAGTAAAAAGTGTAGTGTCAGAATCGTAAAAATAAGGAAAAACTATGAATTTGACCTAGATTTTGACCTAGGCATTTTGGTGTCCAATCTTCTTTTATAAGCATTAATTATGTTAAGCTGTACTCAGTCTATATCTTGTATTTTACACTTCGAAAAAGTCTTTTTTCCCATTGACTTAACATAGGCACCAAATTTAGCGAATCTTGAGCTTTCAAAACGCCATTACTTCCGAACCGGAAGTCTGATCCAAATTTGGTTTGCAGATTCGGTTTCTGAGATCATTCTTCACTTACTTCATAACTCACAGGTTGAATTTGGAGAAATTTTTGGTCTGACCTACTTTCCGGACGCCATATCTCAAAATCGGCAAGAGTAATCAAAATTCTGATGTCACATTTTTGATTTGCCTTTTTCTAAGCTACACGATGAAAAAAAGATAAAGGAGTTACGAAGAATATTGACGAAGATATGATGAAGAATGTTGAAAATGTAAGATTTGACCTAGTTCTTGACCTTTGACCTAGATAAAAATTTGACCTAATTTCCCAGAAAGCCGGATACAGTCTTTAGTTAACCATGTAAGTTGGATTAAGTAAGATGTTATAGTTGGAGAGAAAATCTGTTAGGAGGAAGAAAAAGAAGAATAAGAATAAGAAAACAGGCAAAAACAATAGACTCCAGATTTCATCTGGAGTCTAATTACTTTACGTTGTCTAGTCGGTTCAGGTCAATAAACAACATGCCGCAATTGAATATTGCATTCAATTTTGAATTTACGAACATATACATACAATACTGCCATCTTTATATCAACACGGATATTTTCTATCGGTCACGGTCTAAAGTTAGACGATCGAAGAGCTCGCCTCCCCTATAGGCCATTAGACAGTCTGCATCTAAAACCAGTGGTACCGTATGGGACACCGACACAATGACAGTATAGGCAACCACCACTGAATAGTTTCAAAATAAGCGAATCTCACTGGACAATTTACCTTTTTTACAACTTGAATTTTTTATATTTAGGTCTCGATATCCCAAAACACGGAGAGCCTGCCTACCCTGCTGAAGCCTACGGTCACGGATGGGACACAGACGGAGTTTCAATTGAAAAGATAGTCAATGAAGCCATGGTAAAACTAGGAAAGGACCCACAAGATGAAACTGTTAGAGATGGTTAGTTTTTTATACCACCCGGTTGTGTTGATGTGCTTTATTTCGATAAGTGTTTCCACAGTTTTGCACTATATTCTTCACACAAACCATTTCGTTCATTGCCGGTGTAAAATAAATTATGGTCCCCGGGGATTATGGTCTCCTTTCTTAAAGGCTCTTACTGGCCCTGATTGTGGATACGATAATAAGGGAAAGAGTTGTATTTAGGTCACCATATAAATCAATGGAAAGTAGGACCATAATTTGATAGGACCTCCTACCCTTTTACACCTGGCTACCGAACCATCCATTTTAATAAAACAAATCTTGGAATGATGTTTCAAATATTTGATGTAAAACGATAATGATATGACTTTAATGACCAAAAACGATGCCATTGTGTTAGGATACAGTGCAAAACATTGAAAACGACTTATTTCACAGGGGAAAATACTAAATGGTGTTAGAGGTAATTAAACCAAAAACGTTTTTTATTTGGATGGCTACTCAATAATTAGCAATTGCGTTATATTGTTTTTTCAGCTTTTCAGTTTTTGTTAATACGGCCCATTATCTTGTTATATTGCATTTCATACTTTGCATTGTGTGTTTTATTGATTTAAACAACATCATAACATCAGCTTTCTTCATTTTATGTGTGGATACATTATTTTTGTTATTGTACCACAAATAAAATGGAGAATTATCATGTGTTTATTTTGTACCCTAAATGCTTGCAATGATCACCCAGAGTAATATTTTTACCATGTGTATCCCTAATATGCACCTGTTATGTACACCTACTGCTCAAAAAATCGCTGAATGGCATGCATGCTTTTCGTAACCATTTTATTTTATTGAAGGTCATAACACTTCGAGCACCACTGCACAACATTTTAAACCACCCCTACCACCCCCATCCACTCCCAAATAACTACTACTCTTTGTTCCATACAGCACCAATATTTTTACATTCATTTCTACACCGAGAAACACATCTATTGTCATTATCAGGCATTCATAATTTTGCACAATTAAACTACAGTGTCAATTGTTAAAAAGGGCATACTTTGGTAAACCATTTCGATTCTAATTTCCATTTAAATAATTAAATTCCATTCTCATTTTGGATGAGATGAGAGTGGATATAAAATGGAAGATTTAATAAATGATTTCGAAATCACTTCTTTAATAAATTTAAAAACATGAATCCCAGATGAAAATCAAAAAGATACGTACTAGTATATACTTATAATATACTACTTATATATATCGATGACATTGACCGAAATATATATTTCTGTCTGGTGTCAAGCCAGTGCTTTTGCTTATGCTTTCAAATCATCGAAATATACAAACATTTGTATGAATTGATAAGAAATAATTAAATATATTGTTTATAATTACAATTTAGCTGATGCCAACGATTCATGTTGGGCTAAAATGAAGTTTCGATGCTATAAGCGTAAAGTAAATACAGTACACCAAGAGTAATACTGTATATGTAAGTTACACTCCTTGGACATTGCTTAGCATAGTAAAACTATCTTGTTTTTTATAAATACCAAAGTGTGCCCTCTTTTGAAGCCTCCTCGTGACTCTTTGATGAAATGTATATCTCCGTTTTCAACCGTTTTCCATTTGGCATACCAGAAATTATCTAAAATCGGTAACTAGATCAAGTGATCTTTTTAAGCCAATGGCAAAAGTGAACGTGATCACGTGATACTTTGAATCATGTAATGTTTGTGGTGGTATGCTTAGTGGAAAATGTGTCATCCCAATGTTTTACTTGCGTGTACTCGCTTGCTTATTACCTTCTTAAAATTAGTAATGTTGTGCATAAACTCCTGAAATAAATCTCTGTGTTCAATTGTGCGTGTTGTGTTCATCTTTTCTTATATAATGGCCACCGGATATAACCGATTGCACATAACTGATTTGCTTTTGTTGTTTGATTATGTCTGTTTGGAAATATTTAACATTAATTACTCTACCTATATTGTTTTGTGCATGGCTTTTGCAATTAATTCATGTTTATGCATATATGTGAAAATATAATATTAATCCGAATAATATAATTACGTATAGAACACGAGCATCGGCAAAATTGATCTTCAAAAATATGATGCAAAAATGAAAGGAAATGGAACACAACGTTTCCCTTCATATTCATGACATTATTTAAACTACATTTCTAACTTTTATTTCGACTATTTTCAGTTATTCAACTTGTCGGGCAAGCAATTCAATCACAAGGACATTTTATTACAGAAAATCCCGAAGCTTACGCTATAATGTTACGTCAGAAACACGCCAAGGGCTTCCAGATGCACCACATGACGACACCAACTTTCATACACGCCACACACGACGCAGAAGTCGGTAATGGAAGTGTCGGCAATGTACAGGCCAGTAGTGGGAGTATCAAGGTGCCATGTGTAAATCCAAGTGTAAACAGTGGCTTTAGAAACGATGAGGGTTCAACTCCGGCATTATAAGACAGTAATCTCAAAGACAAAGGGTGATTTTTAATGCCTGAGATATACACATTGACGCGTTTCGTCCAGTGAATATCGGATGCGATCGCATGTGTATTTATCCAAATAAGTTTAATAGTTGGATAAGCACTGGACGAAATGACGGTATAATTTATTGGGTATTGTTACACCCTTGTATGGACTTCATTTTTGGCTCATTGGCAATATATTGTAATAAGCGGTCTTAGGAATATATCGGCGGATCAGTTTTTAATTTTATTCAACATAGATTTTAACTGTTATAGTGTAGTATGTGTGAGAGGGATCGGGGCAAAATACCATTTTCTTCAATGATTGTATTTTAACAAAAGATCAGATCAGACAACTATTTCCACATCTATAGTTTCTTGAATATGAAGAAATGACCCGACCTCCTTCCCTTAACAGAAAATGTTTGCAAAACGTCACTGATTTTTGTTCCTGACGTGGATCTTATATTTATCGTGTATTTGTTATTTTGTTTATCATCTATCCGTGTTGGAGTTTATGTATTATTCTTTCTACATATATATCCAAGTAATTTTTAGACAGTTTTTTGTACAGTAATACTCAGATGGCATAATTCAATCATATAAAAAATGCCACTTATTTTTGCCTTGACATGGGCTGTCAATAAAGGATTTGCTGAGTAACTTTGAAATCTCGTTGAAGTCTCGTTTTAGTGTGATTATAGGAGATGTGCATTTTAAACCATCAAAGACCAACATTTTCCTCTATTTGATGGCACATTTGTATTCTGTCATGTGTAATGACATTCAATGAAATATTAATTTAAAGGTATTCAAATATACATTATGCCAATTGAATCCCAGCGACAGTATGGCGTTAATTTGTTTATGTAGAGACTAGAGAATATGACATTCGGATCATAAATTTAGTGATCAAAATACTCAATTCTGGCTGGATAATAGGAAGTAGATTTTTGTGGCATATCTCTTGAATACACACCCTTTCTGAAATAAGACTAGTGTAGATTATTGAGATACGATCTCATTCGGTAGACTAAGAACATAAATGTAGGCCACTATACAGGTATACTGTATACCTTTGTCTTAAACTTCAATTAATAACAAGTACTGTATAAGTGGTATTTATTCCAAGTGATTAATTTGCCGAATGGTCGAATAGTCTAAGGCTATGTGTTTAAATATCGTCATCATACCCTTTATGCGTATCGATGAAATATGTCTATAAAGGTATCCAAAATGTATCATACATCAAACTGTCAATATGTCAGTCAGTTATTGTGTAAATATTACTCAAGTCGGTATGTACACGTATTTGTGATTAATAAAACTAAGTTATGAATCTCAAAAAGTGTTTTTGATGACGCTCAAACATTAAATACAACTTTGTCACGTTGTTGTATTCACCAATGAGAAGAGTCTTTTACTGACACTTCCTTCAACAAGTTTGAAACTTATTGCTAGGGTCAAATTGGCAAAGTATCAGTTTCGAATTGGAGAGTCAAGTTGTTGCCTTTACAACCGTTCAGCAAATGACCTTGAGTGGTTTGTTGGTTAAACAGAAGTTCCGTTCCAGATCACTTACCAAAGCCTGTCCTTTCACCTAAATCAAACTTGTCAAACTTTAGGCTCACTGTTATCCAGTAACAGAAGATTCAAACATAAAAGGTGTTAACATGTTATCCAATAGAGAATCTTCAAATTGCAAAACTTATGGAGGGGTGTACCTGTATATACTGTGTATTATAAACAAGTGTAAAAATACAACAAATCCATACGCTTGCTTTTTATCATATTAATGACGTGAATTCTACAGTTAGTCCTAGGATCAATTACTATATTCAGATGATAAACCTTTCTGTCTCTTTATGGAATAAAGAAAGAATAATCGCTATCCATATGCACGAGACATTTGCGTAAGATTAAATAGTCTTTCCATTTTCAAGCAATTCCAAATCCACGTTGAATGACATTATGACTGGTGATCCACTCAATTACGCTGGAACCCTTTCTGTAACAAAATGTCGGAACGTCGAAGGTACGATTTTTCTTTTTTCCTTATTTCACACGTTGTATGCAGAATTCCATCAGTATTTCGCAAACATGTAAATTTTCTAAAATATATGATACTGATACACGTTTATGAGAAAAAATGTCGTGGGGATTATGCCTTCGACGCGTGAAATAAGGAAAAAAGAAAAATCGTACCTTCGACGTTCCGACATTTTGTTACCGAAACGAACGGTTTCAGTAAGCAACGTAATCGAGCGGATCACCAGTGATTATATAAGATGAAGAATGCCCACATATCCACAAGGTAGAATAGTTGTGTTGTACTTTATTTAATTTTGTCTTCAGTCTCTAGATGAGTTTGGTGTACTAGATTTAACATTCCATTTAATAATTTATTAAATTCCAGCAGTACTGACTATTTCGATTCCATCAATTTAATTTTGACGATTCTCATCTTTGAATGTTCAATATCGATCTTATTTGGTAAGATATATCAATTATCTTTATAAATGATAAACAAAATAAATACAGCAAACGCTGAACGTTTTTGAATAGATTGAGTCTAGATATTTTACGATCTTTATTCCTTATGGCCAGTAAGCTTTGCGTATTAACTAAGATTACAATTCAATTTATATTAAAGTTACACCCCATTCTTGAAGTTTTGCAACGGGATATTCCATCTTGAGCAATGCCAATTTAAACTTATAGACAAAGGTCATATATTCCCTTCCTGTAGAAGAACTAAATCAATATTCAAAATAAAGACTCGTTAACATGATATTGGATTCCCCTCGCCAAAATTTTGTCTACACATATCATCACATATATAGGTGTCATGCCTAAAACGGGACTGATCCATACCATGACAAATGCATGCATATTTCTATTCATTAATGCCTATTTGTAAAAATAGAAATGAAAGCTATTGAAGAAAAAATACATTTTGTTTTTTACTGAAGGCATGTATAAATCGAATACACATTGAATATTGGTTTTAAGCAATCGTGAAAAGAAATGTTGGTTCTAAACAAATATTTCGTGATACACTTGAATATTTAGCATTTCTTCCTGGTTCATTGGAACTCAACACTTCCCTGTGTGTTGTGTTGCGTTAATATAATGTGTATGAGTGTGTCCGATGTTTATAAGCATACCTGGATGAGGATAGAATGGGATCCTATCGGAGCATGGGAAGACATTTTGATATTTTGCTGTTGCTGTTACTTCGAGTGATATATTGTATAGCAGGTAAACTATTTCGATCTTTTTTTTCAGTGTATTTGAAGGATATGAAAGTGACATCTCACAGTAATTTTAAATAATGTAATTATTTTAAATGTTATCGCTTATGCCATGACATTACTTACTTCCCATGGGGTATTTTATGTTCTGATGGATTCACGAATTTTGCGCCACGCTCTGAGAAAAGGCTTGCCAATAGCAATGAGAAAAGGCTTGCCAATAGCAATGAGAAAAGGCTTGCCAATAGCAATAAATTTCGATTCTGTAAGACACTACTGAGGCTCCCAGACAGATCGATATTATTCTCTATCTCCAGTTGTTTAGTTTTAGGTGGTATGAGTATTTATGAACATGAATCGCAAAAATAAAATCTGAGAGAAGAACTTAAAGCTAGCTTCCCACTCTAAGATTGTATATATATTATTCAAAGTCTATCTATAATTTTAGGGTCTAGAGAAATTAAAACGTGTCCTGGAGCCAAAGGAATTACAGGCGGATGTCCAGGAGGTGGAATTATAAAGCTGAAGTCGCTCATCGTGGGAGCAAATATTAGAAGCCCCGAAGTGTCATGTGGTCAATTTAGACCAAAAGACTGTAGAGATCTTAAACATACGTTCAAATTCTACACATTTGTACAGTTTGATGCTTCAAGATTTGATGAAAGTGTCGCAGTTCCTGGCTTTGAGAGCACTTGCTATGACGAAAACCTAGTACAAAATAAATACATTCATCTTAAGTATGCCTGTATAACAGGTAAGCTTAGTTGAAATGATTAAACGTACCTTGACTATATATTATGTAATACATAATTTACGGACAAGTTTAGCCAGGATTGTGTTAAGTATAGCAACCAAATGTATAATATATTAGATATCTTTAACCTTAGGTATATTTAATATAATCACCGACTCCATTTTAATTTTTCAGCCAACACTATAGCACGACTAGGAGAAAATAAAACAATATCAAGCATGCCTGAAATACAGATTCTGAATAAGGCATATCCAAATATAACTTTAGGAAAAGTTAAAAATTATACTTGTAAAATATCCGGACCTGCTGGGTCTACAGTCAATGTGACATTAATACGTTCTCGTGTTGTAAATGCGGATAAAAACATATCGATTATTGTTCAACAAAGATCGTCACAATGTACAATTCCTCATACAACATTTGAAAGCAATTTTGGGAAGGACATTTACACAGGAAGGTATCCGGTTCAACTGTTCTTCAACTCCTCCGAACCTGCGATTTCCATGATGTGGCTGTCAATAAAAGGTTTTGTATGTGTTTAGGTTTAAAGTGTGCGCCTGACCCGGCTACGTATAGCACAGAGTTTATACTGGCGGATTAGACTAGTTCATTTTTTATATGTGTGTGAAAGCTTTCTCTTATTTGCGTTTTTTCGTTTAGTACGGTTTTGTTATAATTGCCGAGGTCATATAACCGGGATGAAACAATGATTATCGTTGACTGCCCACACACAAAACATACGTTGAGTGAACAGTGTTATTACAAACAACAGGCTTTAGAATACAAAGCCCAGTAGTGTGATAATAAGCTGTACACTACCACTGCTGCATGTACATATTAGTAGGGCTCCCAAAGAGTGGATAGGGAGGTTGTGTTTGTCACTTTTAAATTTTATATTTCAAAATTGTAATTTTACATGTCATAATTTGTTGGTTTCATTCGTTTAGCCAATCAAAACATTGTAAAACAATAAATTGTCTGTTACGTACAATCAATTTTGTTCAGTTTTAATTAGTTGTCAGAATAGAGTTACGTTCATCTGAATCCATGTATAAAAACAAAAATCTTATTTTCACTTCAAAATACTTCAGTGAGATGAATGCTCGGAATTGTCACATGCAATAACTTATTGTCGTATTCGTATATCTTCTCGATAGTAGCATTTAGTCGCACATTTGATGCCAGGTCACCTTGTCGCGTACCTCTTGGGGAGCCCCACATTTATGTGTGTATTCATGGAAGTAAATTCCCCGGTGTAGCCGAGAGCCACAAACTTTTCAACAGCTTCGAAATGGCCAATTTCTCTCATATATACTCTAAATATTTTATTATTTAGCACCTACAAAGTATTGCTAATAACCATATGTAATTTCAATAAGGAAACTTATCTGGCTACATGTAAATTCAATATCAACACTAGCTGTTCTCTCAACACGCCCTGGCTTACCTTGTGGTGACAAACCCTGGATTTTCGCTATTTATAGTTTATCAACACCTGGACGCATGCGCATTTTATAGTTTATCGGGCACTTTAATATACCATATCCCAAAAATAGCTAATAACTAATATCGATAGTGCTTAGTGATAGTATTTTAATGAAAATATTTAATTTTTGCAGATGCTAATGGTGGGAGGATCTCAGCAGAATGTTACAACGGAGGACCTTCATTACTTCAATTAACAGAAGTATGTTTGTCACCTGTGACCCCACCCTCACCAACAGTCTCGTCGACCTCTCCACCAGTACATCAAACTAAAAATCCCTCGACTCGTGTTACGCAACAAACGAGAGTGACGACCACAATGGCTACAACCACCATTCGCTTAAATCAAAGCAAACGGGTACTTAATGTTTAAAGGCTCCCAATATTGCCAAATCGTTCTCCATTAAAAGGGAGTTTAAGCTTGCATATAAAATCTAAACGTCAACCTATACGTATGGCCGATCGCCCATACAAATGCATCGCTTAAATATTCTCCGTTCACGTTTAGGTTGTTAAAAACAGTGCAAATTTAAACTCCCTAATGTTGTGTTCCGTAGTCGTTATGGCAAGAGCAATGATACAAGTATAAAATATTGAAATGTAACATTGTTTTAAAGAAATGAACAACTGGTTGAATTTATGAACGACATTTAATCACCAATTCGATAGCGGAATAATTAAAGCAAAAATAGATACATTCTCTCTAGAAGAAGAAGGAACAGCGTGTTCCGTACCCCTGCGTTTATAAAATCAACTCATGTAATACCTGTATTGTTAATATGCAACAGTTAACAGTCTAGTTGTATTTGCGTTCCATTATTTCAGCCTCACAACGAAATGACAGAATCCAAGAACTCAACAAAAACAACAGCAACAACAACGCCAATAACAACAATATTCCAAGGCATCACTTCTATCACAAATGAAATTGAAACGCCCGCGAAATTTGAAAATACAACAGCTAATACTGCCCCTAGTAAAAACGAAATTTCGGAACAAGACGCAGAATTCACCACACAGTCCGGAGTCACAACAGAAAATGTAACAAATGGCAATGGAACACTACAGGGAACGCTAATGAGGGAGCAGTTTGTTGTTGATGAAGGTAAAGGAAAACTATTGTAAAACGTTTAATCATCCATGGATTGAGTACTTTACTTACTTCACTTAGATTTTAACCGATACTGCGCTGCCACCTATAATGGGAGTTGGGACGACGCTAAACACGAATTAGTTTTTCACGATAATGAATATGCGAGTTTTATACGATGTCGTCATGTTTGGAATATACCGTATATAACCAAGATGTGATGAATAAATTCGTATAAATAAAAAAATAAATGGGAAAACTGACTTTTTATGTAAAAACAACTTCAACTACTTTTACCCCAAATACATGTATCCCCTGTCTTAATTATCGTATTTAATTTCCAGCCGTTATCATTGGACCTGTCGTGGTAGCAATCGTCATCATCCTCCTCATACTCATTATAATTTTCTTCGTAAAAAGGCGAAGAGGGTGAGTACATACGTCGCGATAAAATGATACAAGTTTGAATTGAATATATACTGTATATAATAAGACAACACTAAGGGCGCTAAAACTAAGTCGAACATACGTGGATGTCAATTTCTTAGTCATTTAATCATATAAATAATGTAAGTAATCCTTAAAGAGGAATCTACTTGCCTTATAACAGTATCTCACGTTATAGAATAAGGTAAAACAAAAAAAAGAAAAATATAACTAAGAAATCAATGTACGAGTTTACATAGATCATTTCATATATTTTTTTAAATGACCGTTTACAGAATGCAATGTGTCTGCACACAAGTTCCAAAGTCGCACGATAGTGATGCTATCGAGCTGGAATCAACAACTATATCACACCCTGATGGTGGCTTACATAATGCACCCGATGCTGACATAAATGAATCTAACCAATCATCAAACAATATGGAACATGTAACAGAAAATTACCATAACGTTTATGCAACTGCAGATGAGTCACGTGTAAGACTTCCACCCGAAGGCATGTCAATTGATGGTGATTATGATGCAATTGCAATACAGGTTGAAAATGATAAGTTGAACAACCTCGTACCTTCAGTTGATGATTATAAATCCAAACGTATCGAGCAGCACGGTGACACAAACAAAATTAACCATTTGAGCACACAATCGGATACCAACCCAATAAACCAAATTACTGCCATTGAACCAGTAGTAAGAGACTCAGAATGCTCTAAAACAAGTACAAATGATCTGTATACGCATGTAAAGAAGCAAGACATCAAGTCCAAACAAATAAAAACGGTTGATACACAAGGCGATATTCCTAAAAATCCTAAAGTACCAGAAAAAACTTGGGGTGACCAAACTTACAGTGACGTAACTCTATCAAAGGGAAATATCAATGGAGAGTTTGTAAGAGAAAGTCAAATGGTAGAAAATGAAATTTACAATGACTCTGTTATTCCTCCATGCTACCAAACAGAAAATGCATTGAGTAAGCATATTAATCTCACACATGATGAAAACACGACTGTTCGAGAAAGTCAAATGATAGAGAACGATTTATACAATGATGTAAATGTTGACAATAATATTGAAAAATTCCCTGGGTTAGGCACTTCTGTGGGTGAAGACATCAATGCCACAAATGAAAGGGATATTCCTGTACGGGCGAATCAAATGATTGATAACGATATATACAATGACACTAGTACTAAGCAAAGTCAAGATTTCGAAAAAACAAAAATGAACGAATCAAAAGATACTAAAATCCAACAAGAGAACCCTTTCAGTGTTCGAGAGAATCAAATGATAGTGAATGATATTTACAATGATTTAGATTATGACATTGGTGCAAAGCACGATAAACCAAGTATGTCAGGAATTGATGACCTTAAAAGTGAGAACAATGCTCCGGTCAGAAAGAGCCAGATGATAGTAAATGAGATATACAATGATCTCAACTTTTAAACTGGTGATCATTAAAAAAGACGTTGGCCTTGGAATAAGACAAGCCAATAATTTGGATTATTACCACCTTGCCGGGCCAGTTCTAGGGGTTTTAGTGCTAGTTTAGAAGGCGTTTATTTTACTTTATTATGCACCTCATTAAAATACTCAAATCTGATTGGTTCTTAGTTGCTTGTAATTTGGCAATACTCTGCTCTTTTCTGAAAACTGCCGGATATTTTTTTAATATCTGACCCTTTCGAGAAAAAGGGTCGGATATTTTTTTCAATGTTTTTTGCAACATTCCCACTTCAGAGTTTTATTTCTTAATAACTGGAGTACTACTTAAAGCTTACATCTGAAACTGGCGGAAAATAGAAGAAAAAATGTACTTAATCAATCACAATTACCCTTATCATTCAAAAGTTACATATAATTCTGCAAGAACGTCTCGAATAAATAAAAAATAAATTCCCGGGGCAAATATTGTCGTCCAGTGTAGCGAATAAACTGGCCGGAAGTCGTCTGAGTTTTGAAAGAAAAAATAAATAAATGTCAAAATAATGTCAACTAAACGACAGTCAGAGCCTGTACTCCAGTAAGTACTCCACTTAACTTTGATTGGGAGGTGCATAATAAAACAAATACTGGATGATCAGGAGCTGGATATGGCCAGAATACCTATCCTCGAAAAAATATTGGGCTCGGCTGCCGCCTCGCCCAATATTTTTTCTCGAATAGGTATTCTGCCATATCCAGCTCCTGATCATCCAGTATTTGTTTAATATCGACCTGAGAAATGTGTGACGTCATAGTGGTGGTCCATATGGACCGGTCTAGAATATATTCTTGACCGGCAATTTTCCCCGGGAAATTAGATATCGTCCAATGCGTAAGATTTTCTTGCTGTTTCAGTCCTGGTCGTTAACGGTGGTAATAATACTAATAACGTTATTTCTGCGAGCAATATAGTGAAATATTGGACCTTGAGCCTTCGGCCCTCGGTCCAATATTTCACTATATCGCCCTTAGAAATGACGTTATTGTACTATTATCTATTTTATTTCATTTTCTGGCCGATCAGAATTAGAATCTTCATTCTATATATAACAATAGATGAATTTCCCCTTTACCTAGACTTGATGAAATTGAGCATAACCATACACATCGACCTAGAGCGTCGGTTTAGGAGAAGACACATTGCACTTGTAATATAATTTGTATGACCATTTAAAAAAACATGCTTAAAATCCTGTCTTTGGTGACAAACTTACTTCTTACTAAACTTACATCCCCCGCTTCTTCGGTCGAGCCTGCATTTTAAATAGCTTTTTCATTTAAAGTGCAACGGAGTGTCATAATTATTCGAATCCAATCAAGTTTGATATACTACTATATGTAGTACTTCTAGGCAAATACAACGGTTCTAACAGTACTGTGTTATTTAACAATTCTCATACATCAATTTTAAACTAAAACATATGCGTTCGTGAAAAGCGCTCTATATATTGTACATCGTGTGAATCGAATATATGGAATGCCTACCTGGTCTGTGTTTGATGAAGAGCCTCAGCTAGATATATTTGCTTGTTTTGTATACACACCTTTTTCGTATCAAACGTAAGGTCTTTGGACTCAGTGCGATTAAATTGGAAGTCGAAAATAAACCTCTCATAGATAGAGAAAACAATTTCGAGATATACGCCTTGTATTGTTTGACCTATTGTTACAAGTTAAAAGTTCATAAAGAATAAAAAGCCTATGACCAATAACAACTCTTGTTATTTTAACAGCAAAAGCTAGTGATGTGGACCCCACAATACACGATTTATTAAGACGAAACAAAAAATTCTAATCGATTGAACTTCACAAAAAGTATTTCCAGTGGTAAGAGAATTGCAAAATTATTCATAACAACTACAACAGTTTGATTGAAATACACTGGTTCATATCTGAGACCGAAAACTAAAAATGTTATACCAATAATCACATGTTTAGAATAATCCTCAAACACAATGAGCTGTTTGGGATTAGATTGATTCACCATGCAGCAACTGCAAGTGGTAGACCATTTGCAAAACTGATAAATTTAACCTCAATTCATGAATAATTGCAGTTTTTTTATTTACAAAATCGTATATCGTGGCAAACTGTTTACGTCTCAGACGTCATTTGACAATCGTTTCACGTGATGTAACATTTCTGCTCTGAAAATGAAATCAGTTTTGTCATTTTTGCCGTGAAAATAGACATGTCACAGTTTTACTATAATAATGTTAATCACACAAGTAAAAGCAAATGTTTGGTTTAATTCACACATAGCTAGGCAAAGTGTGTCAGATTTCAGCCAATCAAAACACGCTATTTCACGTCACTGCATTCCTTTATATAACCAACGACACATTTGTTGTATGGTTGTGAAGGTGACAACTTGGACACTACAGATTGAGATTATACTTTACCAATTTGCCTCTTACAAAAGGTTTCATTGAAAATATATTATCTAAATGATTTCGTATCTTTTATGTGAATTTGCAGAAAATATTTTTCAATGTGTGAAAATAATTGAAGCCCAAGACTTCTTAATCCTTAAATTATATTTTGCAAAATCGAAGATGCAATTCTATTAAATGATGAAATTAAAGTAGTAATCAAGTTGTTGTCCCGTAGCCAGGGGGTTAAATAGGTTCCCCCAGAATGACCGAAAATTCTTTCAAAAGTATGCAGATGTACACCATTCTGAGTACTTTTTAGTGCTTTTTGCTATTTTTTTTTACTAAACCTGTCAAAAGCTGGCTACGGGCCTGGTATATATGTAGTCAATAAAATTGGAAATAAGCTAAATTGTTTGGCCAAAATAATGTGTGGCACTACGTAAAAAGTCATCAAGCATTTTTGATACAAATTGTTTCTAAGCTATCGATACACCGCAAATATAGACTTTTTGTAGTAACATCACATTCGAGATGTAATTGTCAAAACGTTTGTTGTCGCACTTTCAAAATGTTGGTTTTTGTAGTCCAGTGAAAACATTAGGTCCCTCATGTCAAGAGTTGGTATCAACGTGACATATCTCGAAACCACGTAACTACAGACCAAGTTTAGCAATGGCTTTGCTTTTTAATGTCGTCTTGTCTATTTTACCACTCGCCAAGACAGGGAAATGTTCCATTGTAATGTAATATCTGGGCGCATTACTGAGTCCGTCAGCTGTTACATCAGAGAAGACCCCATTACACCACGTCTTGATCTCATCTTCTGAAAGGCTATGACCATCATGAACTCGGATACAGGCACACAGCTCCTCATATAGCCTCGGATCTGGTACACCTATAACGTGCACTTGATTAACGCTTGGGTGTTCGTTGATGACTCTCTCAATGGCTCCAGGATACACAATCACAGTTCCACGCTTTATTATGTCTTTAATGCGACCAACGACTGTAAGGTAGCCGTAAGGGGTCAGCGTGCCTATATCGCCAGAGTGGAGCCATCCGTTTGAATCCAACGCTTCAAGTGTTTTCTCCTTGTTGTTCAGGTAACCAGCAAAAACGCTGTAAGCTCGCGTACAAATCTCACCCTTTGTGTTGATAGGCAATATCTTATTTGTCTCGTCCTTTATCGCTATTTCGACATGTGGAAACCCATATCCAGCGGTTTCATGCTGTTTAACATAGTCTCCTGAAGGAAATAAAAGAGTGACCAATAAGTTCTCCGTTTGCCCATAGACAATGCAGAATGTTACGTTTATACGGGATTTGAACGTATCAATGATGAGGGGATCCATTCTCTGCCCTCCCGACCACACCGCCTTAAGTGACGATAGATCGAACTTCTTAACGATTTTTTCATCCATGTTGACGACATCATACAGTATGTAGGGCATCAATAGTGCTTTTGTTACCTTTTCATTCTGCAATATTCTCAATACAGTTTCAGAATTCTGATTTCCAACGGTTTGGCGAGCATCAATGGTTACCAATTTTTCTTGAGCAGCGAGAACAAATCCAATTGAGATGGTCCCACCGGCCCAAGAAAAAGGCCGATCGTTGAATGTGACATTGCGCTCTGATCCGATGTACAGGCGTCTGCTTAAATACGTTATGCAATTAACCATTCCCTTATGCGTTATAAGAGCATGCTTTGGTTTTCCGGTGCTTCCGGATGTTGAATTTACCCAACATGGACTATCCATATTCACGCGATCATTCGCAGCTTCAAATTTCTTTTTTTCTTCATTTGTTTTAGGTTTAATTAAGTCAATAAAATCAAGAGATCCAACGAGAGAATCTCCTACACTGACTACGTATCTTAACTCTGGCATGGACGGATCGGTAACACCTTGTAGAATTTTTGAGAAAACCTCAGACACAATCGCTTTCTTGGATGTATCATCTCCGATATACATAATGACCATCTTAGCATCGACGTCTTTCACCTTCTCAACAATATCTACGCCACTTCTGAGATCAAATGATATAAAAACAGGCAATGCTGCACAATGGAGAAGGCCTCCAACGCTGACGATGTTTTCTTCGCAGTTCGGTATACATACGACTACTTTATCCCCGGGTTGAACACCCAGGTCAATAAGAGACACGGCCAGGTTCTCGGATAGAGCCACCCATCTCTTGTAGGTGATACTGCCTTGGCGAGTTCCATCGGGTTTCATAAAAACCACAGCCTCTTCATCACTATCTTTCAGCTCTCTCATACAGTCATACAGCGTACGGGAGGATAGGGGACGTTTTGAAGCAACGTGTATGTAGCTTTTAGTGAGTGGTTCTTTAATAGGCTCTACATCAGGATCTGAGACTTCTATGTATTCCATGATTCTGTAAAGATAACACTATTATGATCTCAATTGTGATTTGAATGCATTTTAAAGAAATATAGGGTGAGTCGAAAAAGGGTAGCCCAAACTGTAAACAAATCTTAATAACTCAGTCACCCAGTAAGGGTTTAAAGTCATATTTGGCACAATTGAACTTTTTCAATGTTCTTTCATTCAACCGAGAGGGTTTCATTGGTCTATTCTAAATCGTCACGTAATATGTTCAATATGCCAGTCTTGTCTTTGGTTGCAAACCTGAACTCATTGGATGAAGTCTTCTGACTACAAGCTCACAGATATCTTGCTCCAGCTCTGAATTCCCTTCCAATCGCTTGTTTCTACTCTGATGCGTATAGGAACTTGTTAATATACACATGATCTTTGAAATAGTCTCAATGTGGACTTCCGGGGCTCATATTGAATTGATATATTTGGTATTCGGGACATGTCTTGTAAATGACCATGAAATTGTGACCATTGAAAACTGACGAATGAAACTTATAAAGATAAAAGAACATTGAACAAGGTTCAATTCTGCTTAATATGATGGTACTGTATCATTAAATTGCCTAATATCGGGTTACAGTGACATTATACTTAATTTTGTACCAGAAAATAGAGAGGTTAAGCAAGACGATTTTTTATGACGTGAACCGCAAACGTAAACCTTTGCGTTCCCGTTTACGTACTATGAACAAAAGTGCTTTAAGCTGAGAACTTTAGGCGTAACGTAAACGCAAACCTCAAAATGATTTTTTTCTTAGCGGCCTTTCGTTTTATTTTCTACTTTAAAAGTATAAAAAATATTACTTTATTGACAAATTGATGAAAGTGTCAACAAAGGAAATGCTTCACAGCCTAGCAGTGTTCTATGACATCTTGAATCTTGCAAAATACAACAGGACGCAATAATATCTTTAATGTCTTCAAAGCATTCATAGTTTTATTACTATGTCACAATATGTATAATCGAATTAAGATGAGTTGACATGTGGTATAATTGCCATGCATGTAATCTCATCAGATTTTACATTTGAAATGGGTGCCTCAATAATTCAAGTTATATTTGATTAGATTGGACACAAATGATCTCGATATATACACGGATTTGTGTCAAACATATTTATGCATTCGACCTATATCATATTTATCTCAATCGAACTTGATAAAGTATGAAAAATCTTTTACGGAACGACCTACCTAGACTTTGATTTTTCACGTTTGGATGTACGTAAACCGGGAAATAAGTAGAACAATATGACGTCACATCCTGAGAAAAACCTGCGCGCGCCTTCCCGTTCGCGGTTTACGTTGTAAAAAGTAGTGTTGCTTAACCTCTCTAATAACATGTGCAGGTACTGCATTTTTTGCCAAAATGTTACTTTCTACCTGAAGCTTAACTCCTATTATCTAAGGAGACGCGATGAAAACTTCATGCACGATTTCCTTCTTGGTGTTTTACCAAGGGTTCCTTTAACATGTACAGACCACTCGATTTCCAGAGAATGTTGACATTATTTTTGTAGTTTAATTAAAGAGTATTGGACTAACAACTTAACACTTGTCTTTTTCAATGGCTAATAGCCGCAGTGAACATTCCGTTTTGTAAAGCTGGCCTAGCATATATTTTTGAGAACAACCAATGGACCTAAATTCCACTTCGGGAAATCGATAAAATTATATATAACTATAACTTTGTAACTGTATTTCATATAAATCCTGTATTAGCCCTGGCAACCGGATTCATTTGTAAACTATTTAAACTGCAAATACTGTGTAAATCCTTTATGAATCCTGGCTACAAGATTCTTTTTTTACTTCGTCCAATATGAATCCTGCATGATTCCCGAAAGCTTGTACACTATCTTACATGCTATTCCTTAATGAATCCTGGTTACACAACGCTTTGTAAACTACCTTCTGTATGAATCCTGTATGATTCCCAAAGGCTGGATTCATTTGTAAACGGTAACTGGTCAACTCGTACCCAAGACAACTCGTACCCAAGTCAAGTCGTACCCAAGACAACTCGTACCCAAGACAACTCGTACCCAAGACAACTTGTACCCAAGTATATGTTTTGTTTTGAATCAAGTGTTGGGCTCGAAATGGGTATAGATATACATATTATAATGGTTACATACAGTTCAGAATAGTTTGAAGTATGTAGAAGAGTTTTTGGAAGAAATCGATTGAAATTTGTGACCAAATATATTGGTCACAGATTCAGATGTTTGAGGGAAGAGATTTATGTTTATTCCACATATTCATAATCATTGTTCACAATATTAGTGGTATTTTTGTATGTTAATGAGTGTTTGGAACAAGTATCAGATCTAATTCATCTTGAAATATGGTATTATCAAAAATATAAAGATTTTCAAAACTTGCGCCTATTTCTTATTAAACAGATAATCTATTTAGGATTTCATATTATCAGATTAAAGAATGATAATTCTAAGAAGTTACCTTCATAAAATTAAGCAATAAAAAATATTCTAAATAATATGAATATCAAATATCATTTTGATGCTTATTCATACATGATATAATACACTTTGCATGCATGTGTTCAAATATAATCCAATTAAGTTCAAAATGGAAAAGAAATTAACAGATTAATGTTCCCTTATTAATTTTCTCTGAATGCACTAAGCTAAATTAATTGTTTGATTCATTTGTTGAAAAGTTACTGTTGTAATTATATTCATTTATATATATGTATTTCAAAAAAAGTTGAGAAAAAGCCCTTCAAAGCACTTCAAAGGTAATCCAAGTTAAAACAAAATGCTTTGCTTAATCCATTGAGAAAAAATGTCTTCTAAATTCAGAAAAAATATTGAGGCACATTATAACATTAAACATTCAGACACAGACTCAATTTGTTTTCTTATATGCACCCATAATACAGAAAACAAACGTGGGTACGAGTTGTCTTGGGTACCAGTTGACTTGGGTACGAGTTGTCTTGGGTACAAGTTGTCTTGGGTACGAGTTGTCTTGGGTACGAGTTGACTAGGAAGCTTTGTAAACTATATTTCATATAAAATAAACTATTTAAACTGCAATGCATATGAATCTTGTAGTCAGGAGTCATACACGATTCATATGCACATATGCATCCTACATGAATCCTGCCTCCAGGATTCAGTCAATGGTTTGGTTCATTTTGTTTTATATTAGAAACGCACTGACTCTATTCTATACATCGTGTAAATCGATATAACAGAGAACTTTCGATATAAGTTTTCAGACAAACTTATACCACACCTTAAACTTTTAAGTGACACAAATCTACTGGGGAGGAAGGCGTCGAAATCTCAAATAAATCAGGAACTCTCGAACTACATTATTGCCAAATATTTTGTTGTGATTTGATTTGAAGGATGAAAGCACTCTATCTTCGTTTCCAGAGTACCTTCCCAGTGCTATATCTGACTTATACAAGTACAAGTTTGCTTATATACGTGTACGTAGTCTAAATAACTTATATCGAATACCTACCTACCTGGACTGTCTAGTTGAAGAGCTGCAGTCAGATGTACTTGTATTTGCTTGTGTTGTACATGTACAATATAAATTAGTATATATACACCCGTTTATCAGGCCAAACGTAAGGTCTTTGGACTCAGTGCTCCTAAACGATAAGTCAAAGCAGTTCTCTTATAGAGTTGAACAATGATTTATACGTTTCAAGTGGTCTAAAGGCCCGGTCACACCGCCCGGACGTTGCTGGAGCGTTCCTTGAGCATTGAAAAAATTCATCAACGCTCGTCAACGCGCACAAAATGGGGAAAAAAGCAAAAACACGGGCGTTGGCTTAGCGGTGCACCGCTGAAGCCGGCGTTGCTTTAGCGTTGGTTAAGCGGTTGCGAGCGGTAGCTAGCGTTTGTTTAGCGGTAATGCTAGCGTTGGTATAGCGGCGTTCTGCGCATGAGAGCGTTGCCTCGGCGGGGGTATACATAGCAGCAGCGTTGGTTTAGCAGCATATCGCGTTTGACTACTGGGAAATTATTTCGAGTGGGAAGTGTTTAAGAGTGAAGACCTTTATTGGAATTTGTAACTTTAACAAAAGTCCTTCAAGGATTAAAGAAGAAATGTTTTAAATCTAAAGTGCTTCTATTAATGTAATATGACATTAAGAATGAATAACATTACAATTTTCTTTAATAATCTCTCATATCATTTCAAACAAACATATCACAATTTAATCGTTGCATTTTCATTACTTGGAACCGATTTACGTTCAAATTGCTTCAACAATGTCAAATAACATTTACAGCAAAGTAATAATCATGACGCATGACAAATTTTTGCATTGCTGTGCGCGCATCAACTTTTTGTATAATACCATGACGAGTGCAACATTTTACAAGCTGCGCAGAAAATTCACAGATAATTTATTGAATTGCTTGACGTGAAAACACTAGGTATATACTATATTTGAATAAAGGTCTCAGTAAAAGTCTATTTGTATTAACATTTAATGAAAAGCAAAAATCGCATAATTCACCTTTTTAAAATCCAAAATCACAAACTTTGAGTGCTTAATTTAGGAATTTACAATGCAAAAAATTGAAATGCCAGACATGAATATATATATAATCAAATGTAAAATGCACAAGTGTCTCCACAGTGTTCTACACAGTGGTGCATTTCTCCACGTATTTATAGCCAAATTCTGGTCCCGCTCCGACACCTCTATACCAACGCCAAAGCAAAGTTCATCGCCGCCATGGAACGCTGCGACAACGTCCGACACCGTTCCAACTACCCCATGTACGCTGATAAAACGCTAACAACCGCTCCACCGACGTTTGTGCAACGTTTAATCGCCGCCCGGGCAACGCTGGCGAAGCAGCGGTGGTCCAGCGTTTAAGATTTCTGCGTTGGTCTAGCGGATTCAAGCGTCCACGAACTTGCGTCTAGCGGTGCCAAACTTTGACTGGGCGTTGGTGGAGCGGTGATAAACTTTGCCAGGGCGTAAAAGTGTCCCTTTTTCAACGCTCGCAATATTTTGAGCAGCTCAAAACTTTTGGAGCGTTAGGATGGCCACTCGAGAAACATCTGCGTTGGCCGAGCGTTTACAGCGTTGCTTTAACGGATGCCAACTTTTGTTAAACGGTGGTGAACGTTTACGAGCGTTGATGATTTTTTTCAACGTTCAAGGAACGCTCCAGCAACGTTTAGGCGGTGTGACCGGGCCTTAAGTGGCACTGTCTTTTCTGTTTATCATCTCAGCTTTTTTTGACCGATTTTAGCATTTACAGGCGTCCTAGACTTCCACAAACGCGAACATCAGTTCTGCCTCGCAAACTACGTTCCTTTCACTCGAACCACGATTCTCACATCGCTTCGTGGAAAATATTTCTGAAACCATCATTGGTACATATACACTGGTGATCCACTCGATTACGCTGGTTACTGAAACGGTTCGTTTCGGTAACAAAATGTCGGAACGTCGACATTTTTTAAAACGTAAGATACTGATACACGTTTGTGATAAAAATGTCGGAGAAATTCTGCCTACATGTGAAATAAGGAAAAAAGAAAAATCGTACCTTCGACGTTCCGACAATCTGTTACCTCGTTAGCCAGCGTAATCGAGTGGATCACCAGTGATATATTTTGTGGAATATGAGTGCTTTATGCAGTGAAGCAATTAAAAACCAAACATAAAAAGGTATCGCCGGTGGATTTCTTCGGTTATGCTTCTTATAGTCCATGGTATGAAATCTCTAGGACGTCTAATAAAGGAGCTGGTAGCACACTATAGCGCAGCGATATTTGACCTTACATTAACATACCTACATATGTCCCCTAATAATTTTTTATCATAACCGTTCAATATACTTCCGGCTTTTAGGCTGAATTATGCCTGCCATTAACAGAGGTCAAAAATTACCAAAAAATAAAATCCCAACTTTTCACAATTTGGAGAACACAATGCAACAGAAAATAATACAAAACTGTTTTTAAATATATGATTTAGGTTTCTAAGCTATAAGTTTGAGGTTATTTTTCTAACCCTACTATCACACCAAACTAGTTCTCACTACGTTCTCGAAAACGGGCTTCAACTGTGTACGAACGGACTGGACTTACTAAGAACCGTTTGGGATCTATTTACAAACTTCATCGAACGTACTCGAACGGGTAGGTCCTCTAGAACTAATACAATGCTCAAAATGTTCTCGTGGTCGTCACGTTCTACAATTAGAACGAGTGACAACGTACTAGCGACGAGCTGGACGTACTACGAACGGAACCGTCGTACTTCAGTTCTACTAGGGACGTTTTAACAACGAGTTGAACTGTCTGAGGACGTGTTGAGAACGAGGTAGAACTAATTGCAAACGGGTTTAAACTGATTAAGAACGTATTTAACACTGCTTATGAACGAGTTAGCAAAAATATAGCTATCACACCAAACAAGTTGCCACTGCGTTCTTCAAAACTAGTTGTAAACGGTTTCCGAACGGAACGAACGTAGCTGCAATTTTCTAAGGTCTATTTACGAACTTTATGAACGTTCTCAGACGGGAATGTGATTTTAGAATTTTGAATCGATTCAAAATTCGATGGCGACCATGCCGTTCTGTAATCAGGTCATGTTGACCTTCTAGACTAAGGGACGCGGTCTACGACGGTGCACACCGACGTGGTGCGACCTGAACGAACTGCGAACCAGATGGACGTATTGAAGACTGTTTAAGAACGAAGAAGCTAATTATTTTAGACATATTTCCCGACCACAGCCAGATTGTGCCCGTTTTACGACGTTTTCGTAGGACTGGCAAGAACGGGTAAGAACTAGTTTGGTGTGATAGGGGGGTTATCAATACCCAAAAATATGTAATCAGTGTATCGACATTTTGTATTGTTTCACAGGTATTAATAAGATAAATGCTACAAATGAATCACTTTTATATTGGAATGACAAATGTTTAAATCATGCTAGTTTTTCACAAAAGGGGTCTCAATACGTTTTGAGATATGGACTTTTATTCAGCGGTGAAAATTATCAATAAAGGCTCTTCCCTGACTAATTGGGACTACAGCTAAAATTCTATTTCCCGTAGTTAGATATAGCTCAGTTGCTTATAAAACAACCACCAAGACTTTATCGAATTCATGAATAATTGAGAAAAATCGTTATCATTATCTTCCTAAAATTTGATTGTACCCAGCGGTAAGGTCAAATAACAAACAGCCATCAGAAAACTTGATGATATCCACAAGTAACGTCGAGGAAGAATTTCAAGGCGTTCGATTGCATATGACTCTAATTGATTATTAGCCATGCCCTTGGAATGTATGAACAATCCAATACCTCTGTAACATTTAATTAGATATAAATCTTACCTATTTGTTATTGTATTATGTTTTGTAAAACATGAACAATAATTTGTTGTTAGACCCCTTGCGATTATATGGAAAAATTCTGGTAATAAAATGTTTTAACTGGTAAGAAAACTAATATGTTCCCAATCATAAATTACCTAGAGATATTCCACATAATTTTGTTGAATTGGCTTGGCTCATATTTGAAAAATCAAACAAAATCTGAAAAACACTCTTGCATAATTACACTAATTAAACACCGACATCTACGGTAAAATTAAATAGTATATTTTTAAATTATGATAATTTATCTTTGTTCGTATGCTTAAAATAACGGTCTGTGTCTTATAAAATGTAAAAAAAGTTCGAATCAAAATATTAACGTTTTTTGACCCCTTGTGATGAAATACATTTTTCGACCCGAAAGCCGGACGTTTTTTCAGCAAATGGTATTTTAAAAGAATCAAGACATGTACACCTTCATAAATATTGCTTCAAATGTTGCTGCGCTATAGTGTGCTACGGATCCTTCATATTCGGAAGTCATACCATGGACTATTATGGCAATACGCATTTTGCTTGCGCACAGAAAAACAGAAGTCGCTTTTTATTATTTGTAAACACAAGTATAAAATGTATTCACAGTACTCAGACTTCACTCAGTGGACACTGTCATCAATTTCAATTGATGACCTAACTATAAAATGCATTCTCTAAAATAGCATGAATTCCTTATTTTATATGTGATATAATATATGATTATGGAGGTTGTTCTCTCACATCGCTTTATTTTGTTGTATAATACAAAACTTGATTTAATTTTATAGCAATTATTATCAAAAGCGCAATGATTCCAGCCCCAGTCACAGTTGCTCACAGCGACCGCACGTTGACCGTAATTTCCTGAAATCAGTAAATTTCTGCGGCAACCGTAGGAAAACTACGACCGCCTTACAGTCGCATTGAGGTCCCCGAAGGATATCCAGTTTTTATAGGACATAGAGTCACCGTAGAAAGTATTACTTGGAGTTATTAACATTTCACATTCCTGCGGTCACCGTAGAAATCAGTTAAGCTGTAAAAAGACACACGGCGACCGTATGTGGTGCACCATTGGTTTGCGGCTACCCTTGGATTGTATGGCTTTCAATTGACCTTAGCGAACCATAGGATCAAGGCCCCTCGTGGCTGTCTCGTGAATTCCCTGGTTTTTGTGTAGCTAACCTTACTGAAAAAATATCTGACTGCACAAATTCTAAGGTGACTGTAGGATTGTTAATGACCGCAAAAATGATAGACCGTACGGTCGCCGAGGCAAATGTAACTGAAGGTTTGGATAGTAGCCAGTCAATTCTTGTAATACTCCAATTTACATGTACCAAAATCATGCGCAAGTAGCATAGGTAGTTCCTATGTTATAGTATCTTTGACAAAACATGTTTAGCGCATGTGCATCGAACTAGTATCCATTTGCCAGTCCATCTTTCCTAAAGTCTGAATATGCATGTATCGGATGTGTCCCATTTTTAGTGTTATGTATAGCCTGGCATGCCGCAGATGCGGTATCTTGGATTGTTATAGTGTGTCCTTTCTTTATTAGACCGTCTATGTATTTCTGGAAGGTACAAAGCATATAATGAATTTATATGGAAAGAGGTATGGTCAATGTATTTTGTAACCCAATATTGATTTTATAGATAATAATATACAGAGAGTTGGGCTAACTTAACATTGGCACGAGTTGAAGAAAATGAGTATATCGAATACCCTTTTAGTGCTCATTCCAGAACTTTTAAAATATAGTCAAATAACTTAACATCAACACGTGAAGGCGTTTTTTACATACGAAGTCCACTTTCCGTAACTGCTAGTACGATGTCTTATCTAGACACTTTTATATCTTATCATAAAGGGATCGCTCTTTCAAGGATAATGTTGTCCACCGAAAAAATTAGTACCAGTACAAATTATTGAATTAAAACATTTCCGCATTTTAACCTACAATAACATTACCTTATTCATTGATAAGTTATCATTAACCTCACTTGCTTTCTTATATCAGGCATTAAAATGACATTGGCCAAGTGGGGCCAAAGATCCCAAAAGCTGCAACCGTTTTGAATTGAACTTACATTGGGTATTGATACCAGTAGAAAAACATATAAAAATGTAGAACAATACGTGTAGGCAGTGGACAAACATGGATGTTGGCCATGGAAATTGGAAATAAATTTTGGTCATCGCAACTGTTAATCCGATCCTCCAACTACTTCTCAATACGATACAATGGGAACATACCTTAGGCATTGATTTTTCTATGTATATATATTTCCTTCTATTTAAAACGATTATTCTTGGGTACTCAATGGCTTCTTGTATAGTTTGTCCGAGCCAAAGGTTCCTGACGATAGTCTGCAATTAAAATGTAAATATAAAGAATGTCATTTCCGTTAGTCTTAGAATTATAATTCCTTGAATATTACGAAGTCGATATTTATATTAAATTCATGGAAGCCATATTCCCTAAGTCGGTTGATCTTAGATAAAAGAACTAGAGCACAACCAATTTCCATATACTAATATTCAGCAAATAACGGTTGTGTTGCCCCGATTTACACAAATATTACACACATATATATCAAAGCGGACATTATCTCAGCGACTTACATTTATAACAGCTGGTGTTAGTTTTGCTCCCCCCGACCCGCCAATCACGTGACTTATGACGCCGTCACTATCAACAATAATTGTTGGACACATCTGCGTCACAGGTCGTTTCCCTGGTGACAGTGCGGACGCCGGTTCACATGGCTCTCCATTTTTGGCCTTGGCACCAGGAAGTGAAAAGTCAACCAAAGCGCTATTGTAAAGAATTCCTGTTTTTTCTCCTAATATCTTGGAACCAAACCTAAAAACAAAGAATTAAAGCCACGACTTTCCAATATGCTTGATTATTGAATGATTTGAAGTGTCATACAGGATACTCTATTGTTCTCGAGAAATTTTGTATGGGTATGAGACGAAGTTGGAGATTAAAGACATGACTTTCCAATATGCTGGAATGTCAAATAAATGAGACAGAAAGCTTTCAACAGTTCACGTTAGGTCACTTATTTTCGACAAGGACAATAACAGTACAATAACAGTACAGAATATATCCTGTATTGCACTTCAAATTATTCAATAACGTATTGTACTGAACAATCTTGCCATTCGCTTCACCTTTTACTAGTATTCCCATGTAAAGTTGGATATTATGAACGAACATTCGAGAATGCCTGGCTTTAGGATTGTAAACAAATCATTAGTTTACCAAAACAAATCATTTTGTATATCGCACACTACAATGCTCTCATTCTGTTACATGTTTGTTTTATCACCTATATTTTCAAACTCTACCTACACTTGAGTAATGGTCGCTGAGATAGCTACCGCTATACCGTCGTCACCAAGAACAGAGAGATGTGTTGTCCCTTGAGGTTCAACCCCAGGAAGAGTTTTGCCGTAGAATTCTTGTGAGCGTATACCTTCGTCGGATATCTTGGATCTGACTTGATCTGCATACTCATCGGATAGAAGATCTTGCACCAGCTAAACAGAAAATTATTTCAATTTCATCAAATAATTGGAAAACAAATTAGATGCTTTTTGAAAAGTTGAAAATAACATTGATATCATGCAATAGTTTCCTTAAAAGTACAGTGTATATACCGGGGCATCTATAACAGTATTTTGTAAGACAGTTCTGAAGGTCAATACCTCATAATGAGAAAAATAATTTGTAGTTGACTGTTGTTTCATACATATGGATCAATTACTTAATAATGTAATTGTAGTGAGTGCTGTCCATAAAAGTATGATACAGCGTCCTATGTAGAACTGTTTCACGACCTTCTCCTCAAAAGCATCAATTACATATACCTCTTCATTGCTCTCGAATCGGTCATCAAAAAGTCGTTTCGTCTTTGGGAACGTAAATCTGGAGGCCTCTATGGTTCTGTGTAACATTAGAACTGCTCTGTCGGTAGTTTTTAAGTCCTCTTCTGTGAAACCATATCCTAAAAGGATTCCAGTTCGATGATTCAAAATGCAAATTGCAAGCTTATTTGGAAACAAGAGTCTAATCTCTGAAGTAAGAATACAGCCAACTCACCTTAATAGAATATTACCAAAGTTCGATCACCCACCTCCCTTTCACGATATTTATAATTAGTATTTTTCTCCATTAATTGTAAATTCAATTATTGCAAATATGCAATTCACATATACTGTGGTCACAAGTGTGAGTACGTATATGTTATGAATATGTTTGTTTTGTTATTTAAAGGAAGGATTATAGCAATTTGGGATAATCTGTACGGAATGAAGCAGAGGGCAAAATGGAGGTATAGAAGTTGTATGTGAAGAACGCAATATGACCAATTAATATTTCAGGCATCTCCTTGGCACAGATATCGAATAAGGGAAATTAGACATACAAAAAACTTCTCCTACCGTCTAATATTTTCAGAATATGCATGATGCCGAGGCTCCCGGAAGGGGGATGTGCTCCGAACACAGTATGGCCGCCATTTCTCAAGATCGTATGTAAAGCTGGTTTCATTTCTACTTTGTACCTCTTCAGATCGTCTGCTGTTAGAACCCCACCTGTAGTAAAATATTATCATTTGGACTCTCTAGTTAAAAATAATGTTTTGTATAAAAACAATGATATTCTAAATTTTGAGAGCTCAAAACTAGTACATGTAATTTAGCAAACGCATTTAAATTAGTTCCTTTGAAAACATAGGATCAAATCCTATGCTAAGGGTTGATGTGAAAAAGACACTCCACCCTGGTGGGAATCTAACCCACAAACTCCCGATTACATGTCAGGTGCTCTACCAATTGAGCTACGGAGCCGACTGACTCTTTCACATCAAGACCATTAGACCATAGATGGCTCCTCAAAGAACAATGTTTTCCAAATCTATACATAAAGTAGCATGCTTCTCGCAAATTCCATGTTCCTACCTGATATATCCATTATACTTTGGGCTTATTTCACTAAACATACAGTTGTACAAAAATGATACCGTCTTGGCCATAAATCAGAGCCATTTTGTTATGCCTACTTCTTTTTGCATTAATTTCATTCTTTTATATACCTGCCGCTTGAATTTCCTCTACCATAGTGTCAGCCAGTTCCCCTTGGTAGAACACGTCTGGACCTTGTTCAGCGATGAGTTCAAGTGTTTCAGCATACTTGGGCATTTGTAGGAGATCTCCCTCTTTTTTAAGTTCACCAGTAGAGGGATCTGTGTACAAACTATTGTAAAAGAAAAGCAGGTTTAACTACCAATGTAGGGTTGGATGCACCCTGTACATAGAAATGTATGCGCAGATGCCAACTGGAAAGTATCAAAAATGGTAGAGCACAAAAAGAAAAAACTGAAATAGTACACCAATCATATGGAAAATAAACCCCAACTATCCAACTTCATAATAACATGTTAAAAACAGTGTACCCACCCCCTTCCCCTCAATTCATTTACCAAATCACTATACGAGACTATAATTAACACGAACTAGATTATGATACAACACCAACACATAATCAACACATTACACCAACTAGACTACATCAAAATGTACTAATGAATTCTCTTCTATATGTCTTCACTCCCTCTTCTGCTTACTTTCGCAATCCTGGTAGGTTCAAAATCTCGGCACCCTTGTCTTGTATGCTTGTTGCCAAGGACCATTCGATTGGGAAGCCATCTTTGCACAATTTAATTGTCGGACCAAACAAATGTTTCCATGGTAACCGCCCATAGCGGTCGTGCAATTCCTTGTAACAAGCAATTTCACCAGGAACTCCAATATTTATGCCTGCATCACTGCCGTTGCCTGAAATATAGAAACAGTCTAGGATAGCACATAGGAGTAGCTAAAAACTAATTTCAAACTAAATACAAGATATAAAACTTTATCAATTTATTCAAAACACATTTGGAATTGAGCATTTAGTCAATCATTCGGCTAGATTGAAAATAAACCCAATAGAATACATCATCATTCCTGAAACATATGGAACAACCTGTAGAAGAACGTAGAAAATACCAAAAGTTATATATTTCTCGATGTGATCAGCCAGTCCCTTTCTACCTGTCATTTTATATCTTAATGTTGTTCCCCTTTCGTATTTCTGCTCACATTCGACCCTACACGTATCCCTCTTACGTATATTTGATTATCACTAATCACATTGAATTCATTTATGACACTGTTGGTGACATTTTAGTTTTAAAATGGTGGGTTTAATTTGAGTTGGGAATACGATGATCAAAACTAAGGACGACAATTTGGTGACTGACCCTCCCTTTTTAAAGGAAAGGCCAGCTTCAAATTGAACGGACATTTTGCACTTAAAGGTTCTTGCATTGGCTCTTTTTTGTTTGACGATTTCATGCCTTCATCAGTGATAAATCACGGAACAGTATATGTATTCTCCAAACGCAGGGCGAGGTACGAGTTCTGGAGGCCTCTGAGTTCGGAGGATGACAAAATGAGGCAAGATTTATAACTTACTTGGTACTGATATCCTACAGCGTTTCTCTTGATTGACGTAATTTTGAAATAGCACGGGGTATGCCGCAGCAGGGGTCTCTGCTCGACACGTCAGAGAAAACGCCTGTTTCTCTTTGCTGAAAATAGATTATACAATAAAATATGAAGAAAATAGTTTTTTTGATATTGCGCACGTTTGTACGATTTTGAATTTTGGAACTTAATGAGGTTGCTATGTACCTAGAACATCAGTAGGTATGGAATACATATTTTAAGTACCATTGGTTTTGAATACATGATTTATCCCTCGGGAAATATGGTCCCTGTGGACCCCTCGGGAGATATTTCCCTTGGAATAAACCGTGAATCCAAAACCTCCCAGTACATATCCCTTATATATCCATATTTTTGAAAATCTCACATTTTAATTGATTACCCCTCGTATCGTTAGACCCCCTCTTCCCTATTAGTAGCTGGGAAATGAAGAAACTAACCTGTCGTAAAGTGTCACAATAGGTCCTCCCCCAATCCCCGTACTCTGCGGGTTCACTACCCCAAGACAAAGCGAAGTGGCAATCGCTGCATCAACCGAAGAGCCGCCATCCTTTTCCAAGATGTCTCTGAAAGATATAACATATTATATTTAGTTCAAACGTACTCATTATAGACCACAAGGCTGGAAATTAATGTCAAAAAGTCAAATGAATGCTCAGATCCCGCTGTATTTAACTTTATTTAAATTCAGCTTACATATAGTATTTTTCCCACTTAAGTTAATGGACCATTTTAATTCAATGTTTAGGTCTTTTACTTCATCTCCGTTGACCCCTCTTCCCTCATGCAACCTTCGGAAATGCTTCTTATATCTAACCCAAGGCCACATCTTTAATTTTCCTTTAATTTTTTCAAAAAGTTGTTTTTGTTATGTTTCATGACATTTGTTTTAATTGTCCATGTAATCTTACGTTCCAACAGCCGAGCAAATGTGGTGATCCGTTGCTACAGCTGCTTTTCTATATTTGCCAGTTGGTGAGTCAGACAAAGGCGGTTCATTTATCCCATCACCAAATCCAGTTCGGTAAATACCCCTCTCGGGGTAGATTTTTCCCTGAAAAAAATCAGCACATTGCAATAAAATGTTGTTTAAATAGAATTATTTTTATTTATATAATGCAATATATGTTTTTATATACTTCATTAAGGATATTTTGAATTATTATTATTTAAACGGTCTAATTAATTGTTTGTTTGGGGCTAATGAATTATATCTTTACTTAGAAAAACTAATTAAAAATTATTACCATCAAATCTCTATTTACCATTCATCAAGTTTACCATTCATGAAGTTTACCATTCATTGTTTTTTGAGCAATGACGATAAAAAACAAACTTTTCCTTACCTTAAAGCCGCCGTTTGTGAAAATCTCTTCATCCGAATTACTTGCTGATTTAAAATACTCTCCCAGTTGTATATATTGTTGTCTATAGAATACCAGGAATACTAAGCATGCGCTGATGAGGTACACGTAGAACAGACGTTTGAGTACATATTGTAGGCACCCTCTGCAAATACGTGTAAACACTAGTTACAATCCCCACCATAAGTTTTGTAACCGCACGTTTTCATTGGATGATATATCATGGCCTGTCAAAATTGGGTCTTAATTATGTTCCTTAATTACCATAGTTTGTGCATTATTTGCAGACTTGGATATTTTAAATTGTCAAGTATAAAATAGGTTTTAATAACTTATCCAAAATATGACTTCCGGTTTCGAAACTTATAGAGGGCAGTGTAAGTCTGACTATAACGATGCATATCTACAGACGTTTGAATAATTGAGACTTTGAAGATCAATATGCTGGTCAGTAATAAGTATATAGCATAGTTAACGGAAGTTAATAAGCATACAAATCCCAAAACAGTCAGTTTAAGAGAAACCTTAAGAATAATATCAAGTCATTTGGAAAGAAGCAAAGCTCAGACATCTCGACTTATGACCGATATGTTATTGAAATAATTCCCAATAAAGAAAAAATGTACATGCACGAGGAAGTGTCAATTACAATATACACCCCCCCCCCCTCCACCTCACCAAAATGACTCTTAAATGAACCTGTAGCTGAAGATCCATATCATCCATCTGGCCAAGTATATAATTGGTGTTGGAAGCTTTTTTTTTTCTTTTATAAAGACTTGCGTTGCAAACTGCTGATGGACAATTATTCCAAATACAACAAAACATACTAAAATATTTCCCTGTACGTCTGCTCCCGGGCGTCTGATTCATACTTACTTAATGCCTGGGTCACATTTGCTGCGATTCATCGGCCGGCGCCCGGCCGATTGAGTAGTTTGTTCAAAATTGACAACATTTCTGAACAAAATACTCAATCGACCGGGCGCCGTTGTGAAAATCGGAGAAAAGGTGACCCAGGCATTAATAAGTATAAAAAAGCGAAACTAGCAAAGACATGTAATGTAACCTGAACACGTCATAACTATTTTGACATTAACGCAGACGTTAATGACTGTAAAAAGTATATAATTAGGATCTAAGACTAGGTTCAAAAAGATTGTTCACATAAACATTTCAAGTTACCATTATTTCTCCATATTTTGAAAACGTTTATAAGCGCTAATTAAGTGTCCATTTTTCAAACCTGATAATGAGAAATCTGAGCTATAGCTGTAAACGATAAAATTCAGTCTGCATCAAATCCAAACATTTATTATATAATTTGTTACCTTAGCGCCATATGATGACATATCCATTGCCAGCGACTTGTATGATTATAAACTTTCTCTCCCGGCATACTACAGTAGGTACTTTCCGAATGTGGTCTGAAGTTAGTCATTTGGAATTGCAATGTATCCGGTCACCTTATTCTATGCTAAATGCGGGGCCGAATGCTTAGGTAATGCTTTAAGGAAATTGCGGCAGGTGATTATCATCATGCGATGCATTTACCGCATTTTATTAATTTGTTAATTTGTTTAATTAGTGTTAGACTTATGAGGGTTAAAGCAGAATGTATAGTGTGCGTTGGTGAAGTATTGGTTTTAATCAGTATACAGGTGTAGTTTATATTCTCAAAATTATACTGTATAAGGTAATATTCACGTGTTTGGTTTAATTTAATTTGACCTGTTGTCTAGTTTTTTATCCAATCGTAGCAAATTAGTATTAGTGAATATGTTTTAAACATGGCGGAATGAACGACAACGGTTGTTGTACATCATCACAGGCCCGTAGCCAGGAAAAAAATTCCAGGGAGTTCACTTTTGACTACTTTGGCCCTGAAAAGGGTCAATATCGCTTGAATTGAAAAGTGTTCAGAATGGTAAAAAAACTGCATAATTTTGAAAGAGTTTGAAAGATATAGAAATAATCTAATTAAGGACTTTTTGGCTCATATTATTCATTGTTATGTATATTTTCTAAAACTCCCCAAGTGCATACCTCATTTCAGGAAAACTAATTTTTTACAATTATAATTGTACTATTTTTCAATAAAAATAGTAACCATTTTATTATTTTATCACTCCCTATGAAAGCTATGAATTTATTCTGGAAGTAGTGATTAACACTCGCCCTCGGGTCGCGAGTAGATATTCTAGTTAAAATTAACTTAAAAGTAACGTGATTTTATAGTTATCTTGGATGATGTATATCTCATTAAGAAAATAACATAAATTAAAACTTTTGACCTGATCATCAACTACGTACATGTAAGTACATCCCGTATATGAGTGTGTCAACTGAAAGCGCTCGGTGGTCCAAAAGTGATTCGTCACACGTTTTGAGGGGGGTGTACACTATATTGTAAATGTCTGTTATCTAGCAAAGATCACTTGAAGTTTGAAGTTAAACACTGTATTCGATTTTAGACATTTTACACTTTGGATCTCTCACTATACGTTGTTGAGCCATAAGGTAAGTCATATGTTATTAAATGTATGTATAGAATAATCTCACTCGATCAATAAAAATTAAAAATTTGGAAAAATACATACGGTTGAGTGCGCGTATTTGTAATATGAAAATTGCACGCAAAAATAAAGAGTACAATATCTACTCAGGCGAGGCAACTTCGTCACATAAAGGGAGAAAAATACATCAATGCGTCTACGTATATGTTTTTTTCATCAACCGGAACTGAAGCCCGAAGACAGTAACATGCCTCCTAAGCACAGCGACATAAAAAATAAACCTCGCTCATTTACATTTGCCTCGTCCTAGGAATGCAGCTGAAATCTATATTGTTTTAAATACTAGTAATGGAGTGTATTGAAGTCTATGGAAATATATTACTTGTGTCGTATTGCATTGTATTACATGTATTTTGTTTTATTATATCATTGCTAGAATTTGTGTCCTTTGATTGGCTGATTCAGTACCATGTGATCAAAAATACCAAAGCGTATTTCACAGCTCCCTTAATTTTGGAATTATAAAAGACGTATTGCCCGGCGTATTGCCCGCCCGGGAATTCTGAATCGTCCCGTTTCGTCCAGTACAGTTGTGACGTGCATCAAAATGGCAGACGGAAAAAGATTTAAAAGTCTGAATTCCGATGAAAAGAACGACATCTTGAGGGATGTGCATTCTAAAAACACCATTAAATCAACGGAATGACATCTAATGTCTTAGAACATTTTCAAGTGTTATGTCCACAAACGAAATAGACGTTAAATCTATCGATAAAATCGTTCTGGATGGAATTTTAGAGGATTTTTTTGGAACTCCGAACGAAGGATGGGGAATATTACAAGAGTGCCAGTATGCAAAGTAAGCGAATGTCTAGCAATGATATAATAAAACAAATATTTCATTCTATGTTCGGGCAATACCTGTTGCACTTTCAATGATTTTTGCAGCATGTATTTCCCTCGCCCTACGGGCTGCGGGCAATACATACTGCAAAAATCATTGAAAGATGAACAGGTATTGCCCTTCATAGAATGAAATATTGCTTAGTATTGCCTTGTGTTGCATTGCATTATTTGTATTTCATCATTTTTACGCAAATACTCTTCAGTGTCTACAATTTACAATTTTAAAATAGAACTCTGTAAGATGAAAGGCAAGATGTGAGAGCATAGACAGGCATCGGTAAAGCATTACGTGTATTGAATTGCCAATAAATTAAAACAGTACCAAATAGACAATTATCTTCCTAAACTTAATAATGCGAAAGGTGAAATGTGATTCCAAATACGATTTCGGTTTCGGCTGGCTGACCTCAAAGTAACCCTGAAAAGGTCTAAAAGGTAAAATCAATTTAGGTCAAACTTTATACCTTGACGTTTGACCTTCATGACGCAAACGAGCTTTACATTCAAGGAATTATTAAATGGTTTACATAAAATCTGCATATACGATCCCTTACATCACCCGCTGAACATCTATTCCGATTTTTTCTGCCTTGAGTGGACCAGATGTGTGTTATTTTCCTAACTTTGTAAACACGGACGCGTTTTGAAATGCTATCAAATTCAAACGTCTTGTTGCCAAACTTATGATGGGGAGTGTAACTAGATGCAAACATACAATGTCGTGATGATGTTTTAACTCAAGTAGTTAAATAAAGGGAGGTATATTTAGCCTTACATGAAATATTTAGTAGAAGTAGCCACTTACATTATCTTTGAGATTACATTACATATTATGAATAACATGATTCCACAGTGTCATTATCTTTACTATTAGGTCAATCAAATCATGTCCTTAAATATTGAATAGTCCGTTGAAACACCAAACATTTTCCACTTTTTAATTTCATGATTGTGACTAGTGTGTAACATTGATATATTAAAGGGGCAACAGGGCCTGTAGAAAGAAAATTCTATTGCAGATTATCGACACAGATACTGACGGATATACAGTCAATGTGTTTCTAAAGAATACTATACAAATTTTAAACTCTGTGCGTGGAGTTGAATATCTCTTTAATTTTCTGAGGGTACACTCCCCGCAGCCGGTTTGCCCTTTTAATCTGCATCACGCATTAAATTCAAAAGCAAAAGAGATAACTGAATATTTCATCTCGTTTTGTTGATGATACAACAAAACCAAAACTTCATTCTGATATTTTGAATTGCCCATTGAAGCCCATTACTATCAAGTCAACGCATGCGACCAACGTATGGATTATTACTTATTAATTTGTCAGTTTAAATTGTTGAATGGTTGCTCTGTTAAAGACCCACTACGTATTAATCTATTAGTCAAAGATATATAGGCCTGGTCATAGGAGAACCGGTCTTATCACAAAAATTAGAATTGTGCTACAGAGCTAAAAATGTGCCCAAGATTTAGAGAAAAATCTGCTAAATTCAAATCCAACTTTTTGGTCTATATATGCAAGGAAAAATTGTTAAGACATAAGCCCTGGCTCATTTGAAAGTTCTCTCTGTGCTTTCTCAGATAAACAAAAAGTCAAAATATTGAAAAGATCTGTGATAAGACCCCTTTTCCCGTGGCCTGGCTCATATATCATTAACCAGATAAATTGAGTGCGGGCAATCTGAGCGAGGTTCGTTTTTTCTTGTTCAGTTTTTCGCTCATTTTCTATTATAAAAATACTTCGAATCAAGCTTGAAACTTTCCTGTAGTCTAGTGTTGCTTGTATTAAAACATTCGAAAAAATAACACAAAGTCAAAACCTGGGCTAACTCAATGTGTAATTCTTTTTTCATAAACATATTAGAGAAGAAATCAAATTGTTGGTAAGATAAATCTAAAGATTAATGAGCCGAAAGCTTTATAAAAATGGATGAAATAAGCACATTGTTTGTGGATGGCGTACGACATGGGGTATCCTTTTGACACACACATGTGTCAGTATGATATCATAATATGTTTTAGAAAATCTAAGATTTTGCTTTCATTAACAAATGATGCCGATTCAAGTTTGTGTCAAAAAGTCGTTAATATTCTTCCTACATTTCGTCAATCCGTGGAAAAGAAAAATCATACATCCAAGGCCATTCCATTTTCTTTACGAATCGAATCCGTTTTCTTTGACGAGTTTAAATACTGGGCATAGAGATCGCGTGTGGCTAGTAATTACTACATTGAAGAAAACCTAAATACACTGTAAAACCTTTTCAATTGGACATAGTATACCGATAAAGGTTTTTCGATTGATCGATTGTTCGATTTATGCTTCTGAAATTAAATAAATACTTTCTTGTAAGTTATGTGACCTCATGCACTGAATAGATGCTCTGAATATATAGTGAACTATTCTAACATATGAGAAGTATATGGAGGTTTTCGTTTAAACGCAGCATACAGATCGGACTACATGAGCTATGATGAATGATGAATTCTAAATAAAGTATATTTATTTATTTATTTCGACTTACACTTTTAAAACAGTGTCTCGCATTCATATATAGTATGAAAGGAGCGTCGACATTCATTAAAAGATTATGCACATATAAAAACCTATAATTTACTAAAATAATGCTAATCATGGTTTTCCAGAATATGGTATGTACACCTCTGTTAAAAACGTTTTAAAACAATTGTCAAATTGTTTTCCTATTTCATTCCCCCACATTATAAAAACATCATCCCCGAGCATATATTGTATTTTGAGGTCAGGGGGTAATTGTAGGAACTCAGACACTAAAAGAGCATCACATGTTTTTGAAAGTTGTTTAATAAAAGAATTTCTTTCATTAGTAAAGTATGGGCAAAAGAGAAAGCGATGTGTACTTGTATCTGGGACCTTTTGAGCAAAGGCCATCACTTATTTTCCTGCGCTTCCTATCGGCTCCTAAGTTAAAACATCCAGCTCTTGCCATATATTTCAGTCGAGAATAGGGGTACAACCGGTTCTTTTATCGATTTGACCACTAAGAAAACCCTTGTGTCGATTAATTTTACTTTTTCGCAGGGTAACAGGATGCTTAAATACGCAGTGCTGTGTATATTGGTGGCAGTGGTGTGCGGATCTCTCATTAGTGATGATGCAACAGGTAGGTTTAATGTTGTCATAGTGATCTAATTAATCTAGACAAATAAACGCAGTTATAAGGATATCATTAAAAAGTATAAAAACATAGAGATGAAGAAATGTATTTTAGGGATATAATAGGAAACCTCTCTCATATATTGCACTTGGGTTCTGCATGCAAAATTCTCCAATAAATATCAAACAATCACAAGAATACTATATGAGCGGTTGTAGAATAATCAATTGTTTGCACTTGAATTGATGTTCTTGAGTTGATATACCGGTTTTAGCAAAAATGGTAAAAAGTATATATCGATTTACAGTATGTCCACAATTGTGGCGTTCAACTGTGACGTTTCTTAATTCAACTGTTTTAACTCATGATTTGAAAATTTAAAGTTAAACGAGTGACAATCATAAACGAGTGATTTGATTGGCTCGGGATAATTTATTTCTGTTTTGAATCATTTGTATTTATATTCCAATCCATTCTCTCGAGTCGAAAAAATGGAAATGCATTTATTGCGTTCATAATTGCACGACATCTTCTTTAATCTTATTAACATATATTTCTCATTTAATATTATATTTAGATAAAAATAAACTTGATAAAGTTATGGATGATTTTTACAAATGGAAATTGAAGACCTACCCGACGTTTGCAACAGGACAAGGCGTTCATGATTATGACGACAAACTCACATCGTACAACTATACAGTGTTTGATGGGCGTAGGGTGAGTAACTTTTAAATAATCATCGACAAAAAAAGCTGTGGCTTTTGTCTTTGTTCACTCTCCAATGCGTGGTATATGGCTGCATGTATATGACTCTTGCCAAGCTATTCTGACAACCCGAGTATTCCGAGTTCAATTATTTCATAAGATCTTAAAATTCAAAACTTTTTGCTGGGAAATAAATATTTGACCTAAAATGTTGGCGCCTTTTCAACACTAAAGTTTAAATAATACAAGGGAGGGAAAGAGGAAGAAATCTTATATAAGAACACTCATTTCTAGTCAATTTATAAGGCACTATTTCAATGAGAATTTTTTTTTACTTTTAAGGAAGCGTGTATGGGATTTCTACAGCGGGCGAAAGCGATAAACAGAACAAGGAGTGATCTAAACCCACAAGACTTAGTTAATCTTCACGTTCTCATTCAAGATCTAACATCATATACTGAAGGAATCAGATGGAAAAAGTAAGTGACGTCATGGCTCGCGTGATCCTTTCAGAATCAACTAGTCCATTATCTGTTGGAATACACTCAATCTAACTGAATCTAACTGAATCGATATAAGAACAAAAATCATCTCCTTCAGTTGTGTATTTTCACCACCCGTACAGGTACACATTTATGGCGCATGCGCATTAGGTGGAATTGAAATGAAGCGCATATCAAACCACGTTCGCCAAATTCGCATACATGCGTGAAGCATTACATGAGGTGCTTAAAGAGAGAATCAGATATAGCGAGCAAACTAAAGAAAAAATTGTTTCAATTTCAGAATATTTTTGCTTGTGTCATTCCTTGTCATGTCTATTTTCTAAAAATCACAAAAGTGCATACTTTATTCCAGGAAAACTAACGATTTTTACAATAATTTAACATTTTTCTATAAGAATGGTTACCATTCTTAATTATTTGGGAGAATTTGAACATTTTTCACTCAGTTTTTGCACTTTGAATCATTAATAACTTCACCAATTTATCACATATTGTGAATTTTTGGGAGATATTGTTTTCGATATTGTAACAAATAAATTGGTAGGTCAATTATACATGTTGCTTGTAAAGTCATCCCCTATATATCAGATTCTGCCTTTAATAGTAGAACTTACCATTTTTAGAGTGACACTTTATTTCCAGTTATGGTAACCTGAATCCCATAACCTTTCTTGAAGGGATCCATAGAAGTCCAGGGGGTTGGGTAAATGCGATGTTCAGAAACACAACTAATTTGAAATTAACATTTGACAACTATTTCAAGAGACTTCAAGCTGTTCCGGTCATGGTGAGTTGATGTTAGATCGAAAATTCAACATTTCATTTTGACCAAATTCTTATATAAAATATCTTGTATAATATGTTCGAAGTGTAAACTGTATCTCATTACATGTTAATAAAAAATATATAAATGAGGTACAGTATGTCACAAAGAATGGGTATCGACGTGGCGAACTGTATCGAGCACACATTTCCCCTAAACAAGTCATCAAACAATTCTGAAAATTGTACACATCGTCAATTTAATGATCATCTTTTGAATGGTAAGAATTAAATTCAAAAAATATATGTAGTACTATACTTTCCTCTATATCGTTTTAGAAAATACATCAGACCATTCTTTTGTTTTCGGTATCATGTTCGGAATGAAATGGAACATATATCCGAAAGTCATTGGAACAAAATGACATAAACACAATGTGTTTAGGTCTCTCATTGTTGTAATTTTACAAATGAAAGGTTGGTTCGTTTAAACAAGTATCTTGTTAATGAAATAAAAGGTTTACTTTAATTTTTATCTATTTATTTGTTTTAATTTTTTAAATACTTTTTGTTAAATGAACCAAACTTTCCTTGTTGTCAGTCAGTTTACATTATATAAAGGACAGTGTTTTTACAGAACGTTTTCAATAATTGGCTTGAGAGAAGAACAATGTTGAATTCAGTTCGGCATATCGATGCCAACCGTTTGCCCCCAAGACTAACAAACGTAATTAATTTATTTAGAGTCGATCGCAAGTCGTAATTGTGATACATCCATGACTGTATAGTCTTGCTATGTTATGTACAATGGTCTGAGCAGTATATGATAGCAAATAATAAATGGCATATTTGGGACAGGGATGACATCAGGATTAAAGGGATGATATCATGCATGGATGATATTGATATAATCCCGGGTTGCTTAAAAATTGTCATTTGTTCAAATAAATCATATTTTCAAAAGATTTAAATTTGAAAAATAATTTTAATGTTTCAAATCTTTTAAGTATTATATTTTCTTTTTCCTCAAATTCTCAATTTACGTTAGGGCGGGATAATATGTAACTTTAATATTCCAATGAGTCGAATATATCTTTCTCTCATTCGACAGATGACTTTAGGTCAATAGGGACTTTAAGTAATATCCCTAGGATGATATCAATATTTCCCTGTTCCCTCGGGAAATATTTGTATCATCCATGCGCTATTCCCCATATCCAATCCCTCCTGGTGAATATTTTCTTTATGTATTTATTGTAGATAGATGAGCACATCGAATGTATGCGCCTATCCATAAAACTAAATACAACTAATAGTTTCTACTCCATGGTAAGTTTGTTTTCTGTTGCCGTACAAGTCCAAACTAACACTCCCTAGCGTAAGTTTGGCAACCTGAAGTATTTTGTATAAAGGTCTGTCAATGTTTAAATCTTAGTTCTGTCAGAAATGTATGACACAAATGTATGACACATCTGATGATTTCTTTAATTAAAATTGCCAAGATATACAATGTCTAAGAAGGTTTGATTAGTGATTCGAAAAGATTTCATGTTGCCAGGCGTATGGGGGGAGTGTGGTGTTGAGGGAATGTGACTGATTACGTACAATATATGTTTAATATATAATTGCTAATGCTGAATAATATAATGTGAATGGATATAATAACGGGACACCACGATACGATCAATTTGTTTTTTGATTTCATAAAAATAATCCAACGATATATAAAAGGCTAGATTTTGCCGGTTTCTTGATAAACATTCGAATTAACCAGTCACTACATTAAATATTTTTGTCATATTAATGTATGTACTTTAGGCCGCTGTTCCGGAGCAGATGGAGGGAATATTTGTGAATGTGACCCAAACGAGATATTGGTGGCCGATGAATGACACCCTGGACAACACAACTGTCTTCAATGTAACAGAGAAGTATGTTGAATATGATCATTCTCTCCCCAGTTTTGTTTATCAATGTAATTACATGGGGTTTTATATGTACTTTACTGTATATACAACAAAGTACATTGAAAGTCACCCTCATTCTAGTTTGACCCGTTTTCTCAGTTTTTTATCCATTTTTTCCAAAAAATATTCTGTTCGATTATACTAAATGCAGTAAATTATTGTATTCCGTGAGTTTATTTTTTCCAGAGAGCAATTAAGATCACGAGCTACAGAGCAGATTCAGGAAATATTGTCAAAATGGAAAGATCTGAAAACATTCATCGAGGGGGTAAGTGATTTATATTATGAGGAAATACATGTAACCAATGAAGAGCCAAACTTTGAACTGGATTCAATATTCTGATAACTTTTCAATCTGCTGAATACTAGTAACCATGTTATTTTAAAATTGTTTGTTTTTTGTTTTGTTCTCTAAGTTTTGTATTCATTAAGTAGTGCTGTGATTTTTTTTAGGAATATATGAATAATACACGCCCTGAGATTGGAGTGACTAGCTTTAAAGATGGCGTTGAATATTACAAGGCATGTCTGAACTGGCATCTAACATATGAATCTACTGCTGAGGAAGTACATCAAATAGGATTAGACGAGGTGAAACGCATTCAAGGAGACATGCAAAAAGTAAGTACCCTATACGGACAGCGGACTGGGGTCGCAGAAAACAATAGATGCGGGAAAATGATGGTGTGGAACCAACGGTCACTTTTTGAATTTGATTCGTGAAATTCGTTAAACAAGAATGTGACATGACTACATATAGAAATAGAGACCTAGACGATTTCCAACCATACAATCTACCACTTTAAGATGTTTATATTTATATTATGTATGTTACATGCATGCTGAATGCTTCCTAGGTAATGACAAATGTCGGTTGGACAGGTGATTTACAAGGATTCTTCGCACACCTGAAAAACAGATCAGAGTTTTACAACCACACAGAGGTATTCTTTATTTGTCTCTTATTGTCTATTAAGATAACGCATTTATCAAATCAAGATGATTTTTGATGGTTATTATAGCGTCATAATTGCTTCATTATTCGTTTGGAATAAATTCCTTTATACGAATGTTAATGTCACAAATAAAATTCCCAAATTACAAATACAAAGATGATGTATCAAATAAACAAATAGATACTAAATTCAGGTGCATTTTTTGTTTGTAAGGACTAGAAATATTTGTAACTAACAATTTATTATTCGCCAACTACAGTTTTTCAGTTTTCAAGTGTCAATGATAATATTTACTTATTAGGAAGACCTATTGAAAGGTTACCAAGATATTATAGACAAACTGATCAACCCAAAGCTGCACCTCGTTATAAAAAATGAAACGATACCAACTGAACCATGCGTGTAAGTAGTTTTCTATCACGTGGCCGGTGTTATATTTTAAGCCTCAGTCACATTTGCCCTGTATCCTTTGTTGCATATTTCTCCCAATTTTGGGAAGCTACGACCTCGCCGTACTGTTGCCGTCGTAGCTTTCGGATAGGAATAAATATTTCCCGAGGGATATACCCTACATCCAAAACCGACCGAGCATAACTGGTGTATCTCATACTTGAGTGGGTTTGGGGTAGTTATAACCTTTTTCAACTTTGTCAAATGACAAGATAGGCCTACACTGAAAAAGCACAAGTTATATTTAACATTTTCTTTAGTTCAATATAATGGAATTATAACATTTGAACTTTTTTCAGACTTTTTAAACTTTTGAAAAATTCCCAAGAGCGGGATTGATATATTATATCTGCCCGCATTTGGTCTGGAGCGGGACATATACAATATATCCTGCCCGCTCCTCAGATATGAAATATATTCCCGGTTAATATATACCCCAAAACCACGCAAGTATGGGATAAGTACATAAACTTTCATAGATTAAGATTAAAGATACCGATGTTCTTAATAAATAAATATTCTGATGCAAAACGTTATATCTATCTTGAACATAACATGGTTATTGTTTGTGTTGAATTTTCTTTATCTTATCCTTATAAGTTATTTTATGTTAACTTTATAAGGGTCAAGAGAATGCCGTATAACGGTCCCTCTGGTAGCTATGGTGGAGGAACATTCTGGGCCAACACGAGGAAACCAACAACACGGTAATATAGCCATATTTTTTTATTTTCAGTATATAAATACTTGTAAATACATTTATGAAGCTGTAGTGTTCTGGGTACTTGCACTCTTTGATAGGCAAAAGTAAAGAGAAACACAACTAAGTAGGTTTGTTGTTGGCTATATAATATGATGACGTAATTTTATTATAAATTACATAATGTTACATAACAATACTTTTGCCGATAGGGCTAACAACCAAGGGCGGTGGAGGGGAATGGGTGGCTTGAAATTTAAATGTGTAATAAAAAGTTTAATAAATATCGTATAGAGAATACAAATATAATGTAATGTCCTGCAAGAAGAATATCTTCGATGCTGTTTGTATTCACAAATAAATGTAACGAATGAAGATGGTATACCAGGTGGTATCAGATAACTGACGTTTAAAACCTGGAAGTCACACGATTGGTCAGAATTAATGACTGGTGTCCAACGACAATAACACGTCATCCCCCTCACACTCACTTCACAAAACTTTTAATTGCATTAAATTTAATTTGTTACACTGAACGAAATTAAACAAATCTCTGAGAACCTAATACTAATCAAAAAGTAGATGTTTTTCATTAATAAAATAAAAGTAGAAGCAAAATAGAGAAAGCTATGCATATTACTCTTAAATATTAGCTTCCGATATGATATAATTGTACTTAAAGTTTTTTAATCGAAGTGACTGGTGGGTTAACATTAAGATTAAATGTTTGTACTTGTATACATGTATTGTGCCAGTACCAGTTAAATGACTACGTTTAGATCAACGGAAAGCAATACTTGATTTCAAATGAATATTTTTTTACTTTTAAATATAACGGTATTCTCATGTCTGTCAACTTATGGTGATGGATTTATATTGAGGAAATGTCTATATGCTGGGTTTAAGGTATACTCCCCTCGCCTTAGTTAGAAAGACAGCTTTGACCAAAGTCACAAAACTATTTTCAATAAAACCCATATGTTGAATCTTTTAGACCAACGTACACGATGATAGATCTAGCACTCCACGAAGCTAACCCAGGACATCATTTGCAGAATACAGTGGCAGCACAACTATCAATTCCAAACTTTAGAAAGGGTGGGGGTCGATCGAACAACGCGATTCCTTTCAGTTTCCCGTCTTTTTCAACATATTCAGAGGTGTTTTGAATACAATTAACTACATAATAGTTGCTTCTTTCAACAGTTTCCAGCTCCACAATCCGCATGTGTACAATCAGCAAAATTCTGATTAGGGCATCGCTCGTCATTTATTTAATTGACTAATTCGAGTACGATGCTTTACGATTATTCTAACTTCTTCACAATGCTTGCTTTGTTTAATTTTCCAATTGAGAAGTCACAAACCCCACCTGGTTTTCCCTTAAACGTTCCAAAATTTTCTAAGCCTCTTTGTTGCATACACTACTATCCAACTGCTTCATACTCAACTAAATTGTATATTCCACTTACACTCCAATTCTCTCTCTTCCTTTCTCTCTTTCTTTCTTTTTTCTTCATTTGATTTGATGTATTTTTCTTTCTGTCTTTATTTCTTTCTTTCTTACTTACTTTGATTCAGTGTCTTATATCTTTCAGGCCAAATTTTACAATGGTCGCACTTGCTTTGCATGAAGCTAATCCCGGACACCATCTTCAAAACGTGCTAGCAAAAAGTATATCAATTCCCAAATTCAGACTATGGGGGAGCGGAGGGGGATACTACACCATTCCTTTCAACTTCCCATTTTATACAACATACTCGGAGGTAGGTTATACATAAGAATACATCCCTTCAAAAATGTTCGACAATGCTGACTCCATTTTAGATTGCCTGTTGAGCATGTGTGTTTACTGAATATATTAGGTCGATCTAAAGAAATTTTATCAGCAAATATTCGCATGTAAAGACAGTAAAATGTGGTCAACCGTGTTTCAAAATTGTTGGAGATGCACTTCACAGGGGCATGTTTCAAAATGAATTATATTGTCACTTGCACTTGTATTCGTATATATGGTAAATCGCCCTCTGTTCAAGGGCTTAATGTTTCCTTAATTAGTCCCATGCCTTTTCTAAATAAGCACTTACCAAAGCTTTTGCTACACTTTCCCTCTTCCCTTAATTTAAGTGCTTCGCAAATGAATTTTTGAAAACAAAAATAACGATGTGCTTTTTGCGCTTATCTACCATAATTGGATAGACAAGGCGACGATACAAAATAATGAAATAAAATATGAGATTATCATTGAAAAATCCCATACTGTATTACAGGCCAAACTATACTATGATTGCCCTTGCACTTCATGAAGCAAATCCGGGGCATCATCTACAGATAACAACAAATGACAAACTTCCTAACCCCGCTTTTAGGAGCCATCTATGGTACCAAGCTAGCTATGCCATTCCATTCAATTTCCCATTTCATACCACTTATATCGAGGTAAGAACCTTATTGACAACGAAATTATTGAACAGCTTGCATGTAGCCTAGATAATTTACAGTAAATAATTCTCGAGGATTATTTAACTTACAGTCAATGAATAAAGAGCCGATTCTCGAGGATTCTTATTCCAAGATTATCTAACAAATTATATCAATTACATAATTACAAATTAAAGTAATAATGTTAGCAATTGTATTTTGAATACCATGAGTCATATTTGATACAGTGTAATAGATATTGTATTCATGTAACGTGTTCTGCAATTTCAATTTTGTAAATACTAAGAATCCAGTATAGTCTTTTTGTAGTTTTTAAAACATACTAGTATGTCGATTTTTATCAAACACTCACATTGAAAAAATTAGATATCCCTATACCTGTTCTTGCCTGTGTTATCATATTCTTAACACATCATCATTACTATACTAGTATTCGTCTTTTGAATAATAATTAAATAAAGAATATAATTAAAAAGAAGGTGAATATTATATTATAATGTTGATGAGCTTTTTTCAACTACCATAGTCTAGCTAGGAATCATGATTCATTACATTAAATGTATGTTTAAACCTTCTGTTTTTAGGGATGGGGATTGTACTCGGAATATCTTGGGGAAAAGGGAGAGTTAGATGTCTACCCAACTCAGTATGACTTGTAAGTAGAAACGACATAATTCATAATCTACTTTAGGTCAACTCATTATCGCAACCCCTATCTATCTGACGTTCATTTCTGTACGTAAGCACTCTTCGACATATGCATCCATGAGTCTGTTGGTCTTTAAATAGGTATCACGGTGTCCATGGCAACAGCTATTTTCAATAAAATGTGCTAGGAACTAGACGAATATACAAGTTTAAAGAAACTAACTACATGCTTTGCGAGCATACACTTAACAAATGGTGTTCATGCTGGAATCAAACGCTGCCTTTCGATATAGATATTATTACTGTTGTTAGTGCTCTCAAAGATCTATGCATGTTCCTCATCTTAAAAACCAAACGTTTGTGATCCATTCAAACGTACGAGGCCAAAATAATGATAGCTGTACATTGAAATAAAAAATACATCAGTTTTAATGACCTGAAGTCAGTTTTCCAGAATATCTTGAGGTATCCTTTCTGCAATTATTGAAATAAGAAGCACCTAACATTTTTGGATGTGACATTTTGTGAATCGAGGAGTGGGTTTATCAAATATTATTTATTGTCCAATAATGCATTTTGATCAAAACGATGTGCGATGATCATTATGTAAGATTTTGTTCTCTCTTTTCAGATTTGGTCGATATTCTTCAGAAATGTTGAGGGCTTGTCGATTGGTAGTTGACACTGGCATGCACGCACTAGGGTAAGTTAAATTATATATTTTTCAATATGTAATTAAGAATAGTTTAATTTGATTAGATCCGCTTGTTTATGACAAATATAAACAAATAGATTATTCTTAAATTCACCTAAATTTTCGTAATGATCAAAGCGGAGAGGCGTATGCTTCAAAATAAGTCGTTCCTTCAAAACTGTAAGAGTTTTCAATTTTTAAATTATTGTTTGTGATGCTTAATTCAAAATGTTCCCATCCCGTACACCTTTGTACTTTTAATATCAAAATGGCTTGCAATTGCTTTATCGAAATACGGATAACATCCTCGCTGGGAAGAGATGAGAACTAAGAAAAGATGGAGGGGTATACATATTGCTTCATCACCAACACCTTAGTTAAACCTCTTAGGAAGGACCCCGACTACCTTGATTTAGAATCGGCTGAATGAAAACGAGAAACAGCACCAACCCTGTGAAAACACCAGTTGCTTGACTCCACCTGTTCAAACCATCGAACTTGGCTGCACTCTACCCACACATTTAACGTTCCGGTACAAATGCGTCTCAAATATCCAAATACTTCAGCTGGAGCCGTCAGAGGGCCATAGACTACATTGCTAATCTTACTGCAGAGCCAATGAATGACATCATTGTAGAGGTTGACCGTTATATCACTTGGCCTGGACAGGCAGTCGCATATAAGATTGGAGAACTGGCTATAATGCGGATGAGAGACAACGCAAATAAAACAATGGGTAAATGTTATTTAATGATAGTTCAATAACAATTTCAGTTTTGTGTGATTTAAATATAATACTGTAACTTATAAAATAAAAAACTTTTTAAGTAAGTCAGGCGTGTCGATTTGATTCAGTCATTATCACTACTAGTTTCTTTCAATTTAGGTAATGCGTTCGACAAAAGAGAGTTCAATGACGTCATACTGAGATCAGGAAGAGTACCAATGTCGATTCTCCAACAGCAGATAGATGCATATGTAGCGTCTGGCATAAGATCCACCAGTCAACCTTCAACTGACGTTCAGTCAACTACGAAAGGAACATCTGGAGCAGGCATTGCAAACTGGACATTTGCAGTTATGATGACATTATTCGTGCATACATGTACACTTATATCATGATTTTCAAAATACTATTTGACTGTAAATAATGAGATGACGATCATGTGACCCTGTTTTGAAATTTATGCGGAAAAACGACATTAATAAGCAAATGGTTGTATTAACCCAATATCTAGTTTAAAATTGTTTTTCCAAATATAACTGTTAAGTATCAGTGTTCACACTAATAATAATATTATTTTAATAAAATTAATTTAAAAATGTATTAAAATCTTGTGTAAGAGATCACACTATATATATTTTACATTTGATGATTTTATACACTAATACGTATAACTAAGCACAAGTGCACAAGCATGTGTAGGTTTGCACATGTATGCAGATCTATCTCTTTATCTAAATTGTCAAAAGGACACTATAAATTCTTCTTTGCCTCCTAAAAGTGTTCGGTTTTATAACTTAAAGAATATATTCAAGGATTAAAGCATGATTGACATTTTAGAATATAGATCATCAGATATTTTTGATTAATTGTGTATATTCCACATGTAATTTGTAAACTGACATGTAATTAAGAGAAAATAAATAAACCTTGTCAATTACTATATCATAATCTTCATATAGGTAGGCGTTTGATGTAGTTCTTTTACAACAGTTACTATAACTATAACGGTGCTAATCAGTCTTTTTTGGGGAAACCCATTCATATAATCATTATTTGACTGCAATTTGAAAACCTTGATTCGCAATATTTGTATGGCGATATCAGGAAACATAGATGGATTACAAAACATGATCACACAATTTGTCTAAATTGACCTTTATTCAAGGTAATGAGTTAAAAACTCTGTTAGTGTAGCATCTGTTATACAAATGATTGAACACGATTCTCTCCAATTTCATTTCAAGATGGAGTCGACAGAGGGCGATTGATCTATTAGCGAACAACACGGCAGTTTCGTATATGCAGATTGACACTGAGATCGATCGCTATATTACCTGGCCTGGACAGGCTACTGCCTACAAGATTGGAGAAATCGCAATCAAGAAAATGAGAGAAGATGGTGAAAGGATCTTAGGTAAGTGGGAATACTCAGTGTATAAGTACATTAAACTGTTTGTCAATGCTGGATGACAAGGTATAGATTCAAGGCTTGCAAGTAACCGTACATTGAATGTAACAAAATGTGAGGAAATACCAGATATTAAAACTATGTACAAGCATAATACTTAAAACGATATTATATAATTCAAGTCGATATCTGTTTGACTTTGACAATATTTTATAATGATTAACATGATATTTAGTGACACATGTTCATTGAACTACATGTAGGTGATGCCTTTGATAAACGTGAGTTCCACGACAGAATTCTCCGACTCGGCCGTGTACCAATGAGTCTCCTACAAGAGAAGATAGATGAATATATAGAAGAGGAACGAGTTAAGTTGACAACAACACCCGTCGTGGTTGCAACTACAATTAGTTCATCTGACGTTCGTATTGCAACTATTCCATTGTTGATAGTTGCACAGATTCTTCAAAGACTATTAACTGTTTCAGTGTAAACCATAGCTGAGATTCTTCAAAGACTATAAACTGTTTCAGTGTAAACCATAGCTGAGATTCTTCAAAGACTATAAACTGTTTCAGTGTAGACCATAGCTGAGATTCTTCAAAGACTATAAACTGTTTCAGTGTAAACCATAGCTGAGATTCTTCAAAGACTATAAACTGTTTCAGTGTAAACCATAGCTGAGATTCTTCAAAGACTATAAACTGTTTCAGTGTAGACCATAGCCGAGATTCTACAAAGACTATAAACTATGTAAACTATATAAACTATATAACTATGAAATATTTCACTGTTAATAGTCTATATATACCGTAACTTCAGATTATTCCATTGTTGAGAGTTGTACAGACTCTACATATACTAAATTGTTTCATTGTTGGGAATTAGTTGCACAGATACTACGTTACTATAACTATAAAATAATTGATTCATTTAGGTGCGCATAAGTCTACACATTCTACTAACTTGTTCATTGTTGCGAATTAGTAGCACAGATATTACGTTCTTTACTATAAATTAATTCAATGTTGAACATTACACAGATTCTACATAATTATACTATACATGTAACTATGAATTATTTCATTGAGTAAATAATAATGTAACTACAATTAATGTTTCATTGCTGGGAGTTAGTTGCACAAATTGTACATATGCTAAAATTGTTTCATTTATAAGTTGAATCATACTCATACATATAAGTTGGGACAACCGTGTACAAAGTTGAGGTATCCAAAATATATTGATATCAGTTCGTCTGGGTGCTTTGAACGACAAAGACTCTAACGGGATAAGACTGTATTATATTACATAAACTGTTTCATTATTGGCATATGTTCTGTAAAAATTCGCATAAATATATAACATAAACATTTCATAAATATGTCATAGCTTATCCAATGTTGAATCGTATGATATTACCGCCATACATTTATCGTAATTGAAAAGTTGTAGAAGAGCGTGGCAAGAACACTCTTCAAATTAATATTAAGCGGGGAACAATAACACATTTATGATGGTTGGGTCATAAAACATTGTCATAATAGCTTAGTGAAAAGGATGAAATTTATAATTTGATGTTTTTGAGTATTTCCTATTTTTCAAATATAAGCCAATTGCATGCTGCATCCATAGTAATATTTCTCAAGAATTGCGATAACACATAATTCGACAGATAATAAACAGGTTATTCCTTTTGAAACAGATGGATTGTCTCTATTTAGAAAGAATAATCATATAATATCCCTCAGATCCTATACTCGAATTGGAAACATATATGTTACTATTAGGACTAAAACCCCCAGGGAAATAAGGTATAGTACGTGTTCTTGACAATAAATCGGTAATGTGTATTGGTGTGGAGAGCAATATACACAACAAAAACAGTAAAAATGCTTTAGACAATTAACAGTCCATAAAGCACAAGCATTAATCGGAGAGAACAATATGTGATGTTTTAACTTTCTGTAGCAGTGTTTGTCTTATCCTGGCTATACGCTAGAGAGTAAGGCTATGAAAAGCTCATTTAAAATTTAGACATGCTATGTATTAGATCGAGATTGCACCAAAAGCACCGAACATAGTCATATAATCCCAAAGCGTCACTATCATTTCGTGTCTTTTCTCAATCCTTAAAGCCCCCATATAAGGTTTACACCACTTTGGCTTATATTGTAGTCTTACCCAATGTTATCAAAGTGTGATATGTGAAACTTTTTTTTAATTTCAGAAAGTGGTTTTTGAAGGACCTCTAGTTCGAAAAATCGTGAAATTATTTAAAATTAACTTTTAGAGGTCACACGTATCTTTTAATAATCGATAATAGATACAATGCACAGCATTTATCATTGCCTGTTTTTTGCCCAAAAATTAAGAAAACCGGTTCATAAATAAGCGAGAAATGAACTCATCACTGCATTAAAATGGTTCAGAGAAAAATGATAGTTCTCATAGAAACCAATGGTACAATAATGTCTAAAACATAATATATTCTTCCTTTTAACCTGGTGAGATAAATAACATTGGTTTATTTTTCAACTTAAGCATATTTAGAAAATATTGACATCAGAAAAAAAAAGTTCAAAATGTTTTTGCCACCTGAGTGAGTATATATATACAATATTTATAATATGCTAAAACATCGAAGTGGCACATTAAATATGGCATTTTATTATTTAAATAGTGTCATTTGTTCAATCTTTGCATTGGTGTTAAAAAGGTCATATTTTTGAAATGTATGGAGGAATATTTGATGATTAAAAATTTCAACCTTTTCATGAAAAATAGCGGGAAATTTGAATATTTCAGAAGTGAAAAGCTGACAACTTTTTTTCAAATATAATTATTTTTCTAAAATCTCTAGGATAACTTTTTAAGTCACGAAAAATAGTAAATGAATGATAAAATCATATTTTTAAACTCTACACGGGGACTTTAATAGAATGTATAATATAGAGCACGTTGAATACAAAAGTTCGATAGAGATACGTGTAGTTATTACAGTTGATGAACAACATTACAAATATGACAACGCTTATAAACAACTCATCCAATGTAGTTATTGTTGCCAATCTTTTGGAGAGTAAAATACGTGTGTCTAAATATGCCGCTACTTATAATTAGTGATTAGAAATTGATGATGAAGTCGGAGATAAAAGTTCACAAATGTTAGCATCATACCCATGGGATGGGTTATATTTTGATAAAATCAAGTTGACTCCTCTATGAAAATGATTGGAAATACAAATGTCTATATTTTGACGTTTGCCGGTAAGTCTGACTTTGTTTTCTAAGCTTGTACGGGAGAATGCAACTTTCGGCTAACGGCTACCGGGTTGATTGCAATTTGATGGCAAAATTATTGTAATATGGATAGTACCTGCCGTTGTATTCACGTAGTAATGAGGTAATTGACGGGTAAATTTATGAAAATTAATAGATTAACCCGGTAGCCGACAGCCGAAAGCTGTATTTGCGAATACAAGCTAAGTTTAAGTTAAAGTAATTCCTGAAATCAAAACAATGTATTGATGGATCTGACATATTAAAAAGACCATAAAACAATTTGGACCTGACTAATGTCGTATTGATCAGATGACCCTTTTCGGACGCGATCATGAAATAGAGACCCTGGTACACTTTCGAAAGTCTTTGGAATACAATAATAGATGGCAGCACCACATTTGCCAAATAAAATATACCCGAAGAAGTCAGCCGACGGTTGACGTAGCATCTCGTCAAAATGACACAGTTTAAGGTTGATTTCAGGATTTCTGGCGCTGACCACTGTCTCGGCCCTATCTGCATACACCACCCCGGACAACGTCAACTATCGCCACGAACCAATAGATGTCAGTTGCGAGACCGTTATCAAGTTCAACGTTAAAGCATGTCATGATGCTCATTTACAACTACGGAAAATACCTGGGGACACGACAAGTGATACTTATGAGGTCGTTCTTCACGGCTGGGAAGAGAATCCGAGTTCTGCTATACGTGAGCAAGGAATGATAAAAGCCAATTTTTCGGGTGCTATTTTAAGCTGCAATGAGGGGAAACCATTTTGGGTGGGTTCATGTAATTAACAAAAATCAAGTGAATGACATACAGTTTCAAAGTACATTTATTATGTTCATGATCATTATGTAGAATCTCTTTGACATATTGAGTCATAACACTTTTTATCCCATACTTGGACGTGTTACAGGTACATAAAGCCGGTTTGTAAAAACTTATATTTTCATCAGCGGGCAGATATAGCTTTACGTCCCGCTCCGAGCGGGCAGATATAGTATATCTGCCCGCTACGTCATAATCGCCGCTCGCATATTTGTTCCTAATTTGTAACGTTCGCGTAATGACTGTAAACGACAATGAAGAAAACATAGACAATCGGGATCTGTTTGATGGTTTAAAAAAGGGAAGGAGCATCCACTTAATCATCAAAAAAATCGAGAAAATAAATGTGGGAATATTTGAGAGAACAGGAAAATCCGCCCACGGCCAAGAAAACAAACACTGCGTGAAATCTGGGATTCCAAATCTTGACACGTCTAGAAACTAGTCTTTTCACGCCGAGTTCCTAGGCGTGTCAATTATTTACACCTCTTGACACGCGATGAATCCAACTCTTTACACCTCTATGCACTTCTTGACACACGCCGTGTAACGCAGTGCAAAGACCATGTCAAAAGTCTTGACACGCGCTGTGACAATTATTGGAATCTCATTACTCGCTCTTGGCACATTGATAATTATGTGTAAACAACTGACCAAATTACCATAAGCAATACATTTAGTATTTTAACATGAAGTAATTCTACTTCATATATTTTTAAAAGGGATAAGTAATTTATCTTTTGTGATAATATAATACTACTTGTTGATTGGTTTGCCAAATATAAGACCCCGTCATAAGACCCTTGTCTCTGATTGTGAAACATGTGTATGCATCCCCGGGTATGCATCAAATCCGAGAAATATTACATTATGGAAATTATTCATTAACGTAATGTCAGGCACTATAGGTTAACAGGTTAACAGGTTTTTAGTTTTGCTCTTTTTTGTCACGCTTAAATTGTGTGCTTTATTTTTTGGGGATTTGAATTTGAAAAGGTGAATTCACGATCCAATAAAGCTTAAGGTTTCATTTATTAACAGATGCATCGAGATAGAGCCACCGTTCAAAAGACATAAACATAACTCTGTCGAGTGCAAACCAGTTTTAAATGTCTCTGTTTAAACCTACATGTAGTAAAGTTTACAACATCAATGGATATAATTACAGTCACATGTACTTTGTTATTAAATTCAGAAACTTTAACGGCCGGCGCGTAAGCAGCTTATTGTCGGATTTTAAACTTGATATTGTTTATTGGATTGTTATCAAGATTCTTCTTCAATTTTTTTATTTGGGAACGTATATTTTTTATTATTAGAGAACCCAGGAAAACAATACATGTACAACAATTACTATTACTAATTAAGCTAATGGTCACTTGGCTTGGTGTATTTCCATTCTCATTTATAAAGTTCAAAAGACGAGCGCGTTCTTATAAATAAATAAATGAATAACGCAAACCACGTCCTTAATGTTTTTATTCAGAATCGTATTTTATATTCAGTACTTTTTTTATTTATTAAGTTACAGACACAAGCGGCACATATATGTTTGTTGTAAGACCATTTCTGCGATGACCAAGGTGCGTATTTTGGTTTTATAACGGGGATATTGCTCGAGCTTGAATAACAAATAAAAGGCATGTTCTTATTTCTGTATTCTGTCCTTTGATTGTGTATTAAGTTGAGCTGCACGCCAAACGTAAAAGATTGTTAAAACGCTTAAAATAAAACTTTATTCCTTTCAATTTACATAAAAATGAAACAGATTAGATTCGAATCTCAGTCACACCAGCCACTGGTCAAAGGAAGTACAAATATCTATATTAATCAAATGTCTGAAAATTTGATAACTGTCTGGAATCCAATGTTAATTTTATTGAATCAAACTAAGAAAAGTATAAAGAATAGATGAATTTTAAACTTTTAGAGGGAAAAGTCAAATATGCATTGTAACCCAAAAAATAATTCATTAAAGTGTCGTACACATTTCATAACATTTATATAAATAAAACAAATAAAGCACAACTCTAATGCCCTAATGAATTCATATCGGCGCAAACGGCCCTTGCAATAAAAACGCATCGAAGCAGGGAATGCTTGGTAAATTCTTCCGAGACTGACTTTTGTTATTTCAAAATTGAAATATGCCAAATTCATTTGAAATAATCAAATAACCACACGATCTTTCCCCTGGATTTTACTCTATTTTAGATTTACCAGAAAAATGTTTATATGATGTTGTGATGATTTCGTTTGCTTCTCACGAGTTCATTGAAAAGTTCAGTCGAAAAACTTCAGAGATCAAAAGACTAATTAGGCACCTGATTGCGAAAGTTTGATTGCATTTCGATCGCCGGGATTTTACAAACGTATTGTTTATGTAGCGATCGTGTTCTTGGGATCTTGATAACTTCCTATTTTAAGTTTTGGGTTGGAAGCAATGAGTATGTCGGACTTTCTCAAGTCCACATATTTCTGTTTTCAAATGAAATAATTTCACCCTTGCCGACTGACTTGTAGATAATGCACGAATCAAATAGCATGGAGATCAGATAATCAGATTGATTCGTATTTTCGCAATCAGATGAATTAACTTATTGTTTTCTCTGATTAAAAGGCGGTTTGAAGCTCCCGGGTTGAAGCTACTTTTAACTGTTTACAGGATTTGAATATTTAGTCAGTGCAAGAGGAGGGGGCTATAATGTAGAACAATAACTGAATAATTTATCACAATTGTTAAATACGCAAACAGAGACAGGTTTAAAAATGAGAATAGAGGCAAAAAACTCATGAAATGTAATTAAAACCCGGGAATTAAAAGACTGTTAGATGATCTCTTCTGTAATCAAGGTGATGTTGGTACACTTCCGCCGTTAGAAAAACAAAGACTAAGACAAAGACTATATAGCAATTAATCCTTTTGTAATCATTAAATGTTAGATTCTTATTATTTTGTTGGACAATGTTCAGACTTCTGACCAAGATTAATTCATTTATGTTTGTATTTAAGAAATAGTATTTCAAATAGACAGACGTTCTAATGAGTTAGAAAAATACATTTGTCCATTTCCTCTCAAGAAGTTTTCAAAGGTAATCAAGTCGATTTGTTTGAAAGTTTAGCATTGTTTTTCATAACTTGACGCTTCCATGAACAGAATGACTTTGAAATGAGTTTTTATAATTTTAGCTTTTATACGGACATGCTTATTGTATATTTCTATATGAACGTTGTAATTTATGTGATGTAACATCGCCCCCCCCCCCCCCCAAATTACAGGAATACAAATTTTGATCGGAATGCTTTAACTTGCAATTAAAAGCAGTTTTAGACTGTTAGATGATCTCTTATGTAATCTAGGTGATGTTGGTACACTTCCGCATTTAAGAAAACAAAGACTAAGACAAAGAGAACTAAGCAATTAATCCTTTTGTTATCATTAAATGTTAGATTCTTATTTTTTATTGGACACTATTAAGACTTCTGTCTCCGATTGTTATGCAGGTATGTGTATAAAATCATGCGAACAACATTATCGTGGAAACTCCCATATTCATTCTCATAATGTCTTACAGCTATTTCGCAAATGGCATAATCCTAAACAACATGTGGACATAATATTACAGAACTGAGCGAAAAGAAAGGTGGAACAAATCAGATTAAGATATTTTATTTTTTAAATGCACAAAGGGCAACAGTTGAAAAACAAAAGTTAAAGGCGTTGTGAAATAGATCGTGCTTTTATATGATCCCCTTCTGTAGTACCATACCCTTTGCATTTGTTCGACTTAACTTCTTAAAGTCTTCTCGTCTTCTCGTAGTTTATAATTAGACTCTACACGCAGTGTAATAGTGCCCCTATTATCCATGACCAGGGGCATAGCCAATTTTCAGTCGGGGGGGGGTGCAATCGCCAGAAAACAATAACGGTTTTCAGTCGGGGGGAGGGGGTTGCGATTGTGGCAAAAGCAAGCCAAAAGATGCAACTTCCTTCAAAATAGCATCTACTATAATATTTATTTTTCTATCCGATATACAACTGATATTGATATCTTTTCCCGGACAATGTGTTATCTCATGGTCCGTTGACATCATCAACAATGTGATTTACCACAAGAGATTAACCAACATTCCTTAATTAAAAAGTTGACATTTCTTGAATTTTTAAAGCAAAAACACTATGACACAATAACATCGAGGCAAAATCAAAACATGGTGTGGAAATAAAAGGCATACAAAATGGCCATTAAAAAGACATTTTTGTTCATAAAAGTATCAACTTTACTACATTGGTCGCAAATACAAAGTATAGAATAAATAAAAATAACGTCTTCCCAGAGATTACAATACGGATCAGTAAGTCAACAAATCTAACCGTTGAATAAACAAACTTCGCCCACGTCTGAAACTGTTCGTCTGCTGGTCAGAACTTGGTATTCGCTTCGGATAATCAATTTCTGAGAATACTGATGTCTTAAATAATTCATAAAGACGACGTTGTCTTTAAATAAGGATCTTTAATCTACAAACTGTTATTAATAACAGTTTTTAGTATACAAATTGAACATACAAAATGTAGCGTACTGATTACACGTTACAGTGGCGTAGCCAGCTTTCAGTCGGGGCATGAGCCCATGGTCGGGGGGGAGGGGGGGGGGGTGCGATCATGGCATAAAAAATGTTTTTGAAGATTTGTTTTGAATTTTACAAAAATTGGTGCAACTTCGTTCAAAATCGAGCTAGAAGCTTCAAATAAAAAGCATTTTGAGACTTTTTTTCTTCTATCTAATGGTTCTATTTTCATCGGTTATGGAGGGGGGGGGGTGAGATCGCACCCATCACATCCCCCTGGCTACGCCTATGCGCTATATTAATATAACAAGGTTATCATACCATGCCAATAGTTAGATGGTTAACTAATATTAACACAAAATAATAATACACGATAATTAAAAAAATAAACCTCGGTATTCGGGCCTAAAATCCAAGGATACGTGTACCATTACTTAAGTGTAAGATGCAATACCATATCGAATACCTGTACCATTACTCAATAATAACCACCAGTAAGACCATAATAACAAGCTTAATAACTAGCTTATTGCAAGTTATTTCATACGATTTTGTCTTGTGTGTCCTAATGAGATTTGAAGTTCGAAAACCGGGTGAAATTGGTTATATATAGTAAATTGAATATGATAATCAGAGCCAGAAAACAGAGATACATGTACGTAGCTAAAATAATGGGGAATTAAAAATAGCCTCAAATAAAGTGCAATCATGAACTCTCTTGAAAGCCCATGCTCTAATCAAAGTAATCTTGGGATATCCTGTCCATAAAAAGCAAGAACCCAATCAAACAGTTAATTAATTGATTATCTGGTCTAGACTAGGGTACAAGAAAAGTATTAATATATGAAGGACAGGGGGCTACTGAAACTGGTAGTTCAAGCGTATGCTTGTAATGCCTGTGTCACATTTGCTCAGAATCATCGTTCGGCCTCCGGTCGATTGAGTATTTTGTTTAAATTGTATTAGGGTTTGAACAAAACACTCAATCGGCCGGCGCCCGGCAGATGAATTGGAGCAAATGGGACCTAGGCATATGAGGGGCAACATTTTAGATATAGTATTGTTTGAAATCCTGGGAAAATGCACTCCCCCAATTTTGCAAATATGGTCTGGTGCTAATGAACCCTCTAATTTGTTTTACGTTTACATGAGCAACTAACAAATATATTTATTCTCATTCTGTCTCAGCTTAGTTTTAATTAAATTTTACCCCCACCCTTCGAACGTCTTTGTCTCCCTTATTTTTGCAACCCTACATTCAGTTTCTTTTTAAACCAAATCAAGAAATATCCGTCCACATATCAGATATTAAATCAATAGTTGTTTATTATTATAAGATGTTTATAGATCATAAGCTATTTGTAATTTCAGCTATAAAATTAGCCCTCCCCCCTCTTCGCCGACAGATAGAGATGTATTGTTTAAAATAATACTGCATCCCCGGCCAATAATTCTTTTACCACATTGAGCAGTTTGTAATTTTGAGCAATTATCAAATGTGACCCGACCCCTGGAATAATTCAAAAGTCATTCCCTTAGCAAATGTAGGCTTCGGACCTGGTACTTATCAAGACGAAATAATTTGCGTTGATTATTGGAAATATCCATTTAAACAGACCCTCTAATTTATGACAAGTTAACAATAAAAAAGAATGTTGCGATGCTTTTTGATTTGAGAACGCATATTTAGCTAAAGCAAAATACGAAATATAAACTCATGCGGTAATTATGATTTAATTTACAAATACCCGGGTCCAAATATCATGAGTGTTGATTGCAATTATGTTCGATGATCGTCAACATGAAAGAAATATATGTCTGAATAATTAGCTATAAAACATCTTTATCAAAACTTCCCTACACTTTTAAATGCTCATCTTGTCAAAGAGTACCATCCACCTGAGATTTAGATGTAGATCGAAAATCAAATTGTTTTCAAAAGTATTTATATATTGGTTTACATGAGGGGTTCTGTCCATGTGGGTGGTGTATTCTTTGCGTAACAAAGAGTTGTTTTGCTTCCAGGGTCCTAAATTCTTCAATTTAAATAGTAATTAATAAGATTAATAAGATCAAAAAGACTCGAGGCACTGCCGTCGCCCCATCATGATCAATACAGGTGACAATAAGCGACAGTTGTTACAGTACAAGTTATTGATTCAGGTTCATATTTGTTATAAATATAGACTTGATTACGTTTCAGACCCGTAGCCAGGATTTGCCAAGAGGTGGGTTACTTTTTAAAAAATTCCAGGGGGAGTTCACTTTTGGCAATGTTAGTTCAAAAATGGCCAAAATAATTTAAAAAGTGCTCAGAATGGTGTAAAATAATGCATTTTTGGTGACGGAGGAGGTCGCTAGAACCAATCTACTCCCCCCCCTGTATACGGGCCTGCATGTGCTATCTACATATTTGACTATTTGATCAGTCCCGTAGCCAGTATTTGCCAAGGGGATCACTTAAAACGTGCTCAGAATGGTGAAACCTGCATGATTTTGAAAGACTTTTTGGCCGGGGGGGGGGGGGGGTCGAACCCGTCGACCCCCTGGCTACGGGCCTGTTGATTGACACGGTTGAAAGTGGAGTTTGTTAATTATTCAAACTGTTCTAAAAGAGGAATATGCGTCCAATTAAAATCATATCGTGATCCTGTAAAAATGTCAGATTTAGCAAAATAAATAGGCGATCTCCATCTGCACACGTCTACACTTACGCGCACACACATACTTTAAGATTAAATTTATTTTGATAATGATTTAAAAAACATCAATTATTATCAACATGAAATTAAAACGATTGTCAGTATATTCCAAAAGTATAATTAAGCGCGACTATTGCGCATAACAACAGGTAGCCGGTATAATTATACTGTTTGTTTTGATAAGGCAGTGCAAAGAGATATCAAAACTCTTGACACGCTCTGTACACGCGAGGTCTTTGCACCTCTTGACACGTCTTGGAATCTCTAGATACGCGGAGTTTCTAGACTATCTTTGCACGTCTAGAAATTGCTTGGAACTTCACATTTGACGCAGTGAAAACTGGACATGAATATTCTTAAATATTTTCACGATTGAACAATGTGAACCAGATGACCAAGATTGGTATGGGATAAACATATTATCCTATAGTCGGTTCAGGATATTGGGATTATCCCTTGGCCAATATAATATATTTCCCCTCGTGACCTGCGGCCCTCGGGCAAATATATTATATTGGCCTCGGGATAATCCCAATATCCTGAACCTCATATAGGATAATCTCTATGTATTTCATACCTACTGAGGTTCTAGGTACATAACGAGCGGGAATATATACTGTATCTCGCCAAGGCCCGGGGCGGGATGGATACACGCTGTATCCATCCCGGTCCCGCTCCTGAAATTTTTTTTCACAATTTTTTCAAAAAATTTTTTTTCAAATTTTTTCAACTTTTTTTTGCAAAAAATTTTTTTCCCATTTTTTCCCAAAAAAGAATTCCCATTCTTTTTCAAGAATTTTTTTTCAAATTTATTTTTCAAATTTTATTTTTCAAAATATGAGTTAAATGAGTTTGAAAATCTCAGAAACTTAAAAAAACACTTTATAACACCAAGAAAATGCGTATCTTAAGTATATTTTTGAATTTTGGAACTTTATAAGGTATATGACGTACCTAGAACATCAGTAGGTATGAAATACATCTGTTATGTACGGTCGGTTTTGGATACAGGGTTTATCCCTCGGGAAATATGTGTATATCCCGAGGGACCGCAGGGACCTCGGGATATACACATATTTCCTTTGAGATAAAACCTGTATCCAAAACCTCCCAGTACATAACCCTTATGTTTTGCCTTTTAATCACATAATAAAAAGTTCCCCTCAAAATGTAGGTGAGTTGGGCAAACGGAATTGTTGAAGTTGGGAAAGGCCATGTGTATGCAGAGGACAGGTTTATGGTTTGGGAAGATCCAACTCCACATGATGTAAATGCAGTTAACTTTGTGACTGGTTGGGGAGCAACTGGTACATGGGAGCTTGTTGGCGTGGATTTACCTTCTAAATTAACTGCAAGTGAATGTGACAATAAAGGTAGGCACATGCGTTAAGATTTTTATCCAAGCATCACTTTAATGAACTGGAACACTATTTTCTAACGTCACTAACTTAGATTCACACGTTAAAGTGGCAACAATGTCTGTAGAGAGAAAATTCGATTTCTTTTTTCTTTTTTTCAGACCTATCAGGTCAATATTTGGCTGAACACCTTCTTTGACATACCCATTTTCTTAAAATGTATGTATAAACTATCAATTTCAACATTAAGAAGTGTAAATTCAGTTCAAAGCTTCTATAAAAGGAGTCCCACTTAAAGATTTTTAAACTTAAACTTTCAAACTTAAATATAATATTTTGACACTGGTCCATGATCGTTGAATGGCTCCATTGCACTAATTGTTGCACATTTAACGTCATATTGTAACGGATCTTTATATAAGTCCTAAAATTCATACTTGAGAGATGAAAACTATAAATTACATTACGTGCTTACAGACAAGAACGACACCGGGGGAAATAATTAATAAACACAGTATCCATGATTGTTCTAGGAATCTAAACATCTAGGAAATGATTAAAAATACATTTTGAACAAGAAACATCAATGACTTATTGCTTTAGACAAAACTCGAGCAAGGGAAGAAAAAGTTTTTAAATTCTCCCAAATAATGACAATGATGACCATAAAAATAGAGAAAGAATACATGTATTGTGAAAAGTTTAGTTTTCTGGAATGAAGTATGCACTTCGAGCATTTTTTGAAAATAGACATCTAGATGATAATTGAAGGAACAATGAGCCAAAAATATTTTGAAATTGAAACAATTTCTTGTTGAGCTTACTCGCCAGATCTGATTCTCCTTTTACCATCAAACGAAAATTGCGTTTGGAATCAATACATTATTAAGAAAAGCTATAGCAGCCAAAATAACAAATGGAGAGGTGTAATAATTAATGTGGAAAAATTGTTGAAACAATGGAATGAACCTAAATATAATACTTTGTTCATTTTTATTTCAGTGCAAACTACCGAAGAGTCGACGCTTTCAAATTATGTGACTACAAGCTCTAGCAAACTAACTATACCAGATGAAGTGACCACTGCGTCGACCAATCCACCTATAACGCAATATGATGTAACAACAGCGTCTACCAATCAGCCAACTAAACCATATGATGTGAGCACAGCCTCAACCAACCGACGCACTGCACAATATAATATGACCACAGCATCTACAAACCGACGTACCTCACCATTTGATGCGACTACAGCGTCCACCAACGGACGGAATACACAATATAATATGACCACAGCATCTACAAACCGACGTACTACACAATATAGTATGACCACAGCATCTACAAACCGACGTACTACACAATATAGTATGACCACAGCATCTACAAACCGACGTACCACACCATTTGATGTGACTACAGCGTCCACCAACCGACGTACTACACCATTTGATGTGATCAGGGCGTCCACCAGCTTGCCAACTTCACCAAATGATGTGACAACAGTGTCCAACAAAATACAGACTACACTAAACAATATGGCTGAAAGAGCAAACAACCCACCAATTACACGACACAGTATTAATTCAAGAAATCCTATATTCCTTAAGGAACTTGTGGATGATGAATTAGAAGCAGAAATATATGAGCCGATAAAGAGAAAGGAACAAGAACCAGAAGAAGCGGAGTATGCTGCACTAATTGGCATTCCCCCTTTTGTTATCTTGGTTATCGTTATCGGATTTATAGTTGTGTCAGATTCGAGAATATTATGGAAAGACTTGAGAAAGGGCTTTAGAAATGTTCGTAGCACTGTATATTTTTTCATTGGCCGGAACCATTGAAAATACTAATACGGTGTTAAATGGTTGAGATGAACAAAGCCTCGATAACATTCGCAATCATACGTGTCCTTTTTAATCGACTGTTAAAGCCCGTTTATGCTCCCGAGTTTCCTTTTTGACCGGTTAAAGATTGGCTATGTTTGCCAAGTCTGATCCTCCTGATCGACAGTTGAAAATTGCTAATGTTTGCCTTTCCATCTCTTGATCGACGGTAAGAGCTTGTTTCCTTCTTAATTGGAGGGCTAAACTTGATAAAGTATGCCAAGTTTCCTTCTCTTGATCGACTGTAAGAGCTTGTTGATGTGTGCCAAGTTTCGCTCTCAATCGGCGGGTTAAACTTGATAATGAATGCCAAGTCTCTTCTTGATTGACGATTAAAGTTTGAAAAAGGTCGTATGAATTTTTATCACTTTTTCCGACACTACGACTTGCACTACGACTAATTATCAATTAAAGATAGTAATAACCACCAAATCTTCATGAATTCTCAAGGGCTTTTTAAAAGTTTAAACCCATTAGTAACATTTGTGTCCTTTATGTTTCCTCTCCCTCTAACAATATCGATATTAGTTATTTATGAACGTTTTTATTTAGTCATAATCATTGAGTTGGTGTACAATTCATCAAGTATTTTTCAGGCTCAGTTGATTATCAATACTCTGAGCGTTATTTTGAAACGAACTTCAGAACGAATTCGGAGGTCCTTGCTATTTATACACGTTTTATGCATTTTATAGTAAGGAATCAATGTCCCGATATGGAAATTCGGTCCAATATCGGGAATTTAACGAGTTTTAGCCTAGGCGCATTCGTCTGTCTGTCTGTCTGTCTGTCTGTCTGTCTGTCTGTCTGTCTTTCCGTCCATCCGTCCGACAGTTTTCTCGTAAACCACTACATTTATCACCTTAAAGTATTCAGTGATAACTTTTCGACTTAATAATCACTTCATGTGGACCATTTAAAAGTCAAATTGTATAAAAACCCTTGTCTGCAAACTTTAAGAAAAACTGGCTCGGGTTATTTTTAAAACTTTAGCGTCTTCTTCAACTCACTTTAAAATTTGTTGTATGCAAAATTCAAACTGATTAGTTTCTAGGCATTCCGGGGACATTTTAGGCAGCCATTTCGGATTTTCTGTCCTTAATTCGTGTCTATAAAGTTTTGTCTACGCGGGTTCAGGCTTATCGCTTGTCGGATCAATTTCAATTCTTCAGGGATGGTTCTTAGTTTGCAAATCTCGAACTGATTAGCTTTTTGGCATTCTTTGTAAATGGATTTCATATCCTGAGATCTTGGCGGACCATTTCAATTTCTAATTTTCGCGGTAGTGATTCTTTGTGTGAAAATCTCGGAACTATTCGTTTTTGTGCATTTCGGATTTTCATTTTATAAAATCGTATCTGTAAATGATTGTCTACGCATTTAAACTTCGCATTTACGATAAAAAAATCTCAAACAACAAATTTCATGACAAATGGTATTTAAATGGTTAAACAATTTTTTAAACTTTAATTATATAAATATAAGTGCTTAAAAGTCATTAGTATTATTAAGATAAACGTCATGTCTCAGTGTTTTGAATTAGTACTCAGTCACATATGTCAAGCTGTCATCTTTAATTATAAAAGTTACGATAATGGTGTTTTTAGCTCGATGTCTTGTTCTCAGGTGTGATAAATATCAATCTTAATTTGTTTTGTAATGTCTCATCTAAATGTAATGAGTTGTCTCCGTGTGACACGCAAGATGTCAATCAGCTTATTTATTGACATCTGCTTAAACAACATTTGTAAGATTTTCATAAAACGTCTTCGGTTCCTTGCTATATACACGATATATAACAAAATTTTCAAAAGGGTGTTAGAGTTCTTTTTCATTATTTGAGTCGGAACTTCCGAAATAGTTTTTCTAATAAATGCATTTTTTATTTTCGAAACTTATGCACCTTAACTTGCATATGTGTTCCCTCGTGACATCACATATGCTACGTCTAAGATACATTTTAGTTTTAGGAAATGTTACCCTTACTTACAGTTTTGAAACATACTATATAATGCTTAATAGGCAGATTAACCCTTAATTCACGCAAGTGCTTGGAATTGACGCGAAAATACAAATGGATTGTATTTTGCGATCTATCTTGGAAAATTAGGTGATTTAATTCAAGAATAAACGTTTACAGTAAAAAGGCGGGAAATTTGAAATTTTGAAAATGCAAAATATCTTATTTCAAAATATTCTCAGAAAATACCTTTAACAACTTTTATGAGATATGATTCGGAATGTATTAATAATTTTTTTTTAATTTCAGTAATGACAGATTTCTCAATATGGTATTTATTCATACTTGAGTATTAGTAAGCTAAACAAAGTGTTTTAAGGCACATTCGATGAATACATGTACGAGTGGTCCGTGTTCACTTTACACCTGTTATCAATACATACCTGCTATCAACCTTTTGCCAAGTAAAATCAGGGTATTCGTAAAACAAAATTTTGTCAAGTAAAACACGGCTACGTTTTCGAACTGCATAAATACAAACATTTTGCCGTCTCAAAAAGGCTGGTTATTATAACATCTATCAACAAACTTGCCATTACTTATTGATATTTACTATACATATAAGTTTTGCTTCTTACGAAATATTACAGAAATTCAGAAAAATAAACCGGAAAAATAGGGGTTTGCAAAAACGCGAAAGAAAAATATGTTCTTAACAGGAAAACAAGAGTTTAAGACAAAATTGGGCATGTTTTCTCAGACAGCGCAGAAACAAAATGAACATCGGGAATAGTTGACCAATGAGATGACTAAAAACAATAGGAGATTTCATAACTAGAAGTCATCAGTTAACAGGTATGATAATATGTAGAACGTCACAGATATAAATATGGTTCCTTATTGTAATTATTCCACAATTCCTTGGGAGTCGGGAGTGCATAATGATATATCTCGCTGTTGTAGTAATATGCTTTGCTGGACTTGGTACTGCCGAAACAATTTTTCCAGATGCAATAGATATAAACATCTCAACGACTGAGTCTGTTATTGATGAAGCATCAAACGTTACATCGGGATCAAAGGAGTCAACGCACAAAGAAAGAGAAAATATCAATTTGTATCCGAAAAAGAACGCAACGACTGATACGCTTAAGGAAAGAGTCGTAAACACAAATCCAGCTTTGCATATAAATGAACCTGATACTAGCGTCCGAAATGAAACCACTACACCTGCGTCCATCGTAGATTCCATAACACAGGGAAGAGATGTGAGTAATACCACCGTTGGTGACTTTTCCAAGAAATCTAAAAAGAGGAACAATGTGTCGACCGGAGACACCGTTCTCGAGTCAAATGGTTGTGAAATATGGAAATACGGAGGCTTTCCACTGGTTGGTCTAGGAATTATATTCAACGGTCTCTCAATCTTAGTGTTCAGTAGAAAAAGCATAAGAAAATCAACAACAACAGTCATGCTTACAACTCTCGCATTTGTCGACTCATTCAACTTGCTAAATGTCGCACTCGCTTTTAGCTTGAATTGTGCTTTTGGCATTTCTTCAATGTTAACCGAACAGAACTACTGGACCTGTAAAATTGGAATCGTCGTTCTGTACGTAATGACCGACCTGTCTCCGTGGCTTGTCGCATTACTTGCGATAGAGAGATGTATCGCGGTCACGATTCCGCATAGGGTTTCCCTTATCATGAGTCCAGCGAAAGTGAAATTGGCCGTCGGGGTGACGGTGTTGATCCTGATTGCAGCAAATATTCAGCTGGGATTCATCCACGTGTTCGACGCAAGTTCTCCTGACCAATTTTATTGCACTCCATCCCAGGAATACATGATATACTATAAAGAGGTAGGTTATAATAATGTTTTCATAAATATTGAGCCTGGCACATGAAACTCCGAATATTATTTTGCAACTATCAGAAAGCATTATCGAAGCACTTGATTCATCATTTTTTATAATGTTGTCTGAGTTATAGGCAAATTTTCAATATAAATCGCATGATCGTGGTCATGCTAAGCAGTTGTGTTATAAAATCAAAATAGCACACATTAAATGTCGTTGATATTAACACACATGGCGCAGGCTTTGATAGAATCTTTTAATTTGAATTTACGTATTATATTTGCCTTTTTATATTTTTTCAACGCATGGACGCATGTGCAGTAGTTTTACCTTTTGAACACTTTTAACACATTCCTGACATGATCTATTAGGTAAATTCCACCTTTAACCTGAAAGTACGAATGGATTGGACGAAGTTGGAACTTTTTTACAATATTTTGACTAATTTCATAGTCTCGATGATATTGATTTGATTTTATAATTGATAAGAGTAACTTGTTCCATGATTTTTGATCAGAACTTTGTCGGTAGATATGTAATTATGGGCACTCTATAATTGCCGCCCTAAAATTGACTCAGCAAGCCGAAAACGATCTTACTATATAATCCGGATTTCCATACTTATTTGAACATTTGAATATTGATCTCTTAATGATTTGTCTTGATATTGAAGCAAGCAAACGGAGAATGTATAACAAAAAAAAGATGAAAACTTCAAAATAGCCGTCTATAGCATTCTTGACACCCTCCAAAACAAATCAGTTTTAGATTTTCACGCCGAGATACGATCAAAAGAATACGCTGAGCAATCTATAAATTAAAGCAAGTTACTCTTTAATCATTGATGGGGAATGAAAGGACTGTTGTATAATGATATTTTTGTTTTAATACAGGTATTTGTCTGGATGGACCTGGCGCTTCTCTCCGTCATCCCGCTCTCGATTGTCATCGTGTGCAATATCATCATCCTGATAAATGTAATTCGTCACCATCGTTCCAGGAAGGGTATGGTCGCGATGTACAGAACAAAGAACAGCGTCAACTCGCTCACGTTAATGCTGGTCGGCGTCAGTTTCGTTCTGTGTATCTGCACCCTCCCTCACGTCATATTTTACATATTTGCAAGGCCTTTGATATATAACGCGGAGACGGATGACGACACTTTGGCCTTCATTTACAAATCTGAGTTTTACGTGACTTACGTGCTCTATATGAACTATGCAGTCAACTTCTGGTTTTATGTGTTCGCCGGAAAGCACTTTCGCCGTGAGGTTCTGAAAATGGTGCGTTGTTTTAATGCATCGTCGACGGAGATTAAAACGTCATCTACACAACTAGCAACTGTGTCGAATGCAATCTCTGAAACAGCTTTGCCTAATGTCAATACCAAATGTGAATGTTGAAATAAAAAGAGAACCAAATACTTTGAAGTGAATCCCCATTAACTACTTGGATACTAGAGCGTTTTTCATTTTTTGCCATTTTGTTACATTAATTAATAAAAACAGAATTAAATTCTGCGCTAATGGCTAATGTCAAAAAATCAGTCCACCATAGTGGGGATCGAACCCATGATAATATACAAAACTGGTATATCAAATTGATTCTCTAAGTTAGTAGAGCTAGATCTATTACACATATTATAAACCAAATGTGTACACATTGGACAAATATTTCAATTTTAAAAAGATCTTTGTCTAGCTTTCCTGTCGCTCCAAGTATTCATTGAGGTTAAAGATAAACTACTAGATTCCTGTTGTTACAATGTTATTGTGTAATGTTATTGTATCATGTTATAATGTTGCTAGCATCTATGACGATTGCTATTGATCAATGATAGTACCTTTAGCGATATGATTGGCACACGTGACGTGCTATAACGGTTTCCTTAGTCCAAATTTTGTTACTAGGGAGAGTACCGATGCGCTGCGTTCCCTACTTCGTAACTCGGGTTGAACAAAATGTATATTGGTTTTATGACGTGCCAGACACTCTCGTGAAGTTACCTTGGGTGTGGTTGTATAAAATAACTATGACTTGAATTTATGAAACGCGACTGTGACTACAATTCTTGGAGGTATGACTACAATTCAAAAAATATGAATACAATTTATGAAATTATGACTACAGCTTATGAATATATGACTACATTTCGTGAAAGTATGAATACCTGTCATTAAATCATGACTACAGTACATTAACCTATGACAGCGTTTGAAAGTATGACTACCCTTCATGAATGTATCACGGCGTTTCATTAATTTATGACTACCGTTCATGAAATCTTGGAAGTATTCCTACAAATTATGACTGTGTTTTATGAGAATATAGCTTCCTAGTCAACTCGTACCCAAGACAACTCGTACCCAAGACAACTTGTACCCAAGACAACTCGTACCCAAGTCAACTGGTACCCAAGACAACTTGTACCCACGTTTATTTTCTGTATTATGAGTGCATATAAGAAAACAAATTGAGTCTGTGTCAAAATGTTTAATGTTATAATGTGCCTCAATATTTTTTCTGAATTTAGAAGACATTTTTTCTCAATGGATTAAGCGAAGCATTTTTTTTAATTTGGATTACCTTTGAAGTGCTTTGAAGGGCTTGTTCTCAACTTTTTTTGTAATACATATAGTAAATTTTCAACAAATGAATCAAACAATTAAAATAATTAAGCTTAGTGCATTCAGAGAAAATTAATAAGGGAACTTTAATCTGTTAATTTCTTTTCCATTTTGAACTTAATTGGATTATATTTGAACACATGCATGCAAAGTGTATTATATCATGTATGAATAAGTGTCAAAATAATATTTGATATTCATATTATTTAGAATATTTTTTATTGCTTAATTTTATGAAGGTGACTTCTTAGAATTATCATTCTTTAATCTGATAATATGAAATACTAAATAGATTATCTGTTTAATAAGAAATAGGCGCAAGTTTTGAAAATCTTTATATTTTTGATAATACCATATTTCAAGATGAATTAGATCTGATACTTGTTCCAAACACTCATTAACATACAAAAATACCACTAATATTGTGAACAATGATTATGAATATGTGGAATAAACATAAATCTCTTCCCTCAAACATCTGAATCTGTGACCAATATATTTGGTCACAAATTTCAATCGATTTCTTCCAAAAACTTTTCTACATACTTCAAACTATTCTGAACTGTATGTAACCATTATAATATGTATATCTATACCCATTCCCAGCCCAACACTTGATTCAAAACAAAACATATACTTGGGTACAAGTTGTCTTGGGTACGAGTTGTCTTGGGTACGAGTTGTCTTGGGTACGACTTGACTTGGGTACGAGTTGTCTTGGGTACGAGTTGACCAGTGACCAGAATATAACTATCGTTCTTGAAAGTATGACTCCAATATATGAATGAAATTATACATTATCATTACTTCCTTTTCATGACGCATGACTACAAGTCATACAACTGTCACTTCAAGTTATGCCTAAAAGAATAAAGATATTATATTTTTCACTTTTTGTATCTGTCATTGAGGTTGAATAAACTGTTCCAAATTCACATCTAAAGTTGGTGTTGATACCTGGTAAATATACATCAATGGGTCTTGCTATATGTCTTCATGTATTATGGCACTACCAATACCAATGCTGCCATCTATTTTTCCATTTATATAGAAATAGTATATTGGAAATGTTGATCATTTACAATTGAGCGTTCCATTGATTTCAATGGTTTTTCTTTGAAAGAGCACAACTTTAATTATATACTAGAAGCTTTTACCTCGTTTTTGATTTCCATTTTGAAAGTAGTAATAGACTATTATTTTAGGGGATATAACATTTTTGGCACCAACGATTGTTTTAAAAAATGAACAATTTATCTTAAAATATCAAATAGTTACAACCCTAAGTAACGTTGACCTTGATTTGACCTTTTTTACCAATTCTTCTGAAGAAACAATACTTTACTGAAGGGATAATTAAATAAGATTTACAAAGATACTTACATTATTAAAATCAGACGTGATAAAATTCGTTGGGGGTCCCAATGCCCCCCCCCCCATCCCTCTTGCGACTAAGTGATGTGGAAATACGTTACAGACTAATTAAGGTTAATATTACGAAACAAACACCTGTCAATGTTAAATGGTTTGTTCAAGGTTTATTATTAAGATAACCTGATATTTATAGTTGAAGGGTAATTCAAAGTTACAAAAACTACTCATAATATGTGTTTATCATCATTATTACAAGCATATAGCGATATAACAGTCTATTATCAGATGTATTCCTTTTTACCCGAAATGGGTCTAAAATAATCGTGTTATGGCAACGGGTAGGGAGCAAAACATATTGGCCATCTAAGCAAATACGTACACTCCTCTTCACTGGTGATCCACTCGATTACGCTGGTTACTAAAACGGTTCGTTTTGGTAACAAAATGTCAGAATGAATTACCAGCGTAATCGAGTGGATCACCAGTGCTCTTGAAAAGAATGACAACAATAACTCTCCAAGTATACAACGTACAAAAGCTTGCTTAATAACGTTATGCGATTTAAAAAATAATTGTATCTTTTAATTACCGAGCTATTAATGCAACTTAGAAAATAGTCAAACAGAAACAGGGTTTAAAATAAGAATTCAGTGATGTCAATCGTTTGTCAATATTTTTCTTTTAAATGAATATAGTAAAAAAAATCATACTAAAATGTATTTATTTTTTAGGAAGAGGGGGAGTGCAGACAACAACGCTCTGCGAATAATCCCTTCTGAATCGACCATACAGAGTATCACAAAACAATAGCTTCTAAATCAAAATCAAGTTTGCTGAAACTTGGAGTTTTTCTGATGTGCGAACGTAAATATCATATTCCCGCTCGCACATTAGAAAAAATATGTTTACTTATTAATAAGCTGACATCTATAATTACTTTGTTTAGAAAATAACACTTATTGCATTTGCATTTTCTTAACTACAAGATTATGTTGGTCCTAGTGTTCCCTGCTTTGTCTTTATTCAATATTTCATATGTGACGTCAACTGCTATACACCAATCTGATTTATCAGAGCCATTCTTTATCTAATGCTCGTGAATGATCCCATGAAAAACAAAACAAAGTATTCTTCCAAACAAAATAAATCAATGAAATACTCATATATTATTTCACTTAGTTTGTCCCTATACTGGTCCTGTTTGATAATTATGCCAATATAGATGATTGTATAATTCAATGGAGAAGACGAGTATAACTGAACAGGTTCAAAATTCAAAGGAACATACTAAGTGACTTGTCAGGGGGGGGGGGCTATCTTGCATCCCCTGAATCTCCCCCGGGGCTAGGGTCTTGAACCAGGTCTGATGATCTATATTAAATGTGCCATCAATAATTACTAAGTTAAACTCTGTTTTCTTGTTGTTGCAACATATCCACAATTTTCTCGCTCTTCATCACTCTGACGCCGTCCTGCGGTAAATGTTTAAAACTACCAGTCCGCGCCATCATAAATTCCTCAAAAGGAGTGTGTTCAAAGATGGCGCCAAGGTCGATCAATATATCTACTTCCGGTATTTGATATTCACTTTTCTTTTCATCTGCATTTTTGTCTAGTATCATATCATTCCTTGATTTAGTGAGTTCATCTTCTTCTAGTTCGACAACACTCGGTGTACTTCCATGAATAACTTTACCGACAGATGACTTAAACTTATGCAATGCAGGGTTCACAGGCTGAAGTTTTATGACGTTATCGAGATGTTTGTTTCTTATAAATGCTTTAGCAATGTCTGGTAGACTAGCCGTATTTTGAGAGCCTGAGTTTAATATTTCGCGCGATCCAAACTCTGAGCCCGGGGCTGATGTGTATTTCCCGTATTCATTTTCGCCGATTTCTGTCATCATACTTGGTGCAGGACTTGGCTTTTTCTCTTCTTCAACCCGCTCAAATCGGAAGTCAGCCATCGGCCATGTTTGTTTGAAATTCAAAATGACTTCATCAACTTTATTTCTAAAACTTATTGAGTCCATACCAGAAGCACCATGACTAGCAAATTTACTTTTCTGTCGCAGTAAAAACGGTACGAGACCCCCGGCGAGAGTCGCCAGAGTCTGATTGGTTCCCGACACTTGGTAGACGTCTCCGAATGCCATGACAACCACGAACACAAACAATAAAAACACAATGATGGTGAAAAACTTCCCAGTTGCTGCTAGTAATGCGAGGTGAACAGGCCCAGGTGCGCCGTGAATTTGAATGTCGCAAATCTCCTCGAACAACTTACGAGGTATACGAGGCATATCGTCTTGGTCCACAAACAAGATCAAATCATTGATATTCCACGCTAACCCGTTCTGTTTACTTTTGTTAAGGCTTTGTGATTCCTCATCAGTGTATATATTGTCCATTTCCTCATGTTCTAATTGTTCATCGTTTTCCTTAGATTTGAGACCAAAATTGTCCTGTAGCTCGGAGGGCAGCGCGATCACTTCGCTCAAATTCGGTATACGGTCCTTTACCTCTGGGAAAAGTTCGGTGTTAAGTTTAAGATATTTGTTGTAGACGCTATTATAACAGTCATAAGAGTAGAACACTAAAAGTAGAACAATCGTGAGATACTTCAAAGCAGCACTTGCGTTTACAATTGTTCCCATCATGACGTAAACAATTACTTCAACCCAGAAGCCGGCGCATTCCGCGATCATCAACATCAGGCAATACACAGCAAATGCGCACGCAAATCCCCCCATTAGCCGCATACATTTTCGTGAAGTAGTTAACTCTTCATGGGGATCAGGTAAAGTATCCAAGATGGCCGCATCCTCTGATTCTAGGTTTTCAAGTCTGAGAGACGTTTTTACCGTATTCCATATCAGATGTGCTCTGCGTTTTAGCGCTTTCATATTGTCTTTTGTCTCGACGTTAAAAGACATTACATTTATGTCTTCTTCGCTTTCACCTATCACATTATCTTCCACAGGGCATCGTGTAAATGCATTTTTGTGCGCATGCGCAATAATTCGCCATGTTAAGTACACAAGAGGTATGCAATAAATAATGAAAACGAAGAGAATAAATGGAATCGCCAAAATCAAATAGAATGGTGTCAACAGTACTCCAAACATTCCATATCGTTTATACGGCCAAATCAAGACTCGGACGAAAAACGTTAACGCCCTTAAATATGATATCTGCGCCATGTCTTTAAAAGATGACTTGGTGATTCTTGTCATGGTCCCGTTTTTGGAATGACTGAAGAAGACGTTATAGCCGACAATTAAGATGTACCCAATGTATATGATAACAAAGAAACCGTGACCAGGACCAAGATACTGAAGCAGGTTAAATCGATAAGGCATCAACAGTCCAAGGCGCGAATACGCTTCCCTTCTCGCGTTTAATTCGTCATCTTCATAGTTGTTATAAAAGTACAAACGGATATAAAAAGGGATTGGAATGGCGAGTGATATGAGAACTTGGCCAAACTTCTTGAAGAAAGAAAGCCAAGGGGCGTCTAGGTGAGACTCATTGCAACGGCCCCAGATACTCGTATCACAGCAGTCGTTAAATGGTTCTTGTTCCCTTATCTTACACAGGCATAAAGCACGGTAGATGGAATGCTTCAAACCAACTGGAACACTGTTTTCAGGAATGAGTTGTTTCATATCCACCTTGATATCAAATTGATCGATTTTTACTTTAATAGGAGTGTTTTTCGGCAGCATATCCACGCATTCCCGAAAGTGTTTAAAACCTTCCATTTCTGGGTTATCGAGTAGGAATTTATGAGGAACGATAGGCTTACGTTCGTGGAATCTACCCGAGCGGCCGTCTTTAGGCGGGAACACTCGGTATGATATCTTATCATTTGTGATGAATATCGTTTTTTCAAGTGGTTTCTTCAATTTTACAACATATTCAGGCGGTTGCACTACGAGCAGTCCTTTAAAAGCTGCGGGGAGTTTACTCGGTCCAAACAGCAATATGCTTACTTTTAGTAACGTGATTAAACAATAAATCGTCCACACCCAGAAGTCTCCGTAAGGATCGTGCTCTTCGCATTCCAACTGACCCCCATAGTTCTCTCTGCAGCACGAATGTGTGATGAACCCATAGGCCCCAGAGTTCCTGATTTGACGGTTACACACCGACTCCCTTTCTAAGAGTGTTGATTCCGTCGTGTTTACAAGAAAATCTTTCAGCATTAAATTCCTCAATAACCAGATCTTTTGAGGCTCTGTCAACCCTCGCATGCAACCTTTTGGTACATCTCGCAGTTCAATATCCAAACTCTCAACGCCGACTGCGAGAAGACCAAGGGAGAGAATCTTATAGTTGAAGGCCAAAGAGAGCAGCGTCTTTCCTTTCTTGCCGGCAATTCTGTACCAGATATTGGGTTTATAACTGTGACTTAGGTTCATAGCAAGAGGGTCATCGTCTGCAGTATAGTTTGATAGTTTGATGTTGTATTTGATTACGACGGAAGGTATACCACCAAAGAGGCTCGTCATTTCGTGAACAGTCTCCGCTATCCCGGGGGTAACAGGATACAACTGAAAACACATACTATACGTTAATAATGAAATATACTTTTGATTCCTATTGTCTCCAATATATTGTCAGTGTGAATACAATTTGGATCATGACCGGTATTAATTTCATTTTAGACTGATTTCAATTCTCAATATGATCTGTTCTAAAATTAAACACTATTCAAGCAGTATTGGCTCCCAACTCGATGTTTCCAACAATGAAAATGTCAGAATGTCGTTATTTTCTGACATTATACCTGACCAAGAATTCATAATTAGCATTCCAAAAGATCCGAACTAATATCTCGATCACTTCTTGCGTATTTTGGAATTTTCTATAGAAATAAGCGGATGTTTGAATTTTGCAATCACTACATCTCCTTATATGGCCAAATATCGAGTTAGAACCCTGGGAGCCGATTTTATTTGAACACTTTTATTGAATTTTTTATTTAGCATTTACCTGACATGACCATTGAGATATGAGGGTCTTGTTGATTGGTTGAACCAGGGAGTCTGGGTCAGAAGAATTGAGAACCACGGGAGTTGTCCCCCTGTGTGCATTGTAGACGGGATCAATGTATCGTCCTGATACCCCTTGGAAGAGTCCAATATATATTTGGAAGCAGACGATCCATCCGTAACAGCCCATGTTTAGACTGCCTCGTTTTGGTATGTATACGTCACAATGGGTTCCTTATATTGCTGATAGTCACTTTCTTATTAACGACGATTCAACAAATCTCTGAACTTAATATTATCTATTCGAATCCGTGGACTAGTGTCGCCTTTAACTATTTATGATGGAATATTGTTCTTATACATATGTTTATTTAAATCCTGTCCATGTACTGCATTAAATCACCGAACGTGATTCTTAATCTAAGAGGAGCATCAAACAAAAATTCCTCAAACCATGGGTTGTGTTCCTGGTATGTTTAAGGAAGAATTTTTATATACACTCCGTGGCTATTATTTCTCTCGTCGCTATATTTGTGGGTTATTTTGTCTGAACAATGAAATATCGATGCGATGGTTATTAATATTTCAGTTATTCAAAAATCCATATTTCATATTTGTACGTGAAATGTATGAGCTGTGTCTGGGATCATCTAGTATTAGTATACTGTTACGTTGCACTTAGGCTTCACCTGAAAAACATAAGGTAAATAGTATATGTATACAACGACACATGTATTTTATAGGCGACGTTTTAAGGGGTTTGACCTAAGAACTCCATCATAAATTAAAGTATATTTTTAGATAAAGTTAAATTAAAATGAATCGACCCACAAGGCAGTTATATATTGATTGGTGGCAGTATTTGTCTGGACGGATTGACATTTTACTATTTACAGGTGCAAGATCATATTTGGTACCAGCTTGTTCAAACGGGAAATGTGACGATCCGCAATTTATTTACCCGAATGTCTATAGCTATTTTGATAATTTTACACCATTGGGCTTTCAAGGATGTATTCATGATCTCCAAAATACTCGGAGATCTGTGTAAACTGTGTACATTTTTTCGGTAACCATTTTTCAAACGTCAAACCATTACTCTGCTCGACCTATACAGAGGCATATAAATGTTTTATATGTCTCTGACATATGCTATCACATGGAGACACCTATTGCGAGTTGCAACTACCTTAACCAGAATAAGTGTTGTATACATTTAGATAGATTTATTGAATGAATGACACTTGACACACGCCTACACACTTTAAAAGGGTTGCCGTGTATCTGTCCATATTTAGATTTTTAATCCACCCACTCGGCTATTCTGATCAAAGAGCTTGTAGGCGAGAAGTGGTCATTTGTTGTGTAAATATTGTACTTTCAATACACAAAGTTAACATTATAAGCATCTCTTGAACTTAATACACGAAATAAAGGATGTTCAAATTCAAATTTAAAGTTATGCTTTTTAATTAATGAATTAAAATAATTATATTACTGTCACTTGATTTTTGTATTCCATGTTGTAAGTACAAGTCGTGTAATAAACAGTACCTATGCAAATATTTCGTCTAAAAATCTAAAATCTAGGGATCATCCCCAAAATTTTAGTATTTAGCGTACAGTTGTATGCAATCTTCAATTAAAATTGAAATTTTGATATATGATTTTTGAGAAAGCAAAGTACGTGTCAGCGTAGGTGTGAGAAATGGCCACTTGTATTACAACATTTTATCTAAGAGTGCATATATTTTGAATTCTAAATATTCTTTGATTTAAATAAATAAAGATGTCAAAAAATAATTTATGATAATAAAACGCTGATATGATACAAATCATTAAATGTACTATTAAACTCTTAGAATAACGCGTTCTCGAACATCAGAAAATAACTAGAGGTGAGGTTGGCATCCATTGCCAAGTCTTATCCGTTGTTTGTGGATATTTCATTTCGACAAATACATGTATGATATAAAATATAAAATTAATACGGAGAGTTAGTATTCGTCAAAAGACTTCACCCGTCATATGGGCGTCCTGTGGTAATAATGTATCTGTGCGTTTCAACGTCATTGTTATGAATTTTCGATACATGGATATGAAACAAATTTTACTGTTCTCCACTAATTATTACTAGGGAGTTTAATGCTGCACAAAAATCGAAACGTCAACCTATACGTATGACCAATCGCCCATACAAATGCATCGCGTAAATGTTTTACGTTCACGTTTAGTTTGTGAAAAACATTGCAACCTTAAACTCCCTACTCCCTATTGTCTAATCCTTTTGATTTTGATTATTATTTTTAATGAACATATAGATCAATTGTTTTAATCAATAAAAACACTGGTGATCCGCTCGATTACGCTGGATACCGAAACGGTTCGTTTCGGTTTTTTCTCACAAACGTGTATCAGTAGCATATGTTTTAGAAAATGTACACATTTGCGAACAAATAGTTCAGAAGACAACAGAATCGTCGATTCAATTCCTCACTTAAGTTACAGAAACGCTTTGGGTTAAAAGTGCAGATCTTAACTGTTTTTCGAAATACCGTTTCTGTAACTTAAGTGAGGAATTAAATCGACGATTCTGTTGTCTTCTGAACTATTTGTTCGCAAATGTGTACACATTTTCTTAAACATATGTTATTGATACACGTTTGTGTTAAAAATGTCGTGAGAATTCTGCCTACAAGATGTGAAATAAGAAAGAAAAATCGTAGCTTCGATCTTCCGACATTTTGTTACCGAAACGAACCGTTTCGGTAACCAGCGTAATCGAGTGGAGCACTAGTGCAAATGGCACGCTAAATTGTACCTGATTGTGAAGCTTTAGTGACCTACATCATCTATAAAGTCCACCCTGCGAGCAGAGTCTAGTTACAAACTACCTGAAGACGAAGCTCTCTTTTAAGAAGTGAAGTCGAACGAATGCAACTAAGTGTAATACAGCTCTAGTAGGCTAGATATTTAAATACATCCCTCGTAAATGATTGTCGATAGAGTTGCTTTTTTATCACTCACCTCGGAAGCTCGTATCTAACTTTGCGTACAATTAACTCAACGCACTATTGCTCATCATCCAATTGTTTGGTTTTATAGTTCTCGTTTATCTTTATACTAATACCAATTGTCTAATGAACTATCAGACAAATTAACTGAAAGCACTATCCATAACATCGATATTATAAACACAGATCATTATGTCAAGATTCTGAGTATATCTCGGTATTGTCTATTATATGTTATTGTAGTGAGTGTACGATGTCCCTCATAAACAGTCTATTAAACGTGAGTTAGGTGGCTGGGTTTATGACTTAATGTATGTTTTCTTTTCATAAAAAACTTTTCGTACAAATTAACGTTGATATTAGTGAATTGAATTTATGAGGAGAACTGTATTCTCTTACACAGCTAAATACAGCTCGTAATTATCAATGGGCTATTTCTTTCTCTTGCACGTTGATTGAACTGTTGATTAGAAAGGTATATCATCCCTGAAAATGTTATAGGTTGACTACAGAGGGGGATTAACACCAGAATTCAAAGATGACATACGTGTACGCTTATAATGTAAACCTGTATTGAGATGACTTACACCTCTGATTGGTCCAAATCGATAAACAAAAATGGCGGATTCAAAATGTTTTAATAGCGCTTCGAATAATATTATGTTGATTCCGTATTAACCGATATCATAGCTTGGTTTTTCACATCAAGATGAAGAAATATGTAAGCAATATGTTTACATCGATTAAAACATCACGACGACGCGCTATGTTCGAAAAATAACTGGTGAGAATTTGCACAAACGAAGGTTGTACGCAAGAGACGTATTACAGTCAAAACAGTAATGTTTGTGAGTACTTTGAATTTAAAAAATAAGCAATCAAATGACCATATTGAAACAGTTTAATGTAAAAATAGAAACATTTATATTTCTAGTTTAGCTATCATATCTGTTTGTCCTCTTATATGTTGATACTTCTCTGCCATGTTATTTTCGGAAAAATTAACATGGCTGAAACTCCCTAAATTACAAAAGGCCACAGCTTTGCTGCACATTATACATTACTATCTGAAATATACAAAAGTTAGGATAAATATAAATGTTTCTATTTTTACATAAACTGTTTCAATATGGTCATTTGATTGCTTATTTTTTAAATTCAAAGTACTCACAAACATTACTGTTTTGACAGAAGACGAAGCCCTCTTTTAAGAAGTGAAGTCAAACGAATGCAAAGGGTATGTTTTGACTATATGCTTTCCCTCCTCTTGGTTGACTACTGAGCATTTTTCTTCTCTTGAAAATGCTTTCTGGTTGAGGATTTTACGATTTTGGATAAATCATTGCTATTTTCAATTCAGGTCGCTCGTGTGATATAAACGGTATACCATATCCCTCGACTGATCGCTGAGATTTATTTTATACCGAATAGACCGGAATGATGAGAAACTATTAAAACCTAATTTGATGTACAGGCGAGGGATTCAACATATTAATACCAATTGGGATCGGAGCGCTATTGTAATTAAGCCGTAAATCAAATGTTGTTTTTTCTTGTTTTCTACCAACTTTAAGTCCAAGGTCATACTGACAGAAATTATTTTTGCTGATGAGACATTTGGGGCTCATAGTTACACGGTTAGGTCATTGACTTATTTTAATGGGAAAATACGAAGGGAAACATTAAAGAAAACTACACCAATCTCCTGACCTATCTAATACAATCAGGGCTTTAATATCTGTTTTAAAGATATATCAGAAAAGTCCAAGGATGACCATTATTGGGCATCGTGGTAATCCACGCCCTCTCCATCTCTATCCTTCTGCATCTGCGATGCAACAGAGTGATACTGTATGCTATGAGTATCAGGGTGATTATTGGGCGATCCTTTAAATTGTATAAGACAAAGCATCTGACATCACGATACTTATAGATTAAGTCCGGGGGTGCATGAATTATGTAAAACAATACTAATATGGGAGCTGTTCCATTTTAGTAAGTAGTACCACAAATATTGGCCTCGTTAATTAATAATAAAGACGTTCGCTTTTGTTTTGTTTTGGCATAAATAGCATATGTGCAAAAATAACTGATTACATCTCTTAATATGAGCAAAGCTGATCATTTACATGCTAAAGAAAACATAAAATATGAACATCATGCATGGTTGAGTAAACAGAAACGAAAAATAGAAACACATGCAAACTCTTAAAGCTTCAACTTTATTGGTGCTTTATGAAAAATAAGCAACCGCACATAACGTAATACTACAGGGTGGGCCAAAAAAACGCCACTTTTTCAAGACACTACAACTTTTTATTTTCCAACCTACATGCCCCAAATTTTGCAGTTATATAGTGCCAGGAGTTCAAAGTAATAATATAATGTAACAAGTCTTTCAACTTGGATTATATTTGATTTAAAAGAGGAGTCCAATTGGTCAACCGCCCTATTTGATGATATATTTCAGTTTTAGTTGCCTTGCTGATATAGCAGTATCAATGAAATGTTAGCTAAGTTTTTTCAACCTGTCGTTATTGCCAGCTTTAGTTGAGTAATTGTCTAGATTGGGTACCTTCATACAATCTTCTGGATACCTTCCCACACCCTATGCTCACTGGGGTTTGCATCAGGGCTATAAGCTTGGCGATCATCAGGCCGTATTCAGGAACATTTTGCAAATTATGCTTATTTCTCATGGCACACCACATGTTTAAGTGAGACGCTGGACGCTAGTGACATATTTTATTCAAGTAAAAGTATTCAATTCATGATTCACGGCTAGATAAAAACCTCAAATTTCATTTGGTATGCTAATTATGATTTTGTATGAAAAAGTAAAAAAAAAAGTTGCATTTTTTTGGCCCAACCTGTAGTAACCAAACTAGTCCACGTCCATCCTAGTCTGAGCCAGCTGTCTGCCTTAAACAGTATCTATGGGGATAATAATTAGAGTTTATTTTACTGTTATTAGTTTCAATTGTGATAAAGTATCAAGCTTTGATCCCAACTCCTTTATCCTCGCACCCAGTTGGGCGATTCGTAGTGAAATTAATATTTCAAGGGTCGTTTCATTCATTTAAATGACTCTCATAAGTATCCATATTGGTCGTAACTTATACGCTACTTATGCGCTACTGGTTATAACTCCTGTCGTTTTTTATTAGTGGATGCTTTTTCACAAGTTTCCACACGTATTTAAACAATATGTCAAGTATTTGGTATCTTAATAGTTTAAACACATAATTAGAATAGTTGGTTTTCACACGTTCGCTAGTTGAATTCAGGATTCGTGTTTGATTTTGAAATGATAAAATAAGTGAAAAACATGCAAATTGTTCGAGAAATGTGTGAAGTTCACAACCTTACATTTGAATTTTTATATCTAACGATTAACCTTATATTTTTAGATACAATATATTATCCCATGGTTCCAAGGATATAGATCGAATATCACAAGAAGATATATTTGATATGTGGATCAAGATATCAGTTTTTAGCAAAAAAATCACAAACCATCGAATATCACTTTTAAACTATCGAATATCACGTCTTAAAAAGTGATATTCGATGGGTTGAAAAGTGATATTCGATGGTTTGAAAAGTGATATTCGATGGTTTCAAATTTTTTCAAAAAATATTTCCTATTACATTTTTAATTATTTCAAAAATATTTTTAAAAAATTTCAAAATTTCAAAAAAAAAATTCAACATTTTTTCACAATTTTTTTCAATTATTTTTTCAAATTTTTTCTCAAATCATATTTTTCAAAATTTTTCGCTGATGATGATTTCCCATGGGATAAACGGACAATCCTATGGTTTTTCAAAAATATCAATTATATCCACTAGTGGATACAAATATCTTCACTCATTCGCTGCGCTCACTCATGAGGATATCAATATCCACTCATGGATTTAAATGATATTTTTTCAAAACCATAGGATATTCCTATATTATATATCAAATTGCAATTGTCTCCCGAAGGAGAGACCTCACATTTTAAGTCCAATGTTCATCTCCTCTATCTCCTCAGAGAGGTATTATTAGCGGACCTCACATTTTAAGTCCAATGTTCATCTCCTCTATCTCCCCAGAGAGGTATTATAAGCGGCAGGAAATTCACGGGGCGGTACATATACTTGTGTCGTCGAGTGTGTGAATGAGAGGTTTTCAATTTTATTTACAAATGCATTTAGATTTTTAACCACATAGTGATATTTGACACAACGAACCACTCAACATTACCTATTTGATAAGGACTCTAAACGTTAATGTTTTCAATTTTTGTGTTTCTGTCATTTCTAAAATCGTATGCTACGATATAAGTACTTCCGGCTTTCAAAGTTTTGCCACTTGATGGACCACTCGATTCAATGGGTTCTAATTCCTCTGAGTCAAGGGGTCTCGAGTGTTAAGTTTATTCACCATTAATTATTTTTCATTTAATCCCCGTTCATGAATATCATACTATTTCATGTAAAATTCGGCTCTCCCAACAGCTCATATTTCATGTTATCTTCTCTCGTGATATTTTCAATGCCTTTATTTTGTAATTTATGTTCCTCGTAGGAAAACTTGGATGCCCAGAGGGCATTCAGTCCATTTTTGTGGAAGGACAAGGTCTATTTAGTGTTTTGGAAGAATTCGACATTCAAAAATGAATGGTTTTGTTTAGAAATTGATCACTATAGTAATTGATATTATCTCTTACATATGCGATAGATGAAGATGTTCTTTGATAAATCAGAAAGAGTTGTATCATTCTCTACAATTATTTTATGAAATGCAACAGTAATAATACATTCCACTCAAAAACGCTGTAACATAGACATTTAGTTGGAGAGCTTGTTACAATCTGTTCATGTTCGAACTTTACTTTTCCAACAGTTACATTAAATTATTATTACCCTCGGACGCATTTGATCTACGGCGGGCGAATGCCGGCTTATATCTCATCGAAAAAACGTGGACATATCATTCTCTTTGTATTTCGATGATATTTACCCAGTCAAGCAAAAATGATATATCCCTAATAGATAGACTGTATTTTCACAAAATACGATTCTTCGTAAATGAACAGAATCTGATGTGGCGTCATTTGCAAGAGGGACAATCTTCAAGGTGAAAATTTTCTTTAAATGGCTACGTAGACATTATCCATATGTGGGTGATTTTAGAAAACCAATAAAACACTTTTTGATAAATTGATTATAATGATCATTAATGTACACTTGCTAAAATGATTTTTGTCCGCAATATATAAATCGCCCATACCACCAATGCTCATGAATCTACGCCTTTAACATGTGAATCGGGACCTCCCAATGCATTCGTAATTACACTCTACCGAGCCCCAAGGGGTGCACACCGGTGTCCGCTAATAGGTACAGTCTCTTTAAACATTCACGACGGTTCGACAGCAATTTGACTTACAAAAAATCAGATTAAAATGCTCGTTGGAGATCGCTATGAGAATTCAGGTAATTAAGACTTGCATATACTAATCCGTCACATAATTCCCAAGATGCGATTTCTCTACTAAAGTCTTAATGAGTAAGCCGCTCAAATGGCATTTTAAGCGAATCTATCCAAACTTAATTCAATTCCGATGTCAAGGTAATCAAAACTAGTGGCACTTGTACACGTATATATTACTGAAAATCAGTATTCTATTCGAAAGTATGCCTGTCAATATGAGCTTCCAGTTCTGTTGGAATTTGGAAAATATAAAATTGGTATTTTCATCTACTACATTGTTAGCCAATTAGTGTAAATATATAATCAATACGAACTCATCTGGCAAGGCAACTTTTCAGCCAAGAGCTTTACCGGCCAAATACAGCAAGTTGTCCAGAATACAGCTGAATGCATGCAAGATGCAAGGCAAAAACGATCACACTCCCTCCCGAGTTTGAAAATTCGTTTTTTATTTTGGGAGCACTCGGTAGAAGTATTTTTCTATTGCATAAATTAACCCAAATACTTATATATAAGAATGCATATATACAAATGAATGTACACTCTACTAACCTTTAAGACGTCCCCCTATTCCAAAAACATGTACTTTATGCGCAACTTGTTGCTGATATCGATAGTCTCTTGATTCCGGTTCAATCTATTGTTTCTAAATAATCTAAACGTTGCGATATAATCAGGCAATATATATTCCAACTCTCCTTCCCGATCCATATAATTATGTCGCCAAGTGCTCAATAATGTCAATGACTGCGGTAACTACTTTATATTTTCAACCGAAGCTGTCGTCACTAGATGTCGTTTGAACAACACCCACAAAACTGATGACTGCCCACGACATGATTTAACAAGCCCGACAGATAACGATCCAGCTCTTCCATGTGTACTAGTTTATTCGTAGTATTAAATACTTCAACGTTCTTGATTTAATTTCAAAACAGTAGTTCGTTACATGCACATAAAAACAACTTCATGTATCAATTTCAATACTGCTCTATTTCTAATTAGATACACAGGCTCGAGTGGAATGTGAGGATCGTATTAAATATTGCATTGCAACACGCCATATTTCTTATGCGACCTGAAAACACATCCGACATTCGCATCAATCACCCGGGTGAATATGTCGGAGATGTGAACGCAAAGGGAACGCGCTATAAGATATACTCATTGGGGAAATGTGTGAGATATTTGAGGGGAAATATCAGTTGAATAACAGATGATTGTAATTGAGAAAATTCAATTCCCAATTATGTGACACAAACAATGATAGATCATTCTAACGATAAAAGAATCACATAATGGCACGTACGTCGATTCGAACATCCCAAATTCATGGTTTTTCCTTGCGATCTTTCCTCCCTTGTCCTTGGCATAGTATCTTTCATAAATGAGGATGAATGGCAAAATTGGAAACTGGATTTTGATAATGGTCGTTTCTCCCAACTGACGCGTTTTTGAGTCTTTTTAAAAGTGAACCACAAATGGCAACAATTAGGCTAAAGATTCATAAATAATGTAAAAAACTGAAAAAAACATTAGAGGTTAATACTCTAATTTTTACAACGAAAAGCCAACATTTAAAGCAAGAACGATTGTGTTATACATGCGTCTTTTTATCATATCAGTGTATCACAAATCAAACGTATACATCTCTACTTAAAAAAGTGGAAAACTACATCTGCGATCACTGAATTTTATCATTGACACGTCATTTTATAAATCGGCGACAGAGAGAACAAACTCCCATCCTAAATACTTCAAAACACTCAAATTCAAAGCGCAATACTCAATTTTATTTACATTTTGTTATCTAACCTTGGACATTAATTAAATTAATTAAAACCACATAAAAACTATCAAACGGTGTATTTAGTCCTCAAATATAGTATAACTCGAACTTTTATCCAAACTGTTTTAATAACAAAAGTTAGTTATCATGCAAATGGTCATACTTTGCTTTTCCGTGCATGTACATGTTAGTCCAACGATGTCAATACTATTTCCAGTATACTCCAAACTAAACTGAGGGTGTTTCATATTAATTGTGTTGATAGATTGTAAGGCGGTGACTGTCGCTTTTATTTATTTTTTTCTATTATTAATATTTATTTGCTTGTTGAGAGATAAGAAGTAAAGCTACAAATTCTAAAGGCAACATGTACAAGAACGTGTAATTATAATGCTCCCCCGAAACAAGGGATCACGTTCCTATCTTAATCGGTTTTCCAGGGTCAAGTGAATTCTCTTCTTTATTCCTTTACACTCGATATGGCAAGTAAATATTACAAAGGGGAAGTTATCCCTACACAAGAACCATAAAAACCAGTACCATTAAAATGTGCAGCTCAATCCCACAATTTAAAGGACATCTGGGATACTAACTTAAAGGAAGCCGATCGGGTTGAAATGTGAGTACACCTCATCATGACCTCTATGATAGACGGAGAAAAGCGTGAAGTGTGCAAGTTTTTGTGCATCTCCATAAATTACAAACAGGCATTTTGGTGTGAATGCCCATTTTGGGGAGTAAAGGTCGATCCACACAGTGTTTGAAAGCGTTTGTGTTGTTTTTAAAAGTAGTATCTTCAATAATTCATGAAATATGCCATTTTAGCATCTTACACATGGCAGTCGTTAGTTTTTGGACCCTAGCATTTTTAGGACCTCAAAATGGTATGAATGCCCATTTTGGGGAGTAAAGGTCGATCCACACAGTGTTTGAAAGCGTCTGTGTTGTTTTTAAAAGTATTATCTTCAATAATTCATGAAATATGCCATTTTAGAATCTTACACATGGCAGTCGTTAGTTTTTGGGCCCTATCATTTTTAGGGCCTCAAAATGGGCCTTTTTGGACATAATTTGGCCTTATTTGGCCTTTCCGGTCAATTTATCTAAAAATTGGAATTAATTTTTTAAAATTTGGGCCCAATTTTTATAGTTATAGGAGCCCGGATTTTTTCCGCGCAAGAGCGGCACTTTTTCCAGACTCAAAATCCCCCCCCCCTCCTTCGCTAATTTCTGGATCCGCCACTGGTGAACTAAAATGTCTCCAATTTTGTGAAAGTGCAGCCTTAAACAGTTTCAAGTTCAGTTGTTTTTATGAGAAAATATGTCAACATTCCCCATTAACATGTTAAGTTCATATGAAGACTTTGATTGAAACGCGTAAAAAGAAAACGTTGACTTTAAAAGTTGAAGCTATTTATTTTTAAAAATATATTGTTTACTTTTTTGCTTAGCTGTATCAAATTGTCTCATTAAAGTGAGCAAGTTGGAGTTACTAGTGTTTAAATGGGTTATCTCTGATCATCGTACTCAGCTTAAAAGAAAAATAATTTCCAAAACGATATTATGTTTTGTTGAAATTGATTTTAAAATCACCACCGATTAGAATAAACTATAATCTAGATTCTAAGAGCACAGTGCCAAGGTTTGACAGACGAGTCTACCAATAAAAACACTACTATTCTTGGAAATCATCAGAAAATACATTTTGCGTTAATATCTTAAAGCATGAAATGCCAAGTTGGATCTAAAGATCTTGAAACTTTTGGTACTTACTTAAATGTGTGTGTTGTTCTGTCACTTGTATCATTAAGAGAGTTTACTGAACATCTGCCCCCTCTTTTCTATTCTGTTCCACACGTATCCTAAGGTGTATTTATATACTCCCTAAGCGTGTATAGTATACGCAAAGGTTGCGACAACCCTAGCCTGCTAATCCATAAGGAGGCGGCCGCCTACTGTTGCATCCGGGTGTCTCCACCCGACATCCGGGTTTCTGTAGAATCCTCTTTTTCCGGATAATGAATTCCAAAATATAAAAACAAATATACAGGCTTTATATCTGGCTCGAGTAACTTTGTGTAAAACTTCTCAACCAATAGCCATCTTTACAAAACACACGGGTGTGTCGTTTTTAAATTGCATATTATCATAGATTATGTTGCAATTTTCAATTAGATTTTGAAGTGTCGAAGTACAGTAAATTCTATCATATCCCACCTATCTTTAATATGTCAACATTTGTGAATCAAAATTTAGCTTGGGATTAAAATGTGAATATTTACTAACGTTTTAATAATGTTGATTTTATTTTTCAAACCTGTGAGATGATTCTTAAACTGATCCCTGATCATGTATATCTACACAACGAAGAATACACGGTATACAGTAAACATTAACACCCTTACAAATAAAACCCAAGTCGTGCTTTAATTCCAAATTAATCATAAGCCCTTAGCTCCGACAACCATCACGAAATCAATTATGTTAAAGAACCAGATAATGTATTACATGTTATTCTATATTTACTGTAAGAGTAACTACATGTATAGGACTTGCACATGATGAAGTCAAGATGTCGTTATTCAAGCATTTATGGATGTCTATTACAATACTAAAATCTGCCAGTCTTCATCATGAATGTTCGGGGTATGAAAAACTATCTTCTTTATGTATGTTTTAGCATCTACTAAATAATCTAGTAGATTAAATCACACATGTTCTGTATTCAGTTAATTTGTAAACTTGGACTTGAAATGGGCCCGTCAACCTAAATCTCACTTAACATTAATGTGTCACGATTGAAAACACAAAATGCGAGCTCAGTATAGAAAGGACTAATTTCATGAATGTTTTTTAACTGCGTTAATGGTCAATACTTCAAGATAATGGAGAGGTTAAGCTTTGCATATATAATCGAAACTGAACCTGTACGTATCACTCGACCATATACAAATTCATGTAGCCTTCTCATATAAATAGCCGTTCAAATCCAGTGTTTGTTTAGACTACACCATAACGTGTAATGATTCTATAGTATGTCATTGATGCGGTTTTATAGCTGGTTTTCTAATACATATTTTAAACGAGCTCGTTTCGTAAGATTTTTGGCGCTAAATCATGCATGACATACATCATCGTGTTCAGCAAGAATTCAACTGTGCATCGAAATCAAAATTGACAGCATAGTGTTCAATAGACACGAGTAAAATGGTTCCCGTTGACCCAACGTCAAATTTCAAATTATCCCGTTCTAAACCCGAAACTCTGAAGCTGAAAGAGTATCTGAAGTAGACTAAGCGCGCATAAAACTATGAGCGCTCGATACATTCCTTTGTTAATTTTTGTACTTTGCGTTCACGGTTACGTTGTGAAAAACATCGTTAGCTTAACCTCTCCACTAGGGAGGTTAAGCCACCTGTTTTTAGATAAGTTGTACTTGAATGTAAAATACTATGACCCATAAATCTAGAGAAGTTATCATCGGAGGAGAGGACCGTTATTCTACACGTTTAATATACGTAGGTTATCTTAAAAAACGTGAAGCTTACAGCCAGTCATGTTTTCTACGGCGACCGTACGGTCTATCATTTCTGCGGCCAGTAACATCTCTACGCTCGCCGTAGAAATTCTGCACTAATATACTTTTGCAGTCACATTTGAATTTTCTTGTAGAAATCGCCTCCCCCCTCCTCAAACCATTTTTGTCCGATCACCTGTCGTGATTTTTTGTGCTATGATGTAATATTATGAAATAAAATGTTAATGAAACAATGACCAATAGTTACTTAATATTTTGTAACATACCCGGGTAATAGAGATTGCTGTGGTATCAGTGACCTTACATCAAGATCGAAGCTGTCGACCGTTGTGTGAACAGCAAAGATATGATAGAAAACTGATCTAAAACCCGTTTCCATAGGTGCATAACCCATCAAAAACATCACGACACACGCAACTTTAAGCTCGGCGTGTGGCAACCGTGGAACCTTTTTCGGAATGGTAACGATCTATTGATTTCTACGGGGACAGTATCATCATTACATGTACGTCCAGCGATCATTGAAATCACTACAATAGCCATTCTGTATTAATGCGCATTGGATTAAATATCTTTAACTAATGGAATTTTTCATTAGGGATTAAATACTGCTATAACCTGCTCCATTAACTAGTTTCAAAAAGTTATAACTTTTTCCTAGTTTTTCGGTAGAAACAAAGGAGTGCGGATCGCTAAGGCTTTTTTTCCACAGATATAATATATTTTTTGCCAAATTACAAAACTGAGAAGATATTACGCTAACCTCCGAACTTAGTGTGAAACATAATCTCCATTTTAGGATATGGTCGATATCATTTTTTAGTGGAATGACCAGTTATGTTCCGTAATGTAAGCAACTCATGATCAAGAGTACCGAATGGTCATTTCGTGAATTCGATATTTGTCAACCACAAATACGTAGAATTGCAGCGACTGATCATTGTCAAAAATATTTTTAATGCCTTCACATCAAAACCTGTCCAGTAAGACATCAGAGTACATGGTTTAATCTCCCAATTCCTCGAGCAAATCATGCGGAAATTATCCATGTGGTTTCTGTAATCAGGGGTCAAATTAGGGGGATAACAAAACATTCGATCCATAATTGGCGAATGATCGGGTAGTCTTAATTTAAGTTGATCGAGTTTTTCGGTATCCACGGAAAACCAGAAATCAGAATTCGAAGTAGTTCAGAGATTATCCGATGATTCGTGGGACAACACTGTACTTCTCAATGCAACTGAACGCTCGTTTGAAAATGATGTCGGTGATACCGTAGTGCTGCGTTCTGAGTATTGAGCGAACGAGGATGACTTTCGTCGCACTGGAGAATGATCTTGGATATTCAGGTCAGGTTCAGTCTAACTAAACTTGTTCTCTTCCGGTTAGCTCTCAAGATGCCGAGGGTATAGTAATGGTATGTCGTTGTCCGGGGACCAACATTTTGCTTTAGACGTTCAACTGTATTTATTTTCAGAATGATGAGAATCTCCCTGGAATACCATTAGGTCACTATGGGATCCTCGAACTACAACATACCATCTAGCCGTAAGTATGACCTTATATAGAGAACTTTACTATTGTAACAAATCAGTGAGATGAGACTCTAGGTTTTGGCCCCGGAGTGGTTCATTTTAAATGGTTTTAAGTTCTCTGACGACACGGAGACCCATCTTTCTTTACGAAGACCGGGGAGGGTGTCAATTTGACCAGTCTGATTTGACATGCACACAGATATTTTAGTAAACAAATACCCATCCCCTTTTATGTAACAGGGAACCCAGTACTACAAAAAATTAATAATTGATAACTCTCACATTGCTATAGCTAAGTGCAATAAGTATTCAGATGTTTAGCCGAAAATGCCAAAATTGAAAATAGAAACTTATGCAGTGAAGTATGCATTTTGCATGTATGACAGTTAATACTGAATTAACAAAAATCAATAAATATCTTCAAGTATGGTTGATAAAGAAGATTTATGTACAACAGGAAATATTTGTTGAAGATAGTAATAGATAAAAGATAATATATGATTTAACAATAGAAATGTATTATATGATTTGTAAAAATATATTTTTGTACAGAACAATAACAACAGCAAGCATAAAAATTGAAAATAATATACAGTAGACAAAATTAATTAATTAACATGTATAAATAGTTGTTTTGACTTGGATTTAACTATATGCTTTGGAGAAATAGATTTTAGTATGACATATCATCATAACAACAGCAGAAGTAACATAATATAACAGGTAACTGGATGCTTTAACAATGGGTTTTACTTCATGCTTGGTAGAAATATATTTTTGGACAACATAGTAACAACAGTAAATAAAATATATAATGTACAAATATATCATGTGAGGTTTCCCAATTGATAACATGTAATTGATGTTTTAACAACGTGTTTAACTATATGTTTGGTAGAAATATATTTTGTGACAACATAGAAACAATAGTAAAATAATATAAAATTAACAAATTATTTGAAGACTTCCGATAAATGACACGTAATTGATCTTTTAACAAGGGGTTTACTATATGCCGGGTAGAAATATATCTTCAGACAACATACGTCACAACAGAATGATGTAAAGATGGTTTAATTTAATGAACAAAATAATGTCTTAAAACATTATCTAGTTTAAGATTCCCCAATAGATCGCATATAATTTATAATTTCACAGCGGAATCTCATATAATGTTTTGTAAAAATAGATGTTTGTAGTAAACAGTGGTACAGTAAGAATTACAATGAACAAAAATGAACAACAATTATATCTTTCTTAAATATAGAACTCTAGTCTATGATACAACAGATAATTCTTAAGTTAAAAACGGATATATATTAACAACTTTACTGTGATCTATTATACACAAATACAGACCATTATTTAACGATGTGGAAACAGAGTTGGTTTAAGCACTTCTGCAAAAGCACTATTCATTTTCCGGTACTCTTGCATCATGTCCTTGTGATCCACCCTTGCCCTATTAATACACACGCCTACTTAAGGGTAGAGCATGAAATAATAGGTGAGAGACCAAGAAGCTTAATACAAGACTAATACTTCAGAAATTGCATCGAATGCCGTGGTCATATGCTCCAATTTTCAGCTACGGCGCCCGGCCGATTGAGTATTGTGTTCAAAATTGAATACTCAATTGGCCGGGCGCCGTAGTAAAAATCGGAGCAAATGTGACCACGGCATTAACTATGTGCTTCAATAACATTACAAATTACATATCAATGGATAACATTAAATAACGCATAGAATTTTGATTGTATTTACAATTGGCAAAAAACAACAGTCCAAAGCACAATTTCCCAAAATACCTGACTTTGGAGGCCAAAATTAGCCTCCCTGAAATTACAATCTTTTTAGGAGCAAGGAGGTCTAGTCGGTTACACAGTCCATGAAATGCAAATAGCCTATGGCCGGGCTCATACATTGATCTTAAATTGCCATGATTTGGTCTGTGTGATTGACTAACTAATCTTATAACTTCATTTTAGTCTGCAACATAGTCCAACGAACGTCAATACTGTTCAACTATTTCCCTGATCAATTACTAATTTAACATTTAAGAAACCGTGCCCTTGGACTGCATAACAATATACAACAGACTATTTCAAAAATATATTAACATTCATTAGACTTCATTTACAATTACATAAAAGGCTAACAATAACTGTACTAATCAACACAAACTTTCTCTAGTATAACAACACTCACGCGATTTTTGTATATTTTCATATTAACAGTTAACCAAAGCACTGATGCTTTAGAAACATTCAGAACTATTTGCAACAATTAAAAACGATTTCTTTTTCGATTGATCCAATTCTGTACGCGGATGTTCTTCGTCCATCTGTTTTCTCCGATTGTGAATCGGCGTTGAGCTTGGTGTCAATGTAACTAGTGTGTTAGCCGAGGTAATTTCTATCACATTTGACAAGTTTGTTGGCAGCTCTCCTTCTGTTTCAACGATGGTTTGCGATACTCTTTTAGGGGAATCTTGATCTTGGTGATTCACGTGATCGTTGGCTTTGAATATAGAAATTGGACTAAGTTTTTCGATGTCACAGTCTTCATTACTGCGAGACAGTTCAGAGCTGACATTCATCGTTTCAATATTGTTATTCCCATCTGTAGTAATTGACTGAATGCTCATGTCTCCACATTCAATGTCGTACATGTCTAATTCGCTTCCGATTGGGAATGGCTCGCTGACGTCACTTTCCGTCAGTGCATCGCTGGTTACATCACTGCGTTCAGACTTTTTATCACATAGGAAGTTAGGCTCTAGAGCATCCCCATCAGACGATTGTCTTGACCGTCCCGAGGTGGAGTTGAGACCAACTGCACTCTCTACACTGGACATCTTTGTTGTCATGTTGGTCATTTCTGATGTAATATTTGACATCTGTGATGTCATATCTTGTTTCATTTGCTTCACTCTTCTATATTGCTTCACTGCTACACAGGATATGATCGCTACAGCGAGTGTTGTTATAACAACCCACACCACAAGAGTCAGGTCTGTGGTTTTGGATCCTTCGAATTTGTCATCCATATTGATGAATTTGTCATCCACGTTGAGTAATTTGTCATCCACGTTGAGTAATTTGTTATCCACATCAGTCAACCTCTCATCAGTTTCTCTGTACATGTCATCGATCTGCTTCATAAGTTTTTGAGGTTCAGGTGAGTTGATATTGTCATAGCCCATTACTCCTGGAAAAATATCATCTAACAATAAGATATTTGTCTCATACGATTTTGAGAAGACTCAAAATATGTTCTTGTTTTTCTAAGCTATTTATCCAACTGAAATGTCAGATAAATCCTTGCATATTTTTTTCACATAGAATGATAACTATTGTAACTTATGGACTATTTCTAATTGAACTGAGACGGGTATAAAAATAAAATAAATAATCCCCATTGATTCATAAAGTGGTAAAATCAGAACGCCATTTCTCCGTCTTAATCATAATCCCTAGTGAACAGTTGTTTACTTCAATAGTATAATTTCCATATAGCTTTTGAAATCTCGCTAAATCTCGTTTTTCGTGAGATTTTAAGAGACTTGCATATTAGACCTCTAATGACTTACATTACCTTCTTTTAAATGGCATATTTGAATTCAGTGAAATGTTTTCTCCTATAATAGCTTTGATTTACACAGTTATGTAATTTGAATAATTTTCTATAACAATTTAAAAAAACTTGGGCCAAATGTCCATAGATGCAATGCTAAAATTCTTTAAATCTGTGGATTATTTGTATGTCAATCAACATTTGCATGTTTAATCACAACATGTACATGGACAGGGTCATCAAGTGGTATATCATTCAAGTTTAATACAGATTCAACAAACACACTTTGATAAATCATGAAATTAAGCCACTTTTCCAAGATTTTAGCATGTACATGAATGGAGCTCTAGCCCAAGTTAAAAGCTGAATAAAAGATGGCAGCACGAGATTTCATTGATTTTTCTGCTATTTAGAAACTATCCTATTACTTAGAATTACTTAGAATTGCTTCATTTTCCTTCAGTTCTCGATACAAATTGCACCAACGTATTAGCATGTATTTCGAGGGATAAAGTGAATGAGACTTTCAAGTACTAGAATGACTATCAAAATATATAATTTGTCAATTATGTGTTAAACGATGAGACTGTTACCTTTTTTACTTGTGTCATATATCATGGAGTATAAGCAGTGATATCCTCCAAATGTGTTGATGCACGTGGTCGGATAGACACATTTGTCTGCGTTCAATGAACATTCATTTACATCTAAAATTAACAAAATATATCAATGACTATTAACGTATATGCTTTATTTTACATTATTACCATAATTCATAATTATATAAAGATGTGTTTAGCCCTTCATCCATGCTTATGTAAGCCTGGCTTGTATTAGAATGTATGAAGTCAGTGAATTAATAACACCTCTCCACAACATCGAAGACGGGAACATGCAATAATATCAATGAGTATGCTTTTTTCAGACGTTTACTCGACAAACTCTGTGGCCCACGTACAGTAGGTAAAGCTAAGCAGACATTTATAACAGTGCATGCCTCGCTCTGTATATTAATTTAGATCGCTTAAAGTGTTCGCCAAAGTTTAAAACTGCGCAGGCGCACCGCTCTCGCTAAACTATATAAAGAGATTACCGGGTACACGATTCAGAGGTAAGCCAGGAAGGCGAACGATCTTCGTCTCGTGATGATTTCCCATATAATCGTAACCAGGGAAGTTTCACCATTGAAATTAAAAATTACTATTAGATATACTTTGTAGATGTTATTTATGAAGCTATTTAGTGTTTGCATCAATCAAATGGCTCATTTTGAACATATAAAAAGTATTTGTGTTTTGTTTCCCAGGGAATTGTATTGTATGTATGTAGTACACACATAAATAGTGTACATTATACAGTACTTGAATAGCCTGGTTTACATAATATTGAAGGGCATGCTGATTACATGCACACGAGTACATGAATGAAGGCCTAATATTGATATACGTAGCTTGCATACCTAAATAAAAAATAAACTCTTCTAATCCCCTAATGTAAACACGGCGGTATACGTAGCCCGATTTATCGGGGACTTTAAAGTTACTTATGATATGGAGGATAACATTTTCATCGAATATTTGCATTTAAAGTGAGGAGAGAAACAAAGGACGAGTCGGGATTTATGCCCTTTTGGTACCTTACTAAAATGTTTGTGAAATATGCTTTTTATTACTGCCATAGTTATATTTGATAAGTATATGCACTTATTCTGAGTTTTGATGCATAATGAACCCCCTGCTGAGAGTTTAAGTATCCTTACAAAATACAAATAATCGTTATCGTAGAAAAAACACCAATGGCAACATGCATATGTATGACATACGGAGTAGAAATATCTAAAACATACATGAGGAGGAAATTATCAGAAAAAGTCGCTTCGCCTTTAATTTTCACATCGAGCACAGATTTATGATTGGATTTTTGTATTGATTCTGAATGTTCGTCTTCAGGGTCATGTATAGAGATAATATATATTTCAAATTCTGGCATACTGATACGCAAAGTCTTTGATGACAATATTCTTCATTAATTGTGTTACACATTGATATTATTTGACTCTCAGAAGAAGGATGGGATATCAAGGTTTGATAATTTGTGTGATTGAGTTGGTTTTTCAGTCATTACGATTTTGAATATTTTCTAAATGATATCCGGACCCATTCCCCGACTCATCCTTTTGAACTTTTCACACGTTTAATTGTGAATTGTTGAAAATTGCTATACTTTTTTTGCAAACGTTATAAATCGCATTGACATTAATTATACACTTATATGAACCACAATATGAAACTATAAATAAAAAAGGCAATATAGTGGGATCTAAGGACAGCCCGCTCCCCCGGAATGGTCTGGAATATTAATGCTGTTTCGTGCAATTTGGAACAATAAATTGGAACAACTAATAATAATTATACAATAATTAGATTCATTAAATTATAAATAGTTTTGTCAGGGAGAATAAAATATTAGTCAATAGATACATAAGTAAGGTCAACTATGTTAAGATTGACAGGTCCTTATTATCACATGACCAGTGACGTCAGACACAGTATGTAACAAGTTGTAAGTCCGTTACCAAAAACCTCCACATAACATGATAAGCAGGACAAAACCTTCATTTAATATAAACTGATTATCATCATTAGAATTAGAATACCCATCCTTTAATTGAGCGGATTAATTATATATTTGTTGTACTATTTAGGCTCCCAAAAGGCAAAGCTGTTGAAATCAGAATAAATGTATTTTAAATAAGCACACACTTCAACTTTTAAATATGTTTAGTACGCAGGTGCCTATTTTGTGTTGCAAAAGCATGTCTTTGTAAAGTACATACCGTCACAGGTCAGCATATTTTTTGAGAGAGTATATTTTCCTTTCTTGCAACTGCATACATAAGACCCAACGCTGTTTTTACAATGCTGCTCACATCCACCATTATTTTCATTGCATTCATTTACATCTGGAATAATAATCATTTAAAATAAATATAGGTTATTTAATGGGAGGGATGAAATATGAATTTTATTTTGAGGGAAAATATTGTAAGGAAAATATTATAAGAAAAATATCACATTGACCGTGGGCGACAGCCCGAATATCAACATGATATTTTCCGAGGCTAATATCATATTTTCTCGAGGAAAAATTCATATTCCATCACGACCATCAATAACCTATCTATTCCATAATATTTTTCTGAATCGTGTTCTGTATGTCGTCACCCAATGATGGGGACATTAAATGATACAATTCAATTTATCGAATGACATTTTTAACTTTTATTAACAAGTTTTAAAAGTAAAAATAATTTATAATACTAAAATGGATCATAATATGCCATAATAACAGATATTGAGTGTCGTGAAACTTTCTGATAGTTCTGGTACGGGATCTGATTCGGGATTTTGACTAATACGGGATCCAATACGGGATCCAATACTGGATCTGATTTGAATATCAGTTTTATTCCCAGTTTATTTCCCAGGGAAAACTTGTTATTATGGAATAAATGCAATTATGATTACTTGTACCATTCAAAATCAGGGTTAGTTTTAGTTACTTATTTTGTTTATTTGACGGACATTGCAGGAACTGTCGGTCTGGTTAGACTTCAGTGCAAGTAAAACAACAATTTAACGAAATGCACAAACGTACAATATTTCATTTTTAAATAGGTTAGGGTGATTGCATGTTTCACAATTTTACTTCTATTGTACCTCTGCAAGTGGTGTTGTCTTCTGACAAAATAAAGCCAGGATAACAGTCACAGTAGTATCCTTGTAATGTGTTTACGCACAGCTGCTCACAGTTGTCATATTTCATTGCACACTCATCTGTACAAAATCGAAGTCCAAGATTAAAATTACAGTTTATGGTCAGTTTTATATACGAGTATGCTCTCTCAAAATACCAAATTTTCGTCATGAATATATACTTTATGTCCTTTGTATACTTTATGTCCCATACTTTATTCATGTTTTTGTTTTAGTTTTTAAGGTACGAACAGTCCATCTTTGAAATGCAGCCTTATGATACATTAAAATGAAAGTTGAATCTCTGAAATATGCTTTATTGAGCATGATTTGTTATATAAAATACACTTATCTGTTTATTGTATGATGAGCATACACAATACCTGAATCAGTTAATAATTAGTATCTCATTAAATAAACGAAAATAAAAAATGAGATTCTACTGAAAAAATGAAATAAAAAATCACCTTTGCCAATGAGAGTTTTAATTCCAAATGAACTTGATTTAGATTCAGTTCCCGGTGGTCCTGGAGGGCCCGGTGGTCCTTGCAGACCCGTGGGACCAGTTGCACCAATTCCGGAAATTCCCGTGGCGCCCGCTGGTCCGGTAGCTCCAATAACTGATAATCCGCTGGGTCCGGTCGATCCAGATGGTCCAGTTGATCCAGCCGGTCCAGTGGCCCCGAGTGGTCCAAAGTCACCAGGTTCACCTGCTTCTCCCGTTGCCCCAATGCCTGTTGGACCTGTAGCTCCTCTGATTCCAGTTAGGCCTGTAGCACCAGCTGGTCCAGTTGCCCCAAAACCATCCAGACCACTTGGTCCAGTTGCCCCAGTTAGTCCAGTTGCCCCAGCAGGTCCGGTTGCTCCAATACTTCCAGTTGAGCCAATTAATCCCTGGATGCCAGTTGATCCACTTAGACCAGTAGCCCCCATTACTCCACCAGATGGACCAGTTGCACCAACTTTTTGAGAAAATTACAATAATTGTTATGAACTGCAACGATAGGTTTTTGACAAAGAATATATATTCTACTTATTCAATCTGGTTACAATATACTAAAATCAAGCCAGTTGTGAATAGTTGTAGTAGTGATATAAATAAGAAAAATACGAATGAACATGGATTTATATTGTAGCATTTCTAATCTGTATTAATTTGTAATCCTTACCTACTGCATTCCCAACACAGCTATATCCTCCATATGTGTTGACACACACAAGTGAGACCGTACAATTATGGGTTCCAAGCGCACACTCGTCGATATCTACAATATATACGTGACTAACTAATACATTTCTTGGGTAATGTTTTGAACATTTTTATTAAACAGTTGATCTTAAAATCAATTGACCTTTAAATCAGTTGGCAGTGAGGTTGGTGTGTCTACGTGAACAGTTCTTCATGTTTCATCACGGTCGGCTCAATATAGTTCAAAACTTGAGGAACTTGTTATTACAACAGTTAATGTTTGTGAAATCTAAATGGCGATTAATGAAATAGAAACGGTGATTATCTTAAAACTAATCAAAATGCATACCATTGCAACTCAACATATTTTGTGACAAACTAAACCCATCAGTACAGCTGCAGTTGAATGACCCTATGGTGTTGTTACATTGTTGTTCACATCCGCCATTCTTTAGCTCACATTCGTCTATATCTATAAAAAAGATATTTAGCTAAATAAAACAATTAACATTTATTCTGTTTCGTCGATATGATCAAATCATTCAATGCTGGGTAATGGGTGAAATAACACCTTGTTGAAAAGGTGGTATGTTGTGAACTTATACTGTAATGACTTAACTCGCGCCACGAAAACGGACAAAGTGTGTAGAGGGGATCGTCCTATTTCTGATACAAAATTCAATTCATCAGCAATACTTATTTTTTCTGAGAAAAATGTAACCCATCGAATTTTTACCACAAATTCCAAACATATCAATTTTTCCTAACGCCCCGAGTGGATTTCCTGACCGTTTTTCAAAAACCAAAGATCTTGTTGCTCTGTGAATTTTACCAGGATTGAATAAGGATAAAGCAACGACAAATTATATCTTGTGAGATAAATGGCATGCGTTGGTACATGTAGTCGTATAGACCTCCACTACTTCATACATAACTTTTGCACGCTAGCGTTGCGACGTATTAAAGAGACATTATACCTCAAAAGCGTATTTGTTAAAAGATCGTAGACGATCTAAGAATTTTAACCTAATCTTTACTTCTGAAATAGTCATATTGCTGATGTTTTCTAGCAGATATCCACTCATTTTGACCGTTTTACGGGCGTGTATCTCGACATCCAGAACTAGTTTTGTCCATTTTTGAATGATCTTGTTCAATGATATATGATACAACTCTTACCCTCATACTATGGGAGGAGCAAAATTTGCTTATAACTGTAATATTATAATAATAATTGCTTATTAAACATATTGATGAATGTGTTAATGTTCACATTAGCATCAAATAATTACCTTCACAAGTTTCATTGTCATTTGCCAGAGTATACCCAGAATAGCAAGCGCAGTTGTAACCCAAAAACGTGTCCACACAGTAATGTTGACAGGTAGTATTCACGCATTCATCTACAATAAAAACATTCTAATAGAGATGTTCGATAAACAAACAATGATGCGCTACGTAACTAGATAACGCCAAGGCGTTGCAAATCCATGCCTTTAAGTATTCGCATATCACGTATGTACAAAATTGCTCCACTACTTTTCTACCTTGCGCTCAAAGTCTAGTTCTTTTACCCTACTATCACACCAAACTAGTTCTCACTACGTTCTCGAAAACGGGCTTAAACTGTGCACGAACGGATTTGACGTACTAAGAACCGTTTGGGATCTTTTTACAAACTTCATGAAACTACTAGAACGAGTAGGTCCTCCAGCACTTATAGAGCATGCTAAAAAAAATTCTGGTGATCGTCAAAACGTTGCCGAATCGGTTTCAAACTGTGTGCGAACTGAATGAACGTAGCTACAACGTTCTCCGGTCTGTTTACGAACTTCATGGACTTTCCCGGACGGGGTATGTGATTTAGAATTTTAAATCGATTCAAAATTCGATGGCGACCATACCGTTCTGTAATCAGGTCATGATGACCTTCTAGACTAAGGGACGGTTTATACTACGTTGCACACCGACGTGGTGCGACCTGAACGAACTGCGAACGAGATGGACGTATTGAAGACTGTTTATGAACGAAGTAGCTAATTATTTTAGACATATATCCCAACCGCAGTCAGATTGAGCCCGTTTTACGACGTTTTCGTAGGACTGGCAAGAACGGGTAAGAACTAGTTTGGTGTGATAGGGGGGTAAAGAAGCGTAGTAAAGTCGAACGAGTGCAAATTAAGGGTACTACTTTTCCAGTCACAGCAAATATAAGAGGTGGAGAAACCCCGGGGTTTGACCCGGGTGTGACCTACGTCTATAATATAAATCTGTATTGGGATGACCTACCGTCCTGATTGGTCCAAATCGACAAACAAAAATGGCGGATTCAAAAGAATCTGTCACTATAAGTGTCACTAAAAATAAGATATATAAATCCAATGTATGAACATGTGTTAAATTCATATGAAATAATATAGGTAATATTGTCAACTCACCGATTCCATACTTATTTTGAAATTACATAAACCCAAGAATAGGTTTCCGGGCTATTAAAAGAGTGTACCATTTCTTTGCCAAAATTGTGTACTTTTCTTTTAATTATCATTTTTCTGAGGTTTAAGAATATATTCACATTCAATATTCTAACAATATCAAGATTTATGCATGCCTTATAGTTTGGAGGCACTTTTTGTACAATGCAGTGTGTATTCTTCACAAAAGATATAGCACATGATTATGGCAGCCATTTTGGAATTTGACTATACTAGCGCTGCAAATGTACAAAGTGGATGAAGAATATAACGATACAATTGAATAATAACTTAGGGAAATTGGTAACCTGCCTAGATAAGGCTGACCCAAGGTTTAGAAGGAGCATTATCCCAAGCTTATTTGAAATTCATTGAGATGAAACATATCATCGACTCTAAAGCCCATAATGAATTTTAACCTCTACGAATATTGTGCATTTGGCAGTATTGGTCTATTATTCTCCCATGAAAACATTTTAGAAGACTCCTACCTTTTTAATCACGTATATCTTAACCTCCCTATTGACATTGTCATGGAGCGTATAAAAAGAAGGACTTCATTTAGATTTGGATTTTGAAATTGATAAATATTATAGATCGGCTGTGTTTGGCAACCGAACCCATCCTAATAGAAAGGTGAGACTATTTTTGACACGTGTTGCTTGAAATCTCAATTTCCTTCTTTTGGTTGTGTTCGAAAGTAACGTTCATAGAACAAAATCGTATTCTGTTTCGGGGAATAATCGACTATTGACGAAATATCGGCAATGAACGATTCATGACTTTACATCAAACAGTTCAAGTTAAAGACAATCGCTGACTTACCTAATAGAATAATACCCATTCCGCTTGGTCCAGTCGCACCAACATTTCCTAAAAAATATAATGCCAACAATTGTAAAGTTCTATGCACTCAGAGAAATGTGACTATCTCAATAAGAGCCTTTTATTATATTTAAGATAAGAAAATCTTAGGCATAAAACAGCAATACTTATAGAACGCCTCTGTCTCAAATTAATTTGTTATTCAATCTTTTATCAAATCGTCTTCATGAAGATAAAACAATGCGTAGAAAAGTTTACAATCTGTAAATACTAAGAGGTTGAGTTGGTCACTTATCAAAAGGATGCATGAACAAATATAAATCCTTGTATTAGTCCAAAACATTTTGTTAAATTTATAAATAGGACATTTCATAAGACTATGCTTTTTAACTTTACTTGGAAAGTAAATCAAGACATCAATTTGCTCATAAACACAAACAGAAGATCCTGAACCTTCACCAATAAAAGGTAAAATGTATTATCAAAATTGAAATTCCCCGTTCATGAATGCATGGCGATCTATACTGCACTATTGCTCCATAAACAGGCAGAGGTGTTCACTCTGATTTCAACGTGCACCCCTTGTGTATATCCCGGGATTGTGCTTTTTATACTAAAGGGTGGGCAACACCAAAAACGAGTGTTCGGTTTGCTGAAGGATATATGTCACTCTTTAAGTCAATTTTTCTATCGACACTGTGGCTAGTCGGAATATGTGGATGCGGTTAATCTGAAAACATAGGATTAAATCCTATGCTAAGGGCTGGTGTGAAAAAGACACTCCACCCTGGTGGGAATCGAGCCCACTCCCGATTACATGTCAGGTGCTCTACATGTTAGGTGCTCTACGGAGCCGACTGACTCTTTCACATCAACATTGCATATGTGATATCGTACCTCTATTTTTACTTCTCAATTATAACAAACATTAGGCTTTAATATGTTCAACTAGTAAGGTTCAATGAATGTAAAGTTTATAATGCTGTACACTAAGAAATAGCCTTTAAGCCTCAGTGTTGATTGCCAAGATTTAGCTGATAGAAGGTTTCATATGCTTGAGTGAACACCAGTACAGAATCATGTTATGCAGAAATTATACACCAATCCCAGTTTACATTGTGTTCGATTTGCACATTTTCAGCCAATGACAACTTTGTAATAATTTGTATTTGAATATACACCAATCCCAGTTTACATTGTGTTCGATTTGCACATTTTCAGCCAATGACAACTTTGTAATAATTTGTATTTGAATATAAACCAATCATAACTTGTGAGTTCCCAAAGGGACATATCCCTTTTAGCATGAGTGCAAACCTTGATTTTCAATATAAAAGCGACAACACCTTGATTTATTTCAATCAGTCCCAACATTTTACGAGCAGGAGTTACAGGAAAAAACAGAATGTTATATTAAGCCGGGAACATTAAAACCAATGTGCAGTTAGTTACCAACTGCACATTGGTGTTTGATGATGATTTTATTGTAAATAAAAACAATTTTAAATGAACGCCACATCTTGTGTGATATACGTCCTAGTCCAATATTCTACACATATACAGGCTGACATATAAGGCATCACAGCCATGACTTACATGCCTAGTCTCATGGACCCATTAAGAGCTTACCTGTCTTTCCAGGTTGTCAATCACACTATTCATGATGTCACATGGTCTTTCCCATGTGCCATCCCCCGAAGGGGAATTGACTTCAAAATCAGATCTGGATAAGACCAAAAGATCTTCAAAGAAGGCAAACATGTCGAAGGACATGAAATTAGAATCTCTTTCTCAGACTATAACATCCTCTATTTCCACTGGACTAAGTGCCATAAAGGACACAATGTCAGGGATTATGGCTTCTTCAGTAAACGATCTGAAGAAGTGCATTCGGAGCGGTCCTTATGAGAATGACGAATACCACGACCAAGGAGAGTCGTAATTCATGGATTACGATCAAGATTATATATGGATAATGAACCAGAAATTAAGAGGCGATAGGTCTCCGAACCACTAGATCAGTCAGGTCCCAACCAGGTATCTTCTTTAATGAAGACTTTAAAATCGAAAGTGAAATCTGTCGATGAACAAGGACCTCCCCTTGGTGATTCGACAGCTGATCTTTTGACAGACATTATGAAATCAAATTTGGATGAAGATGAGGAAAGGTCAAAATACGACAAGTATATGCTAAGACTCCATCAAAAGCTCCATTATTGTGCACAGCTAAAGCGAACAAGTATATATGGTCTCGTTTTTCGACAGATGTTCGATCTAATGATCTGAAACTCCAAAAGGCCCAAACTCCACTCGTCAAGGCCGTAGTTGCATCAACTCATGCTTTGGAACTAATTGATGAGATGAAGCAAGATTTGGGTTTGTCGACCGACCTGTATCTGTGTATGACGACAAAGGAGCAGGGAAAGTATCGCAACAGACTTTTGATAATTTTGACAGTTGATAATTCTTTTGTGAGTAGTTTCTGGCTGTAAAAAGTAAATGCTTGGGAAAGGCGAATCTATAATCTTCAAGAAAAGTTCAAAGAATAGTTTCCAGATCAATTGGATTATCTTATAATCCATGTTTAATCCACCCATCAACAAGCTTTTTCAAAATACATTCGTCATTTTCACCATCGTCCCTCATTTCTTTTACAATTTTTCATGCAAAGTTACATTGTACTTGAACACATGTTTCATCAAGTAAAATATGTAAGGAACTCCATGAAGTTTGTTTTTGAGTTTTTTTTGAAAAAATGAACCTCTTAAAATGCATGTTTACAAAAATAATTTAGGAGTGATGTAAAAGATGGCAATGTTTTTCAATAATAACATGCATAGGTGGGTGAATTACTCATGTGTGTTGTGTTTTAATCCTGCATTCACTGACTGAGTTAGCCTATTGAAAAATCATAGAGATTAATAATACAAACAGTAATACTATGAATACTTCTACTTCAAGCTCAAATAGCGCTTTCAGGGTCCTGTGTTGAAATACTAGATCACCTTATGTGCATGAATTTTCAAGAGAAACCATCAGTGCAAGCAATTAAATGAAAGCATCATCCGAACATCACTTGAAAAGTACTAAAGTGGTGAAAAATTGCAGGATGTTGACAGACAATGTGCCTAGGGGAGAGGGTCGTCTCTCACCCCCCCCCCCCTCCTCCTCCTCCCCCTCCCTGGTCACGGGACTAATACATGTGATATGGCAAAGTCCAATTCATAGATTAAGTTTCCCTTGCAGTCTTGTTGGCATTTTTATTAGAGTTCATGTTTTGTTTATGTTAATGGGTGATTGGAAGACCCTTGGGTGGGAATCAAATATAAAATGTTTTCTAAAATATATATTTGAAATACTTTGTGTATTTACAGTCACAAACTCTAGGCAACATTAACTAGTAATGGGGCAACACCCCAACTCAACTGAGTGAATGTGTAAACCATATAAGGAACAAAAAACATTACATAAAACAAACTCACGTTGCAAACATGTAAAACTGGCATGGCAAAACAATAGATTGTGAAACTGAATAATAAAAGCACATACGACTAGAAAACAAGGGATTAAGGACCTGTTAAAATGACATGAATGGGGATTGGTCAATATGAATAGTAGAAATATGAAAAATGTGAAAATTTTACATTTAGTATTGATCATGAACATTAGAGAGGTTAAGGTGACTGTTAACTTAATCGATTTTCAGAAAAAATTGAAAATTTCACAATCTTGAAATTTTCAAACTCTTCTTGAGAAGTCGTTTTTATTATTTCACATATGCTTGTGCACTGTCATCATTACGAAGACATCAAAGAACAACAAAAAACTTTAGTTTGAGAAAAAAGTGCCGTTTAAAGAATTTGAGAAGACTTTTTTCTAGGAGTAGCCCGTGAAAAACCGCTGATTCAAAATATCTGAACATTTCAGAAAATATACTTCAAACATATATCAAAAACGAAGGAGCAACGGAAATTTGAAAAATTACCCAATAAAAAAATCGGGATCAAAATAAGGAAAAAAGTACACTTCTCAAATTGTTTTTTTCTATTTTTTTAAATTTGTATGAGAGATTTCAAAATTCTAAAGCTCCTTTCATTTTGGGCTATATTAAAAGGATGTTTCAGAGAAATTAGAAAAAAAAATGTTCAGGGACCTTTGCCGTGCTACTCTTTTTGTCAATTTTTCTGTCACATTTTCAGAGGACTCAAATTCCCATTCCAAAATGTTTACTGTTTCTATTTGCATTACCACAGTGAGCCTGGTTATATAAATGATAAGTGGAACTAAAAAATTGAGAGAAAATCCAACCAAAAGACAGTTAATTTTGATGGTCAGATTATACTCAAATGCCATGTGCTTCCTGGTTTCGGCCATCTTGGATTTTTTGATTAAGTTAGAAGTTACCTTAAGTACACAGGCTCGTAGGCAGGTAGAGGGGGAGAGATAAAGGGAGCTGCTGCTCCCCCAAGAGATTCTTTCAAAATGATGCAGTTTCTCACCAATTTGAGCACTAATGATTTTTTAGCCAAAACTGTCAAAAAGTTCATCACTTGGCAAAAGCTTTGCCCTTGGTAAAACTGCTCCTACCCCTTGGTAAAAGCTGGCTACAGACTGTGTAAAACACTTGTTTGAGAACTTGAACATGAACGAGTACTGTTATGACCCCCAGTAATGTTGTCCATCTCTCAACTGGTTTAACTGGGGACCATTACATCAATTGGCATTATATCAATCAGGCAAAAAGAGGCCAGTGATGTGAAAATAGTCAATAGCACGGTGTTATAGCATGACGGTTACGCCACCTCTGAAAACGAGGTTGGACAGCTACGTTCACTGATTTATCCAATAAAATGGCCGCGATGGAAGAGAAAACTAAGGTTCGCGCATTATTTTCTACTTCTGTGTATCAATGAAAGGATGAACGATTTATGTAAGAATCGCATTCGGTGATACTTTCAGTAATGTATATTTTGAACGTAGCCTTTGCAAATTGATGCCCGGGGATAACATGAAATAAGAGAAAAACTGTCGAGTTTGAAATTCAAAACTACACAAAAATTTAGTAATTTGTTTATTTTTGTTTTTGTTGTTAGGGCATGGTCTACATTGCCTAAAAATCTTGTGGTATATAGATGTAACCTACATACGATCATACAAAGCCAATTGAGCATTGGAAACCACCTAATATGTTCTACTCAAGCCATAATAATGTATTTTGAATTTGCAGTAGTTATACACAGTTTACTTATACTTACAGTTAATATTTTGAGTGGCTCATGTACTGAGACAACACGAGAATGGATCAAAACTTATAAACTTTGATATCTCAGTCGGTAGGTTTACAGATTATATTCTGTTTCCTGGAGACCACCTGGCAGATTTGACCCAGTCTTTATAACCATTCATATAAACGTCACCGAATGGAACTAGTTTAAAAGGAAATCTTATCTGTGAATATTGCCTACAGGCGAGAAAGAGGACATGCTGCCTTTCCCATCCGCCATTTTTTGTTACCGCATTATTTTGCATAACATCATGCTATAACACCGTGAATAGGGGACCATAAGTTTACACATTCCATGTGTACGTTCATCAAAATAGTGCGATCTTAACCTCCCTAATAACTGAAATTGTTTTCTCAACCAATAGAATCATTCCATGTTTGTTTATATTTGTTCACATTAATATGGAAGAAAATCGGACATTTTGCTAAAAAGATGTTATTGTAAATCTTAGAAATAATGATAAAGGTATTATACACCACACACTTAATGGTATTGATTGTGGTTTTCAGAGACTCTCAATAGGGACTTTAAGCTTGCAATGTTTTTCACAACCTAAATGTGAATGGAAAATATTTAGCGATGCATTTGTATGGGCGATTGGTCATAGGTTGGCGTTTCGATTTTATATGCAAGCTTAATCTCCCTAATGTTAACAATAAGGTAAGAGTGTATGTTACTCATAACATTTTCTTAGGATAACATTTCTTGAATTGATGAATATGCAAAAATTATTCTTAGCATATCATCCTTCATTTCATTATTTGAATAATCAATCTGGAGATAAACTCAAATAAGGAAGTGTGTTATAACACATCATCATATAGAAACATGTTCAATGTTTTTTCAGAAGCTGGATCAAAATATTTGTCTTACTAAAATTATTGGCAAAAGTATGATGTACTAAATTCTTGTACTGTATTTATGATTTTAATAGCACTGTACCTCGTGAATCATTACTGATAAACAAGATACAGAAAACCTGTTCAAAGTAAATGCTATAATAAGGCATCCTAGAAATTATCATAAAGAGAGGTATTTAGAATTTATTAGCAACTTACACACACACACAGGTTTAACTGCACTCAAACATTAAACAGTCAACTTGACAGGTATTCAGAATTTTTTGGGAAATGCTGCGGTTATGCTCCATTGATTAAACAGGGGATCAAACAGCAGGGGATCAAACAAGTCCAACCATTCATTTATGAAAACATTTTGAACTAACTTTATGGCACACTAATGACATCTAATATGAGTGTGCTGTACTAAAAGCATAGCCCCATTGGATCCCCTTATATTGGATTATCATAATCCTAGTCCACGAGGAGTTCCTTATATATTTTAAGTGATGAAAAATGTTTTCAAGTACAATGTAACTTTGCATGAAAATTGTAAAAAAAAATGAGGGAGGATGGTGAAAATGACGATTGTATTTTGAAAAAAACATGGTTTATGTCAAAATTAAATTATTAAATTAAACATGGCTTATGAGATAATCCAATTGATCTTGAAACCATTCTTTGAATTTTTCTTAAAGATTATACATTGGCCTTTCATATGCATTCATTTTTGTACAGCCAGAAACTACTAGAAAAAAATTATTTACCGTCAAAAATCTGTTGCGATACTTTCCCTCGCTCTTTGGTAGAATTGCCGAATTGATGTATGATAACATTGAGCTTTCCTGCCATGCTAATTACAAAATTTAGTCAGAATTTCAAACATCTGTGTGCTAAAATAGTGCCCATAACTAAAAATCTCTAAAAATTTCTCAAAGGCAGAGGAATTAGCAATTGATAATAATGAGGTCCATACATTTGGCATTCTAGAAGTCGTACACGATAAATTAAAAATTGGGTATATTTCATCAATATTTTTGACGCCCAAAAAGATGGATCAAAACGAACCATCTTGAATTTGAAGAAACTCAATGAACACATGGAATACCATCACTTTAAAATGGAAAATCTTCAGAATGCAATAAACCTCATAACTAAAGATTGTTTCATGTCCTGCGTCGACGCATAGTATACCAATATCTGAACAATCGAGGAAATATTTGCAATTTCAATGGCGTGATAAAATATATCAATATACATGTTTGCCACAAGGCTTGTCGCCAGCCTCTCGTATATTCTCAAAGGTGTTAAAATCCGTTTTTTCGATATTACGGAACGAGGGTTATGTATCTTACATAGATAATGCTTGTTTGTTTGCAGATTCATATGACGACTGCAGAGACAATACGTTTACGACTATTGAACGTCTCCAGAGACTTGGTTTTATTATGCATCCTGAGAAATGTGACCTCGACTCAAAGCAGGTAGTGACATTTCTTGGTTTTCAATTAGATTCAAGATCCATGAGAATCTCGCTTACATCCAAGAAAGCAAACTCAATTCATCTCTTGTGTCAAGATATCGTAAAACGAAATGATCATTATTCCATTAGGGATATAGCTCAGTTGATCGAAGTTAGTTCTTTCCCAGGGATCACGTATGGCCCTTTGCATTATCGAAATCTTGAATTAGAGAAAACTGCGGCTTTATCAAAGAGTCATGGTATTTTTATGCTAAGGTCATACTCTCTAATGATGCATTGGATGAAATCCATTGGTGGATAAAAAACGAGAAATCAGCGTTCAAAAATGTTCCACTTTCAGATCCCCAACATATCATACGCACAGATAGCAGCATATGACGTTACAAACAACGTTCGCACTGGTGGACGCTGGAGTTTAGAGGAATCAAGTCACCACATAAATGTAAGTCTCGTTTAACTTTCAATTATCCCTGAGCACTGGGTGTGTACCAAATTCAGCGTGACGGCTGAGCGCACGGGGTAAGGTACAACACGAGGATGATGCGATTTGAGCGAACTGATGTTTTCATCGTATCAGAAAGATTTTGTCTAATTTTATACGTAAATGTCTGTAACAGAATCTTAGACAGTGAACTTAACAGTGACTTTTATAATTAAAGCCACACAAACTCCCGATGTAGTATACGGTATAACGCGCGGGTACATTTACCCGGCATTTACCTGTGATGCGGTTTAACACAAAATCACATTCCTTGTGTTGTACCTTACTGTTACCGCGCGTTATACCGTATATTGGGAGTTTGTATAGATTTAATCATATCCCTTAATTAGCTTAATTAGGCTACCTCACTCATACCTATTGCTCCGGTATAAGTATCTTGATATCTATAGATATTCGGCTCTGGGTATAGAAAACTAGAAAGAAAAACGTTACATCGAGTGTCAATTACAGTAGTGCAGCAAAAAAAAGTACTAAACAAACGGAGTTTAACATATGTCCATGGAGGTGTTGAATGCCCTGCACGTCGGAAATGGCCTTCACGTCGTACATTTTCCAACAAAAAATGATTTCTCTGAATTCTTCGATGTTCACAAATTCATTTCGACAGAGGCATTCCATCAGCAACATATTGCTCTTTTATGGATAACAATTTAATATTGCAAAATATAGCAAAGCTCATTCCTAATTCATTGAGATAGACTTTAATTCAAATGATCTATGGAAACAAATTAAAACGAATGTGATATTTAGTTCACTTTATAGGAGTCTTGGCTATAGGTTGACTTGGAATGTTTCCTTAAAATCAATTATGCAGAACGGTCCCTACAACTTGCAATAAGCTCACTCTGTCTACAATATTCATGTGCATGTATCGTTCAAATTCATGTAATTCCTTTGGTGTATTTTTTCTAGCACAAGTAATGTGACTTTAATCAGTATAACGATGATTCAATAAACAGGATATAAATTAAGCATGCATGTTGATCGGCGAGTGAGTAACTTTGCATATAGTACGATTTTCAACAGACGCCATGTATTTCCTATGCGCAACTTCAAAGTAGAATTTAAGGTAAGTTATATTCATTTACACCTCCATTTTGAAAATATATACAACTTGGGCTTTTATTTATATAGAACATTGGTCCGATAGTATGTTTGGAAGAAATCAGTCATTCAGTCAAATTATTTTACTTCGACGTAGCAAAATGATAGTGATAACGTAGCAAAATGATAGTGATAACGTAACAAATACCTAAGAGTAGATAGAAACGACATAGCAATCGCAGCTCATATAATTGTGTTGTGTTATCAATGTAAATAATACTAAAGAACAACATTTCCTGTATTTTTGAGGACCATTAAGGAACATTATACAAGCTGAAAGTTATTTAGTGATGTGTCTTATTTCAGTGTTTGATAATTGAAGCATCTTGTTTTTGATCAAATGCAGATAGTTTATGGTTGAGAAAACCATCAATGAATGAAAACAAAGAATTTAATAAAACTCCATAGATATACATGTGTCGTTAGTTTTGTGTTACTAGGCATGATGTTTGAGTTACGTTAAACGCCAGTGTTATACTACATTTGTGAATTCAAATTTTTGTAAACTACAATATTGCAAGAGTCAAGGCGAGTTGTATTTCGAAGTATAATTGTGATTTTACACTTGACATTTTGTTTTCAATTCTCTGGGGTCTGATATTTTCAAATGGGCAGAATCGTGATTCGCACTGTTATGAAAACATATACAATTAAAATCCTTGCCTGTTATTCCAGTAGCACCGACTGGACCAGTTGCACCAGTTGGACCTGTTGTACCAGTCGATCCTGTAGCACCTATTGATCCAGTTGCACCAATCGGCCCTGTTATACCAGTTGGTCCCGTAGCACCTGTTGGACCAGTTGATCCAGTGGTTCCTGTTGCACCAGTTGATCCAGTGGCTCCTGTTGCACCAGTGGATCCAGTGGCTCCTGTTGCACCTGTTGATCCAGTAGCTCCTGTTGCACCAGTTGATCCAGTAGCTCCTGTTATACCAGTTGATCCAGTAGCTCCTGTTGCACCTGTTGAGCCAGTAGCTCCTGTTGCACCTGTTGACCCGGTGGCTCCTGTTGCACCAGTTGATCCAGTAGCTCCTGTTGCACCAGTTGATCCAGTAGCTCCCGTTGCACCTGTTGAGCCAGTGGCTCCTGTTGCACCTGTTGATCCAGTAGCTCCTGTTGCACCTGTTGATCCAGTAGCTCCTGTTGCACCAGTTGATCCAGTAGCTCCTGTTGCACCAGTTGATCCAGTAGCTCCTGTTGCACCTGTTGATCCAGTCGCGCCTGTTGCACCAGTGGATCCAGTAGCGCCTGTTGCACCAGTCGATCCAGTAGCTCCTGTTGAACCAGTTGATCCAGTAGCTCCTGTTGCACCTGTTGAGCCAGTGGCTCCTGTTGCACCTGTTGATCCAGTGGCTCCTGTTGCACCAGTGGATCCAGTAGCGCCTGTTGCACCAGTTGATCCAGTAGCTCCTGTTGCACCAGTTGATCCAGTAGCTCCTGTTGCACCAGTTGATCCAGTAGCTCCTGTTGCACCTGTTGAGCCAGTGGCTCCTGTTGCACCTGTTAATCCAGTGGCTCCTGTTGCACCAGTTGATCCAGTAGCTCCTGTTGCACCTGTTGATCCAGTAGCTCCTGTTGCACCAGTTGATCCAGTAGCTCCTGTTGCACCTGTTGATCCAGTCGCGCCTGCTGCACCAGTGGATCCAGTAGCGCCTGTTGCACCAGTCGATCCAGTAGCTCCTGTTGCACCAGTTGATCCAGTAGCTCCTGTTGCACCTGTTGAGCCAGTGGCTCCTGTTGCACCTGTTGATCCAATAGCTCCTGTTGCACCAGTAGCTCCTGTTGCACCAGTTGATCCAGTAGCTCCTGTTGCACCAGTTGATCCAGTAGCTCCTGTTGCACCTGTTGAGCCAGTGGCTCCTGTTGCACCTGTTGATCCAGTAGCTCCTGTTGCACCAGTTGATCCAGTGGCTCCTGTTGCACCAGTTGATCCAGTAGCTCCTGTTGCACCTGTTGAGCCAGTGGCTCCTGTTGCACCAGTTGATCCAGTAGCTCCTGTTGCACCTGTTGATCCAGTGGCTCCTGTTGCACCAGTTGATCCAGTAGCTCCTGTTGCACCAGTTGATCCAGTAGCTCCTGTTGCACCTGTTGATCCAGTAGCTCCTGTTGCACCTGTTGATCCAGTGGCTCCTGTTGCCCCAGTTGATCCAGTGGCTCCTGTTGCACCAGTTGATCCAGTAGCTCCTGTTGCACCTGTTGCACCTGTTGAGCCAGTGGCTCCTGTTGCACCTGTTGATCCAGTAGCTCCTGTTGCACCAGTTGATCCAGTGGCTCCTGTTGCACCAGTTGATCCAGTAGCTCCTGTTGCACCTGTGGCTCCTGTTGCACCTGTTGATCCAGTGGCTCCTGTTGCACCAGTTGATCCAGTAGCTCCTGTTGCACCTGTTGATCCAGTGGCTCCTGTTGCACCAGTTGATCCAGTAGCTCCTGTTGCACCAGTTGGTCCTGTTGCACCAGGTGGTCCTGTTGCACCAGTTGATCCAGTAGCTCCTGTTGCACCTGTTGAGCCAGTGGCTCCTGTTGCACCAGTTGATCCAGTAGCTCCTGTTGCACCTGTTGATCCAGTAGCTCCTGTTGCACCAGTTGATCCAGTAGCTCCTGTTGCACCTGTTGATCCAGTATCTCCTGTTGCACCAGTTGATCCAGTAGCTCCTGTTGCACCTGTTGATCCAGTGGCTCCTGTTGCACCTGTTGATCCAGTAGCTCCTGTTGCACCAGTAGCTCCTGTTGCACCAGTTGATCCAGTAGCTCCTGTTGCACCAGTTGATCCAGTAGCTCCTGTTGCACCAGTTGATCCAGTAGCTCCTGTTGCACCTGTTGAGCCAGTGGCTCCTGTTGCACCTGTTGATCCAGTAGCTCCTGTTGCACCAGTTGATCCAGTGGCTCCTGTTGCACCAGTTGATCCAGTAGCTCCTGTTGCACCAGTTGAGCCAGTGGCTCCTGTTGCACCAGTTGATCCAGTAGCTCCTGTTGCACCTGTTGATCCAGTGGCTCCTGTTGCACCAGTTGGTCCAGTAGCTCCTGTTGCACCAGTTGGTCCTGTTGCACCAGTTGATCCAGTAGCTCCTGTTGCACCTGTTGATCCAGTGGCTCCTGTTGCACCAGTTGATCCAGTAGCTCCTGTTGCACCAGTTGATCCAGTAGCTCCTGTTGATCCAGTAGCTCCTGTTGCACCTGTTGATCCAGTGGCTCCTGTTGCCCCAGTTGATCCAGTGGCTCCTGTTGCACCAGTTGATCCAGTAGCTCCTGTTGCACCTGTTGAGCCAGTGGCTCCTGTTGCACCTGTTGATCCAGTAGCTCCTGTTGCACCAGTTGATCCAGTGGCTCCTGTTGCACCAGTTGATCCAGTAGCTCCTGTTGCACCTGTTGAGCCAGTGGCTCCTGTTGCACCTGTTGATCCAGTGGCTCCTGTTGCACCAGTTGATCCAGTAGCTCCTGTTGCACCTGTTGATCCAGTGGCTCCTGTTGCACCAGTTGGTCCAGTAGCTCCTGTTGCACCAGTTGGTCCTGTTGCACCAGTTGATCCAGTAGCTCCTGTTGCACCAGTTGATCCAGTAGCTCCTGTTGCACCTGTTGAGCCAGTGGCTCCTGTTGCACCTGTTGATCCAGTGGCTCCTGTTGCACCAGTTGATCCAGTTGCTCCTGTTTCACCTGTTGATCCAGTGGCTCCTGTTGCACCAGTTGATCCAGTAGCTCCTGTTGCACCAGTTGATCCAGTAGCTCCTGTTGCACCAGTTGATCCAGTAGCTCCTGTTGCACCAGTTGATCCAGTAGCTCCTGTTGCACCTGTTGATCCAGTGGCTCCTGTTGCACCAGTTGATCCAGTAGCTCCTGTTGCACCAGTTGATCCAGTAAAGCCTGTTGCACCTGTTGATCCAGTAACGCCTGTTGCACCAGTGGATCCAGTGGCTCCTGTTGCACCTGTTGATCCCGTGGCTCCTGTTGCACCAGTTGATCCAGTTGCTCCTGTGGATCCAGTTGCACCTGTTTCTCCGGTTGATCCAGTGGCTCCTGTTGCACCTGTGGAACCAGTTGCGCCTGTGGAACCAGTGTCACCAGTTGAACCTGTTGGCCCAGTAGCACCGGTCAGTCCTGTAGCTCCCGTTGGGCCAGTTGCCCCTGTTGGACCAACCTCCCCACTACCTCCTGAGGGACCAGTCGCCCCTGTAGGTCCCGTTGCACCAGTAGGTCCAGTAGCTCCTGTTGCACCAGTTGCACCAGTAGCTCCTGTTGATCCAGTGGCACCTGTTGCACCAGTTGATCCAGTAGCTCCTGTTGATCCAGTGGCTCCTGTTGCACCAGTTGATCCAGTAGCGCCTGTTGCACCTGTTGATCCAGTGGCTCCTGTTGCACCAGTTGATCCAGTAGCTCCGGTTGCACCTGTTGATCCAGTGGCTCCTGTTGCACCTGTTGAACCAGTGGCTCCTGTTGCACCAGTTGACCCAGTAGCTCCGGTTGCACCTGTTGATCCAGTGGCTCCTGTTGCACCTGTTGAACCAGTGGCTCCTGTTGCACCAGTTGACCCAGTAGCTCCTGTTGCACCAGTTGATCCAGTGGCTCCTGTTGCACCAGTTGATCCAGTGGCTCCTGTTGCACCAGTTGATCCAGTGGCTCCTGTTGCACCAGTTGACCCAGTAGCTCCTGTTGCACCAGTTGATCCAGTAGCTCCCGTTGCACCTGTTGATCCAGTGGCTCCTGTTGCACCTGTTGAACCAGTGGCTCCTGTTGCACCAGTTGATCCAGTAGCTCCTGTTGCACCTGTTGATCCAGTAGCTCCTGTTGCACCAGTTGATCCAGTAGCTCCTGTTGCACCTGTTGATCCAGTCGCGCCTGTTGCACCTGTTGATCCAGTCGCGCCTGTTGCACCAGTGGATCCAGTAGCGCCTGTTGCACCAGTCGATCCAGTAGCTCCTGTTGCACCAGTTGATCCAGTAGCTCCTGTTGCACCTGTTGATCCAATAGCTCCAGTTGCACCAGTAGCTCCTGTTGCACCAGTTGATCCAGTAGCTCCTGTTGCACCAGTTGATCCAGTAGCTCCTGTTGCACCTGTTGAGCCAGTGGCTCCTGTTGCACCTGTTGATCCAGTAGCTCCTGTTGCACCAGTTGATCCAGTGGCTCCTGTTGCACCAGTTGATCCAGTAGCTCCTGTTGCACCTGTTGAGCCAGTGGCTCCTGTTGCACCAGTTGATCCAGTAGCTCCTGTTGCACCTGTTGATCCAGTGGCTCCTGTTGCACCTGTTGGTCCAGTGGCTCCTGTTGCACCAGTTGGTCCTGTTGCACCAGTTGATCCAGTAGCTCCTGTTGCACCTGTTGATCCAGTGGCTCCTGTTGCACCAGTTGATCCAGTAGCTCCTGTTGCACCAGTTGATCCAGTAGCTCCTGTTGCACCTGTTGATCCAGTAGCTCCTGTTGCACCTGTTGATCCAGTGGCTCCTGTTGCCCCAGTTGATCCAGTGGCTCCTGTTGCACCAGTTGATCCAGTAGCTCCTGTTGCACCTGTTGCACCTGTTGAGCCAGTGGCTCCTGTTGCACCTGTTGATCCAGTAGCTCCTGTTGCACCAGTTGATCCAGTGGCTCCTGTTGCACCAGTTGATCCAGTAGCTCCTGTTGCACCTGTGGCTCCTGTTGCACCTGTTGATCCAGTGGCTCCTGTTGCACCAGTTGATCCAGTAGCTCCTGTTGCACCTGTTGATCCAGTGGCTCCTGTTGCACCAGTTGGTCCAGTAGCTCCTGTTGCACCAGTTGGTCCTGTTGCACCAGTTGGTCCTGTTGCACCAGTTGATCCAGTAGCTCCTGTTGCACCAGTTGATCCAGTAGCTCCTGTTGCACCTGTTGAGCCAGTTGCTCCTGTTGCACCAGTTGATCCAGTAGCTCCTGTTGCACCAGTTGATCCAGTAGCTCCT